ATTAATTAAAAGGTCTTATAAAAGTTTGAATCTTTCACATCTGCCCCGCGTCTCGTGACAGCCTATTTTTTATTTAAATGATAATTGAAATGATTAAATGATTTTTAGTTAAGAATGTAAGCATTTTGTTAAAGTCGGTATTAATCCAAAGATAAACATTATAAGGTTTTAACAATATTTGTTAATCACTAAGAATATAGAAGAATGAAATACGAAGAGGCTTTTTATTTGACTCTACATATTATAAATTAATACAGTTTATATTTATCTTAATTAACACAATTACAAATTGTGGTTCCTACAAATAACAATTAATTATATACAATGCCGACATTGTATATTCCGTGCCAGATATTGAGTAAATAAAATAAGCCAAGCATAAATACAGCATTATCCATAATTAGTGATTTGCACGTCAGTTGTTGTGTAGTGTCCAATAAACTTCTTTCTTCATTTCTATCATTCTAAATTGGGTCATACAATAATTATTGTAAAACACATTTCAGTATTTATCCATTTTATTTTTCAAAATGACTAGTAATTGTTACATTAAATTGCTTATTATTATTATCAATAAATTAGCAGGGTACCCCACTTAGGTCCATAGGCAAAGACGCGTGCTACGTGTAGATTAGCACGAACAGCACAATGAGGAATCCCGAAGCCAAACAGATGATCAGCCCGAACTTTTTCTAAAAAAAAATTACAAAAGCTGAGCCAAAGTTGAATATGGATGCTTAAATAATTGGACGTAAAAACATTATAAGTCTTTATAGTCTCAGCATATACCGTGGACGGTAGACCGTGGGATAAATGAATAATTAAGTTTTTTTTATTATTTTTTTATATTGACAAAAAGCTTGATCATAGCCACGTTGCAAGTAGTCAAGTGTGACTTTTGACTTTTGATGAGTTAGGTTTGTACTTTTAGTCAGTACTCTAAATGAAATTTCATCGGGCGATACACTATGTATATGCACGTGGTGCTGTCAGGCGGAACAGTAGTAGAAAACTGTTAATAAAAAATCCTCACGACTTGAAGTGGACACGAAACCATGTTTTGTTTATATAGCTCTTTTGTAAGGAAATTTTTTTTAAGGTCGCTGAGTAGTTTATCTTGTGCTATTGAATGAAAATGAGTCATGTTACGTACAACGCTTCGCTATATAACGTATGTATGCGTCTCTGCTATACACGCTTGGCCATCGTTAGAGCCTGTCCATACGGCGCGTTGGGTCGTCGCAACACAAAAATTTTTGCGCATTGCCGGCCATGTGTGTACAGGCGCTTACATGAGAGAGCGTCATTCAACAGTCAGAGTCAGTATCGACTTATAAAAGGCGTATTTCGTGCAAATATGTTTTATTTAATAAGTCGTTTAATATTATACCCGTGGCCGTGTGTTCATCTATACACACGTTGCAAAATTGGTTGATTTTGGCACTTGCTGAAAAAATATTTCGCGCTGTAATATGAATTTATTGTAAATTCGTAATAACATTTTATGAATAAAGAATAAAAAACAGTATTGTTATGTATTGTTATTAACCACTCCTTGATGAAGTTTTCACTTCTGTCCTTAAACACAATCTTTTTTTTTGCATTGCGCTTAGAGGACTATGTCTAATCTTTATGGGACCTTTGAAGATACTGCCGTGACAACTGACTTTGAATGTTATAGAATATTCCGTTTTTGTAGGCTACTGACCTTTTTGGCTTTCCGGCGGCTGACTGTACCTTTAAGCAGCTCTTGACCACCGCTCTCTACATGCTCAGTCGCTTGTAGCGCGAAGTACTCCACGCTGTCGATTTGCTCTTGCTGGAAAAACAGTGTATTTGATATGTTGAGTTAAACGAAAGTATAGTACGTGTAATTCTATTTTTATAGCTTGCCGGAGTTGCCACGACTTTTTCTGACTGTGTATAACAGTGCCACCTATCTTCTAAAGTATGCAACATAAGCTCACCAATCTTCCTCTAAACTTTCGCTGCCTACCTGCGATTTTTACATTATTATTTTGTTTAACGTCTTTTACTATACATATTTTTTGATCTGTTAAATTACTTACTATAAAACACAATTTCTAATCAGACACAATTATTTGAAAAACCTATGAAATCCATGTCATTAATTCTCTAAAGAGTTAGGATTGGTGACCGTGACAGGACGACATACGACGATATAAAACTAAAAATAACTATGAAATTTTAAATAAGTAGATTGTATTATTCCACCATTTTGTTACCGTGGCCCTAGCCCACGCGGAGTGAAAGGAATTGCCTATAAAAACGGAAGATTCCTCAATAAGGAACAAGCATCATCTGTAAGTTAAGAAGAAAGTTTAGAAAAATTATTTTGAATCTGCTCGAGATATCACTTTGGAGTTCAGAGGAATTGGATACCGACGCTTATCGAAGAAGGTCATTTCAGTTTTGGATACAATTGATTCAATGGTCAAGTGCAGCACCTAAAGCTTCAAACCACAGAATACTCGTAGTGTTTTATGAAAGTTAAATGCCCTTCCATTATCAATCCTTCTAAACTTTGATAACCGATCATAAAACGTAAAGTGATAAGTAGATACAGATAACTATCCTAAACTTTTATCAAAATGCATATCGATAGTAAAATATACTGAACTATTCTTTAAAACCGTTTATTTTATTGGCACTGTAATTATTGTAATACGACGAAAGTAATTAAAAAAATATTTAAAGTTTAAAGTATTTATTCTATTGTAGATACCCCCTTAAAAATGTTACATAAAATAACAGTTTGCCGATATTTTTCCGAAAATCGTGCGTTACGAAATTGTATTCGATCCGGAACGACGCGATCCAGCGGCGATCATAACTATAAAAAAAATTACTAATAGTACTAAAGTATTTAACATGTATACTTTTTGGGTGAACAAAATGCGTGAAACTCGCGTCATCGTCACCGAAAGCTTTCCATGCTATTTTTAAATATTATTGAAAAATATAGGCTGCCTACGTTTTTCAATAGTTTTAAATTTTATTAATTATATAGGTTAATAAAAATATGTCCATGTCAAAGTTATTTAATAAAAACGTAATTATAAAAGTATATATATTGAACTTCGTCCCTTATTTTTCAATTATTGTGTAATAGAAAAAGTCGAAAATGAAGTGTACCACATATAGGTTTTTTATTACTTTGTGTAACTTTTAAATAGTCCGGTACATACAAATTCCTTACAAGAACTTGATTTAAAATGAATACTAATACTACAGCGTTAATGATTCACGCACGAACCCATGATGCACTTGTGAGATAGCAGCTAATGGGTTTTAGCAAAAAATAAGGTAAGCATTGAATAACCAAAGGCAGTTATAATTTTATTCGACGGCAAATTGAATTCGACAGACAAAATGTTCAAGGTATGTAAAGAAGTGATTGCATTTAAATTAGAAACTAGATAGCGTACGGTATACATTCCAGTGGCCATTTGAATTTATTCTTCAGAATCGAAACATTTAATTTTATAAGTGCATATGTTAAGATAAACGCTGTCGTCATATCATGTACTTTGTTAAAACTAATGGCGTATTTGTTATCTCTGATATTGTTTACTAGCATCGCTTTTTTATATTCTTTTTCTGTCTCTAAAAAGAGGAGGTTATCAATTCGGATGTTTGTATGTTTTTTATGTATGTTCGGGCATAACCCCATCATAAGTACATAGACTGATTTGCAAAATTCCTTTTTTGTTCAAAAGAGGATTATAGTTTATAGTATCTAAATTTCATATAGATCTGACGAAGAGTTTTGGAAGTAGACAACGGAACTCTTCAAAAAATTAGAGCAAATTAATCGCCGTTGTCGCCACCGCATAAATATGCATTGTTTTGAGCAATCACACAAAATAACGTCGCGTCGGTACACTCGAAAATGTTAAGCTGATGCATTCAGTATAGCTGAGAACCCGAAAACAGCGTATTTACACAATTAATACACTGTTTTCACGTTCTCGACTATCATGTGTGCATTGTAAGCGTCGACCTGTCTGGGATCTCCTATTAACAGTATTCCTTTGCCATTGTTCACTATTGGTAACGGTTGTACACCACAACACCTCACTAAAAATACAAAGCTACTAGCAACGATGAATACTGCGGTTATCTTATAAATAGGTTAAAAGATAGTTACAATATATATGAATTTACTGGACTGAATTAGCTTGTCGAAGCTATATTATCTACAGTATCTGGGTATACCTATTCCGTAAGAGTCAAAGCAGATAAGAGATATAATTCTATATTAGATTTCGATTTGTTTTTCTAAGTTTTATTTCTAAGTCACTTAACCTGTAACTAAAAAGTATTGTGATATCCTCATTTAATTTAAAGTTATGAAAGCTTTGAGAAATAACAAATATTATGAGCACTACATGTTGAATGACTTGCGTTTCCTTGTAGTGGAGAAGTGGGGCAAACAGTATACTTAGTTGTTAATTTAATTATATTAATATTATTATATTGGCGACGCATACGAAGTCGTGGGTAGTTAGAATATTTAAATTAATTAGGTAGTTTAGAATATTTAAACTAATTTTGTCATTGATTTCTTTTTTGATAACATACGCAGATTAAATATTAAGGTAGTTTGTTAATTAGTTACTATTTGAAAGCAGTGCCCCACTTTAAATAACAGACGGAGTTAATTCAGAATGATAATATATTGTTCTCTTTATATTCCTTTATGTTTATCTGGTATAATAAGCCGCCCACCTGCTGCGCGACGAGGTGCGCCAGCTGCAGGAAGAGGCCGTGCACGTCGCGCAGCGCACCCTCGAGGCGCGCGAGGTCGTCGCGCCGCGCCTCCGCCTCCCGCAGCATGCGCTTCGCCTCCGCCGTCTCCGCACGGACCTGTTCATTCAGCCCTTCTTCATTCAGTTGGATTCTTTCAACTGTGTGAGGTGCATAAGATAAACTCATATCTTATGTGTATGGGTCAATTTTATACCTCCGAGCTCAATTTACATAGTGTAACGTGTGATTTCATCACTTTGTCGAAATTGTTGTTTTTTTAAAGACTAGGCTGCATGTCATATGAACCTTTGCCAGTTCGAAAGGACGAATATAAAAGTTAAATTCATTTGTTGGTACTTGTCATTTGAGATTGCCGCCGGTTCGAATTGACATTGGATAAATTAGTTTTTGTGGATCTATTATCTTCGACTGTGCATGGCAATAATACGATCAGAACACGTTCCTGGTCGTATTATTTGTGATTGCTGTCTGGGAAACTCTGTGCTGGATTTGTTATCCCTCGTGGTGGATGCTGAAGGCATAGGTGGCTGGCAAGCTGGTCTGAGCTGCTGCTCTATTAAATATTGTTTTTTTACCTCCAGTTGGAGGTCTCCTACTTACCCCCCAACAGTGTGGCTGTACACACTACACTTGGCCTGACTTTCTCTACTGGCTCTGAGCTCAACGCTGACCTGTGCACACAGGGCTGGTGTCTGCGGTGGCATAGATTTAAAATAACTACCTGATTGGACTTTGTTTTTTAAATTGAATTGCATAACTTTCATAATCTCAAATTAATTTAATTATTTAACCTTTTATGGTCGCACAAGGTAACGTGTAGGTCCTATGTACTCACGACTCCCTGAGATACTTAATTGTGATTATTACAACAGTCTGTTCCTAACAGACAAGGCGCCCAACTTATTATTATTATTATATTACAAAATATATTGTATCTGAGCTAGTCAAGGGATTGTAACCTTAAACTGAAGAGATAAATATAACATCTTAACTGACAATAAATCTTTTATTAAATAATCCCATAATTAAACAACCCATCATTTATTAAAACGTTACAATAGTGATTTGTTTTATTCTGTTTTCTGTGCGTTATAACATGATTAAACGTAACTTACATTGCCAACAAAGAGGGAAATGTTGTTGGAATCAAGAAGATTTTCACACTCCTCGTCCGTGAGAGTGAGGTTTGCTGCGAAAATAAGAAATCCATATTAAATAGTAGCAAATTAAGGGTGTGATTGTATTTCTATACACTAATTTGATAATTCTAGTTCCTTAATTACCCGAGGCCCTTAATTTATTTACCGTATTGATTTCAAATAACGTTCTGAACAATTATTTTCTAAGTAAACAGCCGTATTTAGATAAAAACTTGCAGTTTGTTAACATCGGAACATCGGGCATCGACCGCGACCTCACGGTTTAGCAATTAGTAACGTTTTACGAAACGGTATCAGAAATGAGTAATATGATCCAGTTTTCCTTCCGGATAAATATTTGTTAAAGTGCTAATCAAGTAAGAAATGCAGAAGTGTGCTACGTATGAGTATTTTCAGCTATGGGCTGCTTGGAAAGAGTATTATTAATAATTAATGCTCAAATGAAAAGGGTAGATTGAATAATCGTATTGCATGAAATAATTTTGGGTTTAAGTAATTTTGAACTAAAAATATTTATAACATCTTAAAATCTAGCCTATGTTATCGTCAGCTGCAAAAATTCAGCAAAGAAATTTGTCTCTAAATGATGTTAAGGTACCCCTCGTATCTAAAGTTTCTACAGCAAATGACAAAAAAACAATCTGTACAAAGATACGCGTTTTTTTGCCATTTACTTCAGCGAAATTCTAACCTAATTACATTATAGGCTGGAAGTTTTAACTGTATATCAGATCTTATCGTGAATCATTCTGTTTCACACGTTTCGTGCATTCTGGACACAGGCTAACTTGACGTGACGAGTTATTTGTCTTTAATTTTACAAAAGTGATTCTATTTTACTTGCCCCGATAATCATAACAGTGCATTATTCGGCCCCTACTTACTACAACTGTACTGCCCGGTCAGCGGTCAATGAGTTTTTTTGTACGTGAAAAGGTGGCAACCGACCGGATGTTAGGTCATAACCGCCGCCCATGGACATTTGCAACACCCGTAGGGTTGCACACGCGTCGCCACCTTTTTATGAGGTGGGCTCCCGTGATCTGATGAGAGAGGACGAAACGCACGAGAATAGCACTTCCAGCTGACGCCGGTCTTCTGTGAGGTCGCGGCACCTTCCCCGACGGACCCGCCCATTCGTGCGACAGCGAAGACCCGAGCGATTGCAAGTCGCAAAGAAGGGGCTTCGCTCACTGAGCTTGATCTGCTCGTGCAGCAGGCGCGCGCGGTCGTCGTGCAGCAGCTGCAGCAGCTGCGCGTGGTCGGCGAGCGCGTCCGCGTAGCGCCTCCTGGCGGCCGCGTACTGCATCCGCGCCATGCGGCCGCCCGCGTCGCCGCCGCGCCGCGCCCGCGCGCGCGCCTCCAGCTGCCTCAGCGCCCCGCACAGCTTCAGGCCCGCCGCGTGCGAGCGCGTCACCGCCGCCTCCAGCTGCTCCTGCACCTCTGCAACGTCACAACGGGACAATGGAAAGTTATCTTCAGAAACACTTCTCACGCACGTGCCCTCTATATATATCTTGACTTTATAAGTTGTTGTTAGATTTAAGAGTTGTACATAACAGGACAACGTCTGTCGGGTCGATTAGTGTAGAATGTATCTTATATCAAAAGTGTAGACACACGATTACCATTACTTTTAACAAGTATTGTAGTAAAACCAAAGCTAAAGTGATACTGAGCCAATTAATTTGAAATGAATTGCAGTTAAGGAGTTCATAACAGTTAAGATATAAAATACTAGTCAACATCAGACCACATTCTAGGAACAGATTTATACGATTTCATTTTTGAGTACTATTATAAAACACTAATTTAAGCTGATAGGCAAGTAACCGTCATAAATAAATTTACTCTGCCAGCATCATGAAATGTTATCTGATCTCCTGTTCATACTGACGCTTGTTGGTGTGGTAAGTGGGGTCGGAGTGCAGGCGACGGATCAGCTGCGTGTTGCTGTTCAGCTCGTTTATCCATTTGCATATCGCCTCCACCTGAAATGGACTCGGGAATTAACTATAATAAACAAATAAAGCGCGGCCTCTCGGGATGTCAGTGTCTATTAAAAGAATATGCCAATGTACTCCTCTCTACTCGATCGAGGAACTAAGCGTTGCTAGGAGACTTCCTGATGACGACAGATGGTATTTAAGCCCGTACACTTGATAATGGGGCCGTGCCCACTCGGTGCACACGCGAGTGCCCTCGAGTGGGCCGCGTCCTCTCGGCCCAACTCGTGACGTCATCCCGCGTGACCCCTCCACCCGCGAACCTTGTCAGTCGCCTGGCAAAGTACGGGACTTTATATTTATAGACCCATATAACTTATTTTATTTCTTAGTCTTCTTAACGTTGTTAAATTAAACGTTCTAGACAAAAATATAAAAACGACATAGAAAAAAGTTTGTGTATTTATTTTTTTATTATTCTTTGTTATCAGTTAGTTTCCTTATAACACAGTGCGAAAATGAATTTGTAGATAGATTTTAAATTATTTACAAAAATAAAGTACTTTTAATTTGATTAATGTTAGGTACTTCTATATTATGCGGACACGACGAATAAAGTATCGCCACCAACATTGCCCGCGCGTGCGCAACTAATGAGCTTAATGAATACGAGCCTGCATATTACATTCGTTTCAATTAGCGCTTAGCGGTATAAAACAAAATTACAGTTGTTAAAATGAACCTTCACTATCAAATGAAGGTTAATAATTTCTGTCCAACAAAAAAAATACAATTTTTGGTAGGCCGAATATAAAAACACGTAATCCTTAAAATATGTAGAAACACGTAATCCTGGTAAGTTATAAGTGGAGCGTTCTTTTCTACATTTGTCCATCTTTTTAAGAAGCGACAGAAAAATATAAAACCTTTAAATGTCCATCTTTACAGTTCTCTACTTTGAGTTTGATTTTCTTTTTGATGTATAAAAGAGATTCCAGTTGACTGACCTCTTGCAGGAGCTCCTCGATGTCTTTGGCGAGTTGTGGTGGCGGCAGCTCCAAAACGGTGTCTTGGTAAACTCCCGTGCCTCCCGCGCTCTCCGCCAGCTGCCAAAGTACGTGTCAATGTAACGGTTTTTTTTAATTAGAATAATATATAATAAAACAATAAAAAAATCTGTGTATGTTATTATCTATATATTAATACGAGAAGCAAGTTGTACGTCTTTTTACGAACATCGCATGAACGGAGGAGTATACAATTTCCCACATCCTACAATTTATATATCTTTTGTTTATTGTGTATTGTATTTTGAGAATAGAGTAATATTGTTCTAATTTATAATTTAAATTAATTATGGTCGAATTTCGACCACTCGGCGTTCACTAGTTACTATAATTATTCAAATATTGATTTTGCAGCAAACGCAGAGATAGAAACATCATAATATATCACACGAATGAACAATCTGACCGCGGCAGCATTTTTGAGCTTGCTTTCGGTGTGTTTGTGTCTGTGTGTGAGTGCGACAGCATCTTAGCGTGCACTGAAGCATCACATTCGAACCCTCCGGAGCACGAGACTGAACATGTACGACCCTCGTGTACTACCAGAAAATCATCCCAATGATTTAAATACAATCTCATGTATTTTACATCAATACAATGAATAAATATATGCCATAAGCAAAAATGTTCATTCTATATTTTTGAATGACATAATGTTCGTGTGAGAGGTAACTCATAAAGATGACTATGAAGACTGGTCTAGTCTAGTTTATCTATTGAAACGCAGATAAGGCGAGTCGGTGAGTAAGTGACCGAGGTACAGTAGGGAGTGAGTATCTCTGACCTGGCGCAGCTCGTCAAGGCGGTCCTTGCTCCTCATGGCCGTGGCCGCAGTCGGGGGCTTGTGGCCCCGCTGGCTCCCTGCTCGAGTGACTCCGTCGAGCGGAGCGCCTCGTCCCGCCGAGTCCGGTGCAGCGGCACGGCCGGTGCGCTCGCTGCCGTATCTAATCGCGCACTGATAACGGCCGTTCGGCGAGATATCTCGGCTCGCGAGCGCGAATTAAGGCGAAGCCGAAGTGAGTCGCGTGTCCCCGCGCGGCGAACGGCCCGCGCCGTCGACGAGCGTCCGCCACCGATGCGATAATTTGATGAGACAACAATGATCGCACACCGCCACCGCAACATCGCAACTCGACAGTCCACACGACGCGACGCGAGGTGTCGAAACGGCCTCGATGAAGTTTTCTTTATTACTAAGCACACTTGTTTACTTAGGAATTGACGTCGACTTTGAAAGTCTCGCGTATCATCTGTCGCTGACGAAGCGTTGCGAGTGCATTGCACTGCGTACGTGTAGGTATGTCTTAAGTTTGTGTTCCTGTATTGAAATTATATATAAAACGTAGGTTGCTACAAAGACTTATCTGAATTATCCACTCTGCCAGCATTAAGCCGCAGATGACTTACTTATATGATATTACTGTCATCCATACCTCTGAACGTAATTATGTTTTTTTTGGGCTTGATGAGCCACTGTTGGCCCTAGGGGCCTTTACAGTTTCGCCGGAATAGAGGTGGCCGGGCGCTCGGGGCGCCTATCCTGAACCTCGGCGTATTATTATTACGCGTTATGGTGATGGGCCGTCATGCTATTATTATCAGTACCGGTTTGGGAGACCACCAAGCTCTTAGGGCGCTTTGGTGGACGCTTCATGGAGTGACCAGGCTAAAGGGCCCCGGAGAGGGGACCTCGGCTTGGGCTGTCACTCAATACTCGTTTAGCGTTCCGATTCGAATTCCTGAATGACTCCAGGAATTGAGCGATGGTTGGCAGCTCTAAATCTACATGTAAGTCGATGTTCCGCATGAACCACGGGGCTCCCGTAGCTTTGCGCAAAAATCGATTCTGGATGGCCTGAAGCCGATGTATTTGCCTCGGGGCAATGTGCGCAAAGACTGGACTCGCATATGTCATGATGGGGCGAACCACTGCCTTATATAAAGTCACCTTATTCCGAAGGGACATTTTTGAAGTTTTATTTAAAAGGGGATACAGGCGACCTAGTACGAAGGCCGCCCGGTTCCTGACCCGAGTCACATGCTGTCTGAATTTGAGTTTAGAGTCAAGGACGACACCTAAGTATATGACTTTATTTACCCATGGAACCGGACTATCCATGAGTTTAACGGGTGGAAGATTAGGCGCATTTTTGTGAGACAAGTAGACGGCTGCGCTTTTAGCGGGATTGATCACGATCCTCCAAAGCCGAAACCAACCACCGATGGCGATGGCCGCGGCCTGAAAGCATCGATGGATCATTTTTGTCGTTCGGCCTGACGTATATAGACAGGTGTCGTCAGCAAAGAGGGCAAGTTCTACACCTTTGATACGCGGCATGTCGTTAGTGTAGAGCGTGAACAGGACTGGAAGCGTAATTTCATTAATTATCAAATAAATTGAAAGGGATTGGTTATACATGTAGTTATTAAGGAAAAATGGTAAATAATAAATATGTTTATTTGATAAGGACTATCGCCTCTCAATATGATAGCCTCGAGTATCAATGTGCATACTCGTATATTTGTATGACTTTTTTGGTTTAAAAACCAAATATGTACACACCGCCCTAGACGGTGTACTGGAACATATTGTACCTAGAATAGTCGTAATTTTTGTAAAAGTTACGTTACCTACGAAAGTTATTTCACCGACGCTGCATTAGTGCAAAAAAAAAGGGTAATTTATTATTTCTTGGACAGAAACAGATTTTTTCATATTACTTATTGTTTAGTAACCAACCATTTATGAAAAAAAATTTATTAAGTTATGCAATTATAATTAATTATTTATTTTTTATTTATGCACTAGGTATTTTTTTTCTTTGATGTTAATTCAAGTTACACTCTTTGAGCGTGGTAACCGAATAGAAAACATTTTTTTTCTTTTATTGAATACATGGGAAGTTATCTAAATAAAAGTTATATAAATATCGTTTAAAATATTTTTATTATCTTACAATACATGAAGGTTATACAGGATTTTTTATCATTGAAACTAGGTTTATGGTAACTGAAATAGAAAAAATAAGTTTGAGACTTGATATCCTCTAAATATCATATCATGAAATGATAATATAATATTATAATATCATATTATAACATCCATCCGTGCGAGCTTCGTACAGTCGTACCATATACACTACACGTTAAGCGAACGCTCGGCCGAACTACATGGTATGCGGAGTGGGGGGTCGACGGAATTTCTAGATTCGGTCGTCACGCTCAAAGCCCGCGATAAAAGCTATGCAATAGCTTAAAAACCCTTTATTTACCATCTAATATCAGTAAATTCAGGTAGGTAGGTATGTGAAAAAGTATTTGATGTAGGTATATGTAGGTATTCGCAGCTGATTTCATTTTTATGTGTGTTTATAAAACTTATTAAAAGAAATTGGTGAGATTTTGTACCTTGGCATCCGATCTAATGATGTATCGTAATGCTGGTGAGTAGGATTAATTTTTCCCTTGCTTATATTTCCGAATGCGCATTTCAAACTCATTATGATGAAGGTCTGTCAAACGGATATTCGTAAGATTAATGAAACAGGTTTTTGATGGATAAAAGCCACAATCCCGTACCGAGAATTCTGGTTAAGCTTCTTAAAACAAAATCACTACAGCAATTGCGGAGCTTCATTTAATATTTGTCAATTTCACAAACGGCGTCGTGGTATAACAGGACCGCCTACCCAATAAAGAGTAAGAATACATGCATGTGTACATTTATTAATAATTCATATTCTTGTTCTAATTTTAAATAATGACACTGCTAACATGAATAAGTGCCTGTTTTTGTCATTCATGCATAAGAATATAAATTTGTAAAATATATATATATATATATATCCTCAATTTGAATCGACCCTTTTTCAATATCTCAGACCCTGAAAACGTACCCTTAAAATATATATATGCAGATAATTAATGATCGACTTGGTATTAGTAGTTAATAATAGAGCCCTCTATGATTCATTTACAAAACCATTTTCTGTTGTTTGATCAAAACGTAAAGTTAATTATCGTTACACGAGCAATATGATAAATATAACAAATATGACAACAGATGGCAGTGTTATTAAAACAAGTAGAACTAGTCTGCAACAGTTTTTAATGTTATAAATTGTCGTGGCGGTATAGAATGCTTAATTAAAATAATAATAATAGCTTTTACGCTTATTTTCATAAACAAAAATATTTGAAGATAATGTATTTTACAGTCTTAACAATCGCAAAACATCCTAAGCTTTGTTCTATTTACACTCTATTTTACGACCTAACTATAATCTCCAAAGTAAACGAAAGCGTGATTCAGCTTGTCTATTTTAAATTGTATTTACACAAGTGTTTTAAATTTTAAGCATAAAAAATATTTTGTTTAGATAAGGCATCACTGACCTAATTGACTTAAATCATTTAATTACGATCCGGGACCTCGTATTCTTCGTATAGAACATACTTAACTGACGCGTCTAACTAATTGTATACAGTCAGCATGGTTAAAAAGGGCTGACTCCAAATAGGTATCTGCTCGGTAGAAAATCTATATGCAACCCTTATTATTTTTCTTCATTCCAATACATTGTACTCTTAAATTATTTTTAAATAACTAAGTTCAATGACATTTAATTATAATACATAATTGTGTACCATTTTGTACCATAGCCGTGTGGTGTCGGCGTAAGAATAAGCCACCCCATCTCATCCCGTGGGTGTCTTAAGAGGCGACTAAGGGATAAGCCAGAAACATCCGGTGGCCTCCGATAGATGGCGGGATAACCATCCAAACTCTCCAGAAATAAATATCCAGGCCAATAAAGGGCAGCAGCGTTGACGGTGCGAGGTGTCTGGAAGAACTGGGGTTGCCAACCCGCTCGCGAAGCGTGGCAACTATGGTAAAAACCCCTCATGTCTGGAAGCCCAAGGTGTACGGCCCCCAGTCCCCGGCGGCCCTGCTATTCCTGGCTACGGTAGCGGTCATGGTAACGGCAGGGCAGGGGGTGCTAAGAATCTCCGGCTAAGATTCGGCTACCAACGACGGCGACTGGACCTGGCAACATACAATGGATAACAGAGCTGGAAGAAGAGGTAAGCAGGCTGCGTTGGGATATAATAGGATTATCTGAAGTCCGAAGATAGGGGGAGCGCACGATGATCCTTGAATCCGGCAACCTGTTTTACTACCGGGAGGGCGACCAACTGTCCCAAGGAGGTGTCGGATTTATCGTCCACAAGTCTCTCATTAACAACGTTGTTAAAATGGAGGGTGTGTCGTCGAGGGTTGCGTACCTTATACTCAGAATATCCAAACAATTCGCTGAAGGTCATACAGGTCTATGCACCAACGTCGACACATGCCGATGATGAGGTGGAGGCAATAACGAGCCATACATTCCTCATAATGTCCGAAAATATCCCGGACGTTAGTCTGAGCGAGATTAGAATGGCTCTTAACCATCTTTAGAATGGCAAAGCATCGGGAGAGGACAGAATTACAGCAGAGCTTCTGAAAGCGGGTGGAGAACCGGTACTTGTAGTCCTTCAGAGGCTCTTTAATTCCGCCCTTCAGGGTGGCACTACACCAGAGGCGTGGAGCAGAAGTGTGGTGGTGCTGTTATTCAAGAAAGGCGATAACGCTCTCTTGAAGAACTATAGACCAATATCCCTTCTGAGCCGCGTTTATGGGCTGTTCTCATCGCGCGTTTATGGTCTCGCTTCCAGACTCGACGACTTCCAGCCTCCCGAACAAGCCGGATTCCGAAAGGGCTTATTTATTAATACTTCATTGTTACACCTTAGCCTAAAGGCTACAATGGGCGGACTTAATGCTTAGTGGCATTCTCTACCAGTCAACCCTTGTCATGGTGAGAAGTAGATGGTAAATAAAAGTAGGAAAATATATATGATACGAACAATTGATAACTGAGGTTATAGAGTTAATAAACAATAAAAACATGATAGGAGAAAGTATACCGCCTTGCGGCACCCCAGAATCAACGTCCGCTCAGGCAGAACACTGTTGTCCTAAGCGGACCGACTGTTGGCGACCGCGAAGATAGGAGGAAAACCAATCCAAAGCTGGGGTAGAAAATATAAGGTAAGTAAGGTAGGATCTGAGGATTTCATGGTGTGTTGAAAGCGTTAGAATAGTCCACAAGCGCCACCACTGTGAGCTTTTGAACATCCATACCTTTTCGTATATCATCGGTGACCTTAATAAGTGCAGTTGTGGAACTGTGCCCCGGACAAAACCCAGATTGATAAGAGTTCAGTACCATAGACCACATACACACCTTGCGGCAGATTATACAGAAGACCGAACAGTATAATCTGCCTTTGTGCCTAGCGTATGTGGACTATGAGAAAGCCTTCGATTCTGTCGAAATGTGGCCGGTACTCCAGGCTCTTCAGCGGTTCCAAATTGATTGTCGGTATATCGAAGTGCTGAGGTGCTACTATAGCAAGGCTACGATGTCCGTCCAAGTACAGTCCAGTAGTAAAACCTATCCAACTGCAGAAGGGTGTAAGACAGGGTGATGTCATATCCCCGAAACTCTTCACCGCTGCGTTGGAAGATGTTTTCAAATTTCTGGACTGAAAGGACGAGGTATTAACATCAATGGCGAATACATCACCCACCTTCGATTTGCCGACGATGTAGTCATCATGGCAGAATCGCTGGAGGACCTGGGTGCTATGCTCAATGACCTCAACAGTGTCTTCCAACGGGTGGGCCTTAAGATGAACATCGACAAGACGAAGATCATGTCTAATGTCCATGCCACGCCTATACCGGTTGTTGTTGGGAGCACTGAGCCCGAAGTTGTTGACGAGTACGTTTACCTCGGACATTTAGTCCGGCTAGGTAAGTCCAACTTCGACGCAGAGGTCAATCGGCGAATCCAACTCGGATGGGCAGCGTTCGGGAAACTTCGGCAAATCTTCTCGTCGAATATACCTCAATGTTTGAAGACTAAAGTCTTCAATCAATGTGTGTTGCCAGTGATGACCTACGGAACCGAGACGTGGTCCTTCACTGCTGGCCGTATGAGGAAACTCAAAGTCGCTCAGCGAGCTATGGAGCGGGCTATGCTCGGTATTTCTCTGCGTGATAGAGTTCGTAACGTTCAATTCAGTAGGTTGAATGAAAAAAACCAACTAAATTTATAAGATGTTTGTAAATTTCTGACATTTTTGATTTTTGATGATAAATCACTCAGGTGGTCTATGTTTCAATGAAAGGCGTAATATCTATTGATCATTCTTTAATAACGCCTCCATCTCAGCATTTAGATTTTTATTCCTCTATTTAACTTATAGTTCCAAAGCTGTTCCTGTGTGGACTGTATCCATAGGTCGCTGGTTCATATCCGGCTCGAATGACCATGTACAAATTCAAAGCGGTTGTAATTTGGGTCCGTTAGGTTAATTTAAAGAAACAAGGTTCACGTTATAAGTTTTTTAATCAATAATTTTTTCGGATGCTCATACTAATTACACGGTAAAACCGTAGTGTATTTTAATTTATTACTAACGCCACCTATGTATTACATAAGACAAACTGTATATTATACAGCTGTAGTTAAGTCTTATATAAGATTATAAACAAAAAAGCAGGACTAAATAAAACTGAATAATCGATGTACTAACTTAAAATTTGTAGAAAAAATTGTAATAACTTTATAAAAGCAACAAGATATTGCAACAACAATAGCTTTCGTTTGAAATATTTTTGTATACACAAATGTCTTTTAAAATCATGACTATGTTCCGTTAGTTTTTTGCCCTTTAAGTTTTCGAAAAGAAACATAATAATGAAGAGCAGTCATAATTATCTCTATATGAATATGATGACTCCCTGGCGCAGTCGCCAAGGTTTCGGCTTCGGCGTCGGGGGTCGTGGGTTCGATTCCCTCACGGAACAACTATTTGTGTGACCCACAGATAGTTGTTTCGTATCTGGCTGTATATCCACGTGAAATTTGTGTTTGTAAAACGGCCTTACAACACAGGACAATGTACTTAAAGTAAGGCCAATGTTTTTCATAAAAATAAATAAATAGGTATGTACCGACAGCATATTTTTCGAAAATGTCTTTATAAAAATCTTTGTAATACTCGGCAATTTTTTCTTATAGCAATGGCAGTTCAGTGGTGAAACCCTGTTGTTCTATTGGATTCTCTCAAAGCATCAATTCCATTATTTTTATGTTAAAGGAATTTTACGTTCATAGTAACAAGGTGGAAGAAATGAAAGGCGTCATCATCTATCATGTTTTATTGTAACATATAGATAGTTTTCTACACATCCTTACATACGCGTTATGCGCTAAGTGATATGAGCTCTGTACAGGCCTCGCCCGCGATTCGAGCGAGGCCGAACATAAATAAAATTCACATAATATAAACTTAGCACTAGGGCCGAAGCCGATATACACCTATGTACAACAATGCAGTCCGGGAAACCGCCGTCACGTGCGGCTATTTACAGGGATAGGATATGTGCGGGGTATCAGTCGCGCGGCGGCGCGCGCGCCAGCAGCGCCAGCGGTTGCAGCGCGGCCGCCTGCAGCGCATGCGCGTGCGCGGCGTGCGTGGCGTGCGTGGCGTGCGTGGCGTGTGCGCCGTGTGCGCCGTGGGGCCCGTGCGCGCCGTGTGCGCCATGCACGGCGTGCGTGGGCAGTGCATGGAGCGCAGGCAGCAGGGCGCCGCCTGGCGTTCCCGCGGATCCCGGCTCGCCCGCTGGAGGGTTAATACGTTTTTCCTGTAAAGTAAACCGACTGCTGACAAAAAGTTCTTTCATAAATGATTATAATATGTATATAGTATGCCACTGATATGAAATAATAAGTTAAATATTGAAATAATTGGAGGATTGTATCTGTGTGTCAAGTGTTAGTGCGCGGATTTACGCTGATGCATGCCGAGATGATGGAGGTGAGCACCTTCTGCCGTCGGTTGCAGAACCAGACCCGCACCACCTCCTTTTCCATGCAGAGGGCGTCTGCGAGCGCGGCGATCTCTTCGCTCGTGGGCTTGGGGTTGTGCAGGAAGGCCTTCTCGAGCGCCACGCGCACGCCCGACTCGATGGAGGTGCGCTTCTTGCGGCGGCGGCCGACCGCCTCGGCCAGGGCGGCGCCCGCGCCCGGCGCCGCCCCGCCCCCCGCCAGCGACGAGTCCGCGTCCTCCAGCCACTTCTGCAGCAGCGGCTTCAGCTTGCACATGTTCTTGAAGCTCAGGTTCAGGGCCTCGAAGCGCGATATCGTCGTCTGGGAGAAATCGTTGCCGTACAGCTTACCCATCGCCAGCCCGACGTCGCCCTGCGTAAACCCTGCGAATACACTCGGAACATGTAGTGCACGACGGAGAAATCGTTCGAGTAGGGCGTAGGGTCGGCCGCACCCGCTCACCTAGCTTAATGCGGCGCTGCTTGAAAGTCTTGGCGAAGTGCTCGAGCTCCTCGAGGTCGGCGGTGTCGTCGGCGGCGGGCTCGAGCGCGCGCGGCTTGTGCTGGTGCGCGTGCAGCGGCGTGCGCGGCGCGGCGGGGGAGCGCGCTCGGCCCGAGCCAGGCGTGAGCGGGGTGAGGAAGGCGCCCGCGCCGGGCGGCGTGCGGCGCGGCGACGGCGACCGCGTCTCTGCGCCACGGCACGCCACGTTAGCTCGCAAAGCGTCGGGGCCATCGAGGGCCACCCAGTGACGGGAGCGAGGTAAGCCAACGAACCTGCGGATGACGGCGGACCGATCCCGGCGCGAGCCTGCAGTTGTTGCAGTTGCTGCGCCGCCGCCTGTGCCACTGCCTGCTGCACCTGCAGTCAATGAAAGTGTTGCGTAAATCACTTACCGAGACTGATCTAAAACCAATTAGATAGAATATTTTTACCAGTTATAATACTCATTTTTTTTAACCATACCTGTGTATGTAGCAGCAATGAGTGTGCGCCGTGTTGCGTGAGTAGTAGATGCTGCAATTGCGCTAACGCGTTCCCCGCACCTGCTGCATTCTGTCGCAACACAAGAACGCCAGTTTACAGACCTTTACGCTAACACCTAATTATTAAGGGACCATTTACACCCAACAAATGACTGTCAGCTGATCAAATGAAATGACGCTTGAAATAATGCTGAAATGTCTATAGGATTCATTTTGTTTTATTTTTATTCATTATAAAGGTACACCAAAAACATATTAAAAGTAGATTAAAACTTTGATCTACACATACCTCATTAAATTAAAAAGTGAAAACATCAATAATAGGCGTACACATCATTCATGTTTAGTAAGTAGGAACATTTAAGTTAACTTAATTTACACCGAAAATGTTATGAAGATAAATAAAAAGAAAAGTTTGTGTGTATTTACGTTCGCAGGTAAGAACTTATTATTCTATTTAGCGTAACAAAAGAAAAACACTTTATTAACAAAAAAGACACTAAATGCAATTGATAACGGTTTTGAATTTTATGTAAATGCCATAGAGTTCTTATTGATCGCCATGGTAATGTCGCGTTTTGACCTTCGTCATCGTAAAAATTTTACTCATGTTTTGAAGTATAACCTCTAAAATAATACTTAGTAATATACGACAATTATACAAAAAAATGAATTACTATGTAAAGCACATAAAAACGTTTCTTGAAATTTTAATCACACCCATTAAAATTTTAAACGCGAGAGTTGTGACGACATCAATTAATAGTACGCATTAGGTTTAAAGTCTATGCGAGCTTGCGGCGATAAAGTATGAGTGTGAGGATGTGAGGATGCGGGGTGGTTACCAGAACGGCGGCGGTGGCGGCGCTGGCGGCGGTGGCGGCCGCGCTGGCGGCGGGCAGCGGGCCGTGGGCGCCCAACGAGCCGTGCGGGCCGTGGGCGCCGTGGGCGCCGTGGGGGCCGTGGGGCCCGTGGGGCGCCAGCACGCCCAGCGGCGGCGCCGACGGCGGCCGCTCGTCGCCGCTCTGCTCGCCCTCGCCGCTCGCCGACCCGTCTGCGATTCGAGGAGTTATTTAAACATCCACCATCTTTTCGACTTTGTTTTTTGTAATTTAATTGTTGTTACTGTTAAGTAAATTACTCGCTATCTAAAAAACCTAGCCAACGCGGCATGGTGCAAAGAAGCGGTAGTTGCATTTTCTTGCTAAATCGTAATACTTAATCACTGATAGAAAAAACAACGGAAGCTTCTGTCACTAGCCGCATAGTTAAGTCTAGGACATCAATCTTTGAAACAATTTCTTGAGGGACCCGCACTTAGGGTTGCTACTGGAAATGGAGCAGTTACATAATCAAAGCAGGCAAAACGGACATTTTAAGATTGCCGTTATCTTAAAACCGTTATCTTTTTTTTAAATGCACATAATCCCGAACAAGTCGGATTCCGAAAAGGCCATAAACCACTGCGGCAGATTATACAGAAGAGCGAAGATTATAATCTGCATTTATGTCTAGCGCATGTGGATTATGAAAAAGGCCTTCGATTCTGTAATTGTGTGAAATTTCTGCGGTACTCCAGGCCCTCCAGGGGTGCCAAATTGACTGTCGGTATATCGAAGTGCTGTGGAGTTTTTGTATATAAAGGCTACGATGTCCGTCCAAGTAGAGTCCAGTGGTATAAAACCTATCCAACTTCAGAGGGGTCAAGACAAGGTGATGTCATATCTCCGAAATTCTTCACCGTTGCGTTGGAAGATGTTTTCAAGCTTCTGGACTGGAAAGGATGTGGTATTAACATCAATGGCGAATACAAATCACTCATATTCCGACGTATTTTTATATGTTTTGTATTCTTTCGTATATTTTCCGGCGACATAGGCAACATGGCAGAATTATGGAGGACCTTAGTGCTATGCTCAATGACCTGGACAGTGTCTCTCAACGGGTGGGCCTTAAGATGAACATGGACAAAACGATGATCGAGTCTAATTTTCAAGTCACGCCTATACCGGTGGTTGTTGGGCGCACTGTACTCGAAGTTGTTTACAAGTACGTATACCTAGGACAGTTAGTCGAGCTAGGTAAGTCCAACTTCGTCGCAATCGGCGATTCCAACTCGGATGGATAGCATTCGGGATACTTCGGCAAATCTTCTTGTTGAATATACCTCAATGTTTGAAGACTAAATTCTTCAACCAATGTTTGTTGCCAGTGACGACATACGGAACCTAGACGTGGCCTTGCACAACTGGCGGTATGAGGGAGCTCAAAGTCGCTCAGAGTCATGATCGGTATTTCTCTACATGATAGAGTTCGCAACGTCCGAAGTAGAACAAAGTTAACCGACATAGCTCAGAAGGTTAATAAGCTGAAGTAGCGATAGACCGGCCATATATTTTAAAACAACACTTGTGATATAAGTGTTCATCTAAAGCAAAAATGTAATGTGTTTTGTAATTTAAACGTTGTGTAATACGACTTACTCTATTATAGAGTGCCCCAGTGATAATTTTTTTTTTTTTCATTTTTGTAACTAAATTAATAATTGTTCATAACATGAGGCACGTCATATTCATATACATCAGCCTTCAAATTAAACTAAACGAAACTTAAAATGTAACATAATTTTCAACATAATAGATTCTTCACGCCAATCTTCTGTCTTCTGTGAAGTCCTGGTACTTATCCGAACGGACCGGCCCATTCGACCACGAGCGAAAACTTCTGCGTGGCCCTACCACAGTTCATCACTACATAGTATATAATAGTCATCCCGCTGTATGTCTGTCTGTCCCTATGTATGCTTAGATCTTTAAAACTACGCAATGGATTTTTATACGGGTTTTTTTTACTAGATAGAGTGATTTAAGAGGAAGGTTTATATACATAATAATGCACCCATGTGAAGCCGGGGCGGGTCGCTTGTTAAGATATAAAATCTAAAAGTATCAATACATATTAATCAAATTTCTTATCGAAAACTGTTTCATTACAACTTAATTTTCATTATTTTTTAAACGGGCATCACAAACTATTAGCACGCGTCGGCCATGTTGGTCGCAACTAGGAGGCCCCGAGTGTCTAGTTGCAAACGGCATAGCTTTGTTAGAGTACGTGTTATAGAAGTAAGGCATTTTGTCACTTTGGGCGTATTGCCAAGTTTTACCCAACACCTGTTTTTGAAACAGAAAATAATATTTCAATTCACCAACCTATTGAAAAATCATTAATTGTTATAAAAATTTTATACCAAAAAATTAGTACCATAAATTATATAAAAGTTAGTACCATAAAAAAGGAATACCAAGAGTTAAATTTAAACTTAAATAGAATGCTCTTCCGTAACAATTTTGACATTCATTTATTATTCCCCGTTATTTATTTTGATTAACATTAAAGATGTTCCAAATATGATGAGTTGTGGTAAACGTGCCATTTAAATTCACGTCCCAAGCGGGCGGCGCCGGTCACCGGATATTAGATGTAAATGGACCGCCCGCCCTCGCCCGCCCTGCTCCCACTGAACATCGTTTCGCTCTCACATTGGGTAATCGTTTTCTCAAGTGTGAACCAGCAATAAAGGCCGTTTAAACTTTTCGCCAAACATTTTCAAATACGATGATTATTCTTATTTCATGTATTGCCTAGTGTTCTTAACTACGCCCTCCTTCTCCCATCTCCATAAGCCTGCCTTGAAAACTGTTCTCCAATGCAGATATCGTTTCGTTGTCGGTAACCCAGACATGTTTTGTGTACCTAATACATTATAAATGACATTATACTATATTTCCCCCTTTATACACATTACAGATTATATTTCCCGCTTCTGGGCGCTAGGGTCCACGCTTCAGTCGCAATCAGACTAGACTTATTTCCGTTTGTCACACCGACGAAAATCTCATCTTATTTTGTCTTCATCGTTTTATAATATATTAGGCAATGCTTTACGCATCTATTGTTACGACATTTACAGCACGCAAACAATTTGAAACATAAATTTTTCGCCGCTGCGAGAATAGAATTCACGTGTACCGGATTCGCGGCCAGACGCGTTAACCATTGAACTAAACGGCTGATTACTGCCACATCGACGAAAATCTCAACGTGTACATCTTAAGTGCATGGATGAGCGTTGTAAAAAACTTAAATTTCAAATATGGTTCTACAACGATATTGGATCAAGAGGTGTCACCATTGCTTAAAAACTTTTCGTCCATCATTTCTACAAATACAATGGCAACACCTCACGTTTATTCTTAAATGAAACTATTAAACTGGTCACGGGACAAGCCCCATGAACGCTGGAAAAAAACAAAAGTCGAAATTTAAATATTTTAATGGAAACGCGATAAAATCCGTTAAACAGTATAAACTAACAATGTATTATATTCGCGTAAAAACAAGAAATCAATGTCTCTTAAAATAAAATGCAAAAAAACAATATAAATAAAATACGACAACTGAGTGGTTAAAGTGTCTGGGGGCTAATCCGGAAGACGTGGGTTCTTTTCCCGCTTTTCGTCCACTTTTTCTACTTAAGTTAACTTTTCATCTAAAATGCAGAGATTAGCACTATAATAATTTAATTTTCAAATAACACTATTTTCAATTGAAATACTGCCTCTACTTATCCTTTAGAGTTGCAGACGTGAGATATTTTATTATTTTCAATGATAACTTTTGTACTAATTAATTAAAAATCAGGCATCCAATTATAATTAACGTTAATAACACGTATTACGAAGAAACATCGCCTTAAGTGTGCATGCAATTAAGAAACCACTACTCGTTCTAGGTACAGTTTGATAAAGAATAATTTAAATTTGTAAATCCCATTAGTGTACCTCATACTTGGAATCCAATGGGTTTTAAAAATAAGTACCATGCTCGTGGTTCTCTTATAAAATTATATCGTACAAAGAAATACATTTAGCATGCTTGAAATTTATCGTATTTGGAACGACTACGGTCGGAAGGCTTTATCTAAACGAGTAATTAAAAAAAACTATTGTGACCTATTGGAAAATAAGAGATATGTCTATAGAATATAAACAAAAAAATAAGATAGTAAATATAAACAAAAAAAAACAAATTAAAAAAAATTACCGCTTTTTACTACACGCATATGGATGTATACACGGTACATACTTAAAATTAACATTTTTCAAGTTTTGTCTATCCGTCTATCTGTTCGTTTCAGCTAATCTCTGAAATTGCTGGACCGATTTTGACGTGACTTACTGGCAGATAGCTGATGTAATAAGTAGTAACTTAGGCTACTTTTATTTAAGAAATTTAATTTTTTGAATTCCACGCGGACGAAGTCGCGGCACAGCTAGTTAAAAAATATATTCATAAGAGGCGGGATAATTTTCAGAGTTTATTTGCTTTTAGCACTTTATAAGAAAGCAGCGTATTACTAGTCTGGCCATAAATACTGATTCATAAATACTTTTGTTTTTTTCAATTTTTCAATTATTTTGAAATTGGAACACTTATATTATTTTAAAAATTTATTTCGATTTTGTGCCATTTCACTTATGTTTTCGTGTTCATTATCAAATTACAATTTGGAATGTGGTGTTAAAGAAAATAGGATTGCAGTGATCGCCTTGGACAAAGTGGGTATGGAGCCGTCGATCATATTCCAGACACTTCAAAAGCTTGGTATCAGCCGTATGTTCGTATATTGTACTATCAACAGATACAGCAACATTTCGTCTGTCGAAGACCAGAAAAGATCGGGGCGGTCGCGTGTTGTTAGAACTATAAAAACTGTTAATGCTGTTACAGCCAGAATTCTTCGAAACCCCATTAGGAAGCAAAAAATCTTATCACGAGAAATGAAGATTCCCGCTAGGACTCGCGTAATTTAAAACAAGACCTGAAGCTCGGTGCTTATTGCCGATATACAGGACATGTCCCTGAGTTCTAAAGAAGCTGCTCAAGTTGTCGGAAAAGTACAACGTGGTCATCATCCTGCGTCAGTGATGGTTTGGTGGGGCGTGTAGGCCAAGGAGTCACAAAACTACATTTTTGTGAAAAAGGAGTGAAAACTTCAGCCAAAGTGTATCAAGATATAGCCTTGGATCATGTTGTGAAACATCTCAGCAATACATGTTTTAAAAATATACCGTGAACTTTCCAGCAGGACTCTACACCTGCTCACAAGGCAGGAACTACCCAAGCCTGGCTTGTAACCAACGTTCCGGACTTAATAATAGTTGAAGACTGGCCCCCATCTAGCCCAGTCCTTAACCCTTTAGACTTCAAATTATGGTCAGTTTTAGAGACACGGCGACATTGAGTCTCTTAAAAAGTCTTTGGAGCAAGCAGTGGCGAAATTTCCCTTGGAAACAGTGCGTAAATCCATAGATTCGTGGCCAAACAGATTAAAGGCCTGTATAAAAGCTATAGGTGGCCATTTCGAATAGAATATTTTTTTATTTTTTGCTGAGACGTTAATAAATTTTAATAATATTACATTACTTCATTACCAACAAACGCATTTTCATTTGTAACAGAACTTATGGCTGGACTAGGTATAACAGGTACATATTTCGTGCATGGTCAAATTTTATATTAAGCGTATATAAAATTGTGGTAATTGAACTCCGCGAGCCCTGCGTCTATTATATAGGGAAGGGTTGGATTGTGTCGTATTGAGAAAAAAAACTATTATCGCAAGCAATCACTTTCTTTAAAATGCGGTCCCGAAAGGGGTGAGATGTTTTTTGCGCGGAGGCGCGTGCAAGGCGAGGGTTGCATCGCGTGGCGCGACGCTTAATCCGCGGGGCGCGTGCCGCGGAAGGTGTCTCCGGGCCAAGTGCCGCCGCGAGGTGCCTTCGCAGCTGCACCTCCCGCTTCATGCGGAACCACCTCCACCACAATGGCTGATGATAGATTATCCGCATGTGCACGTGGCATCATTTTCATTAAAAAGCAATCCGCTCAATCCCATCGACATTCGTCATTAATATTGTCACGTTGTTATGAACTTACCGTGGCTTGGCGGCGGCGACGGCGACTTGATGAGATCTCCAGACTCCTCTGTAAAAGACAAGTGAGTGTGGTTTAATAAAGAGCTAGAAATCAACTCACTATGGAAATGGAAATTCAGGTCAGTACAAGGTTAAGTTTTTAGAATGGAGGCCCTTACAATTGCAGGTTATGATGATCTATGGAAATTCGATTCGATTCAAGTCGAATAGACAACAGCGGTCGTTTATTTAGTTAATAACATAAATTCAATACTAATTACTTGAATTTGTTATGCCCAATATGTGTAGAGTAATATTGTTGTGAAAACTTTTTATTAAAACGTAATATTTAATGTTGTTTAAATTAAAAAAGGATAATACGCAATAAGATTTGCTAATTTAATGATCATTAAACGACTCATTACGGAATGAATCGGAGTGTGTTTTTCTCTTAAAGACGTTGTTACACTTTCAATGTTTTTCTGGAAACTTTTAGTGCATCAGGAATAACAACTATAAGGCTGTTGAGAGGTAATATATAAATATTGAACAGTCCTATATAAAATGTTTCCATAAATATGATTTGACGTTTGCAATAATTTCTGAAAATGACAAAAAATGGGGTCTGATTAGGTACCAGTATTAGCTAAATTATTACATATTTTTATTACCAAATTAAAATGAATTCAGTTTTGATTTTTGTACTTAAATAAACTAGGTTTTCAGTTATAAAGCATAGTAAAGTTTCTTAAACAGTATGGAATGGCGCGTCTCGGTATCATAGCATTTGTGCAAAAAATAAATACGAAAAAAAATAAAATTACTAAATCAACTATCACTTACTACCCTAACTCAATACTATTAATTAAATTAATAAAATAATATGTTCTAGTATCAATATAGGTTAGTTACTCTATAAAATAAAGCTTAAATTTGTTTCAATTTATGCATGCAATTCACGTGGTAGAATACCTAAATCGCGTTAAAAATGTGACAGCGTCCTTAAATACAAGAACTGTTTTCTTTCGAACTGACCCGTATTCGGCGTGGACGAGTTGTATTACTGGGAAATCGGATACAGTTCGGGTATCAGGCGCGCGTTGCTGTTCGGCACCCGCGGAAGGACACCTCCGTAACCAGATTAAGTAATTATCGGGCCAATTAATTGGATAATCCACGGTGCTGACCGTGCAACGCCGACGTGATCCGGCGCACACTCGCCGACTACCGATGCCACAATCATTTACGTTCCTTGCGTTTGTGTGAACAATAACAGAACGCTGAGAATAATATCCACGTGGTTCAATAGCGTGATCCCACGATGGTGCCCAGTCGCATATCATCTCAAAAAACGAGCCAGTTGAAAAAAAAATGCTATTTCGCTCGAGTGGAGGGTGATTCGTGCATTTGGTGCGTCCAAATGCTCGCTCAAGCCGCTGGTTTCGTGGCGTGGGAGAGCGCTTCGCATTCGACCGCACCTGCGGATCATCCGCGCGATTGAAAAGGAAGGCTTCGGCGCGGGCGCTGCCTCATTGAAATGAAACATCCGCGGATCAGCGAGACGAAGGTACGTTCGTCTGGCGAAAAAGATTCAGTTCGCGTAAAAAACTTTGAAACACGTCAGCTTATTGAATCGTCATCGCCGCTTTTTTCGCGAGCATCCGTGCCCCGACTAACAACACATCATGGATGGCTATATACGTATAAGGGTGTGGCTGGATCGCTATCGGGTAGCTTTTTTGTTATAAGATATCATAAAAAATACATGCTTTTCTTATATTGCTGATTGAGTAATCCTTCTTCGAAAACCTTACAATTCAAATTACAAAGAAAATAGATGAAACTTTGCAAAATTGATGCAAAAACATATCAAGCATTCTTCTTATAATTAATTAATAAATAATAAAAACTCTACTTGAAATTAGTTAAATTAAGTAATATACAAGATACTAACAATATTTACTTAAATTTTGTTCAATGGTCCATCAGATTTTGATGCCGGCTCTAGTCAATCAGTTTCATTACAACAAATTTATACCAACGACTTAAATTCACACCGGAATAGCCTTAGCCTCTACTAATATTAACTTATATTTCTATAATAATTTATATTACATAACTAAATAGTTATTAATATTGTCTCCACTGATTCCGCTTTTAATTAAAAAATAATCAACGCTGCAACGTTTTCATAACGTCGAAATTTACTTTAAATATTAATAAGCATAAGTTTAAAGTTCTTTGAAGAAATAACGTATTTACTGATAAATCGCAGCTTTAAAGAATATTTTTACAGAAAATGACATTTATAATTTAGCATTTGTTTGAACCTGAATGGAAATTAATTTTAGTTGTCCTTCTAACAGAAGTAAAGTAAAAAAAAGTAATGTCACAGCCTATACATGTCCCACGGCTGGGCAAAGGCCTCCTCTATACAGAGGGTATCAGGGCATAGTCCACCACGCGGCCCCACTGCGGATTGGCGGACTTCACATATCTTCGAAATATATCTGCATATTTCGAAAATATGCAGATTTCCTCACGATGTTTTCCTTTACCGCGGAGCACGTTATAAGTCAGCACTTAAAGTTAAAAACTCCATTGGTGCCGGCATCGGGGATCGAACTCAGGTTGCTCGAACATGTTGAATTAAAAGCGAGCGTTCGGAGAGAATGAGCTATCACGGCTCACCAAATTCCATAAGAAATTTGGTTAAAATGCAAAAATGATCATTCATTGCCAATTGAAAACACACGAGTCCATTTTTTACCAAAGAAAAACAAAACCGATTTCAAATATCTCGCTCTGGAGACCAAGGTCCAATACCAATGAAATTAATATGTTACCACATGGAAAGCACTAGGTTTCAAATAAAAAAAGAATCATCAAAATCGGTTGACTCGGTCGAAAGTTCTGGTAACAAACTTTAAAGAAAATGCAGTCGAATTGAGAACCTCCTCTTTTTTGAAGTCGGTTGAAAAGCGGAAACTTCATAATTAAAATTGATAATATTCCACATTGGAGGCGGCCAGTTACTCACGGTAGGCGGCGCAGTAGTTCCTGGCGGCAGCGCGCACGCACGCCGAGAGCACCATCGCTTGGAGCGGCACCGAGCGGCGGCGGATCAAGAAACACTCGGACATCCGCAGCCGGCGGCGTGCGGAGCGCGACTGGCAAAGGCAGCCAGCCAGCCTCCTACCCCTCTCAACCCCGACTTCACTACCCCGCTCACCCCTCAGGTGGCGAATTAAAAATTCCAATTTTTTTGTTCGAATCCGTCTCTTTTTCCGCCCTTAGTGAATTTTTTTCGCGTTGCACGCCATTATTTCGATTACCTGAGATGTAGTTTTTTTTCGCTCTCGCCAAGCGTGATGTACGTTTAAAAGCTGTTTAATTTTTTTATAGTAGGAAAGGGGAGCGACGGGTTCGGCTAACCGATGCGCGAATTCCGATATCGGGTTCGATTGAAAAAAAAAGCTCGTTAGAAGCTGCTAGGAGCGTGTGCCTCGTCGCCTCTTCGCCTCATCGCCCCGTCCGCGTCGTCGAGGCCGTCGGTGGCTGCTCCGCGCGAAACGGAAAGTTTAAAAAACTCGCATTTATTATTGTCGCGACGCGTATTGTTGTCTGCCCAAACAAACCCTTACGAAATGTTTTAACAGATGTGTTACAAGCATGTATGTTTATACATGTTCCTATTGCTCTTAACGAAACTATAAGAACTGCCGCGCTACGAGGCGCCCTACCTAACTTTATGAAGGACTTAATAACATAAGACTATTGATATGGTCTAAGATAGAATTGTTACATCTTACCTATGTGAAATGCAATAGTCCATACGTTTGAGCCACGTACAATACTATGATTTAATTTGATCTGGGGCAGGAATCGATCCTGGCGCCGGCGTTGAGCGGCAGTCGGTCAACAATCCCAATGCTCGAGTGCGAAACTCCCAAGTGGCCGATGTAACCTTACGATTTCAATTGAAAGCGGTGGCCAAGAGCTGACCGGGTCCATGGATCTTTGTGATGCTAATGTGCGCAAACACGGGGCGAGGGAGGCAGGAGCGGGGTGGGCCCTGCTCCAGCCGCTTTGATGGTGCTCGCGCTCATGCATCGCAATCGGAATGCATTTGGGAAGCGCGGCTCCTGTTTGTTTAGGCGCCGAGCTATTGCTACTTTGAATAAGATATTCGCTCGCTTTGTTCTCGGGATCTGAACAAACTGCTTATGCACGAGGCGCCTCGACACGAGCTACGCTAGTCGAAGCAGGACCATGTCACAAGCTTAATAAAATATATATCCTGTGCATTTTATACATTTCATATTTTACGATGCGGTTGTAAAAGTGACATAAAAGTTGTAAAAGGGATGAAACATGTAGCCGCGTCTACATGACGGACGCGGCAGCCGGCTACGTAGCATCACCTACCAGTCCTGAAGTTTAAGTTTATAGGTGAATAAACGATCGAGTTTTTCTTTTAAATGCTAAGAGACTTTTAATACATGTCAAGCGAAGATATATCTAAATACGTATCATACAATTTTAAAGTCAATATATAGTTGAGAAGATAATGTTTGAATTATTTTTGTTCGTGAAATATGATATACATGCCAAGAGGTGAAATATGACTTTATTTTATCTATTAAGCATATTTCTCCAAAAAGAGTTTGTTTGAGAGTTTTCATAGCCCTTGCCTCACATACTACTATGGATGCTCGATGTACCGTTGACGTAATGCATTTGAAGCACTACTCGTACTACGTAAAAGTGCAGAGTATATGTAAGTATGTTTGAGTGGTCACATTTCAAATAATATTCAGATCAGTTCCTGTAGCAGAGTGAGGTGTGTGTTTCACCATGATTTTTTCCAGTGGTAGGACTCCTGACTTGTCCGGGGATATATCCCAGCCTCCCGTAAGACAGACGTGAAATAGATATAATAATTTTTTACCCATGAAATTTCCGCGGCAATTATGGCATATAAGTTCGGTCGTGGCACCAACGCGGCACAAATTTCACGTAACATTTCAACAACGTTTACGGACAGAACTTTACAAACGAACACAGAACTCGTTATTGGTTTGCCCGGTTCCGTTCTGGAAATTTTGACTTGATAAATGAACCTCGTGGTTGGTCGGACACTTTGGTCAACAGTAATGAATTAAAGGCGATTGCGGAAGCTAATGATACTCAATCTACAGCTTAGCTAGCAGCAGCTTATGATCTCGACATCAAAACAATATGACCAATATTGTTTTGATGTCGAGATTTGCGACAAATTGGCAAGGTAAAAAAAGCTTGATAGATAGGTGCCCCACGAACTTAACTGCAGCCAGCGCAACGTACGCGTCGAAACGACGAACGAAGTGAAGGAATTTTGAACCAAATTGTTACGTGCGACGAAAAAAAAAAGATTCTGTTCAACAATTGAAAGGGCTAAGCAAGTAAGTTAGATCCTGGTTCAGCAGCAAAGCAATGCCCTAAACGAAAAATTACCCCTAGAAAGGTGATGGTCTCTGTTTGATGGTCTTGTGCCGGCGTGATTCATCACAGCTTTTTACAAAACGTCATAAGCATTACTGCAAATATGTACTATGAAGACCTGAAGACAACGATCTGGTGTCTCAACAGTCAACAGTCTCCAAGCTGCAAGAGTTGGGGTTGCAGCTCTCCCTCATCCAGCATACACATCAGACCTTATACCTACCGAATATTACTTTTCCCAAAATTTGTACAATTTTTAGCGGGGAAAAAAGTTCAATTCCCGAGAGGCAGTGCACAATGCCTTAGAAAAGTTTTTTTGCCTTCTGTCCAGCTGATTTTTACAAGAAGGACATCAATAAACTACCATTGCGTTGGCTAAAATGCATCGATTGCATGGGTGATTACTTTGAATAGCAGAAATAAAAAGTGTGAAATTAAAAATAATTTAACTTGTTTTATACAAAACGGCAATTTTCTAAGTAAAGGGCTAATATTATATTTTTGCGTTTGTATGAGATAACCGTGGCCGTTATTATGCGAGTATAGGTAATTTTCGTACAAATACTGACACTAAGATATTCAGTAATTTTACATAGACGTACCTTGTCTACTCAATGTTTTCGTACCGAATATCAGACCAGAAAGCATGTCAGTCCAAGCATTATATAATACATAAACCCCTTTTAAGGAAATTTAAGCACGATCACAAAATTACTATTGGCGTTGAAAAAACGAAAATGTAGCAAGTTTAACGTCTACCTTTTATATATGAAAACTGGAATCTTTTTAATCTAAGAAGATTTCAATGTTTAATTTTATCCTGAAACGGATTAGTGAACGTTTGGATTTTAGATTTGCATACACTGTCTATATTCATTTTAAGCTATGACGATTGTGGGGCGATGGCTGTTGTAAAGGGTAATTGCAATAGAATCATTGAATTTGTTTGGGGCATATCGATCCGCTTAACGCTCGATCCCCGCGAGTGCAGTCCGAGCCGAGGGATGACGGATAGGCGGCTCGCAGCGGTCGGGATGCTGCGATGCCGATTCACTCAATCGATTGCACTGCGCCGCCATCTTGCATTAGCAATGTATTTGCATTTTCAATTCGACACGAGCAGGCGGCGTCGTTTCACGCCGTGTTAGGGAAGGGTTGCGCGTGCCGCCTAATCCCTTTAACTAGTATATATGCCCCCGAATCACGAACAATGCCCTCGTCCGCTAAACGATAAAAAGCGTATTAATAGTTTATGTAAGCTCAACCCGGTCGTATTCAATGGAACCGGTATAAATTTCTGCCGAAATCGAATATGAACTATTCTATGCCTTCAAATACGCCGAGATTTAATGATATATTAATGTTTGCAAACTTTTATTTATATTATCATTGACCTTAGGTCTTAACTTCAATTCTTCACCACCAACATTTTGAGTAATATACTACTTGTTCTTGCTATTATTCTCATAAACAAATGATATATTTAAATATGGTTAACGATGATAGCGTAGGTAGGTAATTAATTATTAAGTTTGGCTTTAGTGTATGTACTGATAGAGATGTCTTTAGTGTAGGTCTAATCCAGTTCCAGTGTGTAAACTAGTTATTATAAGGTGAAGGTTGTGTCTTAAACGGATTTGGACCCCCGTAGCACCATACTATACCATGCGGAGAAGAAATATAGCAGAACTTCACTAAACTACAAATTTACGAGTGGAAACTTTCAACTTAAAATCGATGGAGATCACTAGTTTTTTGATTGACTAAATCACGAGTTGAGGAAATAGCCACATTTAGTTATCCTTGTTTGAAATTAGTTAGTGCTAGATTAGGCCAAATGTTAGAATTCGATTATTACTATATGGTTTATACGAGCAAGTGACCTTTGAAGACGTAACAGTTTCTAATTTATGCTCTTCCTAACTCCTTATAAATGGATCCTGGAAAATACCCATGGTACTCAACGGGAAACACTTTTTATCATCCTCATTGTCCTGATTGGAAAAAAAATTATATCACGTCGATTTATCGTCTGTTCAAACAGATTTTGAATTTAACATTGAATTGGTCTTTATCCATTTGTATGACGTGAACATAGAAAACATTTTAGCTAGAAATCTCCACTTTTACACCAGCAGTATTGTTCTACCTCTAGAAAATACGAATCAATGGTAACTCATAGTATGACTTTTAATTTAATCGTAGGTCTATTGTTTCATTCTTATTTTCTCAAATATTGTGCTTCCTAACTAAATTTACGTTCGGCTACTACCTCCAGTTTAAGGGTTACCTACATTCATCTATTTTATTTGTAGAAACAATTTCGCCGTAGTCGATGTCACAATAATTACTCGTGGGTATATTTTTTTACTTATTATTTTTGCACAAATAGTTAATATTACAAAAATGTGTATAGAATAAATACAGTGTGGGTGCGGAGTGCCCAGAATTATACAATACAATAGTTTAAAATATTGACCGAAATAAATTCTTATAATAATAAAAAGTTTTAAAAAAAAAACACCTTCAAATTAATTAAGGGTTGTATCATTTTGCCATTTTTTTTTTCAAAAATTTCAGAGAGATGAATGATATATAATAAACCTATACTCTTGTTGCCTTCTCTAACCCTGTCAATACAAGCGGTTAATAGGTTTTATATACGTATGTACATAAGCATAGTTATGTTAATAGTGCGAAGGAATGAAAACGAATTGGGACTGTAGTAAGAAAATTTATTTTAGAAAGCAATAGTGCAGGATCTATGTTATTACTTGGAATGTTATAAAATGTAACTATGTATGTGTTGACTGTGCATGACGGTCTATGAGAGAAATTAAATTATGCTGCGAGAGTAAATGTGGATTGTGACATATGTATTTATAAAAAGTATTTTGTACTTTAAATTATAACAGGTGTTCAATATAACGCTAGCTTATCTGATATCTTAAATTCATCGAATATAGCTAAAATGGTTCCTGGGTTCCTTTGAAAGGTTGTGTTACTATAAATTGGAAAATAAAAAGATTGTCCTAATTTATCCCATTAACGGAATGCATTTTGATTCACGACTAATTCAATTAGGACTTTATTGTTTGTTGTTGTTATTTGTTTCATGCAGCTGGTTAAATTTATCACGAAATACTTTAAAAAGACTTCAAGATTTTTAGGCTAATATATGATACTCCAATCATTGTTCTCTTATAATATAGCGTTAGAAATTAGTTAAAATGTTAAATTCATATTATGTCCGTTTAGGATTCGTTCTTAGTTTACGTCGTAATTTGTTCGTTCTTAGTAATAAGTAGCAAGTTGTAGGCTATATACGATGAAATCCATGCGTCACACAATATTTATTTTATCTTTGTCGACATTGTCTTAACGGTTATTTCATTAACATTCGCATCGGGACTGCGAATACTTGTTTCTGCGAGAGGAGAGCTCATTACGGCTCGGGGGTGCGGGTGAGGGAGCGATGGCGGCAGCGGCCGGGGAGGGCCGGGGGGGGGGGATGGAGCGCGGGGAGGAGGGGGGTTCGGCTAATCAATATTAGCCACTGCAGCTGCAGACTGTGCAGTGCTACTCGCTCGCATTCCAGGCACCGGCACATGCTAATAATGTATAATCAACAATGCTGTTTTGTTCAAATAAATACGCACAATCTTCAAATCGGGAGAAGAATGAAATATAAGCGTAAGAGCTTTAATTGCACTCGTAAATTGTTTTTGTAAAGCTGTAAAACCAAAGCGCTTATATAGAGCAAAGGGTTGGAACGGATTGAAATTTTTATAGGTAGGGGAACGGAGGGTATGTGCCAAGCGCGGTTCATGTAAATAGCATGTAGATGATATGTAGATGATATGTAGATGCGGCGGCATGGGATTGGGCGGGAAGCGCGGGGGGCGGGCGGTCGGCGCGGCGCGGAAGGGTTGCCGAATTCGTGTCGCCGCCGAGATTGTCACATGGTGGCTCTAATTTCAAAACGCGATGATAAATGGCGCGCACGTGGCGCACCCTTTAATTACCGACAGCCCCCATGGAGGAGCGCGTGGTATGTAGAGTTCGGCGGTTCCCTTTCAGCGACGGTATTAATTCCGTCCTGTGTTTGATCAGCGGAGCTGGCCCGGGGCGGCGTAGTTTGCTCATGAATTTATGAAGGTAGGTAGAGCAGGAGGCGAGCGACGCGTACAAGGCGACGCTGCGAGGCAGCAGCGCACCGGCAGGCAAACAGGCCGGACCCGCTCGGCCGCCGTTTGTTTGTCCGGAGCACACGGCGCGCAAATCCAATTCTTGCCCAAAAGTCCCGCGCAGCTCGTGCGCGATGCAAACAATAAGCGTGCCCCATGCCCGATTCTTTTCCGGCCCACTATTATGAATTTACCTCGCGTAGATTTTGTTAAAAAAACATCGTACTTGATTTATTTGTATTCTTCTCCTCATCATTGGAATCTTTCAGAGAAAAATACAAGACAGAGGACTTTGTTCTTCAGCCAGTAGAATACACTGTACTCCGACGCATCAGTCCGGCTTGTTCCGTAAATCTTTTACTATACAGGCAATTTATACTACTCTGGAACTCCTTGCCTCAGTTCATCACAAACGCACTAAGGTATCATTTAAGAGAATGTTGCCATGTCACTATGCCAATATTGCCGATTGTTAGTCACCAACTTTATACTTCGTATATATATATTATGTTTGTGTTAAGTATATTTCTATGAGAGGTACCTTTACCTTTTTGTTTTCTTTTATTTATTTATTTTTTATGTATTTCGCGTAAAATTTTCTTTACTCCCAGGGTCGATTGGAAGAGAATGCTTATTATCATAAGTTTGCCTTTTTTTAAGGGTTAACTTGTCTCTTGCGCCAAAGGGATTTAATCCGAGTAACTCGGACATTTTGAGAAATGAACATAGGGTTTTCTAGTGTCTGGATATTTAACTTAAAACAAAAGTATGTGCAATCATGTGTATCAGTTAATTAGTACCCATAGTACAAGCTTTGCTTAAATTGTGATTACAAAACGTTGTGTACAATCAAACCGAGGTAACCGAATGGTAAATAATTTTCAAGTCAATGTTGAGGCCTGATTTGCGAGTAGGGCACCCGTAGCCCGCACGCGCCGCCTTTACACAATAAATTACTTAACCGATCCTGATGTACGATAGATATTTTTAATGGCGCTAACGGGTGCCATATTTATCGATTTAAAACATCGAATCAGAAATATCGTATCTCATGCGACCCCGATGCACATCACATTGACAAACACGTGGCGGCGATGACTCGATGAGGGCGATTGCTTCGCTAATAGATCGTCATTTCTAATTATTTTAAATTACGTGAAAAGACTCATGGTCGAGGTGCCTTTATTTAATCATTGTCTCTCATCATAACGTCAAGGTAAGGGATATTCCGAATGGCCATTAAAGTAAAACCCAACACAGGAAGGTGTGGTATCAAAGGACTACAACGTGAGCGCCCAGATATATAAATAAAATGATTATTATTTGTTTAGTATAGTATAGATAAAATGTATTTAACCAGAAATTTAACAACTAATTATATCAATAAATATTGATGGAATCACCAAACACCATTTGGTTAAATTATTGATATGCATTATCAGTCATGTCAATAACTGTTATAATGGTATCAAACTTTGGTACTAAAAGCTTGAAAGGATATTTCCAAATCCTTCGCAACAACAGAATATGGCAAAAAAAGCAGCTGTTCGGTGCCTTGGCTGGATAATTCATTTTGATTTGGAATGTAACTAATAATATACAACTCTCTGTGTATGTTTTTTGAATGTTTAAAGAATTTAAATCTGTAAATTTTCCTACGTATTAATCGGTTTTAAATTACCAAGTAAAAACTATTTCAACGGATTTATCGCATTTATTTTTAATTTTAGTTCGCGACTTTTCGAACCCTTTTCCGTGTCCATGGTCAGTTTTTAAATTGCTTATATTTTAACATTTAGTACTTATTTTTAAGCAAATTTTATGTTCTACATTATTATATTATATTCATTTATATGGTCTATAGTAAACTGCTTTAGAAATGTGACAAGAAAATGCTTAACGGTGGTAGGGCCACGCAGCAGCCTCGGCTGTTGCACGAATGGGCAGGCTCGTGCGGGTAAGTACCACGACCTCATAGAAGACCGGCGTAAAGTGGAAGTATAATACTTTCGCGTTTCGTCGGGAGAGTGCGGTGGCCGGAGCCCGATTTCCAAAAGGTTGTCAACACATCTGGAACCCTCGAGTGTAGCAGATGTCCATGGGCGGCGGTATTTACTTAACATTAGGTGAAACGTCTGCTCGTTTGGCAACTTTTCACATAAAAAAAAATGTACAAATGTATAAATCTTGTTTACTAATAATAAACTGGAGTTGGCTTACTTAAATAACCTTAATTTTTTTAAAATATGTTAAGCATTGAATTTTAAAGCATGATTGTCTGTATAAGGTAGTGTCACAGCCGAATTTAAGAATATTCTTATAATTTTAACACAACATCGTAGGTACAAAATTGTAGAAGTCGGGAAAATTAATGTAAGTACAAATTTAGTCATTGTGCCGCATTTCTTTCCGTTTGAGGTGTTTGTTTCACAAAGCTATGTCGTGATATGATACAGAATGCATCTTACACCTTTAAGGCAGGATAATGTTTTCAAGCTTCTGGACTAGAAAAAATATGTTATTAACATCGAATACATCACCCACGTTCGATTCACCGATGGTATAATCATCATAACAGAATCCCTGGAGGACCTTGGTGTTACCTAATAAGTAAAATAGTTATTTAGGAATCGACATTGTGATTAGTAACATTAAATGTCGTTTCTTAACTTACAGAGAAACTCAATTATCTTTTAATTGCTGTGTATTATATACATATATGCAACGATATTATTTACAAAGATATAACACAGGCGCACCAAAATTGAGGCACTCAAATGACACCAATTGGTGTAGTTAGATTGCAATTCTATAGACTGCTATCTCTTTTCATATCATACGTTATATTTTTAGTTCTACGTTTCATCTGTAATATTAACTTATATATGTCATTTAATAAAATGCGGAACAATTTTTCATGCGTCATCTATATTATTAAACATAATTGCATAAATTCAAATACAATTCAAGGTTCAAATATCTTTCAATACAGAAGCATTGCACTTACTTTTTGATTGTGAAAATTCTACTACTACTGGTTCGGAAAAGAAAAGCCCGTGAAGAACAAGCGAATGAAAACAGGGAAGAACAGCAGGGACAATTTTTTTCCAATATTTGACAGTGAAAACATTATAGTCCACTTGAAAGAGCCTGGAGCGATCAATTCATGTCCAGATTGTGTTATCTTTTAAATTATAACTAATATTATAATAGCTTTTAACACACAACCGTTCCTTTACCATTTTTTTTTAATTTATCAATTGATACATTTTCAATGTTTTTTTAGGGTTTTGTTGTTTTTGTCTAGCGTGTTTATATCATGTACATTACTATGTCTTGAAAATTCATCCTTATTTTATCCGACTTCAAAAAGAAGGAGGTTATCAATTCAGATGTTTATATTTTTTTTCGTCTAATTGTCGGACAGTAGGATAAATTCGAACCACAACTCCATCGACAAAATCTTCTATCAACAGTACTTTGTCAAATCTTTTTAAATAAACTTATAGCTATATAAGCGAATTAAACTAAGTCAATTGTCATTTTCTTGATTTTCGTCATTTAACCTACGTAACATTAATATACGATAGCGATACGATTTTTAACAATCTTGCTTTAGGCACTTTCTTTCTTATTTGCTTTTAATAGTTTTCATTTTTAGTCCCTGTTTCAGTTTGATGCTGTTTTCTCGTACGGGCAGCGTCTTTCCTAGGTCTACCCATATTTTATTATACCTAAGTATTAAAATTAAGTCAATAAAAATAAAAATTAATTAAAACACTTTTTACCAAAAAAAATTAACTGACTTAAAAAAACTCTAAAAGCACTAAAAAGTTTATAACAATTCTAAATCTAATATAACAAAATCTTGAAAAATTAACCAACTCCTAAGTAACCTAACCTACCTAATCTCTAACATAATTTAACAATTTTTGGAGTCGGTGCCTATGTTGTACCATACTACCTAGCAAAAAATACAAAGAAACTAAGCAACAATTAATACTGCAGTTATCTAATAAATAGGTTAAAAGATAGTTATATGTATTTAATTATATATGTAATCCACCTAAATTATGTAACAAAGTTAAGAGAATGATTTTATGCTCTCAACAAAGATACTCGGCTTGGCACCGTCACAACAAACTGTGAGTTCATCCCAGTTGTAGACAGAAAATGTGACTCCACTTTTGATGTATTAGTTTTTTGTGTTTAAATAATAACATTAGCCTTTATGTGGAAGTAGCCCAACAAGAAAAAACTGGAAGAGGAAATAGAACCAACCAAAAGCTTTGTACATTTAGACCTTTTGGTCTACAAAAACTATTTCCGGTAACTTTTAGAAAATCATATGCTACATATGCTACATAAAATCATATTACTTGCCTTATTTCATTCATCCACTTAGATAATTAAAACAGTGTTTTAACACTAGGGTTTGAACTCTTTGAATTGATCATACGACATGATTCTGATCAATTCTAAGAGTTTAACCATGCTTTTTATAACTCAAATGAAATTGGACAAGCCATTTGACAGTTGATTAGTTAATTTCTAAAATGATCAATGTTTCAGAAAGCGGGCGTAAATTTCTAAGCCATCATGTCAAACCATTGACAAAAGATTATCCGACATACATATACATACATATTTTTAACTCTAGAAACTTTCAATATCTGCCGTAATAGCTCCGTATCTGGGCCGGGGCGCTTTTAATTACTAATATACTGTAGCGACTTAATTTCCCGGCACCAATGAAATTGTTAATTGAAATTTTAAGTGCCGATTTATCATGTGTTTAGCGGCGAAGGAAAAATGTGATAGGGCGATTCAACAGTGTTCGCTGTTGCACGAATGGGCAGGTCCGCCCTGGTTAGTAGCACGACCTCACAGAAGACCGGCTTCAAGTAGAAGTGTTACACTTCTGCGTTTCGTCTGGCGAGTGAGGTAGCAGGGGCCCACTTTATTAAAAGGTGGCAACGCATCTGCAACCCTACTGGTTTGCAAATGTCCACGGGCGGCGGTTATCACTTAACACCAGGTGAAACACCAGCTCGTTTGACACTTTGTCACATAAAACAACGTGAAGAAACCTACATTTTTTCGGAATAGTAATAAAAGGAATATAATTTTTATATTGTGAAGTCGTCAAAAAAGATTTTGATACAACATCTACAATACGTTGTCAAACAGATTTTGCGTCATGAACGGAGCTTCGCAAAGAAGGAGCTGAGAGACGAGATAACGTCATGAGTCGGCAACAAGTTGTGAAGCGTTCCGTGTTGAGAAAGGGAAACGGACGAGGGATGCGCAGCCGCCACACACATGCACACGCACGCACGCTCACACACACACGTTTTATTAGAATTATTGATACAAAGTTGCAGCGGTATCTGACTCCATATTCCAAAAATGTATTCGTTGCACTTAAAGTAAGTGCTAATGCATTACATTTTAAACGCTGGGAAATTTTATTTTTATTAATCTTCACACTTCTTCATTTTTACGAAAAATTCGTACTAATTTTTTTACTACTATTTATACTATTTTATACCATTCATACTAAGTTTTTTTGATGTATGTTTAATTTATTCTAGGTAGAAAATTTGAAGTAACCATTTATTTATTTATTACACACGCACAAACCTATAATTTCAGACTAAAAAAAGTAAGAATGTAATAAATACGACATACTTATTATTTAAAAAAAATGTCCCGCTGAGTTTCTTACGCCGGTTCTTCTCAGGTCAGTGGCTTTCCTTTCGAACCGGTGGTAGAGTTTTTTGATTATCAATAATTAAGTGAATGCTTCTATATTGAATAAAGATAAAAAAAACATGTAACAGATTACAAAATGGTATAATAATAATTTCCTAATAATAATCTGATACTTTCTATGAATTCACAGTTGTAACCGGTTTAGTCAATGAAATCCTTATGTACTTTATGGCGATGCATAAATCGAGAAGGAAACTACTAGGGGAGGTCAAAAAGTTCGCGGAATAAGGGGGTGAAATTAAATATCAAATTACCTTTTCAATAGAAGAAGAAGAAGAAACGTTTATTAGGTACCTATATTCTCGAAATAATTTATATATCCCATCGAAAAAACAAATATTTGTCTTTGGTGTCATCGCCGTTAAATTTTTGTACTCGGAGCTCTTTCTTCAATTTTAGAAATAAATTATAATCACCGAGCACTATGATTTATTTCCAAAATTGTCTGAACAAATTACAGGGTGGGTGTTGCAATTGTCCGAAGCCACATCGATGAGTAGCAGCAGTCGCAATTCGACTGAAGTACGCGGGTTCTTATTCGTGTCAAAGACGCACGCCTTTTTCCAATTTTCCTCTCTTTTTTCCTTGATAGACTCTTTTAAGCCTTCTAATAAGGAAGCTTAGTATTGGTCCGTTATAGTGTCACCTCGTTCCTTAAAATCAATCAGTAAGATACATTCCGAATTCCAAAAGATTCTGGCCAAGATTTTCCCTGGAGATTACGACAGCCTGTTCTTTTTGGGCGGACGGGTGCCTTTTTTAAGCGATTTCATATTGGTCAACCCAAGTTTCATCTCCAGTAACGATCCGGACCATAACTTCTTCTTTATTCTCTCCGCAGAGCTCTAAAAGCTGGCGAAGGCACTCAACGCGCGCGCATTTCTGAAGCGGCGTAAGCACTCTCGAAACCCATCTAGCACCTTAGTCATCTCAGGATGTAGTACGGTTAAAGTTTCAGTTTCAGATACTCCAGCCATTGCAGCTAGCTGCTTCTTTGAATAGGGCATCCTCCATTACAAGTTTTTCAACTTTATCGATGCTTTCTGGTGTGTTGGCATTAATTGGCCGTCCGGAGTCGATGGTCATCTTCAATGGAGACCCTGCCTTGCTTGAAAAGCCCATGCCACGTGTAAACCATGGTTTTCCTAGGGGCAGACTCCCTAAATGCTAACACATCTTGGAAAATGAAATGAACCTAATGACGGAACCGCGCCGTCATAGTGGCTGATTTCTTCCCGATTGACTTGTTCATTGGTCGATAACTCAAACTACTGATTCATAAAAAACATAGGCGATCTTTGTCAGTTTTGATAGTATACCCCTTGATTCTACATTCTAGTCAAATAAAATCAAAAACAAAACAAGGCACACTTTAAACAGCTGTTCGTGTTATAACAATTTGCATGTTTATGTCACCATACACGTTCAAAGTGACTTGAGTTTAGGAAACAAGACGAGCTATCGAACGAATAATTATTATATTGTGCCTTTCTCGATCAAGTAAATAAATGAAGTCGCAGCTCAGTGATGACTCATAGTCAAGTAGTCAAATGAGTACAATGCAATTCGCGTGCCTATCGCGCAACCGTTAGCGGACTGTACATACGCGTTATGTACGTAGCAAGGCATATCAAATCGCTATTGATCGTTGGCGAAAGTCGAGCGAGCAGATGTCGCGGCACGCGCGCTGCTCATGTGCCGCTCGACAATGTACTCCTTTGACAATCGAAAATAAAAGTGCACATGTATACGTAGAATCACGCGCACATACGCACACATGCGAACGGACACGCACACAACACGTTTGGCGCGCACGTGTGCAAGGGTTGCGCGCATTGTGCCTCGATTCACCCTTCCGCTCGCGAGCTGAGATTTTTTACGTCGCGTGACGCGATGCTGCGGCGCGGAGCGGTGCGGGCTCGCGGGCGGCGCGGGGCGGGGGGGCAGTCGGCGCGGGGCGGGGCTCGTTTGCATACGGACGACTCCCGCCGCTGCCCGCCTCGCGGAATCGCTAAGCGGTCCCACTCATGGCACGATCTGCGGTACTTTGCGCTCACGATGCCGCCACCGGGTTGCTGGACACCAGGCGCAATGTCAATACTCATAATTTAGCTTACCCCCAATGAGCCAACATCGCGTTGTCATTTCGACTTACTTTTCGAAGGTTAGCCGTTCGAAGATTCTTATTTCTAGAAGCAATTTTTTTATTCACTCTATTTCAGACTGTTCCCTGCGAGATATCTCCCACATAAGCGTACTCTGCATACCACGACAAAAAATCATATTTTCTTATACTAGTATTATTTTAAGTTGCCCGATAAAATCGAAAAAAACCAGACGTAGAGTTACTCATATATACAGCGCCTTGATAATAATTTTCGTGGTGTGGAATTTTAAGTTAATCAAAAATGCGTCTGTTATTATACGTTAATACCTATTTGATTTGCCAAAATAACGGTTAACAGAATTTATTAACATGGCGGCATTTAGGATATGGCGGATTTCAAAACGCGGCGTCTCCTCTGAGCAGTGCAGGTGGCAGCTAATGGTATTTCTGGTAGGTACGAATCAAAGTCATAATTTGTGTGTCAGTACGGCTTGCAGCTGATTCCCCCGTTTTTTAGCAAAAACCGTTATTTTAGGCATAAATCTCACCCTTCCGAGTTTGAAATTTCAATATCCCCATCGAACAAAGCTTTGGCATCGCATTTTTTACGCCCGACAATTTTTTAAAAATGTGGGGTAATGCATTTTTTATTGCTGAAATCACGAGCTTTTAGCGGAGACGCGGTCGTTATTCCTTCCCACGGCCGGGAAATGGGTCATGCATTGTTCCGCTCCTTCGTTTTTACGTTAAAAAAGACATTTCGGCGGAGACGGGCGCGGACCTGTCGCCCCCCCGCGCCGCGGCCCCCTGACACACTTTTTTTACGTTCAAAACGTTCAATTTACGCAGCTTGCGCGCCAAATTTTCTCAGGAGTTGTCGATTTTTTCTGGATACATGCAGTCGTGGCTTGTAATACAGGAGGCGAGCGATGTCGCGGAGCAAGGGTTGTTTGGGCGCCGTCAGCTGCCGCTGGCTGCTGTGTTCCAGCCCCGGGCGGGAGGGGGCTTGGCGGCTTGGAGCAATGAAATGATTGAGTAAACAAAGCGTCTGGGGGGGCGGAGGGCCGGCGGAGGGGGAGGCGAGGACGAGGGCCGAGATTACCTCCGTTTTAACGCGTGAGAGATTTCAAAGGCGGCCACTTCACAAATAATCCATCAGCATCGGGGGCGGCCACTCGGCCACTAGGGGCGCAAACTCGATTCCGTCTTAGATTGGAGTGCATATTCGGCTAACGAGGTTTGCGTGCGGAGTGGGTCCCTCCGTCGCGGACACAATATGCCCGCGCACTCACCTGACCACTGCCCTCGGGCTTTGTGTACGAGTACATCGCGCCCAGCCCATACGCCCATACCATACGGTCTCGGCACCTTTAGGAGCACAATTGCCAAACTACAATGGCTGAACATTAAAACGCGAGGCAGCAACGCTCGCAGGCGCAGTATTTTACTTTTATTAATACGTGGTTAGTGTATTTATAAAACTAAACAGTGACATCATAGAATAAAGGACATGTATTGGTCATGTACAGATCTTCGAATCTCTCATTTTATATTTCAATGAGGTTACGTCTTCTGGAACAGAAAGCTGTGTTCTGCTGATCTGAGCGGATCACCACTCAAACTCAATGGCGGCAACGCACTGGCGGTAAATGTGTTGCGCCGCATCATCTTAGATTTATGCTAATCTTAACGTGTCACTGCCTCGCGTTCTCGTCCGGTGCACGGATTAGCACGTGTCACATTAGGATTTTGACAAGCAGGGTCGAACGTCGATTACACTAATAGCTGCTATCAAATCCCTTTGGAACACTTTTGCTTAGTACTACTAACTGTTCATTATAAAACCCGTTTGGCTTACGTGACCTGAGGATTGCAAATTTTAATAATAACACATAAAAATTGTATTAATCATAGGGCTCACATGGATCGTATCCGAAGTAAAAACTGTTAGAGTTATGCGCGTGTGCAGTTATGTTGACGCGAGCAGGGGCCTGTGGCGGATGAGGGGGGGGGGGGGGGGGGGGGGGGGGGGATTACGCAGGTGTGCGCCGCACGGCCACTAATTCAGACCGCTTATGAATTATGATATCGAACCATTTATGAAACAATGCGACAAATGATATCGCATTTCCGAAACGGAGCAAAGACGCGTCTGCGTCTGCCTTTGTGCGGAGGCGGCACAACTGTACTTTTGGTCGCTGTCGTATCGGAACCCTTTAATTGATATTCATTACTTGTCTTTGTGTGGTTTGTAAATCTAGCCTAGGCTAATAATCGGCTGTTGCACGAATGGGCAGGCCCGTCCGGGTAAGCACCACGACCTCACAGAAGACCAGCGTAAAGTGGAAGTATGACAAATACTTTCGCGTTTCGTCTGATTAGTGAGGTAGCCGGAGCCCAATCTGCAAAAAGTTTGTCAACGCATCTGCATACCCAGCCGTAGCAGAAGTGTAGCCATGGGCGGCGGTATTCACTTAACATCAGGTGAACCGTCTGCTCGTATGGCAACTTTTCACGTATTTTGATATTTTCGTTGTCATCCTATGTCTATGCTACAGGAATGCAAAAATATAAATACTTGAACTTACTGTACAGATAATAATGCCATGAAATAAATGGTTTGGCATAGTACATAGTAATAGTAAAATTGTTTAATTTATTACTGATAATAGATTATATCCGAACGTGGCTTCAATAAGAAATACGTGCTGTGCTGTTGTAGCTGATTTATCTTGATCTTCTGTTATAGCTGATTTAAAAATAAACTAAAATTATGTGTTATCCAAATGTCTTTTAATACTGTAAGTAAATTATAGTAGAAGGCCGTGCTAGCTTAGTGTCGGTGCGCTGGCTTTTAATTCATTATATTCGACTCAATCTGAGAATTCCGTTTAAGAGCGGCATCAATGAAATCGTTAATTACAATTTTAATTATCTCCTTACTTATCACGTACTCAGCGGTGAATTAAAACATCGTGAGGAACCTTCATAATTTATAAATAAAACTGTAGCACTCAGCGACTGCCGCGGTAAAGCTATTGCATAGCATTTTTTTTATCAACTTATGCAATTATAATTATTTATTTATTTTTTATTTGTGCAGTATGTTTTTTTTCTTTGACATTAATTCAAATTACACATTTTATACATTTGATAAGAAAACATTTTTTTTTTCTTTTATTGAATAAATGAGAAGTATCAAATATCGTTTAAAATATTTTTATTATCTTACAATACATGTAGGTTATTCAGGAATTTTTATCATTGAAACTATAGGTTTATGGTAACTGAAATAAGAAACATAAGTTTGAGACTTAATTTCATATCATGATATGATAATATAATATTATAATATCCATCCGGCGGGAGGGGAATTTCTGAATTCGGTCGCCGCGCTCAAAGTCCGCGATAGCCACGTGGCCCTCTGCAGAGAGGAATTCTTTGCCACAAAGTGAATACTGAATAATGACTAATAATCAACAACACAGGGCGCTTCGTGTCCAAAGTTCGAATTAAATTAAGAGTGCATTCTATTATTGCAATTTTTGCCAACAGGTTACAACATGACATAATTTATCAAAATAAAATTACAATAATGACAAACCAGCCAATACCAGAAAAAACAGTGAATTTCTATAAGAAATTTTATGAGAACATACTTGAAAATCGCATACACTCGGATGCATAATTGTACAGAATTGGAAATATACAATTACTATTTTTAAAACGCTTTCTGATTCGCAAGAAAGTGAGATTTTAAATAATGGATAGAGACTTCAAGACGCGAAGACAGGTTTTGTGTTAGTACGGCTAAGAGGGCCCTTTATAAGTATAAATGAGAATGTAACGCATGTATTCTCACACACGATTCCATAACGGTTTTTTTTAATGTGAGAATGTGGCAAGCGTGCCGACGCTTCACCTGATGTTAAACAATAACCGCCGCCCCTTGTCATTTGCAACACCAGTCGGATGCGTTGCCACCTTTGACCAAAGCGGGCACGGCCATCTCGCTCGCCAGACGTTACGAAGAAGTATAATACTTCCACCTTAGGAAGGATCTGCCCATTCGTGCAACAGAGAAGACTGCCTACCGCACACAAGTCAAAAGCAACTGGTTGAAACAAAACTTTTTAGAAGTTGTGTTAGTTGGTAAAATTAATGCCAATTCTTATCAAACTGGCAATTCAGATAAAAACCTCTAGCCTCTAGCTTGTCATTCTAATAAATTTTTACTAATAATAAAATTAAAGGGCCCCTTTAAAATGGCGGAAAAAAATGGCGAAATCTAAGTGATTGCTAGTATTCGTTACAGTACTAAATACTTTAAAATGTTATCTTTTGTTTTGTGGGTAATTAAAGGTTTTGGAATTTTATTTCGTTTATTTCGTTATTACATATTTATTTCGTTTTTATTTAGTTGTCCAGTGTCATTTATCTACAAAAAATTACAATTAAAAATTTCATGTTGAGTGTAGAGACTAGCACTAAAATGAAAATTAATGTTATAAAATAAAACATATTATATATACTACACATATCTTCTGTTTTATTAGATGCTGGGTGTTTGTAAAGTTTATGCCTACTGTCGGTTACTTGACATTCACATTTCAAAAGTGCGCGTATAATTATGCCAGTGGGTATGCGCGAATAATGGGTTGGCGATTTGGCGCAGACCACGGTGACGCGGCGGCGATGCGGCGGCGGCACGGCATCGGCACGGAGACGCGGCAGAGCGGAACGCGAGGTCGCTTCGCAGTGACAACAATATGGCAATTAATGCGCCGTCGCCGCGATGGTATCGTTCGTAAATTGAGCTCATTTCCATAATGAGCCCGCGCTATAGTGGCCCTTATGCCCATGTCGCAAGGGCCACATTGCGCCGGCACTTGCGCAGCGTGCGTGCAGCCAGCCCCGGCGGCCGTCGCGCTCTCACCCGACCACACCAACCGATCCGGTGGCCACTCTTCTTATCGTCTCGACGTTCGTGCCTAACCATAAAATGCCAAATTCAATGTTTACTAACGCTGAGGTCAACGAAAATTATTAAGAAACCATAAGCACTGTCACACTATGACTGCGGACTCGAATCACTAGAAACCGTGGTCCCATTAGAAATGGAATAGAGGCACTCAGAATCACTAATGACTCCACTTATCCCCGAGGAAACATCATATTATATGGAAATAGAGCAGAAACTTCCAAATAGGAGATATTTAATGAGATTTGTGGTTTAAATTTATAATACGCGCGCACGCGACGCGAGGCGCGACCGACGGTGCGGGCCGAGTTGAGAGCGCAAGATAAGGCGCCGCCCGAGATTCGTATCTGGATGGTGTTGTTTTCGATACGGCGTCGCCTATCAACGGCCGTTCTGTGTAAATACAGAGAGCGGCAGCAACCGGCGAGGAGTGAGGCGGCGGCAGGTGGCGACGTGGCGACGTGGCCACGTGGCGTACGCGCAAACGGACTCAACGAGATAAGCGGCCCTGGAGCGCTAAAACCTTTCGAATGTTGCCAATCCCTCAGCGTTGATCAGATTTTTTCGATTAGAATCAAATTGTTGTAGGCAGTAGTTTTTGGTGAGCGGTTTCATGGAGCGTAGGCCATAACGGTAACCTTGACTCTACTAAACGAGTATTTTGTATACATATTATCCTATTGTTAGAAACTGATCAAGTTTCGAAGACGTCGAGATCGGTATGAGGGCCGGCAGAGACGTGTCCGTCCGCGTGGGGCTCAGAGCAGTGAGCAATCGATCCGCGGTCCTCGAGAGCCGGCGGGCGGCGGTCACGAGCGCCGCGGCGAGGGGCGGCACGAACCCGCACCCGCCGAGATTTCCATACCAGATAATTAATATCGCTTTATTAGCGCTGCCTACGTCGATCCGTGAAGATACGCTCGTACACGCTTTGTGGGTGCCGCTGAGCCAACATTGTGGATGCAACGGCTCAAAAGCCCTCGGTTATCGGCTGCGTGTAAGTACTAACGAATATCATGCTTTAATTATAATTATCGACGAGTATTATAAACAACCTACTTTCTTCCATTTAACTAACTTAACGTGAACTCTGTTACGTGAATACCAATAAACGAATAGTACGGAAAATGTTCTTAAAATCAAAATCAAAAATATATTTATTTACATAGACGCTTGCGCGTTATTATGAAACGTCAATTTTACATAAAAATTTATATGTTCGTAAGTAAGCTACCACCGTTTCGGAAAGCAGTTTCTGTTGAGAAGAAACCGGCAAGAAACTCAACAGTTGCTCTTTTTTAAAACGATTAGTTTACAATATAATAGGGCAGGTATGAGTCTTATTTTAGCCTGCGTGAGTATCAACAGTATTAACCCCACATATTGGCGTCGTCAAGATATTCCGCAATGGTATAATACGCCTTAGCCATAAGTTCACTTTTAATTTTGCGTTTAAATTGATCTAGTGGCAGACTTAATATCGACTGTGGGTTATTATATATGCGCACACTTTGCCCCATGAACGATCTATTTACTTTTTGTAGACGAAACAATGGCGTAATTAATTTGTCCTTATTTCTAGTATTTAATTTATGTCTATCACTATTCTTTAGGTAACAATTGAGATTATTTCTAACATACAAAATATTACAATAAATATGCATATATGGACGCAACAGTGAGTACATTAATCTCTTTAAATATTAAAAATTCTTGTTATCATATCTTAATCATTGTGGAAAATTAGTTTTAATTTTTTTTATAAACATTGCTCTTACTTTAGGATAACATTATCATGTGTTGTAAGGACGTTTTACAAACAAATTTCACGTGGACAAATACCCAGATGCAAGACAACTATCTGTGGGTCACACAAATAGTTGTCCCGTGTGGGAATCGAACCCACGACCCACGAACGAAAAATAGGTTTATTCAAAATAATGACAAATAATATTCAAACTAACTGTGATAGGGCCACGCAACAGTTTCGGCTGTTGCACGAATGGGCAGGTCCGTCCGGGTAAGCTATCAATTATCTCACGGAACACCAGCGTGAAGTGGAAGTGTCCTACTTCTGCGATTCGTCTGGTGATTGAGGTAGCCGGGGCCAACTTTATTAAAAGGTGGCAACGCATCCGCAACCCTACGTATGTTGCAAATGTCCATGGACTCCGGTTACCACTTAACATCAGGTGAACCGAAAGCTCGCTCAAAGCATAAAGCAAAATTATGCTATACTGAGCAGGTGTCATGGTAAGCATGTTAAATAACAAAGAAACTGATTTGATGATTAGTGACCACGCTCAATCACGCTAATCTAATTCAATATATCCTACATATTATCTTATTTTCAAAGGGTATAAAAAGTACCCTATCATAAAATACGTTGTAAGAACCCTTGACTAGACTGCTTTTCATATAAGCAATGATTGGTGCCCATCGACCCACATACTTTAATACCGAACTTATGTTAAAAGCTCTATGGCAGATCGTTTGTGTACAAATAAACGCAGATGCTCCGTTTGCCGCCGCGAGAGCCCAGCCAGGGCATCGAACAGCCGAAAGTATTGATTTTGTAAGTACTTATAGTTGGGAGTGAGGCATTAAGGTGAGCGCGCGGCGGCGGCGCTAGACAAAGCGCGCATTGTCCGCGTCTTCGCTTTAATTTGTTATCTTAATTTATTAATCGGCGCGGGGTCGTCGCCCCTTCGAGCTTGCAACATTTGTTTGTTACAAAACTGTGCGCTTACGAAAAACCACGGAGGGCAAACGGGCCGTTAACATACAAATCAATTGAATTGCAGAATGCTCTATGTCTGGTTACGGAATCATTTATTTTTGCTTCTTTTTTAACGTTATTTGAATGTCACCATGACTTATGCGTTTTATGTTTAATGTTAAATAAGATAAAAAATGTCAGACTTGGGTATTATATTCATGAACCGACTTCCGGACCGGCTACAACGGTTCGACAATATAGCTAATTGTCTATATAATGTCTAATAGAAGAAGACGGAGGGGACAAAAGGGTAATTTCAATAACAAGATCTAGGCGTATGAAGTCGCGGCTTTAGGCTACTATTAAATATGATCACATCATTTTTTTAAATATGCCATAAAATGTGCTACAATGCTAAGAAAATTTTACACCACCTTGAACGGGATTCATTCATAACTAATAAGAACTGGTTATCAACGTGGTCCTATAAGAAAAATCGTCCGATTAGATCCAGTAAGCTGTTGATTGAGCCAGGGCCAGCGGAAAGGACCCGGGGAGCAATTGGTGAGCGTCATCGTCGTTTTGAGTTTGGAGGCCGCGAGTGGCGGAGGCGCTATCTGGGCATCGGACGCGCTCGTGAGCCGTGAGCCGCCGCATCGGCGCGATGCGCACCGATAGCCCTCCGACGGAATTACGTTCTTTGTAATGAAAACGATGCCAATATTCTTATAAGAACAGACAATGAACCTAATCGCTCGATCATCGGCCGCGTCACCTCTCTAGCTCTTGAGTAATAGCGACCGATCTCCGAGCGTTTCTGACCGAGACGCAGTTGATGCATTTACTACCCTCTCACAATAAACATTTGAGATTTTAGATTAATGTAATTTTAAATCTTTGAATCATTGTAATAGCAACTCGTAACATTAACAACTCTCAACCCAATAATATTGAAAGAGTTACCAATAAAATCATCAATATGATATTATTTCTTTAAAAAAAGCAAACGATAGGTGATATTATTGTGCGGTATTAAATTCTTACCGGAATGTAAGCTTATGTGTTGCCAAATTTTGCTTTATCAAATAAGTAAGTCACAACTGAAAGTCTGATCAGATTGCGCAGCGAGTACAGAGTGTGTCTCGATAGAAGCCATGTATATTAGAATCTCAGGTGATTATTTTTGAGCTGTCGGCAGCGCAATTGTCCGCAGTAAGAAATAACCCTTTGAAAGAATCCCAACTAGACGCGGCCGCATTTTGGGCGAGTGGATCATCCATCAAATGAATCGGACGGCGTCCGTTCAGCACGAGTTCCCTGTTGCCGGTTGAGAATTTGAATGGCATTACATAACATTGGCAGGCTGAGCGGGAGCTCGGTTGGGGCGCGCGGAGTCTAATTAGCCGGCATTATCTAACGGAACCGGACAGAGGTTCGAGAAAGGCCCCGGTCCCTTTGAATACGGAGGCTACTCTCAGTTTGTTTATCCCAGTCACCCGGTTTAATTAGCGCGTTTGCCGCAAGCCCATCGCCGAGAGTCACGAAACGGGAACCAACTGATCGTCACATTGCCACGCCTTGCCAATACGAATGTCTCATAAGGTGGTGTCTCACCGTCTTATGTGAGCATGGATGGCAATTTCAGTAGACTCATATTCAGTCGTTGGAAATATTCTACTTAATTGGAAACGTTTTTGATTTTAACTTTATACACAAAAAGAAAATATTGCACTTGTAGTAACTGATTAATTATTATGATTTAGACGATATATCTTTTTATTACGTAATGGATATATGTTTCGTGTATAATCTTAAATTCATGTTATTATTAAATATTATAACTTGACATCTTGAATATAAGAAGACAAAACGAACATAGTGTTACGAAAATTTAGAAATCTCGATTTCTGCTATCGTATAAATTTAAATAAGCGACGTATTGCAAAGCATCATATAGATGAATGATAAAGATTATTCAAAAATTTTTCAGATATGGACACATGTACATACGTTAAGCGAGTGCGTGATTAGTGTCGTTTGAAGCGGTGCAACGCGTACAGAACATTTCAGTGTGCCATAAATTAAAACAGACTAATAAATCGGCCGCCTCCATATTTACAAATAAGCACAATGCGTATGCAATTGGAGCGGTAGCGGAAGAGGGAGCGGGAGCGGGAGAGGGAGCGGGGCGGGCGGCGGACGGTGATGAACGAGCGCCAGCGACGACCGCCCGCGGCTCGCGCCCGTCCAATTCAAACAGCCGCCGGCCGAGGCGACTCAGCACCAGCGGACCGCAAACCAGACTGCTCTTACTCTTATTATATACCTCTTTTATTCATTCATTTGTGCCATTTGTTTTTTACCTCTACCTTTTTGCATTATCTGCGTTTGTCATTAAATGTGCAAAGGATTAGATTTCAAATTAGATCCAAACTCCCGAGGGCACAGTCTTATTTGGAAGTGGAACCGTGAGACGCTTGGATTTTATTAGCTTCATCCATTTTTATAAATGGAAAATGTGTAAACAGAAGGTCGCAACAACTTAATATTAAAATTAAGGATTTTACGGTGAATCTCATCATTATAACGTTTTACTGAATCTGAGGTAGCTTGATGAACTTTAACAGAAACTTACACAGTGCAAGTACATCACTTAACTCCACCCCGCACAAGACTTTCAATACTTAACTTGAACGCTTTTCAGTAATTGAGTGAATGTGATAACTAGAAGTAACGAAATATGCCTAATATTAAGAAATAGAAACCACTTTATATCGAGTTGTTAAGGCGAGAATAGTTGGATGAATTTGAGAGGCACTGAAATTAAATGAGATAAGATTGGCAACACCCCATGTGGAATTCCCACGCTCCATCCCAGGATCTTTTTCGGTATGAGTTTGGACCCGACTGCACCGATCATTCGATTTTTAAATCTCCGCCTACAAGTGCGATTGTGATGCTCCTTCGGAAAAACAAGCTGTTTTAACGGGAATAGGACGATAATCTTTCAAACTTCAATACCCAACTCTCCCAATCGAGTAAAATATTAATTGCATGATATTATGTAGTTTTATCTTTATTTTTTAGACTTTACTGCATTAGATAATGCCTTATATATTTACATATGATCCAAATGTAATTCGACAGAAAGAACATCATGCAGCATAAGGAACAATAGAAGTTATTTATTAAACAGCGTCTGGCGGAGCGGAGTGTACGGTTACATGCGCAGACAATCATCTAGGTGCACTTTGCTTGCAATTCTCAAAGTGTATTAAAGTTAATTACTTGATGCATAATAAGTGCTTTTATGTCCCGTACTTGACGCTTTATTGCCGCACTTGTGCGGGCGTCTCAATGGTCGACCGCGACGCAGCATTCCGCATTCTGAACAAAAAAGTCTCCGTATATCCCTACAGAGAATATTTGTATTCCCCGAGTTGAAAGTGAAATCGTCTGTCAAATGCCGGCGCGCGGTACGAAAATAGCCAGTTGATTGGGTTTTTACGGGTGGATTGGCGAGACCGCTAGGAATTCAGGTCGGGAGCGTAAGGGCGGCGGCTGCGGGCCCCAATTTAAAATTCAGATAAGCGGAATAGTCGGCGGCCGGGGCTCGCCACCGCCGCACCAACGCACCGCCGCCGCTGCCTCCCGTGTGCCCCGCACATCGGACCGAACGGAGCCGGCGGCCAATCGCTACGTGAACATGGAATTCACCTTAATGGAACAAAGACTGAATGTTTCTAAGCATTGCAAATCTCATGGAAATTCTAGCTGTAGATTTATTGAAAAGCGGGCGGGTATTTAAATTGATGAATGCGAAGCGATTATAGTGTGATGCCAGGCGGCGAGAGAGGAGACCGAGGGAGGGAGGCCACGCGTGACAAAACGGTGCAAACGCACGCATTCGCTGTTCGCATTTCGCACTGCATTGTGACACGTCCTGCGGCTGTGATGGGGTGCTAGCGGGGAAAATTAAGATCAAACTATTTTACTTGCCTCACGAACGTAATACGTTTTTGAAACACGTGATATTTTGACAACGGAAAATCTCAAGAAAATCTTCAAATAAATAGGCAAATAAACCAGGACAAAGCAAAGAGTAAACAATTTTTTATAAATTATTAATAGTGTAATTATAAAACAACTTTTTACTTAAAGGTATCAAAATTGAAATTATATTTTGATTTTGTTCAAAACTGTTATGAAAAATGTTTCCTTAATTTAAATATCAGCTCTAATTTTATTGGCTGCTTTTAGGGCTCCGTACCCAAAGGGTAAAATGGGGCCCTTTTACTAAGACTCCGCTGTCTGTCTGTTTATCTGTCCGTCTGTCACTACGCGGTATCTGATGAACCGCGATAGTTAGACAGTTGAAATTTTCACAGATGATATATTTATGTTGCCGCTGTAACAGAAAATACTAAAATACAGAATAAAATAAAAAGTATTTAAGGGGCTTCCATACAGAAGAAATAATATTTTTACCGTTTTATGAATAATGGTACTGAAACCGCGAGTCCGAGCCGCACTTGGCCGGTTGTTTATTCTAGAACTATGAGTCTACGCGACTAAAGAAAACACATTGTATAATTACAACTAAAACCATAGAGATGTACATGCAAGTGTACTTCAGAAACAACCAGAAATACTGCGACTCCGAAGATTCTATTATCGGTCCCAAAAATATGGGTTTAAAAAATATTTTTAAAATCCTTTAATAATTGTTTCACAGTTGTTTTTGTTATAAATTACAACGTAGTTCCAAGGAATCCAAAACCAAGAATCGACATACGACAAGTCCCGTACGCGTATCAACCACGGGCGCCGCGCGCATATTCACGCCGTGGCACAGGTGGCAGAAGCGTTGCCACTGACCTGCCTCTCGCCCAATGGCCCACTCGGCCGGCACTAATTCGGCGACGCGAGGCGTTTACTTGCGGCGACAATGCGGCATGATCACGTTGTTAACAAAAGCACTCTCTGTGACGACTCCGACGCACCCATCGCCCCAACCGCCGAATCAATTACCACATCTTTTTTTATTTGCTTCATTATGGTTTTACATATTGCTGTTTATTGTTATTTTAAATTTTATTTTTCGTCGCTATAACGAAAGATTAATTAATCTTCAAAAAAAAGGTTTTTCTGCATAAGGATGCCAGTGAAAACATGCCGAATAACGAATATTACATTAATGCAGGCAGCATTGATGTGTAATATTCGGTGGAAACTACGTTATCTAGGCTATTGACTCGTACAGAAATGCTTCCATTTGGGCTTAAAACAAACAATAAGGAGCGAATTTCGAATTTTCATGCAGAATTAGTCTATACAATGGAAGTGTCTGCTTATGATAATCATTTTTGTGCAGAGTTACAATACTTTCTCGAATAACCTTTATTCTGTATTTGTAATATGTGTACGTTTCCACCGTGCTCCTCTGGGTTTGAGATTAACACCGAACAAGAACTTGTTGTTGTAACTTCTTTCTTGGTCTGAAACGACAGAAAAACAATACGTGCATAAAGATTGTCCGCGGGTGGCGATAATTATCTACTCTCTATCAAGTGAGGAGCGTAGAGGTGCCTTAAAACCGCAAAGGAAAAGAAATTAAGTATCAATCTTGAGTCAGATGGGGTGAATGAAACACAACATAAAATAGATTAGAATGGTCTTTGAAGCTCCCCAAAGACCAAGAAGGAAGGGTTTGTGAGATTGACTAGAATGTCGATCCCGCGTACACATATTACGCATGCGGAGATTTTTAATCTCAACGTGCTGTCGGAACGCCAAGTCTTTTTATTTGTTTATTGACTGAATTCATAACTTCCTCATTAGAAGCAGGAGCCGTATTCCGTTTTCCTTGTAGCTCACCAACCGTCCTTTCTCTTTAAAGTAAGTATGTAGTCTCCTTAATATTTTTGCATAGTTAGTGTTTTGAGGCTACCCTCAACACACTTACTATGCAAGGGAGTGCAAAGTTTGGAGTACTTAATGGTGCTATCAGATTGAAATTAACAATTTGGATTTGTACCGGTGTTCCTGGATTGATACGTGGATGATTTAATTCCTATCATTTCTACTCTTTGGTTTCTGGACCCTCAACTGTATTTAATCCAAATATAAATAGACATATCGTTAATCCAAATTTAGTTAGAACCCATTAGGCTGGTAGCAATGACAAATGTCACTCATATCAATTGACGACATGACGCACATTCGACAATATTGGAAATATTGCAAAACCATATATCTTTTCTTTTGAGTATAATCTGAGTTTTTTTGCATCAGAGGGAAGAAGATGTAATTGAACGCATTTGCCACGTATGGTGGCCGTCTTGCTTACTATGTAGGTCTAACTTTCCCACTTATCAATATAATAGAGCGTCATCAACATAATATACCAACATGTAAACTTTTATGCAACATGTGGGGTTAGTAACGAATAGTTAACCGAAACCAATAAAACATTCCTTTGGAATAATAACGGGGATGACTGTTACAGGAAAGTCACAAATTGCATTGGGCACGCAAACGACGTGGGCCGCATCGTTTCCGTCGAAAGCGCGCTCCAGTACTAATGTGCCATTGCTTTTAATGTTCGACAAGCATCAACTAACGGCTTAGGCAAAGAAACGAAAGAATTTCTATAAGAACCGTTTGGCCAGACCAAATTCAAAAAGACAATGAAATTTCTAAGAATTACATTATCTTATAAAAAAGTAAAGAAACAATATAAATATACATGTAGAGAGGGCAACAGGACATAATCCACCACGCGACCCCATTGCGGATTGGCGGGCTTCAAATCTCTCATTGAATATTTTTTTTTATTATTTCGAAAACATGCAGGTTTCCTCACGATGTTTTCTTCACCGTCGACCGCGTGATAAGTCAACACTTAAAATTGCAATCAACAAATTAATTGGTGCTGCACTTTGACGGGATTTGAACTCAGGATGTTTGAGTATATTGAATTAAAATCTAGCACCCGAACACTGAGCTATTACGGCTTTATGTATCTAAACTAATATTATAATGAGTAAAAATTCTATTTTTTGTTTGTTACACTTTAACTCAAAAAGTGCTCAAGAGATTTTTAAAATTCTTTCACCGTTAGAAAGCTTGATATTTACCGAACATACGTACAAATTATATTTTCAAAACAATTAGTGATCCTTACCTAAAATGTTACAATGTAACTAGAGTTTTCGTAATAAGCAAATTATTTGTTAAAGCTGGTTACCGTAGGTGTTCAAGGACATCTTTTAATAGACGTACTGCACTACATGCTTACATGGTACATAAAACTAAAAAATATTGGTATCCATTGAGTATTCTTTCCTTCCGTGTGTGGAATATTAACTCTGAATTTAAATAGGGATTTAAATAGACATTTAGATGATTTTTTGTCTTATTGAAGAACAATAGGATCAGATTGACGTGGAACATCGACCATCGGACGAGCTACGTCTGTGCCTAGAATGGCTAATTTGTGCACTTATTACATTACAGTACCGCCGCTCTTAAATCTAGTGGTCTCGTTGCAAATCAGCTGTAATCTGATCGCACATTGAGGCATCTTTACCTGGCGCATCAGATAATAGAAATTGAGAGTTTTATACCGCGTTTATTACCACCTTAAGTTGTTAGGGCATTCTGATTATGTAAATGGTTTGAAGCATGAGTGAGGTGAAGAGATGCGAGCCCCATGTCTTTAATTAGCTGTTCTTTCTGAAGAGGAAAGTTTATTGCGTTATTACTGAACTGAGTGTGATTTAGTTGGCGGGGTCAGGGGTCAGGGGAAGTCGGCGGCGACCTTGACCCCGTGGCCGAAGTCCGTGCGCGTGCGCCCGTCCCCATGGGAGGGGGTGGGATGTGCGTGTGTGCGTTTGTATTCGTGTGTCGGTGTGCGTCGGTGTGCGTCGGCGTACGTAACAGGTGCGCGCGCACGCGCCAACAAATATCAAGGCATGTCACTCACCCCCGCGCACCGTTAGTCCCGCGAAATGCGCGGCGTCTCTAGAACGCTTTAATAGGCAAATTATAAATTAGCATCGTGCACCGGATAACATCAACATTCTTGAAAAATTCAAGGTAAAAGAATTCAGGCACATTAGACGGGCATTAAATTGCTTATTGTTAGGTTTCTTTGTTTCCATCTGTTGCGCTTCAAGCCGAGACAAGTGGATGTGACGGAGATAATTAATTAATTACAAGGTATGAGGGTGAACGATCTCGAGAATATTTCCATATTTTTAAATAATGTACAACAAATTTCACTACCCTGTATGTAACCTATAGAGCAGTTTATACAATTGGCATATTTATAAACATTCATTATTACCTTTGATTATATACTTGTCTTGTATTTTAATTATATACAAGCATATAAGCAAAGCTTATTGCTAAGTATTAAAGTATTCGTTTTAAGTTTACCACTTTTGTATGTTTACGGACACCAATTTAATGTTGCAACGTTCATCTATCAAAGCATTAAAATTAATTAAATAACAAAAGGTCATATGCTGATTAGTATTGGGGAAGCCTCCATCAATATCATAACTGTATTGTTTCGTTGTACTTTTGTTTACTTGAACTTCGTTGCATGTGAATGAAATATGTGGTCTAAGCGGTCAATCGTCACACAGCGCTCGCCCGCGCAGATGGGCACCGATATAATCCTATCTAATTTGCACTTGGTCTGTCATATTGTCATAGCCCAGAAGGGCAAAACCCTTAAATAACCGTTAGCGTCTCACCCTGGCGTCAGTAAAAATACGGTTGCCATTGTTTGTGTACATGATAAACAAGCTTTAATAGAATAACAGCACTGAATTGCGCTTTGCGTATTGTATTTTAAGGCATTGAGACGCTAAAAAGGCAATCCGAGGTACAGTTGGAGCCGGCATTGTCCGGCGGGCGGAGGCATGGCGGCTTGGGGTTGTGCAATTTTGGCTTTTGTTTTGTGCCTTTTTTAATGTTTTATCTGTCGGCGCTCGAGCAATAAACTAGAAAGTCGCGGGTCGTCTGGTTCTCGTCACAGGCCAAGTGGTTTTTTGTCGCGTCCGCTTTCTCCAGCACAATGCTCAGCGACCGTGCTTTTGGAAGAAAAAATGCTTCATTGGATATAATAAAATGGAAAAGAAAGATAATTAGAAACAAAAGCACGGAATAAAAGCAATAAGACCATGAATTATGGATTCACTGAAAAGTCATTAAGTTCGTTAGCACGAAGAAAGTACTAAAAAATGAAAGGCTGGCATTGAGAACACGGTAAAAAAGATGGACCATTGCGCCTCGCCATCTACCGGGGCCACGGACACTCACACGCCTTTTTAAGGTAATATACTTTAAAAGTACCTACCTATATGGAAACGTATTCTTTTTAACATCCATACATTTACTAGCTAAATTCGTGGGTTTTTTTTTTTGTTTAAAATCATTCAAATAGCTGTGTTAATATAGGGAAAAATATATAAACTTTAGCTCGTAATTAAAGACACGACACACTCAGCGGAGTCCGTGGCGCGGTGATCCCCCGTCTGGGCGAGTGCACCCTTGGGCCCCGCCGGCAAAAAGCCAAATGTCAGCCATCGCCGGGTAACGGGAGCCAGCTCACGTGGCCACGCCTGACCCCGGGCTAACGGGCCCTGCGACATTTCCACCGCACCACCGCTTGTTTGTATACGCGCGCCTACAAACCGGTCGCCACCGCTGCGCCGTCCTTGTTTACTACGCGTCCTTTTGTCAAAGCATCCTTCCATTCACAATTCGTTGGAAAACCAAAGGCTATCGAAGACCCACGCAAAAGGTACTCGTTCCCCTTCTGTACGCTACACTTTGAATAATCTCGACGCGGGCCTCCAGCTAATAAAAAACGATGCCCATTATGTTACCGCTTATGAGCCACTGAAGGTGTCATGAGTGTTTTGTTTCCATGGGCAATTGTAATAGTGCGAAATGCTATATATACTGAGGGGAAGCCTTAAATGGGCAGCGGGTTTCACTTGATTGCCATTACTTTGCATATGAAGCAATGTGATGTAAATGTTGCCCACCCGATCGTACTACACAGGCCGTTCGCTGTTTTCTCCTCCAAAAACGCCTCTGCCTCCTCATATTCTAGAATCAATATGTAGATTCTACAGGGATCATTGGCTACCTTTCTTCTCGATTTTTCAGAACTTTTTAATTTAATGTATAATGTATTTGTATGCTACAAGGGGAGGAATGAATTTAATATAAATAAATGTTTGTCCATATGTGTGTGTGAACCTGAGGGAAAGTGTAAGCATGCGTCTTAGTGAACCGTTTCAATATCTGTGATTGTCTTTGAATACTATTTATAAATGATTTACTTGTATGACAAAGTGTGTCAATGTTAGCAAACATGTATTATAGTACAGAAAACAACTTTGAATTGGAATAGTATTAGAATGATTTTGTCATAGGACCACAAATTTATTTTATCCCGTGTAAATGACGTGGCGGAATACGCAACAATTATCGTTGTCACGATGTATACTGTACAGTCCATATGTACCTATATCGCATAGCAGTCGCATGTTGGATAAAAGTCGCCTATCTGCTAAAGAAACAAGTTTGCACTTCACAGAAATGTTGTAATTATGAAACGTATTTTGAATAATGGTACAAACTTTTTATGAACATTTCTTACAATACAAATATGAGACTATGAGTTACACACAATGAGGGCCAAATAGATGATCCACAGGTACTCAATGTACTGCGGACGTAAGCATTATATAAAGGGAAGTAGTGTTATAGTAAACATAACTATATCATTAATACCTGTTATACTTATGTTTACTTCTAAGGTAGTAGTTGTTTCGGGGCATGAAATACTTTCGATAATCTATTGGTGATAGGTACCTAAGATTCTGGAAAACTTATATATATAAAATTGTATTGCACAGGAAATGTTAAGTTGGAATCCAGAACCCTATCAAATCCCTAACTTCCGTCATACGGTGGTAGGGCCCAATTTTCAAAAGATTGTCAACGCATCTGGAACCCTTGGGTGTAGCAGATGTCCATGGGCGGCGTTATTCACTTAACATCAGGTGAACCGTCTGCTCGCTTGGCGACTTTTCACTTAAAAAAAACCATGGATAGGGCACTGAAATTATAATTATCCTTTAATTATTATCAATAAATTTCCTTCTAACTTTCCTATCCTCCTGTATGTGGGAAACAATACATTACAATAGTATTCATATTCAAAAGCTTTACTTGATATTATTCGAACCACATGACCTAAGAAGCAAGTAGAACATGCAAGACACTAGAAGAACTAGGGGAGATCATCTGAACGACCGATAATATTAATAATTTGACGTCTTATTTAACATTTGATAATTTTATGAAATCCGTATATACTTTACTGTTCTTTTCTCAGATTTTAATATCGTTATAAAGAACACGGTTTATCTTTGGTCGTGAAGATTTTTTGTTTGTAATTCGCGAAACCTTGTGGGAGGCAAAAAACTCAAACTAGTTCACGGCCGCAAATCGTTTGCATAGATGGCGTTTATTTTGGCAGTGGCAGAAACTCTAAAGTCTTTAGCTAAAGCACAATACTAAACATTAATACAATGTTTAAAATTAACTGGATTTAACAAAGTACAAGAAACAAATATCATCATACAGTCTGTGTCAGTGTATATTATATACATGATTAATCTCAGCAATTGACTTTCGACAGTTGCAAATAAAATACACTTATTTCGTATTACTGACAATACAGAGAGGACAATTATTGTTCTGGGCAAGGTGGTCATTTATTACAATGCCGAAGAATGAATCGGTCAGAATTTTGTTCGATCGTTCTGTTATATGTCAGCTGTGTCAGCATAATTACTACTATAGCTAAGCGCATCGAAGCTAGTTCGAGTGCAGCCGTAAGTCTGTCTCAATCCAGTCTCCATCCCGTCAATATTATTATTTCCAATTCTATTGTAATAAAAAAAATAATTTAAAATTTTAAAGTCATAAATTTCTTTTTTTATTAAGTCATTTGCAATATCCCTTATAACACTTCACTGTTGGCATGTACAGATCCAACGTGCTTGAGATGGCCGGGCGCTGAGGGCGCCTAGTCTGAACTTCGTTTATGGTTGGTGGTTTATGGTGAGAATGAATCGGTTTTGATTAGCGTTAGTAAGCCATAGTAGCGGTGAGTACGACATATTGCCTTCGCCTGTTTGGACTGCGACCGTAGTTCGACTCGCGGCGACGCAGGGGACTGAGGTTGGGGGCAGGTAGCGCACCGGGACGTGGCCACAGTAATTTCACCACAAAAAATTCACCCCGTATCTCTGTGGCTGGGCATTGCATTTTGCCAAAGAGTACTACATACGAGGCCTCATGTACTGAATTTAGGCTTTAAAACATCGCGTGGTGATAGGGAAAAGGAAGACTGAACACTTGATAGGTAGAAGTGTAAAGCTTGCCGCAGATGGGATAGATGCAAATGATTAAGATAACGACAGTTGTTTGTTGAAACGCCTTGCAAGAGTTAACGGGGAGATAGTTTTTGTTCGGCTCGTTGCTGATAGAATAAATAATTGGAACATCCTGTTGACATGTGAATAATGTAAACAACGCAACGCACCGGGACTCCGATTGCGAGAAGTGAGGCCTTCACATCGCGGAAGACCTATTAGCATCATGTTTTGCAACTTTTTTTCAGCACGCACAGAGAGCGCGTACGCAAATGAGCGCCCTCGGCTGCGAGTGGCAGCTCGTGTGCAGCAATGTCTGCGCCGGTGCGTGATGCCTCGTAACAACGCGGCGAAATGTGCCTATTAGTTCTTTCTAGAATTAAATATGTGCATGAACAATCAAATCGAATAATAAACGGTTACGATGTCGTCATCAAATTACAAAACAGATTAGTTCGCTTCGAAGCGTTGTTGGAGGCACATTTAGACGATATTCAAAGCTGTATACGTTTGACTGCTGCGGTCTAAAACAATTTCACCTTAAATGTATGTTAGAGTGATGCTGAAAGGGTTATACTCTACTTTAAAAACTCGCATAGGAATCCCGGGATTATTCCCGGATTGAATTTTTAATTAAACTTTTTTGCAATGGGTACGACTGTCGAACCAAAATATCTTACGAAGTTATCGGTAAAGTTGTTACTTGTAACAATGATGAAAATTTCTCTTAAATTTGCATTGTTACTGACGACGTGTGCAACTGTCATCATTATTCACTTACCTTAAAGCCAAACGCTGCTCTGGGCAGGATAATTTATTTAACGAATTTTTTGTAACGCACCTAAGCTAAACTCCGAATCTATTGTTAACCGTCGTTCTTAACAAAAAGCGTCGTGATGGATTGTCGGCGGCCGAAAATCTGACAAAAGCTTGCAAAAAAGAGTTCGGGTGCAGGTTACTTGGACGTATGCAAATCCATTGTTGCGCGGGCAGGTATTTCGGTTGTTCTTATGCTTGCAGTGGTAAGGTGCGTAGTTGCGCGGCCGATGTGGCCGAGATATGTTCGCGCGGGATGTAATCTCCGATCTACGTGCTTTCATAAATTTTCAATATTCAGTGTTCCCGCATTTAAAATTCCGAGAAATTGACGAGCGGCAACGAATGTGCGGCGGGCGGTTCCGCTCCACGTGATCGATGGTTGGCGGGAAAAAAACATGTAGCCATTTTTAAAGTTGTCGTATTGCGGGTCTTATTAGGTTATGGGCTTAACTAATGCATGCGGAATTGTGCTGCAAATGTTCTTTTCGCAATTGTATTACTTTTAAACATAACTAATCACAATACCAGGTTAAGCTTTAACCATGATTTGGACTGAGTAGTTTATATGTTATGTCCATGACAATTATGTCTGATGCTAGGGGAGACAACGTTGCCTCTAAGGGGCAGCAAGGTACACAATACACGCGGGTGCGGCGGCGCTCGCCCGCCGTCGCGTTCCCTCTCGCCACTCGCAAAGGTTAATGAGAGAAATTATGCATAAAGCCAACGGCCAGCGCGGCGAGTAGAGTGCACTTACCCCGCGCGCCGCACGCAGTCGCTCCGGCACGACCACGTGGCGGGCCATTCTTTCCTCATCGCCACTAAAACGCACACTCGGCGATAAATCTAAAAATTCCGTATTCACGTCGCCCACTGACAAAAACTATTGGAAATGAAAAAAAATATGCAAGTCGCCGGTGATTGTCCGCGGCCTATAGGTGAGGCGGAGAGCGAGCAGATGCGCGCACAGGTAGCGACCGATCCACGGAGCATTTGCATGCATGCGCAAATTAAGGTAACGACGCCAGAATTCCGTTTCTTCTCTCTTCGATGTATTAAATAAGACATGAAATATTGAACTTGAGCTAACGACGCCATTAGGTAAGAAAAGTCCAATATATCGCATAGTATCGTATACCTGAGTGCAAAAGTCTAATAATGGTCGATGCAAAAAACGTTGAAATCGGTTCAGTGGCTCCGACACAATAGTGGTCAAACGTCCGCCCGCCTCGCTCTTAGGGCAAAAACTATTGCTATTTTCTAAACATCCTAATATTCATTTATACGTTACAAATTATTTATATCGGCGATTTATATTCGCTTAAGACATGCGTAATGCTATGATTTCTTCTTGTTTCCCTTGACCTAGGGTTAGGTCGGGTACAACATATGAATCATGTTGTCAATATTATTAGCTAGGTTTTGTTCAACGACCGACATCAAGATATGAAACAACTATCTGAGTAGGAATCAAACGCGCGACCCTGAACTGAGTAATAAAACATCTATTAAAGTTTAAAACAAAAAGAAACTACGCCTCTTCACCTTGCAGCCGTCGTGCCACGACACGTGCTGTGTTAAAGCAAATTGGTAAAAAAATTAAGCATTGGTCACCTCAAGCTATTGACCCAAAACATAACCCAAAACGGCCCTTGGCTACACTTTCCATTTAAATTGCTAATGAGCGCATCGTGGACAAACCGCAAATCGCCTCCGATGTCGTGTCAAGGCGCGTTCTCCTCCTGAATGACCTTTACCTACTATCTAAAACGACAGCAATGTTTTTACACTGGTGATGTTTATATTTAAATACAAAGATGAGTTCAACATGTCGTGGGGCCTGGCCGAACTTGTCACTCCTTGATGGCCAAAATTCCCCCCCCCCCCCCTCCCTCCCTCACCCATCGCCACGAAGTGTAAAGGGGCACGGTGTGGTAGTAGGTGGGGGGGGGGGGGGGGGGATCGGGCGTCACGTCGCGGCTCGCGCGTGCGGAACGCTGCCGATGACTGATCAGTCCACAGCTTAAACCGACCTAATCGAATTTGGTAATCATCGAACGATAAATCTCTGATATCTAAATTTTGTTGGAACATATTTTTACAAAAACTAACATTTTTGTGTTCTTCTATTTATGCAGGTCAATTAAAACAAAATAAACAATGCAAAATTTAATTAACAACTCTAAACGGCACTCTCTACAGAGTGCATCCTAAGGAAAACATTTGAAAGTCAAGTGCTGTATTTCCACCTAGGATTTCATCCAATGAACCTGCAAAATGTGACTTCACCGTCGAATGTGAAAGTTTCGTCCGGGGAAAGACCTTGGTCTGATGGAAGACCGACATGAAGTGGAAATAATACAATTTCGCGTCTCGCCTGGTGGCTGAAGTAGCCGGGGTCCACTTTACAATTATTGGCAACGCATTTGCAACTACAATACGTGATAGTTTATATACCTCGCACTCCTTTATCAACTTTTGACATAAAAATGTCCAATTATTCGCTATGAACACATGAAGTCGGAAACATAATCGTTCTGCGGAACGTCAAATAAAATAAGATATATGAACGAACCGTGCTTGTTAATTTTTAACAAGATGTTTATACTCGTACATTTGCCTAATTGTTACTACGCCAAGGAGATTACAATCGCAAAGAGCCTCCTCCGACAGTTTTTTTCAAAAACTACAATACTTAAACAAATTACACGGGCTCGGTTGTTACCAGTGCGCATTTAATTAATCTTCACTCGACCTTGACTTTAAAAACGGTTGATACGGATTAGTGGTATTTTTAATTTCGGTCGAGTCGATGATCGGTCCGAAAGGCCACTTTGCACGGAGGCAGAGAGGGCGAGAGCAATGATGGGCAGCAGCGCGCGCGTCGTGGGCAGGGGAGTCTCGCTGCGAACGATCGCGATGGACAGTCTCGGCTCAGTTTTGTGAGCGGAGATTTGAATAAGGTCGTCGGAAGCGGGGCACAATGGCGGCCGTTGAGTTCCGTGAAACACGCGCACGACAAAAACGCGCGTCCCGCGGCCGGCCGCTTTGTCCCCGCCAGCCCATTCATCCCGTAATTAACGCGGATAAAAAACGCTCCTAGACGGAAATTAGAAACGTCGCGGTGACGCGCCGCGCGGACGCAAAAAACCAACCTCAGCTGTGAATATCTCTTAATTTAATTATATTATCGTTTTGTCTCGGTACGTCTCGAGTCGGCGACGATGGCTCGCGAGGGTGGTGGCGGGCGGCGGGAGAAGACAGCGGTGTGGGGGGGGGGGGGGGGGGGGCGCTTGTTGTAAGTAAAGGGGGGAGGAGGGTGTTTAGTCGCCTTCAGATGTAATTAGTCGCGGAGGAGTCGAGCGGCAGCCGGTGAATGAACGTAGGGCCGCGCCGCCGCGCCGTGCATCCTTTTCGCGTTCAATTTTTTGCCGCACGTCTTAATCGTCCCAATCAAAATATCAGCAGATCAATTATCGCTAAAAATATTGAAAACGCAACGCAAAAGGGAGACAATAGTGAGAAATAGAGATATTCATTTAAAATTGAATAGAATTCTTATAAACATTTGAAGTAGCACCGCAACCGGTATCGACGTCGACGGGTGCCCAATTGGCAGATGGAACGTTGTAATTTGTGTGTTGCGTAACAACCATAGAATCTTGTACAAAAAGCGTTTTGTGGGAGCGCGGGCGCTCGCGGAGGTCGTGGACGTAAAAAACGTAATAAGGTAATTCGTCCACGCGCGGACGTAATATTTAAATGAGCAAAGTGGCACAATGAGTTCTATGCACTTACCGTTAAGGTCGAGCACCATCTGTGTGTTGAAGAAGCCGCTGACGTCACCGCGGCCCGACACTGCAACAACAATATCATATTGTAATTAGAGATAAGAATTAATTACAAGCCGGAGGAATGTCCGGCAGCGCAGCGGCGAGCGTTACGGCCCCGTGGGTAAGTGGATGGCCAGTGGCCAGATTGGCCAGCTTTGCCATCACGACGCTGATAGCTAGACTCTCTCAGTTAGGGCCTCTAGTCTTTTCTTAAATTTACGCGGATTAGCATGACTTCAACACGATAACATCGGATTCGGATTTTCTGAAAATATCTAATTAAACTTTTAATATTTTCGACACTTAGAATACTGTGTGCAGCAGTTAGTAGAGCTCCAAGTAATGTGCAACTATCTGATTATATCCTGAGTTGAGTAAGTATATTTGGTATAACCGCTATAATGTTATACATAATATAACGCTGCTATATCTTTCTGCTAGAAAGGGATTTAATTATTTTTCATAATGTGAATATCCTTATTTTCAAAGTTTCTCCTTAAAAAGCCGGTAGAGTATTTGAAAAAAAAAACCGTTTTGTCTAGAAAAAGCTTGACTGTTTTCCTTCGTTACAATGACTGTTATGTGCACCTTTACTACATACTATTGAGGAGTCGTAACAAAATTTTGCATTTTTCATTCAAGTAACATGGAGTAATAACCATAAATGATATTCATTCGGGCTTGTTTTTCTGTGGAAAGCTTTTTGATGATCACACTCTTACATTTGTGCCTTTGAACGGACACCGAGGAGAGCTGAGCTGTCACATATTGGACTTAATTAGGTAATGTTAAGTGGATAGTCTTTTTATGTCAGTCCACCGACTCAAAACGCTGGGGAAGTGAAAGTGAGTGCGCATGTCCCCATCACATCCTCAACTATTACTACCTCCTGTTACTTCTTTGTCTTTAACTACTTACTGTCGTCTGAGATGCAACTGCATCTGCAGTTTGATTGATTAATTTATTGTTATGCAGATCACTTAATAATCTTTAAAACTACTAGACTCAAGGTAAGAGCCTTCCTTTCTAAAGTCCTTGAACGCCTTGTCCAAGAACAAATTTATTCCTTTTGCACTAAAAGCAATATCCTCGATCCGCTTCAGTCTGGCTTTAGATCTGGTCATAGTACGACTACAGCATTATTGAAAATCACTGACGACATTCGCTTCGGAATGGACAGTCGTATAGTCACAGTATGGGTCTTGCTGGATTTCAGCAACGCCTTTAATACTGTAGATCATGACATTCTGTTAGGTGTACTGCGTTCTCGTAACATATCTCCAACTGCAATTTCCTGGTTTCATAGTTACTTGTATGGACGCCAGCAGCGTATTCGAGTTCAGGACAGATTTTCTTCATGGCTTGATACTGTAGCTGGTGTTCCACAAGGTGGCGTGTTATCCCCACTGCTATTTGCAATTTTCATTAATACCATTACTTCCCAAATATCTTCTCTCTACCACTTGTATGCAGATGATCTCCAGATTTACACTCAAACCACTGTGGAGGATCTTCCGAAAGCTGTGGATATTATTAATAGGGATTTGGCTTGTATTCTTGACTGGAGCCGACAATATGGTTTGACTGTTAATCCTATAAAATCTCAAGCCATAATAATTGGGAGTTCAAGAAATATCACTAAATTAAATAAGAACCAAATTGACCCGGTTATTTTTAATGGCATCGTAATCCCTTATAATGTCATTGTTAGAAATCTGGGTATACTGATGGACTCAAGTTTTTCATGGACCCCTCAAATTAATGCAGTCGCTCGTAAATTATTTGCAGCATGTGGTTCGCTTAGAAGGTTGAACTACTTTTTACCTATTTCTACCAAAATTACGCTTGCCCATTCTTTAGTGCTCCCTATTCTTGATTATGCTGACATATGCTATATCGACATCACTGAGGAGCAGCTTAATAAACTTGAGCGACTCCAAAATCTATGTATACGGTTCATATTTGGACTTCGTAAATATGACCATGTATCAGAATATCGCATTAAGCTCAAGTGGCTCCCGATTCGTTTTCGCCGGAATACTCATATTCTTTCTGCTCTTTACTGCGTCCTATTTAATGTATCAAGTACGGATTATTTGAAGGAACGTTTTCAGTTTCTTTGCTCCTCTCATAACCTTCCTCTACGTTCAAATGAAAACCTCTTCCTTAAAAATCCTTTGCGATCAACTAGTTTTTACCATAAATCCTTCTCTGCTGTCGCTGTTAAACTCTGGAACTCTTTACCTTTGGCTATTAAACGTGCTCAAACCCTAGATTCGTTTAAAAGACAGGTTAAGAAGCATTATCTCTCTGTTTAGCTCCTTTCTATCTCTCGATGTCTTTCTTTTCTTTTTATTTCACTCTTACTTTGATGATCACACACAAGAGGTATGTTTTTCTTATTACTTTAATTTTTGTTGCAACTTACTTTTTACTTAATTTCACGATTGTGATATTTCTTGTACATCCTACCCAATAAGAATTTCTTTTGATTCATTTCTGAGGTTGCCTGGAAGAAATTGCTGTGTAGCAATAAGGTCGCCTTTTGATGACCAATTTTTGATAAATATTTTGTTTAGTTCTGTACTTTTTTCTTTTTTGGTGTACAATAAAGCATATTATTATTATTATTAAGAGCAAACAAATTTAAAAATTGGTAGTTTTTAAGACACCCGGACTTTGGAACCGTTCTGAGGTAACAAAAAATGACTCTGAAATCACGGCAACATTACACTGTCATCCGTTAGGTACAATGTCCCAACTTATAGACAAGACTCCACGTCAACATCGTACAACATATTACGTTCCTCGGTAGTATTGTTGTTCCGATATTGAAACCTGTGAGTAGTCTTTATAGTCGGAAGTCAGTACAATAGTAACGGAATTCGTAAAGTTTGGCGATAAAAGTGACGTGAACGTTGGCGTGACTCTCAGTGACGGGGAAGGCGGCTCGGCTCGGCTTTTTCGCATATCGTAATCCGTTTCACGGTTATTATTTTAAATGAATCGAGCGCGGCGGAGGTTAGGCGTAATAGCATCATTTGCGCGAGGCGCTCGGGCCGTTCACGACTTATTTCGTGTAATTTGGACAATCCAATTGCGCTTTTTGCGCGGCGAGTGGCGGATGCGTCCGCCGCGCCGTGTGAAAGTAGCGCCTGGGCGCGGTGCCTTATGGGCCTGCGAGCGCGTTGCGTTTTGCCTTTGGCGCTCGTCTTTCCTATTTTAGCGACTCCAAATGTATATAAATGATTTGATGTAAGATGCTTTAATCAAAAAGTGGCCTTACATGATCTGTGCCATCACAAACATTTTGTGGATAGAAGTGTCATTCACAAAACGGACCCAAAATCAATGTACCAATTAGCGGCTATCATGGTTTTATGATGTTGGTAGCTTTTTAATTCGAACTTAATAGAACGAACCACCTGTATAATAAACAAAGCGGGTGCTGGAGAAGAGTAAAAGTGCAATATTTATCGCCGCTTGAATATCCCGAAGTGGTGGGTAAACTTTAGGTCGGGTGCTAAGCATTAGAAGCGAGGAGTGGTGCTCTTAAAAGTTGTGCGAGGGCCGGCGGGCCCCCGCCGCTCGCGTCGGGCAGCCGGCGCGACCCTCTGGCCGCTGCGACCCCAGCACAGGTGCGCGCCGGCGACATTTATATCGACACCGGACACATGTACTGCACAGATATATGCCTCGGCGACCGGGGAATGATTGAAACGTTTCCCTGCCTTATTTTTACGTGCTCGTGCCGCGTCGGGGGAGAATAAAAAAACATTGCAAAGGGCCCCATTGCGCGTCGCTTAAGGATAACGAAGTAATCGCTATTGGTTTGGCGATGCCGGTCAAACAGCGCTATATATATATGCCACGAAAGACACGAGCTTTTTTATGTCCAACGAGTTTAAGTTAATTAATAATTTTTTGAAGTTATTGTCCCAAAGCGAGAAACCCAAATTACGAAAAATTCTTTCCAAAATTACATTCTGTTTAATGAGACAAAAATCTATGAATGTAAATGAATTGTGATCTTCGATTTTAATCGACGAACACGAACTAAGAGCTCTACTACAATGGCACAAAGACTTGATGACACAATGACGGCACACAATCATTTGTGAGCACGCGACATGCCGCTACGTATCCCATTTGTTCGACACGACAATATTTTGATTCCGTCCGAAGGAGCGGGAAGGAGGCACAATGCCGCTCGCCTCCCGACATCAAAGGGATAAGTAATAGTTGCACCGAAAGAATTCTCATTCGGCCGCGATCGGGGCCCAAAGATAGCAGCGCATTAAAAGGATAGGGAAATAAACGAGGCGGCCGGCGCTCCCCCGGGACGCGCCGCTCCATAAATCGTCCCCATTTGGCTAACCCGCGAATCAAAGAGAGGTAATTCGCAATGTTTAAATCCAATTTGAAGGCGCGAGGGCCTCTGCCCTCAAACACCCCCCCCCCCCCTCTTTCGCCCCACCGTTCCCTTCGCCCCACTGCCCCCGCTACGAGCATGCTTGGCCAACGCCAACTCAGCCGTGCCGCCAAATTGAATCCATGAAAGGACTACGCCACCTTTACGACGACGTGAATTTCCAAGCCTAGATCAACACCAGGTTCTTATGTTTTCTCTTGACAGCCCGACTGAACCTGGAGAATATGGGGCAATGATTATAACGGGGCTTATGTTTTCATGATGTGTATATCTAATATATAAAATTATTGTATCACAGTTTAGTGTTTATACTCCTTCGAAACGGCTTGCCCGAGTTTGATGAAATTTTATATATATATTCAGTAGGTATGAGGATAAATTTATAACAATTTTTTTTCTATCCTACAAATAATTTATATGACATAAAGTTTGCCGGATCCGCTAGTATTTACTATAAAAACTAGTAAGCTAGCGTTAGTTGTAATCATAGAATATAATTGTGTTGCATGTATATTATGCTAATACGATCGTCATTTACACTCGTGAGAACATAACTGTACCGTTACTAGTACGGAATTAGTTACGACATTACAGTTCTAAATGTTGGAGATAATAATAACCAACACAAAATAATACTAATTAAAATGTCATTATAAATTGGAGGAATTAGGGTACAACATTATTGAACCCTGACTCCTGTGCTAGGTCACCCACGTCCCTAAATAAAGTGGCCAACTTTATATCCAATTATAAATATAAATATAGATTACAAGTAAGATCTTGAATAAAAAGAACAAAAAGAGAAGATTTAGAAGGCTTAGACAAGAATTTTGATTAAATAACAATTCAAATCAATCTCCTTTATTTTGCTATTCTTGACTTTGAAGCTTTCACGTAAATGGTGAGTGTTTGTGCGAACAAATGAACTTTCTCACAAGTATTGGTATTTGGGACAAATTTAAATTCAACAAACGTACTTTCACTCCGTGTACACGTTGCAAATAAAAAATTTATTGCAGTGCTCAGGTAAGGTTCTTCAAGTGTCCGAGGGGAACAAAGAGCTCTCCTCGGAACATATTGGCGCATTCAATTCAAATTGCAGAGGCCGGTGGCACCTCGCATATTACGGCGCGGCTGGGCCGCGGCCTTTGCGTAAGCGTTGCACCGCTTTAGTGTCATACGCACAATCCGATTTCTCCAGCAGTGGAGAAACTGTCGCACGCACGGCTCTTCCTCCCCCCTCCCCCGCCTCAAACGCCTCAAACGCCGCACCCCTCTCCGCGCACCCCTCGCAAAAACTCACGCACTGACCACATGCTAACGATGACGATACTCGCAATGGATGGACGGTCGAATGACAATCGGCTTTCTAATAAAACGCAAGTTTATTAATTCATTCCCCCGCTTCGGTTTAGCGCATCCTCGCTCGGGATTGTTTTAGAATGCACTTATTTATAATCGCGCATCGGCGACGAGACGAACAAACAAACATAACATTTATATCGGGGGCCGATCATCGTGCGCTCATTCGACTTGGTAATGGGTAGCTGAAGAAACGCGACGCCTGCGATTATGTTCGAATACATTCCTGAATGTTTTATTTTATCTGCGATTGATAGCGCCCCTCGGTTTTTTCCTTAGCGTGGATCACAACGATGCTAATTACATTAGTAATCGAACGTATTAGACTGTATAATTACTATTCAAATAGTGTTCAAGATTATCGTTCAGATTAACGGCAGAATAAAAGATCAAGATGGGGAGAGGATATACGTGCGTTGAGGAGTTCGCAAACGGCGACCATAACTCAGGGGCAGCCGGGGAGGCTGGGGCTCCGGCGACGGTCCATCACGGCACTCCCGGCGGGCCGGGCGGCTGCCGGAGCGAGAGACTTATGGCTGCAGCCGAAGGTACGAGCTCATGCACATTCTATTACGGGAATAATACTTTGCACTCTCCGTCACCACGTTTGGTCGGGATGGTTAATTGGCGAAAAGCAATAAAAAAAAGCAAAGAATATAAGTTGCAACTCTTCTGTTGTGCGCGATTGTGTCACCTCGAGCATGAGGCATGCTAATTAAATTAGATCTAACTACGTTTGCCATATTAGATTAAACATGATGGCGACATTGGATCTATATTGTGTGTGGCGATGCCGTGATTACACTTAGAACAGAAAGTCTTTTGCTATCCGCACAATGAGGGTAGTAGATATCTAAAAGCTATTCGTCTCCAACAATGCATCGCTCGGATTACCCAATTCAGATCAAGTTTGTTGTTCGTGAGAATTGAACTGCTATAAAACCGGTTAGTTTTTATCAACGTTAATGATCTACAAAGAGTTCCGTCTCGGTTATACGCATTTCTACGCTTTGTTCGGCCGCGATCGTCTCCCTAGGAGAGGTAACGCGAGCACCGATCGGAGATAATGCTAAGCATTTCAATTAGGGCAGAGCGTGTTATCATTGAGGTGGGCCTCGTCGGGTCCTCTGACGACGGCGGAGCGGTGGGGGGAGGGGGGGGGGGGGGGTGGCGCGACACAACAGTCTGCGGCTGCCGAAATCAGTCGGAGCCGGAGGTCGCGAGGGAAGACCGTAGCGGGTGGGGTGATTGACCGCGGCCGGCTAATTGCGACCACCCCGCCGCCGCACCCCTCCGCCGCCCCCCGCCCGCCGCCCGCCGGGGTCACGCGGACCTTCGCTGACGTCGCGCGTACGTAACATCGCCCTACATACGAGAATCGATCCCGCGCCACCCGGCACACGTTCAGCGCCACTCGGCCACGCCGCAACCCGTGCCCGAGCGCTGCTGGGCCCAAGGAGTGCAGGCCGACGTCCCCACCTGGCGCGCCCACTCAACGCTCCCGAGTCGAGCCTAAGGTCAATGCTTATAAACAGTATCCTCACTTCACCGAAGGACACATCAGACGTCGCGTTACCAGTGCCGCCAATCTTTTCCATGTCCCAAGAGATTCAACGGTCATGGGGTGAGTATTTGAACAACAGGCACAGATAATAACTAATTAATATCAAACTTAAACAAGCGTGATTCATAATGCATGCTCCGTTAGAACATTTTTTATACAGCACCAAACTGATTGAGGCACAAAAATAGTGTAGCAATTAGTTTAGCACGATGTGATTTTGCTGAAAAAAGAAATAAATACTTTCAAGCACTTCTACTCTATTAGGTCTTTCTTTTTTAATATTATAACCGTTTTCGCCAATGAAATAAAGTAAATGTAAGAATAAATAAGAACAAAGTTACATATAAAAAGCATGACCCCTTGCATTTATAACTGTTGCCAATATTTTGTTCTTTCACAGGGGTAAGGTCGTCGCCTGATTTTATTCTAACTTTATATTACCGGTAATGACGATATGTGAGGATGTAGATTGTGACTCATGTGCAAGAGTATTGTCAACTGGCCGGACTTGGTGCGGTGGGAGCTCCGACGGCGGTCGATGCAAGGGAGATATGGAGATGGGAGGTCGCAGTCATCGGGTCATCAGAAGATTCGATGAATGAAAATGTGGGAGCATGCATTTTTTTTTAAATTTCATACTGTGAATATCATCACATAAGCGAGCATCAGCCTTATGAAGCGACGGACTTCGTTATGTAAGCCGCTACTGTTAACATCTTGATTATTATAATTTTTAAAAAATTGGAAATTCTTCCCAAATCATGGAAAGAATTGAGTACTCTTGAGCTTAAAATACAGTTATAGGATTTTACGACTAAACGAATATACTACAGTATCTTAGAATGTTTCAAGACTTTTCCTAGTATTTAAAATTATGTCTTATTTTAATATAATGTAACGTTTTTATTATGTACTAAAAACAGTAAACTGTTGTAATAATCACCTGTTTTATTGTGTTTTATTATTGACATTATTTATTATCACAATTTTATTAATCAATTACATAATTAATTAATATAACACTGAATAATGACATGTGATTTGTATTTGAAAATAGTTTAAAGTTTATAATAAATAATGTCGCGGTCAATGCACCATCAGATAACCAATTTGTATGTCGTGATACGGCCTGGACATGATAAGTCACATGTACAATATCTTGCATGCATTGTAAATCTATCTATTTATCTTATATTAGAGGTCTAGAATTGTATGAGAAGGAATCGGAATGGAATTAGACAAACTAGATTTAGAGCACACTTTGAACTTAAATAGCAAATGCTTTTATTTAACACTATTATTAGAACTTTATTGTCTATTTAAGTGGAATCTCATCTTACATCTAAAATTCAAAACGATACTACCCATAACACAAAAAAAAATTGATACATAAATAAGTTTGTTTAGATTTATATAGATCTTTTCTCCGTAAAATTATTTGGTCGAAGAAACAATTTGTAGATTTCGATGTTGTGCGGGCGCGTGCAGAGGAGCGCGCAGTTAATTTGAGATTGATACTAATACTATGAGCCACGATGTGGAGTGTGAATAAGCGTTTTACTACTCCGACTCAGAGTTGTAAGATACTTACTAGTGTTATGTGAATTATAGAAACTGTACCAGCCTGTGTGTGTGCGTACGAGTCTGAGCAGGCGTTATCGAGATCACGGATCGCAACGCATCGCACAGCACTGCACGTCAGAGAAGTTAGGAGCTAATGAATTGCCAGTGGCCGCGCCGCGCCGCCTCAACTCAAACGCGGCCCGGTATTTTAATGACGCCCAAATGAAATATGTTAATGAAATCAGCCGGCGATTATTCAAAATAATTGCCACATGAAAGTGGACTATAATTATTGTGTGAAAAACCTAGCATTAAATTAGACGCTGGATCTTTACAGGAGGCGAGCGGGCCGCGGCAGACGGACGCGACCATTAATGCAACAATAAAGTATTAAAATGAATATAATTTGCATAAGCTAACACGGCGCGGCCCGCGGAACCCAATCTCTAACATCTTCATTCGAGGCTATATGTTATTTCAGATAACACTGACACGAGCCATCACAACATTTATATTCAAATTTGCATGATTTCAAATCAGATTACGTCCGAGATTGATGAGCTTCCTACGGCAGGTGAATCTTTAAAATTGCTTATGCTGGAGAGAGTTTATGCTCCTATTATAGTTATCATTTGGAGGCAACAACGCACAGCGCCGTCGACCGGTACCGCATATTGGTTTTTGTTCAGGTCTAAATGGTCTAAAGGGTCAGGCGGGAAAGGGAAAATCGCGTGATCCGCGCAGTATTTTTGGAACAAATTTGTCCGTTTTTGTGGCAAATTAGCGTCACGGAAGCGCAAATGAACGCAACAAATGCCAAACGAACGAAAACGTGGCCGAGGAGGCCGCGCGCAAAGGTCACGCAGAAATTGGAGCATAAAAACACGTAAGAGGGCTACTTGTTGTTGTGGCGGGAGCGGATTGGCGGCGGTGCGCAGCGGCGCTGGCGTGCGTGCGCGTGCCAAAGTTCACGTCGCTCCCAGGCGCCGGTGGAGGCGGACGCGGACGCGGAGGCGGACGCGCACGCGGAGGCGGACGCGCACGCGGAGGCGGACGCGGCGGAGGGTGCCGGACGGAATCGTCGTTTGGACGTGGGCGCCTTATTTCGAGGCCATTAGCGCGGCATTACTTACCAATTCAATTGTAATTTCATTATAATTTGATTGGGTTGTAATAGGCTCGTTAGAGCGGAGCCGTTGTTTTGGTGTTATAATGGAGACATTTCGTCTCCGTGTCTTCGGGGCTCCCGGTAATCACGGCGTTAGTGCGGGCTATTGGTATTCACATTGTTACCACTGCGCTTTTTTACATTTGGGTTTTAGGTACTAAGAAATAGGTGGAAAGCAACAATCCAAGTTCTGAAATCAGTTTTCTCATTCATTAATTCATTACAACGCCGGCTGCGTTTCGGTAATTATTTTGAAGCGACCAAATAACTCCTAGTATTAAAGGCTAGCACTATAAATATTAAAGTATTTATCAATATTAGTATTCTGGGTGGAGGAGAACTATTAATTTCGTATTTGATTCTCAAATCGATTCAGGTCTCGTTGTATGTTGTGATAAAGTTTCCCGAATATTTATCAACTGTTCATTGTCATCGTTCTTATATATTCTTCCTTGGTGAATGGAATTCTATAATGGCAATTGAATATCCTGGGATCACTCCATGAGAATTTCTATTAATTTTCCAACAAAACGCACTATACTATTATCAGCCAGTGCCAACTCAACACGCGATATACTCATAACCAGTTTTATAGTTTTTTTTTCACACCTTCTTTGAAGCCACTGTTACTCGATGCCGATAGGCCTGAACTAAACCGATTTCTTCATCTAAAATAACTTACCTACATTCTTGGGTTACAATACTTCAGGCTAAAGAGCGCCCGTATTTGAATTAGAAGCCACTTAATAAAACTGAACACATGATTATAGTCTTGTCAATTAAAATGGACTAATTAAACAACTCTGAGGCCTATATGTCAATAAATTTTTCATGTGCTATTGTTGATAAACATCTTACCCTAAATAATCTTTAAAGTGTAGAAAAGCGTGTAAAAACTACCTAATACAACATACAACAAAATTTTTGAAAATTTCTTCGGTACAACAATGAATACTTAGAGTAATGAACAAAATGTCCATGATGTTCTTATTTCACATTATATCTTCATGCAAATTAACCAAACAGGTACAAATAAATAGACTTAATTCTTAATAAAAATTTGGCAAATAATCAAAGGCTATTTATAATAACTTTGAAAATATATTTAAATGAACTACCACTAGTTAAATAATTTAAATATTTCTATCTACGTGTCTTCTTTTAGCAATTACAATTCGTTATCAATATTACTGTTATAATATACGATGAGTGAAAATGTTTCAGTTAAAGGTAAGTTATTAAGTTAGTTAAGGGCAAAGTAAATATAAATCATAGAGTTATGACATTAAAGTATATTATGCTGCAAAATTAATTAATTTTGCAACATAATTTTTCATAACCTACGGACGACAAAAAGAACTAACAAAAGTTCTCAATGTAGAGTTGCCGTCGGGCCGTGTCCGTGAAAGATGCTCAGTTGGATAAGAAAGTGGCTCGTTGGACCAATCGGTAAAGAAGACATTAGCAGTGGTCGCTCTGGACGTGTCGCCATGAGACCGTGTGACGTATCAATTAATTAAAACACATGAGAGTGTTGAGAGATCGGGTCGGTCGGGAGCCCATTCCATCTGCGGGACGGGGCTCTCCTTTGATGGGCCAAATTGAATGGCGCCACCGGAGCCTCTCCACTTCACAATAAAGAGATGAAGTGCATTCGGGGCGTGTCAAAGGAATCGTTTTGCAGCGGGCGCACGACAAAGGGGCCCGCGGAGAGAGTTAATATCTTGGCAGGGGTCGCAACCCTTGCTCTACCCGCGCGGACCTGCTTCGGGATTAAGCTCTGATAACTTGTTGACACGTCTTTATGTGCCGGAGGTGAGGGGGTGCGTTCGACACTAAATGCCGACTTGTAAATATTGTTAGCGCAACTCCTTACGAGAAGTCTGGCCCGTCGGCGCGGGGAATGTTTGCGCGCACAGAGAACACTTAGGAGGCATAGCCGCGGTTTAGGTGAACTTGTAAAATGCGGAGAGAAGCGGTCGCCGTAGAGTTAGTTTATGAGGACTTACTGATATAGAAGAGGAGTGGAGCGGCCGAGATTCTTGACGAGGAAACACAAAACTCTACTTACTGTTCCCGAGCGGATCGCGAGCCGCTAGTGACGATAACGTTTATCAGAGTATATGTATATATATATATATGTAGTATGTACGTGGGATTGCATCGGTCGAGTCGGAGAACGAGCAGGGAGCCGAGCACAGTGCACAGAGGGCCGGGGCCGGGGCGGGTGCGCGTGGGCAGCCGCTACTGACCGTGGGCGAGGCGGGCGGGCGGCCAGGCGGGCGGGTCGCGCAGGCGCAGCGAGCAGTCGAGCGGCTGGTCGCGCGGGTCGCGCAGCGCCAGCGCGGGCATGGCGCGGCCGCGGCCAACGGAGCTGGGGCGCGCCGTCTCGACGAGCGCGCGACGTCCGCCCGGGAAGCGCGCGAGCGAGGCACTGCCGCGCGGCCCGCGCTTTTTTCACCGGCCTTTTTTTGGCCGCGGCGGCGCGGGGCCGGCCTCGCGCGGCCAATCGCTGCCGGCCGCCCACCGCCGCCCGCCCCCGCCCCCGCCGCCGCCGCTGCCACCGGGACCCCCTCCCCCACGCCACCCGCTCCTATTTACGTGCCGTATATTAAAAGGGTTTTCCGCGGCCCGTTATGGATTTTCCCGGCGCTTTACATACGACCGCTGGCTCGAGCGCCGACTGAAATTCAGCAGACCGTACGACCCCCCCCCCCCCGGGGTCGGAACATTCCACCAGAACGCTTCAGGAAAAATTCTGTTTCGATTGATACCATTGCCATCAGTAAACTATCTCTATCAGTAAAGCCAAATATTTAATCACAATTTTCAAAATTACATCATTTCATGAGCTCCAAAAGTAGACAATGTGAAATGTTCATAAATATTTTGCATACGGTAGTTACGCAGAAAACAGCAACCCCAATTTTGAGGTGTCTTTATTTGTTCATCTCATTACTACTTGAATAAAGTATGTACAACGGCAATCCATTGCAAGTAAACCTGCTTAGTATTATTATTAAAATTATTTCAGATCAACATATTATCCTGACTGTATATTTCGATAAAAATACAGTAATGTAGTATGTTTATTTGTTTGCTATGTCGATCAAAATTACTGCCCCTTGTTCTTTATTACTCTACACTCTTGCTGTACTTCCAAGTCAGTGGACACAAAAAAGTTTATATTATTTATTTTGCTCATTCCAAGGATTAATGGACATAAAAATCTGCATATAATATAGACCAGTACAAAAAAGACCCATACAAATATTAATTCTTTTATTAATATTATTATTTTAAAATTAAAAAAAATCTGTATGAATCTGGCAGTAGCAACGGTAAGTGCTGATGCAGAATATGCCGTATTGCTAAACATTTTCATCCACTTTTCATTCCTCACTAGTTTAACAGACATTTGCAATGCTTCTTTGACTAGTCTTTTTAATTAAGATTTGTGATTTGTGAAAGTTATATAACTGTATTCATTTGTTCTCGTAAGATATTTTGTTTTAACAAGTCTTATCCTAGGTGGTACCAAAGCTTCTCAGCGTTCCGTTGTATATGATACAGTCTCTTTTTTAGGTAAGATACATGATAGTGGTAGAGCTTTAGTTAGAACCAATTACTATAAAAAGATAGACGTGGACTTATTATAAGGATTATAGAACAAGGAATGGATTATGGAAGCCGTTGAGATTTTTCGTTTAAGAATATTTTTTGTCAACTTGTAAAATAATTTAAAACCACAGAGATTATTTTCTTGTAATTATAAAAACTTTTCATGCACAACAAATATGTTTTGTTTAATTAGTTGCATTATGATAAACGTATGTAAGAAAATAAAATGTAACAACAAACGAAGTAAAAAAAAAATAAATATCAGCCTATACAGGTCCCACTGCTGGGCAAAGGCCTCTAATGTACAGTGGGCATTCGGGCATAGTCCACCGCGCGGCCCCACTGGAAATATTTTTTTATTATTATTTCGAAAATATACTGGTTTCCTCACGACGTTTTCATTCCCCGCCGAGCACGTAATAATTCAGCACTTAAGATTAAAAATTTCATTGGTGCCGGCACCGGGGATCGAACTCAGGTTGCTCGAGTATACTGAATTAAAGGCGAGCACCCGCACACTGGACTGACACGGCCACAAAGCTTTTAAAAACGCTTTTAGATAAGAGTAGAATTCCTTACTTCCGGCGAAGAAAACTGGTCAAAATAACAGCGTATTAAGAAGATTTTCAATTTGTTTGCTAGTCAGGAGTTAACGACGTTATAAGGGTAGTTTTAGGCTATAATTGCACTATGGTTATAAAAAAAGAAATTTAAAATTGTGTATTATAAATCTTTCAACAAAATGCCTATTTAGTTAAGCTGTTAGGATATTAAAGGTGTGAATATAAAGAGTATAAACCATCTTTCGTTTCTTTTTATATCTTTAGTTTCTTTTTATTTTTTTAGTTACGTACCAAAGTGGATAAATAAAAAGTTACTAGGTTTGAATATGTTTTAAATTATAACATATTAAATTATAACATAAAAATAACGCGTAAGATTATTACCAAGAAATTAACTAGCAATATTACACTCATGACATACTATTACACATATTACACTCATCTCACATATTATGTGTGAATCGAACCCATCAAACGGGACAACTATTTGTGTGACCCACAGACAATTGTTTTGCATCTATTAAATGAAACTAGTTTACAGATTTTATCGCGTTTTTATTTTGATGTCAACTTCCGGACGTTTCGAACCGTTTCCAGCGTTCATGGTCACGGGACAGAATCTTTGGATCTGCTAGTGGGTCTACGTGAAATTTATGTTTTCTGAAACATCATTACAACACATGATAATGTTATGCTACTGTACGGGCAATATTTTTTGATAAGAACAAAATGACCTAGTGTCGTCCGAATTCAACGCCTTCGTGGCCGTCTATCTTGGTGATGACTGTACCGACGTGTCCAATGCCAAATGCGAAAACATAATGGAACTGCTAATGGGTCGATTTATAATGGTGTGCTCAAGAAAAAACTAAACGTTAGCGTCGTGTCGGACGGACCGATAAATATTTGAATGTGATCGTGCATATTCGTCCCGACATTCAAATGCTGAGCGCCATTGTGCTCGCGGAGTACCGTTTGACCCTGGCGTTTGGCGCGCACCAAAAGGTCTGTCGATAAAGGGCCAATATGCGCCGCGCTCCTGCCAGTGGGCGCTTACGCGTGCGGCGTAAGGTCCACAGTGGCGCGGACGGCGCGGGGACAATGTGCGTGAAATATGGGTCAGGCGAGAGCGGCGAGGCCGTTGTTTGCGGCGACATCTGCCGCCCCCGCACCTGGACCTAGCACACGATCCACCGGCAATCCACCCCGCCCCCCGCCACCCCCTTTCCTTGGGGTGCCCCGTCAGCGACACACGAAAATACGCAACGAGATGCAGATTTAGGACACTATTGATGTCCCATAATAAGCATTGCCAAAATCACGTCATCTGAATTCTTTGTTTCCCTAACTGGCCAAACGTATCTGATATTCATATTTTTTATTTGTTTACGGGAAATCAATATGATGACAGTCACATTGTAACTTTAAGATAATAGTCCCTACTGAAAAACTATTATTGAAAAAATATATCCTTCGAGGTTTAATACGTTTAGTTGTACACCACAAAAATATAATGGGCATGCATTCTTACTCGTGTTACTAAATCGCAACAGCACGGATATGTGTGATTTTCTTGGGGTCCCTTACTGCGGAACGCGCTAAAGTTACCACGAGTCTTCTAACCGATACTGGGTGCGTAGATTCTATTCCAACGCAATCCATTACCACAAAGCTTAGAAGAAAGATTAGCCCCAGTTTTTTCTCGAAGACAAGGCACTAAAGTGAGAAATCGATTGTCCAGAACAAGTCGGCGTCGTTCCGATATTGAAACTATCGAAGAGTCTGAAGGGGCCTCTCCGATCCTCGAGGTCTCCCAATAATACACCTTACGAAACAACTCCTCCATTGACTGAACTCGATACGAACTTGTCTTATTAAAGAACGTATTTTCGAAAATGGAGAGTATCATAATATTTGAGTAATTCTCTTTTCATGGTTATTTATATAAAAACAAGCATACAGAGGTTTCTGCTTAAACGCGGGAAAAACTGCAGAGGCTGATAAAAAGGAGTGGCGTAGGAAGATTAATTGTCCGTCCGTACGTGCCCCGAACGCCCCGCCGTTCCCGCGCACAACAAAGCGTTTCAAACAAAACAAGAAATTAATATCAGTTAATTCAGAGACGCTCAGCGTCGAATGGGAGAAACGTGAAGCCAACGAGTGGCGACCGACGCGATGACCTTTGAACTATGCACTTATTTATTTTATTTATTCTTTATTTCAAATACCTCGATTAAATTTTACAAAGGACAAACTCCATGGTCAACCTTGGTTCTCAGTCAATTACATGAGTCGTCACAATTTTATGTTCATGATGTTGTTGCAATGTAAGATATCCTTAACCTTTGTGAATACTTAAAATTTTTAAGTCACCAAATTACATCGTATTTTTAACGAATTGTAGCCACTTGAATTAAAATGCACTTTTGTATCAAAATTGTTTCTGCAGCGATGCGGAAAGAAAACTAGAAATAATTGAGATATCATCATCGGTTCCCTGTCGACGATTTCTTGCTCTTACCAATAACGAGTCCATGGGGGGAGTCAATTAAGGACGCGTGTTCCCTACACGGTATCGATGCCCACTTGATGTTCCGTATTTACGGAGTTTAATATTAGCCACATTTGCCAAGGAAACGAAGCGGTCCACAGGTGCAATAAGCAACGACGTGATTAGTTGCGCTCGGGCCGAAAGAAGCGGCCAAAGGTGTTTAGATAGGCAGCTGCCGTTAAGGGATAATGGGTCATTGTGCGGGCACAAGGCACGCGCGGCCACCGAGTGGTTTATTGGGCTGATTTCGGACACAGGTGGTCAGCGGCGACCACGGCTACGGCCCGGAAACCAACCGAGAACGACCTTGTTAATCGATGAGTATTTGTAATTTAGGTAGTGGCAAACAAGAACCGTGCATTTATGTCTCTGTACAGTATTCTATAGGAAGGCGAATGACTTAATAAATATTCAATGTAAAGCAATGCTCTGGTACTATCATAGATCATACAGTTGATACGATTAAAATGAAATTATAACTGAACTGATAAAAGTGTACGTTGGTCCTCCGCGGCACCAGTACATGTAACGCTTCACACGTATGTAGAGGCCAGAGACTTCGACAACCGCTCGACCGACCATTGAGATATGGGCGTCCGAAGCGAAATCACTATATCTGCGGTTACAAGGGCGCTTGAAATGAATGACTCAGAGCCGGGTGCTATCAGCGGCTCTTTCTTCGCGAAAAAACCTCAACGCGTCGTTAGTATAATGCTGGGCTTTCCTTCGCCGCGACAAATAAGGCATACGACTCTATGATTGCTCTCCAGCGTTCTCACGTCGGTGTTGCCGACTGCGAAATGTTAAACGGTTTAAGTTTTTCCCCCATGTCGCATTGAAGCATTTTATTTCCCGGAATGGAATGGCAACCGAGTGATCATAATCAATAATCATATCAAAGCAATCTTTGATAAAGCATTTTACAATGCAGAAGTAGTATAGATTATAAGTCGGAGTAGTTGTGTTGCAGTGAAAAAAATTACATGTTCGTGGTATGAAGTAGTTTTGAATACTTCTTAACCATGAGTATAATGTGTAACTATTGAATGTTAAATAAGACAGACTCATTACTATTCGCCATCTCGGTACATATATATATATATATATATATATATATATATATATAAAATAAAATGTAATATTAAAAAAATAGTAAATGAACGTTTGGCTTGGAAAGGCTACTATCATATTAATGATTATTTAAATGATAACACACTCTGGTAATGAACTGATCGCTCCAGGCTCTTTCAATCAGAGTCCTTATATTGTATTTTTAATGATTTCATGTCAAACTGCTTATATAAAAAAAATAAAATAAAAAAAAAGCCCGCTGAGTTTCTTTCGCCGGTTCTTCTCAGTACGCTGGATTTCTTTTCCGAACCGGTGGTAGTGTTTTGACTATCAATAAGCAAGTGTAATGCTCCTATGTTGAATAAAGACATTGATTTTGATTTTGATTTTATAACAATAGACTATGCATGTCTTTCTATTTAAACTTATTCCTAATTTTAAACGACGAATTTCGTCTCCCAATGACCTTAGGAACAGCCCGAAACATCCCTGTGTACCGGCTGTGCCATGTTCAAAACGTGTGAAATTTTAGTTTAAATAAACTGCCAATAATATCTATCTCATCGAAATCAGTTCAAGTTTGTTTTACCTGGTCATAGAAAAATTTGAATTCGATTGTAGAGTTTTTTATGGCAGGATGAGCCTTACATGGTGATTGATGGGATATTTACGGTTGCGCCGGACTTGAGGTGGCCGAGCGCTCGGGGCCCCTATTCTGAACCTTGGGCCGGACCTCGGCTCGATCGGTAGCTATTATCTGACTGGAAGAATTTCTTGAATTTCTAGATCTAACATTACGACCACTTAGGAAAGCATTGGCGCTGGGAGAAGAAGTCGCGGAAGAAATTCCAACAACGCTTCTATCATTAACGGGGGAAAACTTGCCAGGAACGTGGCGGAATTTAATATATGTGTGATCTGCTGTGTTTGCGTAATTGTATTATCCTGTCGATGGCGATAGTCGTCTTATAGTCAAGGAAATCGAGGACGTGTCGTGGTCTGCGCTATTTGCGACGGAACGAACCTTGTGATAGGGGTCTGTAGGTGACGGCATCTAGTCGTAGGTGCCGTCACCTAATGAGAAGTTTTTTTTTTTGGGCTGGATGAGCCACTGTTGGCCTTAGGGGCCTTTACAGTTCCGACGGGCTTGAGGTGGCCTGGCGCACGAGGCGCCTAGCCTGAACCTCGGCGTACTATTATTACGCGTATGAGAAGTGTTTAGTTAGTGCGGTATAAGCACGTGCATGGTGCGACTACTAGTCACCTGCGCGCGGCGGGCACTCGCTGCGCAGCAGCCGCTGCAGCCGCGAGGCTGGGTAGTGCAGCCACGCGCGGGACTCGCTCGTTCGCTGAAAACAATAAGCATAGGTTAAAATTCAAGTTTAAAAGGCGGTGATATAAAAATAAAAGCAAAACTCACTCTAATCACTTCATCTTTATTTATGAAATAGATCCCACGAGAAACACGAAGCCTACATAAGGGCTAGATCTTATCGCCCTCATTAAAACCCATTGAAAAAAAGTACCGTGGCGCGCGCTGGCTAAGTCCTATACTTCTTTGTCGCCACGCGTCTTACGTTTCTTGCAACTGTTGGTGCTAAGCCGGTCGAACGGTGGCCGTCGGACGGTGACCACCGCTCGAGGCGGGCGACGTGTGGCGGGCGGCGGGCGGCGTTGCTACGCTCGCGGGAGGGCGTGGCGTCGCCGCCGTCTCGCTCACTAATGTATGCACGTTTCCCGAGCGCCGCGTTTTTTATCGCAGTCGCGCGCCGCATTAGAATTTCCAGGCGAGAAAATCTCACACTCGGCACGTAGTGTACGGGAAAATGTGCCGTGGCGCCGGGCCCGAGGAGCGGGAGTGCCGCGGCACGCGCCCCGAGGCGGGTCGCTGCGAATTCGGGGCCCTGAAGGGGGGCGCGGGGAGTCAGGCGGCGGATGCGAAACACCGTCACTGCGAATTGTACATGGAATTAAAGTGTACGTTGGTCCTCCGCAGCACCAGTACATGTAACGCTTTACATGTACCTAGAGGCTAGAGACATCAGCAAACTACCAGTAATAGATTAATTTCATATTTATGTAGATGCTGACTACACAGATGATCTCTTTTAAACAAATGGTCCCTAAAATATGGTAAACCCTTATTTCACAATATTCCGAGCTGAAACTGTACGCCAAGCAAATGGGTAGTGGCTTATTTTTCACGTCAATTTAAATTCCAGTGGCCGGGTGGGTGCGGTATTCCCGCTATCGGCCGTCTGCAGACTAATGCAATCATCTCGCTCCACTCGGCCCGCACTCGGCGCTCTCGCCGCTCGCGCCCATTCTCCTCGCTCCGCGCTCGCCGCTTATCTAATATGCACACTACACGGGCTCCGCTCGGCCCAAAGGCGCGTGTAATCGCGCGGCCAGCGTGCCGCTCGGGACGCCTCGCTCTCTCATCGGCCCACAGCCCAGACCTGCACTCGGATCTCACTACTGTAATGGCATACGTCACACCCGAACCGTCAGATAAATTAAGATGATAATAATCAACACGTGTAAATAAAATATATCATATCTAAGCATGCGAATATACAAATATATGACGAGTTAAATCATACGTACTGGTTTCGCTCACAAAATGAAATGGTGCGGGATACATTTGTAGCACAATAGGCAACTCGCAAAGCGCAAGCGATCAACCCCCATCGAATCTGCTAAACTTCTACACCACGATTCGAGTTATGTCTTCGAACTTTTATTTGGAATATAAGAATTTTCTAGGGCTTAAAAGAATTTCGTACAAAATTAGTACTTTTTATTTCAGTACTGCGCCTTTCGATCCTTATCCCTGTAGAATAAGTGAATGAGCATTTACCTGACCCGGTGGGAGTTCAGACTTACATACTACGTGTGGTGTCATCGAAACTCCCAACGATTTTCTGTACACTTAGTGAGATACAACAGTCTGAAGTAGGATACAATCTGTCCGGCGGTGCCGAAATATGAAAATCTGACTTCACTAGCAAAAGAGACTTTGACTACAATAGCAAAAGGGACATACGTCTACGTACAATGCGCACGTACTCGTATGTGCATAATTACGCTTAATGAACATTTTTTATAGATTTAAGCCTTTATTCAGACTGACAGTGAAATCTAAAAATGACACTAAAAAAAATAGGCAGTTGTTAATGTTAATTCGAACATCTTGTAGTTATAAAATTTAAAGTTTTTTATAGTGCTAAACTCTGCACTTAAGATTGAACATTAAAACATGTAGAAAAAGTACGAAAAGATTGTCGCCGCTCTGGGATCGAACCCACGTCTTCGGCATTCGCGGCCTGACGCTCTAGCCACTAAGTTTGTATGCTGGAAAGGATATAACCATAGATGCGCCAAGCATTGCTTCAAATGCTAAATAACAATGTAGAAAGAAGGCGTTAAGATTTTCGTCGCTGTGGCTATCAGCCGTTTAGCTCAGTGGCTAGAGCGTCAGGCCGCGAATGCCAAAGACGTTGGTTCGATTCCCACAGCGGCGACAACCTTTTCGTACTTTTTCTACATGTTTTAATCTTGTACTCATCTTGTGCGATTGGAAGCCTTCATTATCAATAACATGGATAGCTCAGGGGGCATTAGGTAATACTGTAGTATATTGCTTTCACTTAAACAACACTGAACAAATATCACTATTATTTAGTATAACAGCTAAGAGTACATAGAAATATTAGGAACAGGTGTGTAAGGATAGAGCATAACCGTTTAATCCTTTTTTTTTTCTTTCTTTTTTTTTTTTAAACATTGTCCTCACTTTAGAATAACATTATCCTGTGTTGCAAGGACGTTTTACAAACATAAATTTCACGCGGACAAACACCCAGATGCGAAACAACTATCTGTGGGTCACACAAATAGTTGTCCCGTGTGGGAATCGAACCCACGACCCCCGACGCCGAAGCCAATACCCTGGCAACTGCGCCACGGAGTCATCATTCAATCTATTTCAAATTAACAATAAGAAACGAATAATTAAAAACATTGTTACTTTGAATTGAATTAAATATACATTTGGGGCTACATACTTCGAGTTGATATAAAATTATCATGTTGCTAAACTGTGCTTTCCTGTCGCTGTAAAATGGCTACTGTCGTTGCTGTGAGAACCGTTACAATATGGACAGCGAATGTGTCAAACGAAAATACTCGCATTTGATTTAAAATATGTAGTGGCCCTTCGAGACAAATTTGCGCCGACAACCTGTCTTATCGCGCAACATTCACACAAAGCGGGAGCACCGAGATTAGTTCTTTTGGTTTTGTTCTGTCTTGCACAATTATCCTTCCATGTGTGGTGTAGAGGATATTAACTGTGCGAACATTCAAGTGAACACTTTTTATTATTACACGTCGACACTACGATAAGAATGTAACAACAGTGGTTAGTTCTAATCACAAACTGAAGGAATACATTCAAGCAAAAAGTTTATTAAGCATGACTTTATAGAACCACTTAACGCTGTTGTATCAACACTAATTAATGGATAGAAAGAAATAGCCGCGGACCTTGTTTACAGTTATATGAAGAAGTGGTAAAAAACTGGCAGTGGCACGGAGGGCAAGCGGCAAAGGTCACGTGGCAACGGCAGCCTCGTCCTTGACCGCGGCCGTTGGCACCGCCCACCCCCTGCGCACGGGAGAGAGCGCTCCTTGCACCGGCGGAAGGCCCGTGCCTTGTGGGAACCCAAAACGGGTTTCCGAAATGCGCAAATGTGGCCACGAACCGCACTAACGATCATCGACTGGACGCTTGCGATGAAGTCATTTCTTTATTTTGTTTTACTTTATCTAAAAATTTTGGGAAACTCACATCACAGCATAATTATATTATTGGGAAACGAATACAGAAGGACAATTAAAAATTTCCACATTAAAACAAGTATAGAATGACAATTAATATAAAATTTACAAAACAATTTATGTTACATTACATTAAATAGAGTAAATTAATCCATTTCAGCTACAGTCTCAGTCGCAATCGGAGTATATTTCAATAATTAGAATCTATTAAAGAAAGGTAAGTGCACTTTGCTTAGCCGGATGTTTATAAAACGGGTGCGACAAATGAAGTATTAATAGGAGCAGATCGAGTCTATGAATACATACTGTTTTACTGGAAATGTTATACTTGAATATTTGTCTCGCGTGTTAACTTTGTACATCAACGATTGTTTCGTGGAACGATCGAATAAAGACAAAAGTATTGCCAACAATATTCGTAATGGCTCATGTTCGGATGGCTCATTGGGAATAAATAATATTGATTATCCACCGCCCTTGGAGGCAGCGACGTAGCGATTCCGCTAACCGGCCGTAGCGACCACCTTATTGATACCTGCCACGTCCACACCATACGAAATAAATGCGCGCTCGGTTCCTGGATTAGTCAAAACTATTCACGATAATTTATGGAGCGTTTGGAATTGAAGTCACGCCTTCCGTTCGGGGAACAGGTGCCGCTAATTAATTCAACTCACCTCGGCCTTCGTCGCGCCTTCCACCCACACGATCTATTTTACTATCTCTACACTGATCTCACCGCAATCGATCAGTCAATTGCCAAGAATAGTTACATATCATCAACTACTACTAACTACATAATTACATGTCTACGTCTTTTTTTACAATATGACAGATATTACTCTGAACAACGACGACAGTGTAAGGGTCACAAATGTCGCCTTAACACAGCGTGTATATCTTTCACCAGAACTTACGAAAAATCGTCTGGTAGGTAGACAAAAACCTCTCATATGTTTAAATATGCTAGTAGATGAGATTTCGTTTTTAGTTTGGATTCGGACCGGGGAGACCGATCTACTTTGGGGCATGAACATGGCTATCAGTGTTGCTGCTGGTATCTGTCGCATCAATCGAGCGGGCACTGCGAGTGGGGGAGATGGTATCGCGAGGCGGCCGGTCAGGTGGGCAGTTGGGACAGCGCCGCGGGCAGCGTATAAATCACGGCTCGGCGATGCAGCCGCGGCGCGGGCGGACGTAGTAGGCCTGCGATCGGTATGGGCAGCGCGTGCCTCCATTACAATGGAGGCGTCGCGGCGGCGCATGGCAAGCAGGCCTTCGGGGAAGGAAGCTCCTCGGAACCGCGCACCTGCCGGTCGCCTATCTGGCTCCAGATACCTGTTCATCGCTGAATCATTGACGTCCACCAGTACACCACCCGATGGAAAACATCGCAATCACATAATACGTAGGAACATCTTTAATAATTGGATAGATTAATGTGGTTACAACTGTATGTGTATGTGTCTTATATAAAGACTATTAAGTGGATGTTGTACGAGAATGAATAACTATGATTTTTAGCGTACCAGGCTGTATTTCGTGAACGGTGATAATTAAAGGCCACCAGGCTGTATTTCGTGAACGGTGATAATTAAATAGTTGAACGTTTGCACAGATTATGTACTTCTGTTGCCGCTGTAAAAACAAATACTAAAAAAAATAAAGAAATATTTAAGTGGCTTAATGGGAGCACCCATACAACAGGCCAGATTTTTTGCCGTTTTTATAGATAACGCTTTTACAATAACAATAACGAACTTCTTCTTTTTTGTGAATAAAAAGAAGGTCGAAAACATTTCAAACTTTTTACGGCACTTCATAACTTTCATAACATCCCAAAACTGTCTATTCAAGAAATATTTTGAACTCATAATAAATCGACAAATTAACGAAGAGTACCTGTTGTAAAATAACTAAACACACTAATTTAGATCATAAACATGCATCGCTTACTATATGTCCGTAATAGTAAATGAACGGGGGAGAGTGGACAACGGGCGATTGGTGACTTGGCAAAGTTTAGGAAAAGAATAGTGGTATTTATGATACTCATTTTACAGTAGGTGCTGCACTTCGCATTTGCACAAGTAGATTCGACGGGTTCATCGCCGCTGCAACACTACTACAACTGTCTTGTCATTAATATTGATATACAAACTGTAAACAATCGTGGCCGAGTTAAATAACAGATTAATGCAACGGTCTCCTATTTGATTGAACCTCGGACTCCTCGGTTGTGACTTCAAATCTCAGTGGTGTTTATACCATACTTTTAATTTTGTAATTCGTTCTATAAAAAGTACGTCACGTCTCAAGCTTTTGTCGACATCTGTCGTGATCGAAAATTAGGCTTGTTTTAACACCAACCATTTTGATACGTAGTCTTTCCCACGTTGACGATTTTATACGATTCTCTGAATTGTATAGAAATTAAACTTTAAATGTATATTATTACTTATATAATGAAATTCAAAAATAATTGTTGTTGCGCAGTTGTGAAGAATTATATAGATGGCTCGTTATGCATTGGATGCATGGATGATGCAGGGTCCTACGTGCAAGCATACGGTCATGCATTGGAAAAGAGAAGGTTTGCACGAATCTTTGGAAGATATCGTATTATCCACCTTGACCTGGGAAGTAAGGCTCTTGGAGCTTTATAGCGTGGAATGAATTGGGAAGAAGAGTAGAGGTAGGGCCGACACGGAGCGCAAGCCCCGAGGTTTGAAACTGTTGAACGCTTTCGCTCCTTAACAGGCGAGATGACAGTCAATCCAAGCCGACTATCCTAGTCTGGCGCGAGTAATGTGAATGTGAAGCGCATTTACAACGCAGGATATAGTCTTGTTAGAGTAAGGGCAATGTTTTCTATAGCAAAATCTGTATTCTGCTTCCCGAACGCTCCTGAGCGAATGTTCTTTTACTGGGGGCAACAGGTTTTTTCTGCTTTTGGGATAAATTCAGACGATTTCACAAATATGTACGTTCTTGGCGCCAACTACGTTGGCATTTTCCTTTTTATCATAAGGACATTTTCTAGCCCGCTACAATATAAAGGCTATACATAGAGTCAAAATCTGTTTACCTTTAACATTTCTATAAATTAAGTATTTCCCTAGTGTGATTTTAGAATAATTAAAAACGCAAAACACTAATTTAAATTGTAAAAGACGTATTACATTTTAGACAATGTAAATAAATAAACAATAATTTTGAGTAATAAAATTTCTTTGAAAACTTCATAGGATTTAAATTTTAACATGTGCCTAAAAAAGCTATCGGACAGCTAGAAATTTGTTTTACAGAGATCAAATATTAGAATACTAAACATCATTGTTCTAACTTCACCAACGTCAATGACAAAACATGTGACATTAGCATGTCGGTGACGGAATAAGAATTACCTAACGTGCTTATAGAAGCATAAACTACAATAATAAAAAAAATTTGCTTGTCGAATGGGAGGTGTTTTTCTCTTTAATCTTTCTGCAGCAAAAAGCTATTCAGTAGCCGCATGTATCGACCCGAAGGCCGTACGGCCAATTTCGTTGGGCTCAATTAGTGTGCCCAAATCATTCCGTCCGTCGTTGTATGGCCAAAGCAGGCATGTCAAGGAAGCGCGATCGTTTCGCAACACGCGTGGCCCCTGTACACATAACAATGTGTCAATCATTGTGTATCCATATACATTCTGCTGTGTCTGTGTTATACATTTAACTGGAAGGCATCGTTAGCCATATTCATATTGTAATCTCTTTTTGCGAGACTGCATTATGATACGTTGAATTTACTATTCAACTCATGATATTATCATTAAAAATCATGACTGATTGAATTTGTAAAACACTCTAGATGCTCTCTTATTGCAGACATGCTGCAAATCAAACTTATATAACAATAACATGTAGTGTATAGAGCATACTAATAACATGCTTTATATGTATTTGTATCAAGAAGTGTCGAAAGACACGTGACACGCGTGCCCCGAATGATCTATACACTACAGTAAAAATATAATAAATATTAGATAGCGCGTACCGATTAGCGGAGCGCTGTCCTGGATAACGATAAATGAAATTGTGATTTTCAATACAATTTTATATCGCAATAAATTAATAAGTAATTAATATTCGCTCTATTAGCTCAGAATGATAACGTTCGCCGGGTGTGATATTCGAATTTAATCGAATACAATCAATTAGTAGAATAGAGGGGCCGTGGCTAGAAATCCGAAGCGAGCGCGGCGCTCGGCGTATGCGAGTCAGGCGCGGCGCAGGTGTGCGTTGCGCGCGCCGCATCTCAAGCGCGGAGCGGCGCGCCGCAGCAAGGCCTCGGCCAGCGGATGGACGAGCCGGTCCACGGTGCTGGGTCGCCGGCGGGGCCTCTGGGGGTGCATGTCGGCGACCAGCCCTGCCCGCACGGCGCGACCGCTTATTACAATAGTTATTAAAAAAATTAAAGCCTCTTCGTGGCGTAGTAATTGCCGTTTGATGAACGGTTTCATTCAGAACGGTAACAATTCCTCTACTGCTGATGGAGATTGATGAAGTTTGTGTATGTACTTCGGATCAACACTTGCAACCACTGAGGCTATTGTGTTTTTAGTAGTAATTAAGGAGCGAAGTCTTTGAACAACAGTGTTACCATGAAACTTTTGTTGCTCCACATTTTGCTGCGACTTATTTGAATGTACGTGATTGGGTTAAATATGTTTATCATTATCATTGAAATTTACATAATATAATTTAAAATGAGTATGAAGATTCTAAAATGTTACATGACCATTGAATCGGTAGAATGGGGAACAATGAAGATAAAAGATGGGGTGTGGTTGTTAGCGCTTGGCGCGGAGAGCGGACGCTAGGTGTCGCGACTGTTTGGCGACGCGCCAAATGGTGATTGGGGCCGATTCATGTGCAATCGTGAAGCAAATGAAAGCGGAAGTGAAAAGATATCTAACGTGTAATTCAAAAGAGCTTTTCATTACTACGACTTTTTGGAACGATTCAAAACTTTGCACTATGTAGATAATTTTAAAATGAAAACCAAATCTAAAGACATGCACTACTTTGTGCCGTGAGATCACCACACTCCGTCTCAGGTGTGTACGTGACCTTCGTTTTGGGGAATTCTGAAGTGGAGTAGGTAGTTCGGTGCGCTTTCGCGGTCACGTCCCGACGTTCGTAGCGCGCATGCATATTCATGGGGGAACGAGAGTCGATGGCAACGATCGCGCCATATCGCGTGGGAAGCTGCAACGCGCCGGAGATGAGAGATGCGCGCGCCTCCATCCGGCCGAGGTTGCGGCAGCCTCACCTCCGCCGCCGATGCTCGTGACGATTGCGCCGCCTGACGACTATCATACAGAGTCGCCGTTACGAGCGGCGATCAACGCATGCATTGCCCCGCCTATCAGATTTATTTAGAAAAATAAAAGAGAACAAGGATCGATTTTATGACTAGCAGTCTTTTTGATGATTCTCATGACTTATTATTTTAATATTATTTTTTGTTGCCTAAAGTTTGCAATTATATCATGCGATCTCGCGCGTAGCAATACCCGACATCGTCGCAAGAGGCTCACAAGAGGCATAGGTTTAAACAATGGCGAGGCGTGGGTTTGCATGGGAGCGCGCGGAAAGGCGTCGTTAGGCGGGCGGGCCCTCGGCCGCTGAGTTATGGGCCGAGCGCGAGATGCATCGCGCCGCGATAGCGCCGACACCCGGCGATGCCCGCCGCGATATCATATAATTAAGCGGCGCACGGCCGCGCGAAATATTACCATACACCGGTAGAGCACGGCGGACCCGCGTCGCGCCTCATCTGATAGCGCCCTCACCCCCTCGGAAGGCCCAAACGGCTGGCGCAGGCCGCGCTGCACAGTGATAGCCCCGCGAGGGCACCCGTTATCTATGGACGCTCTCATGGACGTTGAATACGTAGCAGATGGTCCACGCGAGAGCTCGTTTTAGCGAGTCATTTCAACATCTATTGGATTTTTTTTATAACGTTAACGGAATCGGGATTAGAGTTCAAGGATTTCCAGCGAAGCAACCCGAAGTCTGAGCTATTGGGAATGTTGACACATGATGCGCAATATCAAGTCCTACGATTGAAATTTCCGTTAACCTCCAAGAAGGGATGCGTCCGCATGAAGGTAATAATAATTATGTACGTTCATTATTTTAATTAAAAACGTAAGTTTTTTTTTGCATGAAACGGAAAATTTATAAGATTGCTAAGCCGATTTCAAATCATTTTTATTAACGTAAAGTAAAATATCATAAATAATTATTACTGAATAACAGCGATACATTACTTGAAATTAATGGCTTAGTTGAATGTTTCGTTCACTAATATTGTTAAATAATTCTGCAGGAACGGATGTTATTACTAAATTATTACATTTAAATTTCAGTTTCTGCCGTTTCGAAACGAGCGTCATTCGTGATCACCGGATAAAGGCCTTAGACGTGTTGATGTCACTTTTTAGCCGGGCTACTGTTGGTGATAATAAAATTAATTTTAGTCCCATCTACAAACAACAAGTGTAAGGTGTATAAATGGGAGTGTTATTCAAGTGTTTAATAATACTAACATGGACCAAATTGCGCCATGGGAAAATTTTGTCAAAGAAATTGAAGGAATCCACTGACACATTTCATTTGAATCCTTTGGTACACCAAATAAAACGTTAAAATAAATGTCCCCCATTAGTCTCCCTAGTCTCCGAAAAGCTATCAATGAACTACCCTAGTAAAGTAACAGTCTAAACAGCTGCGTAAAGGCCTCCTAAAGGGTACCAGGGCATACTCCACAACGCGGCCCCACTGCGGATTAGCGGACTTCACATTTCTTCGAAATATTTTTTTCGTTAATACGAAAATATGCAGGTTTCCTCACGATGTTTTCCTTCTCCGGCGAGCACGTGATAATTCAGCACTTAAAATTAACAATAACATTGGTGCCGGCACCGAGGATCGAACTTAGGTTGCTCGAATATATTGAATCAAAGGCGAGCGCCCTAACACTGCCATCAAATTAGTCTGTCTAACTAAATATACTATGAAGGCATGTGCTTCCCAAGGCATCCACGCCGTGGGTCCCGCAGATTTACATAATATATCGAAAGCAGATAAAGAATTCACTGCGTGCCTTGTGACCTAATTGGATGCTAATTCGGCGCAAGCAGTCGCTAATTCAGTTCCCCTGTCGCGGGCGTTTTATCACCGCTTAGCCGCCCATCCGCCGATTCCGCATATCGCTCATAATTAAACTGACGTAAATCTTTTACACCCGCGCGCTAATCAAAGCGGTGCAAGGAGTTCTAAAATAATCGCCGAGCTAACTTCAAACCTTCAACGGACGTTGGAAGCTTCTTTTTTAACTTCCTTTGTACGACCGTTGGCAGCCGTGGCCATAATTGCGCTCCCTATGCAAACTTGTAACATCGTTTCTTCTTCATATCCTTCAAACAATGGCTGCAATGATTTTAATTCAATTGGTGCTAACAATGACATGTACAAATGTAGAAATAAAATTATTTACATTCGCGACTTAAGAATCCTCATTAGTGATCTGTTGTAAGTGATCTTTGTTTTTATACGCGTTCAAGCCAAAAACATATCGCACCCATGTAAACCCATAATATTCATAAAACCGTGCAATTAGTTTAATTTATCGAGGAGTGCATCGATACATCTGCTATGAAATTCCGATGATATGATTGTGTAGCGAACATTTATTATGTATTACGTGCTATATCGAAGAAATAATTCTCACGAAATTGCTCGCGCCGTTGAAGCTAATTTCAATATAAAGTGCTTTGTGGTTTTATAAAAAGGCACCGACGATATCCGCCGCGCCGCTCTCGTGTATTGTTTCATTTCGACGGCGGGATGTGGAGTCGATTACCGGGATCGAACCCGCACCGCGCCGCCGCACGCCCGTATTCAAATCGTTGATGACGTGCGCGATAGCACTCACCGCCCCCCGCCCGCCGCCCGCACCCACAGAGCACCGCTGAACAACGCAGCACCGCAACATTCATACTTACTAATCATTTATCCCTTCTATCACACTTAGGCCGCATCACTATCGAGTACGACGTAAAAAGAACTAGCAAATTTGCCCACCTTGTTAACGGTTTCTTTACTACTATTCGCGTCATCATCTATTTAACAGATAATAATCTAAACGCTGACAGACCCTTAACCGGTCTAAGCACGGTGCAACTCGATGCGGGAATTAAACTTTCGACCCTCGGGTCGTAAATCGTTTGTCAATTTGTGGCCGCGAACTGGCGGCGATCGCACCGCGGGATCGATTTGGCCCGAGTGGTTCTGCGGCGTGTGCGCGCGCTCTGTGGCGATGCCGATCGCCCTGATTGCGGCTAAGTGGTGGGATTATGCAGGTTGCGTTGCGTTGCCACAGGTGCGCGGGCGTCACGGCGCTAACGACATGCGCCACTTAAGCCAGATGCTTCATTATCGCGCGCATAATTGCCATTTCGGGCGCAATTACAATTTCATTATCTCCGTTTGACGACTGCATTGCCACGAATTATCCCGCTAGAATTGGCCGCGATATGATATTGCCACATTTTGCGAACGTCGCGGGCATTTCGGACTTAATGCCGAAAGCGGTAAAACGCTCTCGTTGAGCTTTCAGAAATTAATGTTTCGTGAGATAATTTATCGCGCTCGTATTGAATTAAGTGCGGCCACGGAACGAAATTAGCAATTTGCTTTTAAATATATGTGCATGAGAATATATTACAGGTGAGAAAAAATTTAATTAATAACTAATGAAACATCGATCAAGTGGCGAGCAATGGCAATATATTCCGTCCGTGCCAAGTGATTGATCATTTGATTTGTGCACATTTTTCTGTAACTACATTTAAGTCCGCGATTGCTACAACGATGTAAACATCACGAATACTGCATTGAGTATTGGTTAACACAAGCTATAATTACCTACAATCTTACCTCTTCTCTATTGTGTGCCTACCTGTTTTTATCAATGGCCGTTTTTACACACTTGCATTTAGAACTCTATAAAAGTTGCTGATACTTTAAATCGGATATGGACAACGTTATTAATGTATTATCTTTTTTATTGCATGAAATGTTAATTTTGTGTAGGTTTTAGTGAACTTTCACTCATTCATTGAGTTATTGTAAGTTTACTGGTCGTACGCTGATGTCTTTTTGAGTGAATTCTAATCGTGGATGTAACTTCAAGTATAACATATCACCCATATTGGTGACAAAGTATTCGAGCGGTAATACACTTACTCACAGCAATTGTCTAATCTATGAGATTTGTTTGCGTTTCGTTTCCGTATCATAAATTTCAGCATAGAAAAGATATTAGATTCGTTGCCAAGGGGTGTCACCGCACCGGGTTCCCCAGCGCACGCAGTCCACAAAACACAACAGAAGCTGCACTTGGGCTTGGCACCGAACGCATTTTATTGCGAACGTAACAGTTCCGTCGCGAGGGCCAGCTAGATAAGAGTAATGCCAACTGTCGCGGAGTGCGGCGCGACGGCCCGGAGGTGTCCGATAAAAAAGCGTCAAGTAATTACGATAGCGCTCGAAAAAACGGCGATAAAGGGGCGCATTAAGCGGCGTGCCGGTCGCTCGGTGCCGCAGGCGCTCCGTTTCACGCGCATCTGTCGCGAAACTCCCGCATCGGCGGCCCACCTTCGCACCTCCGACCGCTCAGTTGCACAAAACATCGCCTCGAAAAATTAGGGCACACGTTTATTTCCAATAGATGGCAACTGATCAAGTGTTAGCGGAACACCCGATGCTTCTTAGTGAGGAATCGATTCATGGACATTCGCGAGAGCGTGTCGAAAGTTACCCTCCCGGTAAGGGTTAGCTCACCCACCAGACGCAAAATCGATTTGAGATTTGCTAATCTTCTTTGAGGCTCTGATACTTCTAAGATGAAGCTGGCCTGTTCGTAAGAAGTTATTTACTTTTGTTCTTTTGCCGCAAATGTATCACCAAAATTATGATTTTTAATTGTTTGCTGCTTTCACAAATGTAATTGGATACGGGGCGCCCTGCATTTCCTTGACTAAACGGGGCGTCTCGATTATAGTCGCCATTAGGATTATTTGTGGTCAGTATAGTTATGTCTGGAAGTGTGCGTGTTTATTCTTTTAATTATACGGAAGCTTGAACATGACTACTATTAACTAGTAATCTTAGTCGAGGACGATATATTTCATGGGGATGATTGAAATGGACGAATTAAATTAACGCTAACAATTACCTCCCGCTCATTCGTCCACCTGCGTTATTATTATTATGGGCGACGGGACTCAACTCGCCTTGAATATTAAGTAGATTAAGTAACGTTTCATATTTTTGTTTAGTATCTTGTGTGGGTCTGTATTAAGATATAAATAAGAGAAATAACTGTTATATAGAAACCAATGAACATATTAATAACCTTAACATGTTATATACCCTTAAATACCTATGACTTATAACTACTGCAGAACTTTTGTATAAAAAAAATGTAATATATCACCCAAATTCATGTCTATTAATATTGTAATAAATTTGGACAAACTGTGCATAATGGAAGAACAAATCTATAACTCCACACTAACGACACATGTTTTATTTTATTGAAAAATGTGAACAACAACACTTCTTTCATGACTATCTGGTTCATATTATTTGTCCAACAGCTTAAATCGTATTCAGGGGAAGTCGTTATATTAGGCAACAGTATCTTTACAATTGTGATTGAGCGTCCGACATCAAATGGTTTAAGGAAAGCGGCTTCTTAATTAGATGAGAGAAGACCTTGAAGCGGATTAAGCGCCGAGCGGTCAGCCTCTGCGGACGCCTCAATTGCGCGTGGCGGTGGCGGTGGCGGTGGCGGTGGCGGTGGCGGTGGCGGTGGCGGTGGCGGTGGCGGGGGCGGTAGCGGTAGCGGTGGCGGTGGCGGTGGTGCGGCCGGTGCCGGCAATTGGCGGCGCGCCTCTATTAATTTGTACGCAATTTGCGACGGGTGGCGAGGCGACGGCCGAGAGTGGCGCGGGAACGTCCGCATAGAGGCCACTGCCACGGCCGCTGGTGGCTCTCGCATGATTGAGTAGTGCCGTTCCATAACACTGCAATTTACCACCAGCGAAGACAAAAAACGAACACCAGCAGGCTCGTTTTAGTCAGTTGTTGCGCAATCCGCCGCCGCCTTGTACCGACCTTGTAATTTGGGTCACAAGTTTGTGATATAAAATCTCTTGACAGATTTTCTACTTATTTCATGAATTAATTTCTAAATAATTTAATAATGGCTATTTATTAAGATTTATGTGACTTGAACCATTAAAATCAAAACTGAAGCTAATTAAGGGTTAAACTGATTCCTAAGGAAATCAGAGCGGTTCAATTATACTATAGTCCGGCGAAGTATCGTATCAAAATCGGTAAAAAAAAACTCTGCGCATTTTTTTTCTTTCCTAGTGTCTGAAGGTTTACTTGTTGAAAGTAGTAAAATATGTTATAGAATGGGGTATATTTTCTAATTGCGTATACACAGTCGTATCTTAAAATTTGGCATAATTTTTACTTAGATATCTCTACCCACTGTGGCCACACTATCCACGGTGACAGATAAACGGCCGTGGTCATATAGAAATTTGATTTTGCCCATTGCATTATGTAACCCCAAAAAGTGTCTCGTTTGCGAGCCGCTGCACTTCCGCCTTCGACACCAGAAACGGCGGACGCGAACAGATCGTATCCTTGCCCCCGCCCGCGGCGCAATTACGGCGCGACAGCTGCGCAGCATTGTATGCAAATGGGCGACACCTCGCAGCGCCATTAGCGAGGTCGCGGACAGTACCGCATGCAAATAACGTCATAATAAAGCGACGGCCTGTCGCAGCGACAAGTGCAGCACGGGGCCAAGCTTGCCACATTAGCCACAAGGTAAACCGACGAAGCTTTGGATATCGTCAATCTCTGGCGGGACCGTCGGGCCCTGTCGAGCAATAAAACATAATTGAACACGACAAGAGCCCCCCAATAAGCGAAATCAGATATTGGCGCAGAACAAAGCGCTGGCCCGATCTATTAAAATTATCGTTTCGCGCGCGCTGGAAGAAAAATTGATAAGGCGCATTTATATTCGCGCGGTATGAATGGCGTCGCGCGCGGCCAATGCGGTGCCAATTACCGGCGCACTATCTGATACCGCTAACGAGGCGATCCTATCTGTCCCCGCTACCGGCGGTGCACATTCAAATTCCTATAGTCGATGGCCGACACCCCCGCTCTCGGATCGGCCGCGGCGCGCTCCAAAAGGGACCCTAAGTCGTGGGGCGTTCGGTGCTCTTTGGCGTGCGGCGGGCGCAGGCCGCTTTGCATGATGAACGCAGCGGCGTGAATTACGCGGCCGCGGGCCGTTCGCTGCCGCGGTCCGCCCAAAGAGCACCTTACGGCCTGGGGCATAGGGCGGCGCCCGGCGGCACGCGCCGCTTGCCAAATAAGCGGAGCATTGTGCTGAAGGTGGAATATTTCACGCAGATGGCGCGATAGGGCGATTGTGCGACGGCACCGCGATAAGGCGTTATCACGCGACACCAGCAGGAAGAGTCCGGCGCCGTGAATCAGCGGCCCCAACTAGTTCCGCTGCCGACAGCCTCCGCGCATTGTGTCCCCACCGCGAGATTAACATCTGCACCAGGCCCAGTCGGACCGTACGCTCTGTTCAAGGGCTAGTAGCTACGAAACGCATTGTTCTCTCCTTCGATCCGACACGCGAATGCCAATTATCGATTATTGTTAATACTTCACGAAAATTGGATGACGAGCTCTTGCCGATAGCACTAACGTGCGCTCAACAAAGATAATATATTAATGTTGAGCTAAAAAAAATTGTAACATTGAAAATTATTCAATGTTATAATAAAGAGAAACTTAGCAGTAACATTAATTCAAATCATCATAATATCGGCTTTGTTATATTTTTTATCATATTATATTCAGGTGTGGCTGGAGACATACTCTTAACATAGTTTAACAATGTTTAGCAATGTGATCTTAAAAACAATGATGTACCCAAATATTACAGGGGATAAATGTAAGACAACGATCGTAAACAAGTTGCTCACGAAACAAAAACCCTTGTAATGCATGGACTGTAATACTTGTAATACAGGACTTGTAATACAGTCACTAGGCCACCGCAGCCTTACGTAGTGTACCTTAATTACTTTCTCCTAACCGCATCCCACCTGCGGCACCACATGACTAGGGTTCTTACTACCGGTCTCATGTATTGGAACATTAATCTGTAGGTCACACATATCATAATCTAATCCACGGCCCCCGCTGCCCTTTGTAGCTAACAGCTACAACCGCGAACTAAATCTAAGATGCTTGAATTTTCATATCATTAGTCTGTGGCATACCTCATTAGATTAGATCCCGAAACGAGGATTATAAGGAAAGATTAAAAAATTAATCCCCCTTTCAAACACCTGCAATGTCTGTCAGACACTGGTCGCAACTGTAAAGCTTCATTGGCCCATGTAAATGCTTTATTTTTTTAGTATTAAATGGGATGACAATAAGAGTCCCGAAATATCTAGCGGCGTGGCAAAGCGCGCCGGGAGGCTGGCCTAGTGCGTCCGGCGGCCCCTTTGAATAATTCGCGTATGGCCGGTAGATTTATGGCCACTAACCACAGTGCGGCGCCGACAATTAAACGATTTGCTTAAACATCTTTTGTCTATTTTTGCTCTCTGTGTGTTTTTGTTCAATTTCATTGCAATTATATATCCCTCTTAAATGCGTTTCCTATTATATTGGCCTTATTATTTATTTGGGGCCGACTTTTATCAAAGTAATTGGTAAAATTATAACAGTTCAGCAAAAGTTTTGTTTTTTATTGTTATTCAAATTTAATTGAGAAACTTTTAATAAAAAAATGTATTTGTGAATTTTAAAAGCCCCTTTCATTTATGTCGAACTTGTGATAACTGATTTAACAAACATATCAAGCTCTCCAAAATCTGTTCAAGTTTATTTAAATAAGTTTTTTTTTTTTAATTTTCGTCTCAAATGCAATTGTCGCGAGATGCTCGCGAGCGTAATTAGAGGACGAAGGCGTAAAGTGGCAGCATCCAACAGAGTGGCAATTACGCGCGGTGGCTTCCCATGGGCGGCGGGCAATTGAATAATTGGCGAGGAGCAAGCCGTAGCTACCCCAGACCCCCCCCCCCCCCCCCGAAGCCATCCCCCCTTCTGCGCCCCCGCCGTGGCCGCACCGTGAGAACAGTACGCTCGGCCTGATGATGACCAGCGGCCACCATGACGACGCGATTCAAAGCAATCTCCAGGTACCGCTAACTACTTCTAAGCATTTGATTCTATTTAATAATTATTGTATGAAACATTAAGTTGACTTGTACTTATGGTTAGTTTTTCAAGGAAAGTATTCTGAGTTCCTTTTATTGCAGTTAACAATGAAATCCAAAAATGGTTCGTACCAATTATTTTCTTTGACGGGAATCCAACCTGTAACTCACAGATTGGTATTTATTCACATGAAGATATGTAAGTGACTTCTCTTAACCGAACTAATAAAACGTAGGTTACGGTAGTTCGTGGAATACAGCGTCTTTAAGACCACATATTTTGGGAAAAGACAGGTGAAGCCAGAATGCTGTATGTCTGCCGAATTGATATTTCGGATGGAATCTATTTGCTACAAAATTTACGACACAAAAGACGCCGTGGATACAAAAAGAACAAAGAGACCGCTCTGAGGCTAACTAGAAATTATTAATATTTTTTCTTATAGTAAAATCTAATCTGATCGAAAGTGGCCCAGACCTGTTGGAGAGACTACTCTCTGAGCGGAGCCATTGAACTTCCTTGTTTGTTTAATCGACAACTTTTGAGTTAAGCTGTTAATTATAGTTAAGCATCTCGCCTATTGTTAAAGACCGTTGACTTCAATACTTCAATGAGGTTTTATGGTATCGAACTGATTAAAAAAATAGCATTAATATTTACATAACATTAATATTGGAACAAAATTTAAATATTCAATCTAAAATAACAACATATTTCCATTTTTATGTGTTTTTTGTGTTTTCTGTGTTAGACTGATATTAATCTATCTTCCGACAAAACATTTGTTGATTGTTTATTGTCTGATTATTGCACATCATGGGTTGAAGGCGGCTCGGTTCGCGTTGTTTCTAAGGCATTGGCTTCGGCACCGCGGGCTGCAAGTTTGATTCTTACACCAGACAAGCATACACCATACAGAAATAAATGTGAACCATAATATCCATATGTATTTAACATTTGTGTGATCAACAGGACTGCCGTTTATCTATATGAAACTTGTGTGCGTAAAGCATACTTTCAACACTGGAATGTTATCCTACAAAAAAGAAAATCATATGAAATATTTATTTCAAATTCAATCCCCTTTTAGTAAATATTTATTACTTCTTAGTTCAACGAAAAATCCTATCGAAAATTTTGTTTTCTAGTGTGGTTTCAAACAGCTATCTTAAGCAATTTAACAAATGATGTTCTAGAAAGTTTCAAGTGTTTTAAAATAAAATTTTGACATAAGAAAACAATAGTATGGAAATTATAATCTAGAAGAAACATATTCTAATTTATCACGTGCATGCAATAAATATGAATTAAAAAAAAACATAAAATGGCTCAAAGCCCATAACACGCTCCGTACCTATTCTTTTCCATCAACATTGCACACATCTGTGACTTGATTACATAATGGCTAAATAACATTTTTCTCTTTTCATCGATCCACTGATGATATTTTATTACATTACATTCAGTCCGTACCCGTGGAATCCCCCAACCCACACTGGTACACGTATGCAGTATGCTCCAGTGCCCTCCTCAATACGCGCCAGGGCACGATGTAAATAGGATCAATAACGTTGTCGACAAATCATTCCGCTTCGCTCATTACGATGTTATAGCTGGTTTGTAAGACGTATTTGCTTTCTCTCCATTCAAAACGTACTGCTGTGGTTTTCCCGTAGTGATCGCAGGCGGAGGGTTTACGGTTTTTGCAGCGCTGCGGCCGCGCTTCATTACCCACATTAACTCAGACAAGCGAGCACGCGTCACGCTCAACTTCGTGGCAAATCCAGCTTGGCGCGGCTTTTATCATAATGCTGATAAGAAAAGACACAACTACATCCAGACATTTCTATTTCGAAACGTTTAAAAAATCGAATAGGACAGCAACATGCCTTTAAGTTATTCAATTTGCTTCGGCCAATTAACCTGGGCCCCAAAGATTCACTAAGAAACCTGTTTAAAGAAATAAAAATATTGACTGTAGCTTCTCAGTACATACTTGCTAATGTTATGTATGTCCACAAAAATAAGAATGACTTTTCAAGATTTAGTAATGTGCATGATGTAAATACTAGGAACAAGCATAAATTAGTTCTACCCTCAACTAGATTGCGTAGAATAAGTAAATCTTTTATGGGACAATGTATACGTTTTTACAACAAAATCCCAGAAAACGTTCAAAATGAATCCGTTGCTAAATTCAAAAAACTTGTAAAGGAACGTTTGTGTGTAATGGCTATTATAGTATTAGTGATTATATGAATGATAGCACACTCTGGAAATGAATTGATCGCTCCAGGCTCTTTCAAATGGAGTTTAATAATTGTACACATATTTGTAAATTTTTTTGGCAAGTAAAAAAAAGAAAAAATGTCCCGCTGAGTTTCTTACGCCGGTTCTTCTCAGGTCAGTGGCTTACCTTCCGAACCGGTGGTAGAGTTTTTTGACTATCAGTAAGTAAGTGAAGTGAATGCTTCTATTTTGAATAAAGATATTTGACTTTGACTTTGACTTAGACATTTCATGGAGTCATTTCCAACTAGAAAGTAAGGTGAACCAATACTCATGTCGGTAAAAATTATTGCAATGTGAATGATTTTAATGGCTAATAAGTCAGTGAATAACTATTTTCTAATAAGTTTTTGTGGCACATAATATAGATTTTGCAGCGCTGCATTTCGGCGCTTGACTCGGATCAATTACGAGGAGTAAATCGGCAAGAGACACTGGGAGGTGCTGTAGGGACGTTATATTTTCCAATTTATTCACCAAATTACTGATTCCATTTTATGTAGTCTGCGTTCTAGCTTCTGCAGTGAAAATGAAACTTGTAATGTGTAAGTACTTAAATTAACGGATTAACATCGGTTTGAATTCCAGCTATAGAGAAGCTCGATATAACGACGGACGTGTGATAAATTAAAAAAAAAAGGAAGATAAATATACAAGTATATTGTTGTTCAAATATTACGACGGGCGCCGTACAGTAGATTGCATTAATACCAAAAGTGCTGGATTCGATCTGTGCAAACGCGATGAATGTAAATTGCTACAAGTGAAATGGGCGAATGCAAAAAGTGGAACGGCGTTGCGGCCGTAAAGCCGCATCGGCGGGCGCAATCAAAATCTGCATCGGCCCTCCGCGACGCGGGCACATCGCACAAAAGATCGGACGGCTACAAAGAGGTAATGAAATTACGCCATTATTACCGTGGAGGCAAAACCAAAGCCTCCAGCGGACGTGCGTCGCGCCTCGCACGGGCGGCAGATCGCACGGCTGTCACTCAGCGGGATGTCGCCGATGCGCCGTAAACAATTGGCGCACGCAAATGGCTTTATAATGGCGCGGCGCAGGTGAGCGAGTCGCGTGGCGCGGGAGGAGCGTCATTTGCGATTTCACACGCGCCCGCCGCCGCCGCCGCCACCGCCACCGCCACCGCCATAGCCACCGCCAACGCACGTGACATTTCAATCCTATAACCGCCGCATCTATCAGAGACGCGCTATTAGTGATGCGCCTTATTGCACCGCACTTACGCAATAGACGCGCTCTTAATCAATCCAATCTAGTATCGCTATGGATCATGTTGTTTTTATAAAAAACGGGTTTTTGTACGCTTTAAACCACGTAAGGTAACTTTACTTTTAAAGAGCTTAAAGTGTTATAACGTATGTAATGTAAACTGAAGCAGGCTATTTAGTGATTTTTCGTGAATGCATTTTATATTAAGTGCATTTTTTATGTGTCTAAGATATAGAAGTGTTAGAAAGAAATACGCTTACATTAGCGAATATATCATTCGTACACATTTTTGTGGATTTTTTTTCTGACAAAGAATTTATCTCCTAGAAGTTAGCAGGTACAGACCATGGCAGCGTATTCACATGGAAGATAAATTCTCATCTTGGTGTGAATTGCGTGCCGGAGTGCCTCAAGGTGGCGTGCTGTCTCCTCTACTATTTGCCGTATTCATTAATACAATTTCTCAAAATATCACTTCTCTCTACCACATGTATGCAGATGATCTCCAAATATACACACAGTCAACTCTTGAAGACTTGCCCATTGCTGTTTCTGCCATCAATGATGATCTAGCCGCTATCAATGATTGGAGTAAAAGCTATGGTCTCCATGTTAATCCTTCTAAGTCTCAGGCTATTATTATTGGTGGTGCTGGTTTCATTTCAAGAGTTGACTGGAATAGCCTCCCCTTGGTAAAATTAATGATGGCGTTATAATACCGTATTGTACCACTGTGAAGAATCTTGGTGTCCAATTTAATAACTCGTTCTCGTGTCATTCTGTTCTCTGATCAACTGAATCAAGTGAGCAGAAAGTCATTTGCTGCGATGGGTTATCTCCGTCGTTTGCGTTCTTTTCTTCCCATTCCAACTAAAATTATGTTAGCACAATCCTTACTCCTCTCCATTCTCGATTATGCGGATGCAAGCTATCTTGATTTAACTGAAGAACAACTAAATAAACTTGAGCGTATTCAAAATTTAGCAATTAGGTTCATATTTGCATAACGCAAATGACCACGTCTCCGAATTTCGTTCAAAGCTCAAGTGGTTACCCATTCGATTTCGCCGGAATCGGCACACTGTCTCTCTTCTGTACTGTGTATTATTTAACCCTAGGACTCCAAGTTATTTAAAGGAGCACTTCAAGTTTCTCGGCCATAACCGGCCAGAAAGATTTCTGCGATCCGCTGGAGAACTAATTTTAGAACCACACGCGTATAAAACCAAATATTACAAAAATTCCTTTACAGTCAAAGCTATCTGCTTGTGGAATGAACTACCTCAGCAAATTCGTCGTGCAAAGACGCTAGACATATTAATCTATTATACTTTCATATATTTATTTATGTTAATTATATATATTATATATTTATTTATGTTTATGTATGTTTATGATAATTTATTTTATTATTATTAAGAAAGTTTATTAAGCACACCACCTCCCACTATTCATAAGTTTATTTTCCTTGTCCTAAGGCTGTCTGGAAGAGATCGCTCTTTAGCGATAAGACCCTTATTGTACCTAGCTTTTAAGAATTATTTAAGAACTGTAGAAGAACTGTATAAAACTTTTTGTGGTGTACAATAAAGTATATATAATAATAATAATAGTATGCCCCTTAAAAGACATAAATGTATACACCTGATCTAAAACAATAAATAAGGCAGGGGGACTAACTATCACCGTAACTATTAACAAATACTTGCAGGATAAGCGGTGGCAAATTATCAAAATAAAAGAAATGGTATCGGTTTGTCTATCAAGTGCATTCAAACTATTTTGTATTTAACATGCACTTCAACGCATGATTTAGGATAGTAAAAATCGTTTGAGGACTCTTTCGAGGAATGTGCAAAAAACATACACGCGCTTGCAGCGCGACTGCTGCTAGAGTCGCTTGAAACAATACCTGCTGGTATGACACGTGTATGAACTGGACCCGCATTAATTTATTACTTTTTTTTTCATTTTCAAACAAACTTTTCAAGATAAATATCCGCGCCTTCTGGTATCGCGCCTAGACGTTTTTAACACTAAGCTAAAAAGCTGATTGCCCACAGAAATCTTATCTACTTTGTTTTTTTTTCCTTTTTGTTTTGATTATATACTTGTCAAATATGTAATCAAAGCCTTTTTGTTTTCGCACTTTAAGCAATGCGTGGCGCCATCTATTTTTATACCCTTCACAGCACAAACAATTCCAAATAACGTTGACGTTGACAATTCCAAATAACGTAGCCGTGATAGCTCAGTGTCTGGGCGCTCGTCTTTAATTCCGATTTACTCGAGCAACCTGAGTTCGATTCCCGGTACCAGCACCAATGAAATTGTTAATTTTAAGTGCCGAATTATCACATGCTCTGCGGTGAAGGAAAACATCGTGAGGAAACCTGCGTTTCGAAATAATACTAAAAAAGAACGGTTTCAAAAATATGTGAAGTCCGCCAATCAGTAGTGAGGTCGCATGCTATTTTATTTTATTTATTTTTGTTTTATTCGGTAACTTTACAGCATACAATAATCACATTACAAATACAATTCACAAAAATATTTAGCCATTTAATAAGTTACAACAATTTACACGTTTTTTTTTGTAAGTTAGTAGTTGTAGTTATGCCCTGATACCCTTTTTACAGAGCAGGCCTTTGCCCAGCAGTGGGACATTTATAGGCTGTTACTTTACTTTTTTTGACAAATCCAAATAACGAGAATTTTATGTCCATTTTCCCAAAAAATTTAATATTTCCTCGTAAGTGCAGAGATTAGCACTATAAAAACTTAATATAAAAATTAAAGTTTTTCTATTTGTTCAAAGTCTATCACAATTATCACTTGATTTATGCATTTGCGTCTGTAATTAGTATTAAATAATTTTCCAAACTGTTAAAACTGTAACGGTAAAATGCAAAATACATTATAACATATAAAGAATTGATGCATCTCAAAAGAGGTAAAGGAGCGGCTATGCGCGGAACAGGGCGCGCAATTTGTTTCGCTCGGTAAACTTTCGATTACTTTTAATTGGCATACTTTAAAGACTTTTAAAACATCTGAAATGTTTTAACATAATTACACTCGCGAATAAACCATTTTAGCGATGACGATGCCCACAACGGGCGAACAAGCGAAATTCTTTTGCATATTGCATTTTGGTCCGAATAATTCAAAAGCAAGAGTCTGGCACTCTTATAAATATAATTGAGTATAAAAATACATAACTGAGATCTACATTGTAATCGATATCTATATTGGTCATCGTTTGCATAAAAAAAAATCATAAATTAATGAACTCTCGAAAATATTACATTTCATTTTAGAGTAAAATAGAAGCACTTTGTATAATGCTATTTTGCTGCTGTTGTAATTCAAAATTAGATAGTCTTGGTTTACTATTTACAAATAAAAAAGATAAAATAAAAATCATGTTAATCTATCTTATTGTAAATGAGGACCCAGTACGAAATGAATATCACTTAATTTTTATAATGGGATTTTATTTGATAATTTATCGGAATAAGTTGATCAATGCTTGATGTGTTTGCCTTGAGTTCAATGTATGAAGGTACGCCTGATGGACCTTATTATAGGGATTATACTAGAGATTGCTGCGCGAGATCAACACAGCACCACAATACTGTCTGTCGCAGCAGCTGAGACCATGGCTGATCGATCTTACTCTTCTACCAAAATATTTTGGTATACTCATTGATACACTGTGTTCGGGATGAGGTCATGCGCGAATCGCGTCCGGTGCTGGCAGCGGTAAAAAGTGTCGCGGAGCAGATGTCGCGGGGGCGCCCGGAATGGCGGGGAGGGGGGGAGGCAACAGCGGAACAATTAGGGAGCGTTTAGGATGTTTATCCTGTTAACAGGGCGCGGGAAGCCCACGTTAGGGCTGTCACATGATGTATAATGTTCAGTTGTCAGTGTATAATGTTATAATTTTAAAGTCGCCAATATTATTTTTGATCTCAGACGCATTACATGCAAACCCGTCATCGTGTATAACAAATCTTGAAAGTTAACGTTTTAGAAGAGGTAATATTAACGTAGATATTATTGCCTGTTCAGCGTGAGAATAAGCCACCCAATCGCATCCTGCGGGTGTTATAAGCGGCGACTTTTTTTATGTCAAAAAGTCAAAAGAACAAGGCAAGTAAAAAGAATCAAAACAAACAAGCTGGCGGTTCACCCGATGTTAAGTGATAACCGCCTACCCATGGACATTTGCAACACTCGTAGGGTTGCAGATGCATTGCCACCTCTTAATAATACGGGCCCCGGCTACCTCACTCACCGGACGAAACGCAGAAGTGAAACACTTTTACGCCGATCTTGCGTGAGGTCATGGTACTAACCCGGATGGACCTGCCCATTCGTGCAACAGCGAACAATGTTGCGTGACCCTACCACCGTAGACCGAGTAAGGTATTTTCCAAACCCATCTAGATGGCGGTATAAGCATCTCGACATTTCAGACCCTAATAACTTCGACAAATAACGGGCAACAGCGTTATTACCAGTTAAGATACTCTATTATCACAATCTTAAGCTCATGGAAATGAGACAGATCTCCAAATATATGCGGCGAGACTTACGCACGTATTGAGGGAGCTATACGTCGAAATTTAGGCTTTAAAGTCTCCGCAAAATATCTGTCTATCGGACGGAGACAGTTCTATGGATAAATTACCCATTTGAAACAAAATAAAAATGATAAATGGCTATACGCTGGATTTATTATTAATTATCAGCTGCAGTGGCAGCCCTCGCGCCCGCATGCCCACTCCATAGGTTCGCAGTTCAATTCCTGTCGTCTGTAAATTGAGTGCCACGGACCGTGCCGTCGTTTGAGCCCAAATGCGCTCAAAGGCCTCCGCGCATAGACGTCCTGCGGCACGCAGAGAGAGCTGACTGCTACCCCTTTAGCGTGAAATATGAGCGTCAGGGCCGGGGCGTTTTATTGCGTCCAAGGGCTGCGCAGAGAGGTGCAGCGGGCTGATGCGGCAAGAGCACGCCGGGAGGCGCCACTAGTGCGAACAGTGCTTGTGTAGGGGTCGTGCCCAACGCTACATTTTGCCCTCTAAATCATTTTGTAAACATCTCTCTATTCGATTGATTCACTGATAAATGCGTAATTGAATTCCCTTTGTGCATCACCACTGCTCTCTTCAATTTTACCCTATTTTATACGATCGTATGAAACAATACACTATCAAAATAACTTTGTAATTCACTAAAATAACGAAAAACGCCATTGCTAGACACAAAATTCCTCTGTGCGGGGCTTTATATACCATATTGATTAATACATAAGTATAAATAATCTTAATTATGCTTTGCACGGCATTTTGGGTCAATTTGGATTTTAACTAGACTAGATTATAAAAAATGTTGTGGAGGCGCCTGGACGTTGGTCAGAATAAGGGTGGTTCCGCAAAATATACTCATAAATTACTGACATTCTTGTGTTCGAACAGTATAATATTGTGTATCACTATCTATAAATAGGTACTCATGAAATAAGAAAATATAAACAAATGGGAGACATCTGCCAACGAAAATCTAGAGAGGATATAACAATAGATGCGCCAAGCATTGCTTCAAATGCTAAATAACAATGTAGATAAAAGACGTTAAGATTTTAGTCGGTGTGGCAATAAGCCGTTTAGCTTAGTGGCTAAAGCGTCAGGCCGCGAATGCCGAAGACGTGGGGTCGATTCCCACAGCGGCGACATTCTTTTCGTACTTTTTCTACAAGTTTTAATGTTTAATCTTATGTGCAGAAATTAGCACTATAAAAAACTTTAAATTTTCAGTGTATTGTTCTAAATCTAAATCTCACTATGAGAGCAGATCGCTTCTCAATTATTCTAATTGATAAGAAAATCGCCCAAACCCCATAAATTTAATGAATTGTTAAATTTTTTTTAATCAAGTCTGATAATCTTTAAACTTAGAACGTTTTCCTGAGATTTTTCCCTTTAAAATAGGACCTTTTGATTCATCATCATCATTTCAGCCTATTAGAGCCCACCGCTGAACATAAGCCTCCCCTGCCACAGACTGCCACGAAGCACGATCTTGAGCCACCTGCGTCCATCGAGTTCCCGCACACTTGCACCGGTCGTCACTCCATCTAGTGAGGGGTCCTCCCACACTGTTTCTTTTAATCAAAAGCTCCAAAGCTCTTGATCAAAAGAAAATAATTTACTTGCTTTTTCTTGCATTTCAAGTCAAGATTTTAAACGGACAGCCTAAACGCTAAACAACAAAAGCATCAAAAACAGTGAGATATGCCTTTGGTGCAGAGAGTACAGAAAACTATGTTTCAATCATTAGATAGAGATTTAAAGCGTACCGTTTTCTAGGTACCCCATCTAGAGAATCGATTACATGTTACTTTATTATAACACAGTGCTTTGCAGCAACAACAGCACTGTGTAAAAATATTGGCAATGGCTATAGGTCAACATTAAAATAATTTAATAATATGACGGCAATTATTGAATGAAGTTCTGTCAAATTATTTACAAAGGATTTTTTTCAAAATATATGTACTTAATTAATAAATAAGTACAAGCCAGCTAGGTTACTTTTATTTATCTAATAAATAAATATCCATCAAGTTAGTGCTACACATACAAATGTCACCACAGATCCGTAAGCTATCTATGGGTTAGACAAACACTTGTCTAGGAATTTGTCTATTTGGAATCGAACCCACGACCAACGCTTTCGAAGCTAAAGTTAAACGAATGCATCAATTTAGGAATATCATGAGTTTTTATGTTGCTCCACCTTCAAAACTAAAAATAATAATAAATTTACCATCCTGGACCTTATAATATATGTACAATCAAACATCCGTGCTACTATCATCCGGCTTCTTGTGCAACAGTTATGGCTCCAATTCCTTTTTCACTTCGACTTATCCCCTTTGTTCTTTTCGAAGCTGAGCATTTATCGTTTATTTTCACGAACAACATTCGATACTGGAGTGTAACGTGAATAAACATCTTAACTCCGCTGGGGCCGTGTCGTTGAGGATTCTTCCGTGAGGTTGTGGTACTTACCGGGATGGACCTGCCGATTCATACAACAGTTGTGTGCCGAAACTGTTGTGTGCCACTTACACGCTCAAGTTATTCCACAGAGGGTCGCAGTTATTGCAATTCGAGCCTGGACTTGAAGTTAGCATGCAATTACGCAACGTACTAAGTGCCGAGGGCCTTCGAAATCCGTTTACACTTGCGCAAACCGCTGTCGATTCTTATCACGTCCGCGTCGGATACGTCTCGCAACATTGCGCTGCGTTGCTGACAAGCTCGTCAGATTAATTCTTCTTTTTGACGGTTAACAATTAGGTAGTAGTTTTGTTTATATACCAGTAAAGTTTTGTGTCTAATGCGTTCTTCATTTCGCAGAATATAATAAGAACAATTAAGACATTACAAATATATAGAGGGTAAGTCACCGAACTTGTCAATACAATCAGAACAAAAAAAGAGAGAAATATGCATTACAATACGATAATCTATCTTCATGAAATGCTATTACAATTTACCACTATGATCGTATATTAAATTCGTTACTCTATTATAAACAGTAACCCCAAAACAAAAAATGCAATATCAAAGAGTCCACGACGTGTCGTGATCTAGTTCTAATTTATTTTTATGGCAAAATAAACAAAGACCGAGCTATCTCCCTCCGCAGGATACTATTTACGGCGGCCGATGCGAAATAGATGCACCGTTATTTATCAAGCGAAAGAGTTGTTAACGGGCCGGCCGTTGGGCCCCCAGGGGGCGCCGCGACGCTGCGCCGCCGCCACCTCGCCACCGTCACCGCACCGAGGATTACTTTTTGCAAATTCCATTTGCCGGCGCGCATTTATTACGTCCCACATCTGATAGCCCCATTTTATTACCGCCGCCTTACCGGCGACCTCACGGAGGGGTCAATCTCCGCGTCCACGTTGCGATGATACAAATTCAGTCGCGGAGATCTTTGAAATAGAGCGGACTTGATAGAACGGTCCTCCGTCAGTCCCCGAGCGCGAGGCCTTGTGTGGTGTTGGTGGAGCGCGTACCAGCGATTTAAGGGCTCGTGCGTCGGTGGCTCAGGAGGTCCTTGTGGTGGGCGCCGGCCGTGGGCGCGGGAGCGGGGCGTGGCCGCGGCCGCCATTGGCGCGCATGCAAATGCGCCGCCGCGCCCAAGCACTCTCGCCGCCGCCACCATTGTGCCGCGCAAAAACTCGCCCGCACTCGCCCGGGGACGTGCGCGGCAAAAAAGCACCCATGCGCACAACAACAAACTGAAAAAAGCGCCGCGGTGAGCGGTTTTTTCTTCGCGATTTATGCCGGCCGAGCTCCCCCGGCCCCTCCGTCGGCCGCGACATGCACTAACATAGCTCGTGCCTGTCGCGGCTCCTCACGTTTTTTCCCGCGATACAAAAACGGGCCGGACAAGAACCCGTCGCCACGACAAACCGAACCGCCGCATTCCCGAGTCCACGGCGTCATAAATAAAAGCTACGGGTTCGGTGCAGACGATCGAAAACAGTCACCATTCTGGACATTGCAAAAACGAATGAAATAATTTTTCTGCGAGAGAAAACGTTTGACTTTCAACTTACTAATGCGCGGAGTCATAATCGCAATACATAATTTTCCTTCATCTCCAATTAACATTCATCCAATTGTTCCAACGGAGTAGAGCCGTCCTGTCGAGAGAATATTGTAGACGCGAATAAATATAATTGATTGCAGTCCATTAGAGCGGTTCTCGGGGCTGGTCTAGGGCGAGTGGTCGCGAGGCCATTAAGCCGCGGCCGCATTTACATTGAATGCGCGCCCGCGCTCCGTCGAGATGCGGCTCACAATTAAAATGAGGCACTAAATTAGCAGAGGCAAGCGCAGATGCCGCGCAAAAAGTGGCCGTCCCTCCTCCTCTCCGCTCCTCTCCGCCTCGCGATCTTTCTCGTAATAGAACAGGAAGTAACTAGAACCAATCAATAACGCCGAGCGCTAATCTGAACGCGCCACAACGCTGCAAGGACACGGTATATATTTCCTTCCGATATTTTGGAAGCGCATATCTTTATTGAAAGTACAAAAGTATCAGTAGTAAATAAATTAGAAAGTATTAGTAGTAAATAATTCAAATGACGGTGCATTGAAATCGCTTCTTCTAAGTGTGTTTCTATTATTTCCAATCGGCCCGTTTATCCAGGCCTGAACCTATTACCTTCCGCTTGGCAGTAGATCGAGATATTTAATCGTTTCCGGCTTGCGCGATGCGGTGGATTGCTTGCGCGCTTTTTCTGCCGCTCAAGTTAAGAAAATGCTCATTTTGTTTCCTCATTACTGGGCTCCATTTTGCAGCCCGTGTCGGTATCGGTCTCGAACATTTTAATTAATGGCACTGAATTATTCGTTAATGGCTCCTCTTCTAACAATGTGTATCCGCATAAGATGCTGGATAAAGCGTTGCAAATGAAATCCGTTAATGAATCGATAAAGAGTTGCATTTAAAATCGGTGTAACGAATAAGCAACAAGGCCCGTCAAGTCAAATACAAGTAAATAGTAAAGCAGAAGCCAAAAGAAGAACATTGGCGTGAGTCACGAGTGCCGATGGCCCGCAATATGGCCAGTTAGCGGCTAGCGCGTGTTAAGCGAATTGGCCACCATCGGGAATGGCACGAGTCCAGGACACCACAAGTTCTTTATGTACATTCAGTGACAATTATGTGTTTAATTCATTACAACACTTACATTTGACAGACTGTAATTTATCCCCATGAAGAAACTCCGTTTCTTCACATTATTTAGGAAATTGGTTCGGTTCTAGTCAGTTCATTATACATTCCCTGTTTAAAATATTAATTGTCGAAACAAAATTGGTAGACAGCCTATTTTTAGGTCAAACCGAGTAATATAGGAAATGTCATGTCTGCAAATTTATTAAGTTATTAGCTGCAAACTTTCCCTTGATAAGAAGACAATGGAACCCTCGTCGATCACATCATTACAGTATTTATTCGTTCCCATAGAAATTATTACAGGGAATATTTGACGTTTTTATTGAATTAAACAACAGTACTTATATCGAGTGGTAACAAAAAATTCCTTAAAAAGGGCCAATTACTTAATTCGAGTTTTATTAACCGGTATGCATGCAAATGAATGCCGGAATGAAGGGTGGCTTGATGAATGGCGACTGGAGTCCATTTTTATCGAGAACATCGATGACGTGCACAGAACACACCGCCTAATAAACGAACGTCGCGCCGGTCATTGGGCACGACGAGTCAGCAGCCAGCCAGCCAGCTAGCCAGCCATCCGTCTGGCCGTAACTGGCTCGCAGCGGAGGCGGGTTGGCTCGCCGTCAGCCCGCATTAGATCCGTTCCGAGTACGCATTCGTATTCAATTATGCGCCGCGGCAAAAACTAGTCGCGCATTTGAATGACGCCCGCGGCCGCTCGCCCAATTTACAAATAAAACGCGGGGAACGTCCGGCCGCGCAAAAACCGACCGCGCTCCTCCCCGCGCATATGAATGGACCGCTTTTTGCCGCCACCGCCGCCCACTCTTGCCCATCGCTGCCCATTGTTGCCCACGCGCCTCACTGCCACTGCCCCGATGCAAGTGCCATCTTGTGCAAGTGTTGAATACTCGGTGACTTCTCACTTTTCTCTGAGTTAAGGAAATTCTGGCTCACGTCCCGGTGTAATAATTTTTTAGCCTCAAAATTGTTTCTTAGTGAAACTAGTTGGCATTGTTTGTTAATTTTTACATGTTAAGTTTTGCCTCGTTATCTTTTTACATTAACACAGTTTTAAGTTATTTTATGCTCCTCGCCCATACAACTTGTTACAACGTCAAATAGCTTTGACCTTTAGGACTCGCATCCTATTGACAGATATTTTTGTCATGACACTGGAATACATATAAAGTATTCGTATACACGATACTCATGGAACTCCTAAATTCCATTTAATCGTATTTTAATGCAATACCAATAAATATCAAAAATAGATAACGTTCTTCCCTTCACTACTAGTTGTCAGTGCATAATAATAAACATACATATTACGCTTGAATCCAAACTCAAACTCAGGGTGTATGCGCTAGGCAAGCGAATGGAAAATTCAATAGATTATCTGTGCAGGTGAACGTCTCTAGGCGTTTCGTAAGCACTATTATAAAATATATAAAACAATATCTTATGAATCCTAATACACCATCATCATTTGGTGAAAAATCGCCCTACCTGGTGATACCGCCAGGCTGAAATGCGATGTAAGTTAAGTAAAATCAAATCCATGTCCCACCGCTGGGCAAAGGCCCCCGCTGTACAGAGGGCCCGAATACCCTCCATCGACAACCACGCGATCTCACTGCGGATATGAGGAGTACATATATCTTCCAAATATTTCTTTTGTTTAGTTAAATTATTAATTCGAAAATACGCTGGTTTCCTCAAAGTATTTTCCTTAACCGCTGAGCACGTGATAAGTCAGCACTTAAAATTAACAAATTCATTAGTGCCTGCACCGGAGATCGAACTCAAGTTGCTCAAGTACATTGAATTTAAATTGAGTGGCCGCACAATGACCTATCACGGCTTGGAATCATATCATGCACATATTATATATAAATTAAAGCATATCAACACTATAATGTCTCAAGATACTGTAACCTCGTGCTGTGCACATTAAGTAAATAAATAAAAAAAAAACTGTGATATGAGGCTTTAAATCTCGGTGTAATCATGGAATCTATAAGGTGTGTGAATTAAAACCATAAATAATTTTACTCTTTAGTACCGCCAAGGAACACCTTCAAGTTCACAGACCAGAGGCCTTGGAAGCCCGGAATACCAGTAGTAATCTCTCAGCGAGAGTTTGGGTCGATGTTGACGCACGCTTTGGCTTACTGATAGTGACGTGCACGGCTATATGTGCCTAAAACCGCCCTCCCAAGACGGAATAGAAAGGGAAGGAACTTCGTCAATTCTCCCTGGAGGTGGGTTTACGGCTCAAAGCATCTTGGCCTGGTTCAGGGATTGAGCGTAGTCTGGCCTGGTAGTTCCGCGACCTTGTTTCCTCGGCGGGAAATTTTAAGGCGGTCAAATCCACTATTTGGCCCATTTAACCGCGAGGTTGGTGGCCATGGGAGTTGATGATGGATTGTACCACCGCGACCCCACCACTACTGCGAGAATAGTGAGAGAGACCGAATATAATACAAATTCTTCGTCTCCGCAACTCTACCTCGGTTTCACAAGACTGGTAGAGTGTCTCCTTCTCTACCAGCCTAGACCTGTTCCTCGTACGCAGAGGCCACTCGGGCCTTACTGCTAACCTGTCTGCTTGAGCTTCTTTCTCGCAAAATAAATGTAAAATAAGCACAACTATTGCTTCAATGCGTTTATAATTAAGATGTCCCCATCTCTCTATATTGTTATCATGATGAAACAAAAAGATCTTATTACATTTCCCATTCAATAGTAAACAAAACAAACATTTACTCCGTGTCCACAATTTTTGTGAATTAGTATAATTATATAATTTATTCGTGAGACCACTTTGACATCCTGCCTAACGCATAACGCACATTGTCTGGTAAACAATTGCGAATCAGTAATTCCATCACGATTATTTATTATCAGTATTCATAGTCGATCAAGCTATATATCATTGAAGAGACCATAAAACTGGAAAATTTCTATCGAATACCCAAACAGAAACCAATAGGCAAGGGGGAGGAGGGTTGAACAGTTCTTTATATCACGTACGGCACTTGGTATGAAACGCTGCCCAAGAGCGCGTGGGCCGCCCCAAGTCACGACCGTAAGCGTTGCTTTTATAATCAATTAGCTTTTGAAGCACGTGGCGCGGTCGTGATTGATGCGGTGCAGCATCGGCGCGGCGCAGCGCGGCGCGGCGCGGACGCAGCGCGGCCGAGGGCGGCCCGCGATATCCAGCCCCGATACAGGCCGCTGACTTATTGAATCCCGCTTCAATTAGAGCCCCCGCCTGCTGCCCGCACTAACCATCAGCCTTTATTACCGCGCTACAATTTATTACAACGCTTTACACTATCCGCAATATTTCTTTTACATTATCTCGACGCATCTTATTTATTTCCCGTTCGCTGTTCGAGACGGTTACGGCTTTAGCGCTCTCAACAAGAATGAAAAATTAACCCGTAAAATAGGAAAAATAATATAGTGATACTTTATAGTCTAACGCAGCCGTTGGGGACACTATGAGTATGTTTTCTTTTTTTTTTAATTTAAATTTTGATAAAAAAACAAAAGGTAAACAATATGAAAATCACGCCAATTCTTATGTATAAAGCATAACTCCTTCACCGATTTAGGAAGTAAAGAAGTTCCCAATAACAAACATAAATTTTAAGATTAGTTTAAAATAATTAAGTAAATGTGTTGAAAACAAAGGTAAGAACAAGAGAATTCAGTATAATTTCTTCTAGAAATTGGTCAATAATACATCAGGGTCAAATATCAAAAAAAAATCATTTTTTTTTTAATAAAGTCCATAGAATAAATTAAATTAAAAATAAAATTTTTATTTTATTAATGAAAGTGCCAATGTGATCAACATATTGGATACAAGACAAGATTCAATCAGCGCTTTAAATCTACGCAGATTTAACACAAAATTAATAAATTTAAAGTCTGTCTCCAGCCCGGGATAACGATATTCTAACGTCTAAAGCCGTCTATGCCGATGCCGTGGCCATGAACGACGGCTGCAAAGTACATATCGGAACGTGGGGAATTTAAGTTTTAAGAGAAGACCGGCGTGAAGTGGAAATGTGACACTTCTGCGTTTCGTCTGGTAAGTAAGGTAATTGGAGCCGATTTCATTAAGAGCTGGCAATCTGCAGGCATCTGAGACACTACGGGTGTTGCAAATTGAAGAATTTGTTAAGTAGCACCCTTTTATTTTGAACCTAAAAATTCAAGTTATCATACATAGTAAAAACTTTTTGTGTGGAAGGTAATTTTTTTGTCATCAAAACTGCATCTAAATCCGATAGGTAGTTTTGAAGCTTTATGCGAACAGAAATGCAGATAGACAAAAATTTCAAAAATGGTTTTTATGTATCCTATAACTCTTTTTGTGATACCGTATTAATTTTTTCATAAATATATCCAATGTACAGACACCGATTCTACTCTTTTATTATTTTATTCTACTATTTTATTATACTAAAATAGAATAGATAAATGAAACCAGTCCGAAGAATACTTCTCATGGCCGATCCAAGCAACAATATTAATGACGTTGCTGAGTTGTTTCGTAGGGCTATTTGCGTGTTTACTTATGCACATCAAACCGTTCCATTTCAACCGTTAATTATACGAGGCTGAACGTAATACGCTCGTGTTCACTTGCAAATTACAGAGCGCTTGTCCGCACTTGCATCGCCACCTAGCCAAGGCCTGGATAATTGGGTTGCGGTCCCGCGCAGGTTGAGGCGAGAGGCAGGGCAGTGGCTAATGGCAGGGGGCAGCTGCCACGCTAAATGTCACGCTGAGCTTGCCTGAAATATCACTAGACTTGTCGACGCACCAACGAAGAGGCCACGTGATCGCCTCTCGCAACGACATGGACACGAAACGCCTGCGAACCTTATAATTTCCTCCAGTGGTCAGTCCAATGCATTTTACGATACGCTGGTAACTTGATTCGAATTAGCGCTAATAGGTACTAAGCCTAAAAATTCCAATATTTGGGTACTTACTAATACATCAGAATGGCCCAAATGGGACGAGCTGTGTCACGCTTACGTCGTGTCGTCGCCGTGCCGGAGCCGTGGCCATCGAACGGGAGCCGATGCGACCTAACGGTGCACGCGAAACGCAGTTTTTGCGAGCGCGACCTGACAAGTTTGTTAGCAAAGGGCGCTCAGCGCTCACTGCCACTTTCACCGTTGTCCGGCGCAATGGGCGTGTCGGACGATCATTAGCGCATTAGCGTATTGAGCGACGTATCGGCCGCGGACTTACGACTGATGCTATCTGCGATAAGGTGTAATCGGACGCGTCGCCTTGTGGGAGTTCCCCAAGCCGGCCGAGCCAGCGAGCAATCTTCCCTACGGTATCTGGATTCACTAAATTAATGAAGCTCACTTTACGTTGATAAATATAACACAATCACGAGATACGATTGGATCTCGAGCGCGCGTGGCTCGTGGTCACGGCCGCGGTGCACTTGCTAAACTTTGCTAAAATATGATTACTTACAAAGATATTACCACGTTTAATTAATTGCCATAAAGCGACTTTAAAGCGCCTCAATATAACGACAAACATACCAATTAATCAAGACCAGAGTCACGCTGTGGCAGCGTGAGAGTATCTATCATCATTCATTAAGGTCGATGATTTGTAAAGGATTGCCCAGTGGATTGTCATCGCGTTTCTTTATCTTGTTCATTATATAAGGGATCTCTTCAAGTAATTTAAATTTCGAGCTTCATGATTAATATCATGAAGCTCCAAATTTAAATTTTTGCCTTCTCCTATTCTTACCATATTCAAAATATAGCATTTGTTAGTTGATATTTACGCGTTGCAAAACTAGAAACTGAAAAGTAGATAAAAAAGTAGGTCTAATAAAACCATGGAGTTGAACGTAAAATACCTAAATTGTTAAATCAAAAACAGCTATCGTTTTAGATAGCACGGCGCTATAAGTTTATCGAATGACCATTTGCCAGGTTCAAATAGCGCACAGAGCACAGACATAAGAAGGACAGACGAGAAGCGCTCAAACCGCGTAATAGTATCTATATGTATCGATAACAATTATTTCATCGATAAACACTCACGTTCGAAATCATACCTGAAACAAAAATTATTTCTTATTTACGTCGTTATTATCTATACTAGTGCTTATTACTTTGATAAAAATTACAGGAAAAGAAAATAAAACATTGCAATTTAAGAAATTAAAAGAGGCAAAGGCATGTTGCGAGTATGTAACAAATAAAATTTATTAAATAAATGGGTTAGATTCTAATGTTATTAGTAAATTTTATGTTTTAAATACCGTACGTACTTTAAAAATAGGAGCATCAATATAAGTAATTTAAAACGAAAAAGTTGAGTAAAAAGTATAAACTAAGGATTAAGTTGTTGTAAAAATGCAGTTGGGTCGTAGACAGTGAGCACTATCTGATCCATCCATCGTCAAATTCGACGTAAGTTATCGTGATCGATCAAAAGCCCCTCACTAGCGTGGTTACTGCGATGGATATCGATACTTTGTCGCGCGGCCCTATCCCCCAGCCATGCAAAAACCATCGAACTACGGCCAATTACAGTAGCAACTAGTTTTTAAATCGCGAGAACTTTCTTCCATCTACATATTCATTACAAAGAAAGGGTGAAATTATACGCGCGCCATGAATATGCCAACAGCCGTGTGCGTGCTAAATGCTAAAGTTGAATAACACGGCGGCAGCGAGTGGAGCTAAGTCACCGATGGACTCTCAACTATTGTAATTAAATTATAGGAGATTTCAATTTTTAGAACTCTTTTGCATGGTATTACTTTAATGAACGTGCTCTCGAAAACATAGAATATTTTGAATTTACTATTACGCTGTAACTTGCCTATACCGACAAACATTTAATACTCAGTATTTATCGACATTGTGTTGATCTGTGTTCATTGATTACTGTTGCTTAATTGATGTGTACTGAATATAATACCTTTGATTGCTTGTAAAATGTCGGCGTACGCTGCAAATATGAGCATGATATTTATATTCATTCATTTTCAAGAGTTACAAATATGTTATATGTACAACAATGGTGGTCGTTAGTATGCTTACTAAAAATTAAACCTACCCTAGTATGCATGTATAATGGTCCAAGCCAGTTATCGGAAGCCACTACGGACGTGAAAATAAAACAACCGTACTCGCTTGGTAGAAGTATATAATCATAAAAATGCTGATGACTTATGCTAATTACAAAAAATCCCAACATCGCGATTTACGAACGAGACAGCGCCATCTATTGGTCAGAAAACAAAACAACTTCTATTATGAAATCGCTGTCATCAGTTTACATATTTTTAGGTTAGGTATTAATTATAGATATTATTTAATTACATTTTTTTTTTAGAATTAAACAATGCAGTTTAGCAATAAATAGCAATATTATTAAAATGGAATTTCACTTAAGGTCACTATTTTATTTATTTTATTTTATTTTATGCGAAAAGTTGTCAAACGAGCAGACGGTTCACCTGATGTTAACTGAATACTGCCGCCCAAGGACATCTGCCACACCCGAGGGTTACAGATGCGTTGACAACCTTTTTAAAAATTGGGCTCCGGCTACCTCACTCACCAGACGAAACACGAAAGTATTATACTTCCACTTTACGCCGGTCTTCTGTGAGGTCGTGGTACTTACCCGGACGGGCCTGCCCATTCGTGCAACAGCCAAGGCTGCTGCGTGGCCCTACCACAGTTCAAAAGTGTTCAAAGCAAAGTTCACTAGATTTTTATGAGTCTTATTACCCATTGTTTGTGTTTTTTAACCTAATACTATACACAACGCAACGCATTACAATAAATAGTTTACTCCTATTAAACCACCAAGCGTTTCCAACCTGGCGAGAGGGCAGGCTGCAATGACATCCAGCGTTGCACCTTTAACAAACTCCATTGTATTTGTAAGCGCCGGGCGGGGGGAAGCTGTAGAGTAGCATCGGAGGGTTGGGGAGGTAGGGGGGTAGGAACGGAGCGGTGCTCGAGTAATGATACATTCGCACGCCGAAGTGAGGTGCGAGGTAATAATGAGTTATGTACGTGATCCAATTATTTGGGCGCGCGCTCATTACGCGCTAAGTGTGAAATATGGCCTTCTTTATTAGCAGCATCGCCATCGCCGACCAGCCCCGGCCCGATCCCGGGGTGAGGGATGAGGGGCGCGGGGCGGCGGGGCTACCCCTTCCGGGGGCGTGTGCACCTCTGCAACTGCGCGCCTCTAAATCATAATAATGTAAGGTGCGGAGAGTTAACGGCTCGTAAAAGAGTTGCACCACGGCCAATATATGGCGTGCGCTACCTATATGTATAGTTTCTTCAAGCTCGATGCCAAAAATACTACTTTGGTCCAAGCTATCAACTCACTTAACAACCTTCCACAATGAAGGCGAAACATCACGCTAGTTTGCGTCAAACAATTCCTGATCAGAATTTAATCGTATCTTCTGTGTTACATCGATCTCTTTGTTTTCGTATAACCTAAGTAGGTATATGAGTGGTAAATGTCATAGTATATGAATGTTTATTTATGAGCTTTACTTGTCTCGACGTACCTACATATATATTCAAGTTAAGATTGAAGAAACTTTAGAAATGAACGAATTTAAAAAGAAAGGCGTTACATAGCGCGGGAGTAGTCGAGTGCAGTTCAGCGGCGGCCGGGGGCGAAGCGCCGGCCTCCGCAAAGCTCGAGTTATTCCATTAATTAAAAGAGAGGCCGCACTGCGCCCTCCCCCCGCGTCTACAGTGTAGCTTACTTTAGCAACTTTGGAATTTTATCATATTGCATCCCCACAAAATCACTTCAGATGTCAATTTTTGTTCAACACTGCAATTCTGACGCTGCAGTACCTTCAGAGATGACTGTTGATTTAAACATACACTAACAAATCAGGTAATTTATTACTAAAACTAACAATTTATTATTTTATTGATAATTAATAGATAAAAGCGGGAAATCTCTTACCAAGTCACCAAGGTACCAGGTTCAAAAAGCCGAAAAAAAATATCGCAAACAATTGTTAACATATGAAGCTAACAAACTCCTGTCAGTAAACAAAATAGGTATTCTTTATCAGTATTGAACGAAATCCGAAGCATTTCGGATGCACCGAAAGTAATCAATTGGAAGCTCCGCCGGTGGCGGTGTTTGGGAGAATGTTACGGGCATTTGATGAACTGCCGCCGGTTAGACTGTGGCGCGCCCCCCGCTGCAGCAAGGCAAGCGCGGGCCGGCGACGGGCGGCAGGGCTGCCCCACGGACGCGAGACGCCGATTTATGGAAACAGTTTGTAGAATGCGACCCGGACCATCGCCACCCTCCGGCGGGCGAGCTCTAATTGTTGGACTTTTCATAATTGCGTTATATCAAGCGTTATAGTTTCATGGACCACGTTCAAGCGCTTTTAAACGGTATGTTCAACCCTATTTTCAATTCGACTTATATGCCAAGCTCGAATGCACAATGCCTATTTTATAAATAACTTAATGGTACTGAGTGATGGTATTATCATAGATAACATAGGTTATCAAAGTACATTTTTGTTGAAATGGTTGGTGATGCGGTTTTACGGATTACGGTTCAACGAAAGAAAAATTGCTGCTTCTACTGTAACAAAGATAAGTCTAGTTGGCTGTGATATAAGTATGCTATTTTGCTAAATGATGCATTATTTTCTAGATTAGAGTAGTGACCCGCCTTCGCGTGGGTGTAATATATTATACATATAAATTTTCCTCTTGAATCTCTATCTAGTAAAGAAAACCGCATAAATTTCACATAATGCAACTACTAGCTTCAAAGCTGACCATCCTGTTAGGATATATGTATTTCATGTTTCTTTGTACGTAGAACCGTCCTCACACCACTGCTGCTGCCGCCGAGAGGAGTCACAGCCATGGGGGGTCAAAGGCGGGGGAGGGGCGAGGGTCGCACGCTGTTAGAATAAAACATTATTCATAAATAGGGTATTGCGGCAGGTGCCGCACTCCGCCACCCCCGTACCCTACCCCCGCCCCACCCACGCGCCCCTCCACAATGCAATTTTAAGAAAATAACATGCCTCTGAAGCCTTCACAGAACGCGGCCGAGCGATCCTTGCAGTGCTTCCGAGGTTCAGCACTTTTCACTGTGGCTTCGGGCTGCCACACACACAATTTAACATATTTCCAAGAATGCATTTATTACCTGGAATTAATTTTTTATCCGTCATACAATAATAATCCTAACATTTTATATTGCTGTTATAGGAGTCCATGATGCCTCAATGCCTGGGCATTTGCCTATTACATATTTCAGTACGGAGGCCTATAGATAGAGCAATGTGCGATAAAAAAATAAGAAACAGAATGTATTGATTAAAACCTCAGACTAAAACAGGTAATTTTTTTCAAAAAAATTGCAGAAACTTAACAATCCATGCGTAGCCATATACTTTGTTTTATAATGTCTCATCTTATAAGGGAAGTGGATAGCAATAATTAATTATAACTGCTGCCATAGACGTCTTAAATGTACATTAACATCGGGATGCTTATAAATTTAGTGATTTATTTAAAGTAGTTACACAAATCAAATTAACTGAATACCCCTGAATCTAAATGAAACTAGTTTTACGGATTTATCACGTTAGTTTTTAATTTTAATTCCCGACGCTTGTAATTTTACATCCGTTAAATTAGTTTAATTTATAATTGTGTAATCGCGTAAATACAAAAAATTATCATGAATATACTTACCTAAAAATTTTACTCTAGATTTTACGCGTAAGAAATCGGTATAATCTAATAACTGCAATAAATATCATAAGAAAATAGTCTCACTGTCTAAAATATTGTTATCAAAAAGGATTTTTTTAAAAGAACATGTTAAAAGATATTGCGGAACTGAGAAACATTACACTGACAAAAAGGCATTAACAAAGTTTCTCGAATATTTATCAAAGAATCAAGAAGAATCAAAAATCTTAGTTGAAGTGTACATGTGAAATTGATGCTTGATGAAAATAGTTATATGGTATTGATCGAATAACGACAGAACTATTAAAGCCCTAAACCCGGTAACTGGCTGGCAGAGGTGGTGACGGCAGCAGATCAGGTGATTAAACTGCGACCAGAGACAAGGACGCCGTATATGACTTTGAGGTATAGACATTTTACCATTCTTAAATATGTAGGCGTAACGGTGATAGACGGAGCCGCGATACTGCATTACCAATAATAGATTCACTCTGTCGCTTGGACGTACATAATGTTATGCGTTATGGCGCAATATGCGGCGCACATCACCACAAAGCCGATGTCTCAATGACCAGTCACTCAAATGTCAATGTCAAATGTCATTGAGCAATATAACGAACGGCATCAGTCGGGCAATATCTGTCTCTGTGAAATACGGTCATGCATATTGAAAAACAAAAGCAAACCTAAGAATGCGATTAGTAAAAAGCAGACGATACTGTCCATAAACCTAAGAGGTGGAGACGGTAATATAATAATTAATAATTAGCTTAATAACGGGACAATGGCGTAGAGCGAAAGGGGCCCACTGCGCGGGCCAAAAAACGCCCGGGGCATCATCGCATGTCGCGGCGACATCGATCATGGCGGCGTGCACGGCGCGGGCCGCGGCGCCGCTAATGAGGCGCGGGCCGGGCGCGAGCCGGCCCGTCCGTCGCGGGTTCCGCACGCACGTGATATTAGTGAATCCTAGCGGTACACGAGGGAACATCGAGTGGGCATTCGCAACACCGCGTGTTTCGCGATATAGTTACCGACCTGTTATATTTAACCTCGTTTTTAAAATAACTAACGGATGTACTTTCAATATAAACAATGCAGTGACGTCCTGGAGAGCAATGTGGTTTTGCGAGGAGGCGACGCGGACCCACACGAGCCGGCCCGCCGCGGACCACTCTACCTTGTCTAATTGTGCGCCCGTCACTGTGCACCGTGCTCAACTAACGCTGCGCGCACGGATCCGCTCAATTTTCGCATGCATAATATATTAAAGTTTTGAGACTTATTACAGTTATTCGTTACAGGCTATTTTCAACCAATGAAACTTAGTAGTACAACACGTGTAATTAAAATAATATTCAGTTGGACTCTTGATGATTCTTTTGTGATTTTGTCCGTTCAAAGGTAGGTGGCGCGGCCCCGTAGCAGGAGGCCGCCGCCGCGTGCAGAAGCAAATCAATGGGCGCTCTATGAGGCGAATTAATTAATATGCGGCCGCCGCAAAAAGGGGCCTCGCGTGGGCCCCGCATGCAGATCTGTGCATTAAAAACCGCGCAGTATAATTAGCGGCGTCGCAATCGGCGGGCTGTTACGACAGCGATGGAAAAGCACACCGGCGAGCTCCGTTGCGGCACACTTTTTTGCACCGGACGGACGGTTGCGCGCCTCCATTGTGCGGCGCCGTCTCACCTAAATCCACGAATGTATACTGTTTAGATTCATTAGGCTATTGTTTAGATTGCTTTTGGAAGTCCAAAAACAATTTATACGTGTTGTGTCCGTGACATGACCCATCGCTTATCAAACAATCTTCTACTAAAGTAACCCTTCTTTGTACTTCGAAATTAGGCCTTTTTTGTGTGAGAAGGTGGTAAACGAGCTTTAGGTTTACCTGATGTTAAGTGGGGGTTGTAGACACGTTGTGTTGCAGATGCGTTGTCACCTTTTAGGCCCCCTTCTACCACACTCACCCGGCAAAACGCAGAAGTATAATACGCACATATACGCACTTTCTCTTCACACCGATCTTCTGTGAGGTCCAGGTACATACCTTGATGGCCCATATTCTCGACCGATAAGATCTTCAATTGTGCAGCCATCGCGGTTATAGGATTTGATAATCGTTGTCAGAACTTCTGCTCAATAAATGTTAAGTTGGCAGATACATGTTCTTTCCGACCTCGGTCAGTGGGGCTTGTTAAGTTTATATGTGAATATAATCAGAATAGAAAAACAATATAACATGTTATTGTTTATTATTGCAGACTTTTATTGCGTTATCTGCTTTAAAAGAGAATAAAATACGGCAAGCATTAAATATCTAATATTAAAATAATAACATCCATAATTAAAATAGCACCTTTAGATATCGCATGCCTGTAAGAACTTGCGGTCGGATAAAAGTATTAAGAGGAAGGTGAGACCACTGTCAAACAAGCATCTCAAACATTTACTTAATATCGATATTGCCTTGTACAACCATTCAACAAATAATTGAAAAATACAAACAGTTATTAATAATTACTCGGCGAAGTGACTAAGACGAAAGCGCTAATTATATTACCAATTATGTAAATGAACCAGTTCTTAACAATGCAGGTATGTACACTTGCTGAGTCGTGTCTATGATTTCATATTAATGTCAATTATCGAGCGTAAAAAAACATGTACGGCGTTACGATGACGTGATTTCATACGGCGCATTCTAAATCCAGTCATTTGCGATCGCGCATTAATTAGGTGACGTTCAGAGGGCGAGGGGGGCAGATGGGGGGAGGTGGGGGGGGAGGTGATGTATACTGGGCACTCGCCTTTAAGGGCAACTGTGCCGTGAGAAACACCGTGGGACCGGACCGCGTCGACACACCGCAACCAAACGGTCGTGCGACACGCGACGTACACCATTGCGACATTAAGACCACAAGATATATCATCGCTTCCATTAAAGCCGCGATGGACGACAGACGCATCCACATTGTGGTTGATAAGTGGATTACAGAACGTATTTAAGATTCATAAGGCCTCGTAGCGCGATAATTATGCAGATTCGATACAACGCCGCAGCGAACTGAAGTGCTGTATGGATGCTAAACATTGACGCAACGTTGTCACCAAATGTATGTCAGCTTTTTGCACCTTTGCCTTTGCATGCTTGAATATATCAACCTACAATCATATATTTGCAACATTATTTCATTCAAAAAAATCGAGCTGTTGTTCTTATTGCACTTTGATATTACATTTTCTGTATTTTTCAAAAAGGGTAGGTGATCGGGATGAAGTTTGTTTTATATATCTTAAGACAGACACGTTGCTAAGCTATTGGCATCGGCGCAGGGGTTTTTGTTTTGAATCCCACACGGGACAAATATTTGTTTGGCCCGCAAATTCTTTTTTCTGAATCTGGGCGTTTATTCATAAGCAAGGTTGGCGACCCTCTGCTGACTCATCGCGTTGTAAAAAAATCTATCCAATTAGCATTAACAAAACACTTTGCATTGTTGTGCCGATCCCGCCCAGGTGGGATAAGAGAAAACGGATAATATATTTTTAGATATAATTACTATCGGTACACGCAGAAAATTTGTTACGCTAACAAAATAATAAATCATTCAGGAGTTTCATTTATTACACTTATATGAATTAACTAATTAAAGAAATATCGCTCATTGTATCCGACGATTGACTGGACGGAATTGAGTTCGCAAGGCGTGAGTAACGTTTCAAAACGTGTAAACGCAAGTCAATGCTTATTAAAAGGCGTTACAAAAACGCTCGCTTCAGCACTTCCCTGTCTCGGCGGCGGCGGCGGCGGCACCGTCAAAGCGGGCCTTTCCTCAAACGGAGGCTGCGACGCCGCATCCATACAAGCAGCCCGTAATGGGGACACTTTACGCAGCCTTCCAAAGCAACTGACGCTGCAGGATGCTGCGACTGCCAATACTATTGAGTTAAATATAAGACGTAAAATTGCCACTGTTTCCCTCAGTAACAACAGTCACCCGAGGAGGCGGCTACTGCGGCCGACAACTCGCGGCGCATGGGCTCCGCTTCGCAGAAGCTACGCCCTTAAGAGCCGATGGAGATGTGGCGGCTGACGGGTGAACGGGTGGCGCCTGCTTCCCGGTACAGCGCCAGTTATGATTGAGGGACGGACAAAAAGAACATTATTCATTAGCGAGCGCTTAGCGCGGCGCAGCGGCGGCAGCGTTGGCCGCGCAGCGCGGGGAATGCGGCCGCCGCGGCGGAATGGGATCGCGACGCAAAAACGGCCGATCGCATGTCGCCGCGAGGCACCGGCCGCGGCCGCATAACGCATAATCGCCCCTTTATTATTATATTATGCGATCCGCATATCGCCACCGCTCGTTGCGAAACCCGTGGTCTATCGGTGGAAAGCAGCCCGCGCTATGTTCATCACGCAGTTCCATGTCCAACGAACCCGGCTCAATGAACTCGACTGTAATTCGTTACAAAGGTATTGTCTCTACTATTTTACATCGTTATCGCTCAAAGAGAATTAAATACAAGAGAAATCCAACTCCAACAAGAGAAATAAATTGTTTTTCATCATACATTTCAACCATACAAGTACGGCTATACTGTTTAAAAAACGAAATTGATTTCATTTAATCAAAATAGTGTGTTAGGTGTATTACTCGTAATATAATGCAAAACAATTGCATATGGGAATATTTGTGAAGAGGAGCCAAAAGTCCTTGCTTATAAAAATGTACGTAGCTGTAAATAAATTCAAGTCGTGTATTGGGATTCTAAGCAATAATATAAAAAAAAAGTGTATATAAACAAATGTTAAGTTGGATGACTCTGTAGTTGTTCACGTAGGGTACTGAACAGTTGCAGGATACCATTACGTCACATTGTACAAGAACGTCACAAAGTCTGCTAATGGTATGACGACAAGTTTTAAATTTATAAGTGACAATTGGTGCAGTTAACTGTCTTATATCTAAACCAGAAGCTCCACCTACAGCATTTAGATTGTATAAAAATATTAAATTATTAAATAAGTTTCCTAGGAAATTTGTTTTTAATATAATTTAATAAACTGATTTTAAGATTATATTAGCTGTTAATTAAACCGTTACAATTATTAGTCAATTCATTTATCAATTAGAAAGGAGTTTATTATAACAGGCACTCTAAAATTTCAGTATTGTTAATATTTCTGTGTGAGCAAACAGCAAATGCTACTGAAAATTTGTTTTCCAAGTATTATTTTAACAAACTAGCTAGTATTTAACTGCTAAGCCCATGGGTAATTAAAGATGCATCCCTGAATGCTTTACACACTATCTCAGTAAAAACGTTCACTCTTTTCTCTGTTGCCTTAAAGACGTCCAAGTGAAAATCAGATGGCAAGCGGACGGCTGCAGATTATTTTTCTCCTTTGCTTTTCCAGTAACGAATGAAACCTGAATGTAAGAGATCTTTTGAACTTCTGCTATGCGTTGGTCGAAAGGTAAGTAGGTGATCAATTCGTATATCCAGCAGCGCCTGTTTCATTCCACAGCAACTACTCGGAAAATCTAACTGAGCGGTGTCGAGGTGCGTAGGCGTCACAAGCGTTGATCGTTGAGCCCACGAAGTCCTCGCGAAATAGCCCCCGGGCCAGGTGGCTGGGTTCCCCCGCCGCCCTGGGAACCGCCTCATTAGGGCGGCGGGAGCGCGCGTCGCCGCCGCGTTTTTCCGCCGCGATGAAAATGCATGAGCGCTGAACGCCGCGCGCCGCGGATTCGTGGCGGGGCTCTCTCGGGAAACTGTTGAAAGGTGCCCGATGGGCGCCGGCCGCCATTAATAAGCGCGCTTTTTGCGCACCCCGGTGCCAGTTCGCGGATCGTGAATCGCGATTCCTGCACCGCCCGTTATGGCCATCGAATGGGCGGCTGTTGAACAAACGCGCGTTACCGTCACCGACGTAGCCGCCGCGAATGCCGCCGCCCCATAATTCCGTCCGCATTATTCTATTCGATAAATCTGTTACAGATAATAACGTGAAAGCCGGACTAGCAACCGGTGCTCGGACACTGGTTTTTTATAAAGAATATTTGCACAAGTAATAAATATAGTTCTGCTTATATCAGAGAGTTCTTCAAAGTTTTCTGAATGCAGAAGGCTTAAGAACAAATGGTTGTTTTTTTTACGACTTTTTTTCGGAATTGTTTTGCAATGATATCTTAATGATGAATAAAATTAATTCATCATTAAGATATCGCAATTCTGTATAAATGAATGTTTCGCGCCACGATACAATCGTAAAAGTAGAAACCAATCTAGCTGCATCTATCATGTATCTAAACCTTATAAAAGTCAATACGATAATAAAGTCATCCGTACAAATTAAACAGATTTTACACGCGAGGCCACTAATTCGTTTTTAATAGCGCATCGAAATTAAGTCGACGCGCGTCGGGATGTTGCATCTTCGGTGCTCAGGCGGAGAGGCTAATGTGGATTGTGAGATGAGAGGTCGAAAATTAGACGGTGCACGCGCCCCTATTAATGAAGGTGTTTATAAATTCAAGCATGTGTTTATGCGCGGCGATAATTGTTATAAATGGAGGCTAATCGTGTGGTACGAGGTATGAGGAGGGGTAGGGGGAGAGATGGGATATCAGACATGCTTCGGGCCGCTTTTGTTAGAACAGGGCTCCCGGAATCAACGCAGCTATCGTGAAATCACAAAAATTAACCTTCATTTACAGAGAATTGGATTCATACAAATTATTGCAAAAACCGGTACGCGAAAAGCAGGTAAACTTTCAATACCGGACTTGTTGCAGGCGTTCCTCCAGCCACTGAAGCGTGGGGCTTTGGTCTGTACCTAGGTATTTTATTTACATAATAATAACCTACCCAATTAATTTTAAATTATATCGCAAAAGTTTACACAATGACACTGTTTTATCACTGCAACACCAGTCTGTGAGAACGTTTTAGGAAAAATAAATACTAAATAAGTCGCTCTTCAACTATATTTGCACGTAGCCATGTTTTAGAACACCGTAAAGAAGAAAATGACGTTCTGCTGTTGCTACACTAACACGAAGTGTAGCAAATGTTTGCTACACGACTTTAATGCTTGGTTAAAAATCGGAATCACATTGTTCTATTTATTGTTTATACATTTTGAGGACAATTTAAAGTTAAAGTTATTTCTTGATATGTAGTATAACAAATTTTGTGACGGCTTCCAAGTCACCATTTGTGTAAACTTTTGGTAAAAGTTAACACAATTTTTGTAAAAGTTTCGCTCTATAAAATCTACGAAACTAAAAGACTAAAAGATGGTCACTCTGAGCTGATCGGTTCTTGATTTGCCTTGATACAATATGTGGTAATCGTAACTGTGTATTTAACTACGGTAGAGTTACGTAACAGCCCTCGCTGTTACACTAATGGGTCCAGGTGAGTACCGCGACCTCTCAAAACAAAAGTCTGAAATGGAACTGTTATACTTGTGTTTCGTGTGGAGAATGAGGTATCCGGTGCTCACTTAACATCAGGTGGACCGCTAGTTCGCTTCTCACCTACTCACATACAAAAACAAAATTGTTCTGCAGTCACATTCTAAGAATACAATTGGTTTTGGGGGGTGATCATGACCCCCAATGACCGCGAATTAAGTCGCACTTGGTGTCATAGGCGGTCTTTGCACAGACAAAAAGCTAGTGGCTTATGTTCAAGGATTTAGCATGTTGTACTAAACTTTTGAGTTTTTTCTGCTTCTGGGATCCATGGTTGGTGATGATCGCTCACCGTCATCGTCGGCCCGTTTGCGTTTTTCGCTCAAGCAACACCTATGTTGCCACTATTCTGCGAAGTATTCGATTAGCAAGAAATAAGTTCAAAATCAAACGAAAACCAAGCATGGGTGTTGGAGAAAAGTATTTTGGCCAATTAACTCGTGAATTTTACTTTACTTTAAAAATATTGAAATGTTAAATCCTCTACTCGACATACACAGCCTAAAATTGATGGTTTTGCATATGTTTCCATTTGCTTCTAAAAGAGTATTTTAAGACTTATATAAATTTTTGTGCTAGTCTCTACATTCAAGATGAAACTAAATATTAAAAGTTTTTGAAGATAAATGAAACAAAAATTTTCCCGCAACGCCGAAAGTTTATGTTCATTTTGAACTTATTTAGAAATTATTATTTGTATGGATATCTTATATTATCGGTGGTAGGGCCACGCAGCAGCCTCGGCTGTTTCACGAATGGGCAGGCTCGTCCGGGTAAATACCACGACCTCACAGAAGACCGGCGTAAAGTGGAAGTATGATACTTTCGCGTTTCTGGTGAGTGAGGTACCCGGAGCCCAATTTCCAATAAGGTTGCCAACGCATCTGCAAACCCTCGGGTGTAGCAGATGTCTATGGGCGGCGGTATTCACTTAACATCACCGTGACCGTCTGCTCGTTTGGCAACTTTTCACAAAAAAAAATACTTTTCTCTTGTAGTTTGAATTCAAATTCTAAACGAATTAAACATTCAAACTGCGATCATATCAGGTAATGTTTCACTTAACCAAAGTTAGGCCCCATTGTCCTCGAATCCAACGTTCTGAATGATTCTCATGATTAGCGAAGCGGCCAAAAACTGGAAATAATCTCCTCGGGCGAGATGTCGCACGCGTGCAGGGCACGGCGAGGGCGGGGGTCGCGGCGCGAGTGATTGATGCGGCCGCGTTTAGGCTTAAAAGCGCTCCAGTTACGGCAAACAGGGCCGCGGGCAATACTATACTCGGCTAATGATCGCCTATTACCGGCACCCGTACCGTTCACGTCACAGTTTTTTTTGTACAATACCATCTTTTAATTTTTCCCGAGGAATCGTCGCCCAGTACGAGTAATTCCTTTTATTTATGTTTTACTTTCACTACATCTTATTTAATTCCTATTATGCTATTTTATTTTTTAGTTCATAATTTGTCGTTGTTCTTTATTTTTTTTATTTTAAACAGTGTAAATAAATAAATAATAAATAAATAAAAATATCTTTATTCACATAGACGCTTGCGCGTTCTTATGAAACGTCAAAATTTTACAAGAAATGAACACGTTCGTAAGTTACCACCGGTTCGGAAAGCAGTTTCTGTTGAGAAGAAACCGGCAAGAAACTCAACAGTTGCTCTTTTTAAAAAAAAATCAGTTTACAATATAATAGTACATGTACAATAGTCTTGTTTTAGCCTACGTGAGTATCAACAGTATTAACCCCACACATTGGCGTCGTCAAGATATTCAGCAATAGAATAATAGGCTTTAGCCATAAGTTTACTTTTAATTTTTCGTTTAAATTCATCAAGTGGCAGACTTAATATCGACTGTGGGATTTTATTATACATGCGCACACCTTGCCCCATGAACGACCTGTTTACTTTTTGTAAACGAAACAATGGCGTAGTTAGTTTGTCCTTATTTCTAGTATTTAGTTTATGTCTGTCACTATTCTTTAGATAACTATTAATATTATTTTTAACATACAAAATGTTACAATAAATATATTGAGACGCAACAGTGAGTATATTAATCTCTTTAAAAAGGTCTCTGAGTGTATTCCGGGCTCCGATGTTATAGATTGCTCGGACAGCTCTTTTTTGAAGAATAAATATAGAATTTATATCAGATGCACTACCCCACAACAAAATGCCGTAAGACAAGATGCTGTGGAAATAACTGAAATAAACAAGTCTGGCAGTGTCGATGTCTGATAGCTGTCTAACCTTCCTAACTGCAAAAACAGCGGAGCTTAACCTGTTCGCAAGAGATGATAGATGGGGACTCCATTGGAGCTTTGAATCCACTGTAATTCCCAAGAATACAGCGGACTCAACAGGATTAAGGGTTACGCTATTTAATGTTAAGCTAAAACTTCGCCTTCTTACGCTGGGAAGGGTAAAAAGAAGGCATTTAGTTTTTTTTTAGAGCATTTAACACCATATTATTAACGGTAAACCAGTGGAGGATACGCGAAAGTGCACTATTCACGTCGTCATAATCCGACACGTTTCGGTCAACCTTAAAAATGAGCGATGTGTCGTCAGCAAACAGTACAATATCACATAACTCACTGGCATAAAAGGGGAGATCATTTATATACACTAAGAATAATAATGGACCCAAGATTGATCCTTGTGGGACACCCATTTTCATGGGGGACCCTGTGGAATTTACATCATTTATAGATACTTTTTGAATTCTATTATTAAGGTAAGAGGCAATGAGATTGAGGGCGATGTCACGAATGCCATAATAATCTAACTTTTGAAGGAGGGTTTCGTGGTCTACACAGTCGAAAGCCTTTGAAAGGTCGCAAAAGACACCTATTGCATCTTGTGACCTTTCCCAGGCGTTATAAATATGCTTGACAAGTGCGACACCCGCATCCGTTGTCGATCTGCCTTTAGTGAATCCATATTGCTCATTGTGGAAAATTTTGTTCATATTAAAATGTACTAAGAGTTGATTTAAAATTAGTTTTTCAAAAATTTTACTCAGAGATGGCAATATGGAGATAGGTCTGTAATTTCCTGGATCATTTTTATCCCCACTTTTGAAAACGGGGATTATCTTACTGAATTTCATAAGATCTGGAAATATTCCAGAATCTATACATTTGTTAAAAATATTTGCCAAATATGGTGCAATATACGGCATTATTGTACTCATAAATTTTATGGACATGCCCCACAAATCTCCTGTATTTTTAAGATTAATAGAATTCAAAACTTTTATAATATCATTAGTATCTATGTGATTAAATTTAAACGTTTGTCGACAATAGGTAACATTATTTTTTAATACATTAATTGCATCAATGGGAGAGGATTTTAACGTGCATGTAACATTAATTGCAATTTCTGAAAAATAACTTTCAAAACTACTTGCAATTTCGTTATCTGAAGTTATGGGTGTATTGCCTATCACTAGCTTTATAGGTTCCCTGAATATCTTGGGTCTTCCAGATATACAGGTAATGATGTCCCATGTAGCTTTTATTTTATTACTAGAATTTAAAATCCTATTTCTTATGTAGATAGATTTTGCATGTATACAGACTTTTTTAAATATTTTTGAAAAATTTTGTACCCGTTTATGGAAATTAGGGTCGTGATTCCACTGCCTCATATTATATAATTCATACAGTGAATCCCTACTTTTATATATACCCACTGTTGCCCAGTCACTAAATTTTAATTTTGATTTTTTAACAATTGTGCGGGGTTTAAAAATATGATTATAGGAAGTTATGAGAAAATCAACCATTGATCTATAACAATCATTAGGGTTATTGACTCCGATATCTTTATGGAATACATGCTGTGCTACTTTATCTTTAAAAGAATTTAGTCTCCTAGCAGTGATTGGTCTACACCTGATCTTAATTTCACTTGTAGTAATGTTTTCATTTATTGAAAATTTTAAACCAAGATGATCAGAGCTCAGATAATTTATAATAGATTTGTCATATACTTCATTGTGACAGAAAACGTTATCGATACATGTGGAGGATAAGTTAGTAACACGAGTTGGTTCATAAAAAAGATTTTTAAGTTTGAATGAATTAAATAAATTTAAAAGCCGCTTACTAAGTTGTGTTACTTGTAATAATCTACATTAAAATCTCCACAAACTATGACTGATTTACTAGTTAAACACAGTTTCTTAAGGACATCATCCATGACACACTCAAACTGGTCGAAATCACCGGAGGGGGGTCGATACACGCATACTATAATATACTGTTGACTCTCAACGCAGGATAATTCTATAGAACGTTCGACAGAGAGTGCCATTATATCCTGTCGATTTTTACAGACTATATCATTTCTAACTAACACAAGAGAGCCACCGCGTATAGCATTTACTCTTACGAACGAACTTAACATTTTATAATTCCCTATATTTACAATATTACAATTCTTATGTAACCATGTCTCTCAATTCTTATGTAACCATGTCTCGTAACCAAATGTAACTGTGTTTGTGTCAAATCAAATGTTAAATGTCTTTTAAATCTCTCCTCCTAACATCGAAATCATCCATTCCCTTCAAAGACGCGGCGTAGCGTACTAGATAATATGACGTTAGAAGTTGATGAGAGCAAAAGTTTAAGGCTATTTATTTATTTTTTGATCTACGATCAAACGTTCACAACAAATGAGAAAGAGTGCAAAGGAGAAGGATTAGTGGACTACAGTCTAAAATTTATCGCCGATTAACACCAGGTGGGATACTTCGGCACAAGCTCTAGGAAATAAAATACGGTTTAAAACTTCCTGGTAAAGTCTCTCCTCAAAGGATGTTTGAAAAATTTTATAAGGTATGATCCATTAAATCACATAACTTAGTCACAATTCATCAAAGCTATGCCATAAGTGCTGAAGAAACAATTAGTGAAATAGCCTCTAATAGTTCAGGCAGCGCTTTCTCACATATCAGCAGCAATCGTAGAAACTACGTCCCTATATATGTTTCGAACGCATAATGAATATTTTAGTGTCTACAGGTTTCAAGACACGAATATTATCCTCCTCCTTATATGCCAATTTGTTAAATACATAGTCTAATTATAACTACTGTGGCAGATCGCTATGGAAAGGCCATGGTAGGTCTCACAGAAGATCGGTTTGAAGTAGAATTGTCTATAATTTTGGTTAAGTCGGGAGAGTGGAATAAACGGGCTCAACCCTCATAAAGTTGAGCAACGCCAATGCCTTAAATTCCTTAAATTTAGGTAAACCACACGATCCGTTCCACATTTAAAGAAAAACTAGGGTTTCAAGATTTACGTCTTTTGTTTTAAAAACTAAACAATACACAAGTTACGTGACAGCATTGGAAAAGACCAAAAATTTCACATATTGTAATACGAAACGAAATTGAAAACGAACATCGAAGATGACTTATCACAGCTCTTCTCAGAGGGGCATTATATCTCGCCACAAACAAACACATTAATTGACGGAGCGGTGTCGTGCCGACAAATAATCGAGCGTTCGCGGCAAAAAGGAATGGGACGATTGAAAATTACAGTTGTAATATTTTCTCTTTATGTGAGCAAACAGTGTAGCAAAGCCTGACTGTCAAAGGCAACGTTAATAGGGGCGCGGCAAAAAATGTAGAAATTTTTGTCGCTCAATCGCGGCGGCGACGGCATCTCGAAAATGAGTCGCGATATTGAAATGGACTTCTTTGTGCGCGCCGCCGCCACCGCCACAGATTAAAAATGCTGTCGTTTGAGTTTCAACGTCGCAACATTAAGCAACCCGCGCGGTCCATTCAAACTACTTCCCCAATTAGTCGGAACATCAATGAACACTGAAACACACTCGTTAGAAATCCTCATGGAAATCATTTTAATTGAGACCACGAGGAGGAATTCGTCATTGGACGTTGCGGGCAATGAGGCCGAAGTCGGCGGTGGTGGGCAACAAAGCGGCCGCCACCAATCGCCCGATCGCCCAATCGCCCAATCGCCCAACCACACAATCGCACAATCGCACAATTAACATGTCCGCCAGGCCGCGTGAATGAGGCCCCGCGCCCTCGCTCCCTCGCAAGGGCAGGTCCTCTGAATGCAAAGCTTTTTGCGGCCGCCCGAGATGCAAACACGTCCCTCCGGCTCCGATTCGAGTGGACGCTTTTTAGACGTTTTGAATAAATGAAATATTCATCAGCGACACAGGGCAACATTGTTCGGAGGCTTGTTAAGTATTTGTACCGCGGCTGGCATCTTCGGGTATGCAGTGTGAAAGGAAAGATTAGCATCGAGAGAGTGGGAACAAGTCCTGCGGATATTGTCATCATTTATTGCTTTTGAACTGCTACTACGACGACATCGCCCAATGATCCTTCCTCAGGGTAAAAGGTTTCAAATTATTTATAACACTTTTATTGGCGTCATTTCCTTTTTTTATATATGTTGTAAACGGCAGTATTGTGCTACCGGTATAAACTTGTCAAGTCTAGTAATGTCTTGAAAAGTTACGATTGCTACCCCCTTCTCTTTATTCGTTTGTTCGCAACTCGGGACACCAATAGAAACGAGACGCGAATAAGAGGGCATTAAATCAATTCGGACAGTCGCTGCATTAAAAGGAGTTCTCTCCGAGGACACATCCTAGATGCTGGGCCGAGATAAAGTGTATTCAAGAGGAAAATATTCAAAGAGCATCAGACGAAGCGTCAAGGCGGGACGGCTCCCACGGCGCGGGCGCTGCAAAAAGTGCGGCGGGGCGGTGGGGGCGCGGTGGGGGGAGCGCGGGGGGGGGGGGGGGGTAGCGGGGTCCGCGGCCGGGATGCTGGATTACTCGCGCGTCTGCCGCGTGCATACTGATGCCGCGTAATTGTCCTTCGCAAAAAGCATGCGCATGATAATCGAGGAAATGCCGCTCCCCCGGCCGCCCGCCTTAATTGTTGTTAAATGGCCCACGTGGTGCCCTGGGGCACGGCATGAACCGAACTCAACACATTCTCAGAAGTGTCTTGGTCTTTATTGGCTGACGTTCAAGCTTTCCTTCCAATGCACTATGAAATAATTCCCGTGACAGACTACTAACCTCTTAGGGTAACTCGCATGTCTGCATAAATACATAATATACCTGGACGCTTGATGAGTATGGTATATTACTGCCCACGGAAGACGATAACCACTGCGTTGTTATGCGAGTGTCAACCTTTGAGTATGAAGCAAGAGTCGGGCATGGGAAGTCTAAAAATTAAACGTTTTTCTCGATGTTTTCAACTAAAATCTCTTTGCGATACGATTATATATAGCGGGAGGTAGGTAGGTATCTATGAAGACCACAATTTGCTAATTGCTGACCATGGGCAGCCGCCTTAGTTTTCGATGAAGCACGACCCCTTCCGCATTCAACAACTCTTAAACGAATGAAAATGCTAACGGAACCTAAGCGAAATCTAACAGGCGGCATAGGAAGGATAGAAGAGACTGAGAAGTGTACCTACATATCACAACGACGTCCGACACTACAAAACTGACGTTAAAATACGCTACTTTGCATACTTAGACCCTTAGACCCTACCAGATGAACGCTAAATCGCTAACGGCACCACGGGAATGGCTTATCAATCTGGAAGAGGGCCGCAGCCCATTACCGGCCGATGCGTAATTTCGCCAAATGTAACAAAAAGCCCTTTTGTGGCTCCTGGCCGACGGCACACAGCTGTCATCGCGCCTCGCATCCCTGCAATTACAATAACATTGATCCATTGCAAATTATAACGTACATTGGCCCTCAATGTTCAACTAAGATGAACTCATCGTGTGGACACCGCAATGTAAGTCAAAATTTCGTAGTGACCGCACGGAGTGCGTCCGCAGCAGCCGGGTGCGAGCCCATGTGTCCAGGCACGCCGTTTTTGCCGCCCGCCACCGAACTATAATAACCATAATGAGGCTCGTTCGATTCCGATTTAATCGTCGTCCAAACATTCATTTATTCTTGGTACGACTGGCCGATGTCCTCGGTAACATTTCACTACAGAATTATGTATGACGCTTTTTGTACTCTCGTGCAAATTTCAAATATCATTTGTTTATCTTGCAATACGCAGAGCAGATCACAAACGTAATGAGATAACATTTAATCAGAATCATATCAAGTTATGTGAATCATAATCAGATTAAATTTAGGCAAAAGTAGAAGTTACTTTTATAGTCAATTATACGATGTCCTGTGGAGTAAATGTAGGAACCTGAAGTAATCTTTGTAAAAAGAATTTGCATATGGAATTTGCAGATGATGATAACGTTTTAAGGTGTTCAGATCAATGTAAAGGGAAAACAATGGCATATTATTAAAACGAATAATTTTTACTGAGAATTACTGAGAATTACTTTTATTGTCTTCTAAACGCAATAATCCACTAAAATAAAAAGAAATTACGATTACGTTACAACTTTTGAAATTTTAATAATGAATTTTATTTTCCATAAAGATCAGGTGCAACGTTCCACAGCATGTATGGAAGTTTAGCTCGCAGTTTCGGTAATGTCTTTTAGAACATCAGTTTTATAAAGTCTCTAACGGAAAACGGACATACGCCATATAGCACAGGTTTAATTTGTAAGTCTGACCAATATCAATAGATATTACATTTCTCATGACACAAAAGCACTGGTGAATAATTATTAAAAATTACTCAATTTAAACTATCTAGTGATTATATTCTTTGCCATACGATTTTCAAATATTAACTAATGGTTAATTACAGATTTAAAATACATATTCGAGCACGCAGTTTACACCCAGGGTAAAAATCAAATCGCAGATTAATTGATCTTTATAAATTATAACATAACGAAACAAGTTACAAACGTTGGCCGCACGAATGATTCTAGTTGGATGCATTATTTGTGGTAACACGGGTAGTCTTAGAAATCACACTGTGTGTTATCGCAATAAAGTGCAGTTTTGCTTGGCGGGATGTGGCGACCCTGCATACAACTGCCCCGTGAGATTTGAATGACGTGTTATTTTTCAAATTCAAGGGACGATACCATTTCGTTAATTGTCATATAGAATTAACGGATCAGGCAAAAAAACCCTGAGAAGAGGATTACTATCCATATTTACTCTTTGCGTGCACAGTAAGCAAATTTAACTTTAGTTCTTCAATGAGTTTAAAAATGGATTACTAATTTAGATGTAGCAATTCTTTTCGGTCTTATCTATGGTTATGGCTACGATGCATGCGAAGTCATGAAGCAACCTCTGCCATTTTCTTCTGTAAACAACTTTATTTGTTTTGAAAAGTTTAAAATTTGTATTTTAATGTTTTATTTGGGGCACAGTAAGGTTCTTTCAACACGCTGCTATGCAGTATCGGGTCGCAGCTGAACGCATTTACGTAAGGAGCCAAATTTCATATTGACAGAGTGTAGCGCGTCGCCTCGAGAGCCCTATTATGCTAGGATAGTGTCGGTTCCAAGGCGATATTGAGCATGTTGCGTTAGTCGTGCGCTGGATCGCAGCTGCGCGCCGCGCCGGCCCGCTGATAATCTAGTTAAATTTATTTATTGAGGCTCGCCCGCACCGCTCCTATAAACAGATTAAACAACCCAACAAAACCTCGCTTAATGCTGGCCCAACAAAACGATCGCCGGCTACATCAGCCTTCGTGCCGTTCAGCTCATTTTGCTATCGAGCACAACATCAACTTTATCGGTTCATATTTATCGAGTAATTTACCGCATCATGCCGGCAATCGCGATGCTTCCTTGCTCTCAGGTTACTTTTCAAGGTTTCGGGGAAGTAATTAAACTGATATTAAAATGAAGTTGAACACTTCGATACCACTACGATCAAACGACCAACCGATAATTTCATTAATCAAGTAGCCCACAACGGTTCTATTCATTTAACGAATTCCAGCAGCCGCAGAAGGAAACCTGACGACGATGTGACAATAATCTGAACACCTGTACCGCTCACTTCCTGCATAATTATGGACACACATACTTTTCGTGTTTACAGTGTTACCATATTTCTACTACAAACATAGCGCCTGTATGAATCAGATTGAGACATTAATAAGCATGTTCGTCGCACCTCTAAGTTCTTTGTTTGATAGTCTCTGCTGTAATTTTAGACAATATTTATTGCTGCAATCTAAACGTTCTAATTTAAAAAGAAAGCGTAAGTTTAAACAAAATAATTATCTATAGTGAAATATTTCTAACTTCCCAGGACAAAAGATCATTCCTTCAAGATGGCTTAGCTTTCATATCAAGCAAACATTGATTTTTATTCATATTACACATTCTGTACGTATTTTATCGCCAATATATTTTTAATAAATAAAAGGACGTTTCAGATACTATAACAACATGGTGACATGCGAGACTGGACAGACAAATAGAATCTACCAACCGTATTACAATTTCACGTTGTTTAATCCAGAAAGAAAGGGATCTTAAATCCAAGCAACTGTTGAGTTTCTTGCCGGTTTCTTCTCAACAGAAACTATAAATTTTATATTAAGTTTTCATAGTGCTGATCTCTGTACTTAAGATGGAACATTAAAACATGTAGAAAAAGTACGAAAAGATTGTCGCCGCTGTGGGAATCGAACCCACGTCTTCGGCATTCGCGACCTGACGCTCTAGCCACTGAGCTAAACGGCTGATAGCCACAGCGACGAAAATCTTAACGTCTTTTATTTACATTGTTATTTAGAATTTGAAGCAATGCTTGGCGCATCGCGCGCTAGAGCGTCAGCCCGCGAATGCCAAAGACGTGGGTTCGATTTCCACAGCGGCGACAATCTTTTCGTACTTTTTCCACATGTTTTAATGTTCAACAGAAACTGCTTTCCGGTGGTAGCTTACTTACAAACGTATTAATTTTTATGTAAAATGTTGACGTTTCATAAGAACGCGCAAGCGTCTATGTGAATAAATACATTTTTGATTTTGATTTTTCCAAAAAGGTCAAAATATGGGAGGCTTGGGCGTAACGGTCGTGGACAGCGCGTGTCTGTTCGCCGATAAGGGTGAGTTGCTCATAAATTAATCGCCTGTGTATACTACAATGTACCTTACACATTCTTATACCGTTAATAGCACACCCAGTATTAGTTAAACTCAGTAGAGGGATGTTTGCAGGAAACAAGACTAATAAATTTCCTAAAAATTAAGTACTGATAGCAACAAAATCATATAACAGACTTAATATCTGTTTACGTTTCTTCATCTAATGACTCAAAACGATTAAGGTGGAAAATTCGATATATGATATTCAATCTAATCCATGCATAGTATGTGTTTCCGACCATTTAGCGTCTCAACATAGGAGTGTTCACACACCGAAACAGGCGTCACGAATTCCGTGACTACAGGAGGTGCGCCCATTAGCGGGTAACACCGATTAACTGTTTTATCATTCGTTACATTCCAACGGACCGCCTTCGCCACGGGATGGAACGAGTGTCATGCAATATCACACGCAAACATCCATTATTACAAGTACTGTTAAACGATGGAATTAATTGTTCGTTAATCTATTTTGTTTTGTTTCCAAGCATGATCATCCGAAAAACTCATAATTTTCGTAATGAGTAAAGTTATTTTATTAAAATATTACTTATATATGAAACATTATTAGAGCCGTAATAGCTCAGTGTCCGGGCGCTCGCCTTTAATTCAATATACTCGAGCAACCTGAGTTCGAGCCCCGGTGCCGGCACCAATGAAGTTTTTAACTTTAAGTGCTGACTAATCTCGTGCTCCGCGGTGAAGGAAAACATCGTGAGGAAACCTGCATATTTTCGAAATAATAACAAAAAATATATATATTTTCGATAATATTTTTGAAGTCCGCCATTCCGCATTTCGAAAATATGGACTAGTCCGATACCCTCTGTATAGAGGAGGCCTTTGCCCAGCAGTGGTACATGTATAGCTCTGTATGTGGGCTGTTACTTTACTTTTTACTTTACTATATGAAAAATATATAAAGAAACAAAATAATGTATTTATAAACAGACTTTATGATCATAAATAGAAGATACAAAGTTGTATATCACTTGACATCTATGCATAAATGAAACTGCATTTATTCGAATTTGATAAACGGTCTGCGTGACCGGGGCCCAGTCCACCGGGCCAATGCTCGGCCTCCCTTAGCTCCACCATAAACCATGCATTAGTATTGCACAACTAATATTAAAGCTTATTCTGAGTCGATATTATTCATGCCGACCCTGGATGTGAAAGCATTGATTAATATTGTAATGAGGGCGATGAATATCATCCCCCGTACCATGCGACGGGTGCCGGTACTGGTTGTGGCCCCGGGATGCGAGCCGTGGTGGAGCCGCGAGGCGAGGGCGCTCCGGGGCCGGTCTCGTGGTGAGAGGGCGCGCGGCGAGGTGCCTCGGTGGCGGCCGCGCTCGGCAATTGTGTATAGTTTGAGATAATGGCAGCGGTCGCCGCGTAATTATTTCTATCCGGGCGATTTGCGTACGAGCGCATCGGCCCTAATAACACGTTGCCTGCCCGGGGCCCGTCCGTCCTGTCGCCTTGGCGCTCATATCGCATCACCAAATTAGGGGCTAATTTCGCCTTGTCAAACATCGTGCGATCGAATGCCGACCAACGTTAGCCCCGCTCACCTAACAGCATATAGGCTGACTGCAAACAACTGTAGAGATACGCAGTTATGCACACGCGCCCTATTAGACACGTAGTAAGTCGGTGATTGATATACTGATAAAGCGCGAGATGAGAGCAATTCAAGAAACGGAAGTCTTTTCATTTTCGTACAAAATTCTTGAATTTCCACATATTGTTAGAGCCTACTAAGGCTGTAATATAAAGTGTGAATGAATTATAGGCTGTGCATCATCAGGGCACGTAGCTCAACAGCCTCGAAGCTCGCGCGGTCGGCGTCCGCCGAACTATTACAATGAAGTAGAGCGGCGGCCGCGCATCTTTGACCCGTAGGGATGTGGCGGTATCGATAGAACAGTCTCATTAATTTAATTATACTTCTATTACCAATTCAGCAAAACAAATCGATACTAACAAAGATACGTTATATATGAACCATTTTTAGAAACAAATCTTTGGGCGTTTGATCTTGATAGGTACGTTAATAACTGAACCTATCTTTCATTTCCACAGCAAAGAAAACATTTCAGTACATTAGTTCCAGTAACGGACAAATGAGATGGAAAAGAAAGCGAGTGAAATTTAAAAGCCCTCTCGGATCACTCGATACCGACTCTGACGTCACGCGAATAGGTCAGCGGCATCCCTGGGCTATCGCGGGCGCTCTGATTGGATTTAGTTTAATAAGCATAAAGCACCCGCGCGGCCGCCCTAACCACAGGCTCATCGAGATTGCCAGACCGGAGCGAGCGAATTATTAGTGTATAGCGCCCGGCTATACACTAAAGCGCCGTCAGTTACGAAGAAGCACGCTCCTCGCGAATAATACCGGCGAGTAGTTTATGTCCACCGATCAAGCGTCGCAACAACCCAGCGTCTGTTCGACATGTCTACCGGGTGACTGCGCAATAGGATATTAAACAATACTGTATTGACAGAAGCCGGATGAACTGCGTTAATTGGTGCACTTTCGCTGACCACAAAGTTTGCTTTTACAGTACAATCTCTTCCTCTCTTTTTAAAGGAATACTTCTTATGGCGCGCTTGGAAAAATTATGAGAATAATTTTTTTACGAAACGCACGCGCTCTGACCTTCAAAATTCACCATAATGCTTGGTAAACAATTTAATCTAGGCAACCAATAACAACTATTTGACATTTACTAATAATTCCAAGTTATTTAAATAAACCTTTAGCAATTGCATTTAATGTCTCTATACTAAAGAAATGTAACTTCTTACGTGTGTACCATAAATACATACATACTTTTTTCTCATGTAATTATATATTAACTGTATATTCTTGAATCAAAAAGTAGTGTTTGTCGATGTATTTAAACACATTAAACAAGTGTCACTGGGCATATGCGAACTGTATGTTTTATTTGATGGCTTAAGCAAAAGCACGTCTGTTAAACGTTAGTGTCAATGATATTTAAGTAATCGCTCAATTCGTTCCTTTTGTGTTTGTTCCATAGGCCAGCAATTCAGGTGCAACTTTCGCCCACCAATAACTCATTGCGGAGAACGAAGGCGAACATTCCCGGAAGCCACTTACCTAATAACTGTACCGCACCGAAAGATCTGTATCTGGCGAGAGCGATCCGCAGTAAACCAACATAACTGTATCGGTTACAACCAAATCTAGGAAATTGCCGGCGAAAGCCATCACGAGTTAAACGTCCGCCGTGATTAGGGTTCCCTCGGCGGGGCATTATGGGCCACGGCACGGGCCCGTAATCGGCGCAATCTTGCGGCCCGCCGCTTGATTAATATCATTATTTGATTGTTTAATCGCGGGGGCACGCGGCCGCTCGCCCGCTCCGGCGCACTTGCAGGGCGGCTGTTCACCTCGGCCCGACGGCGACGCCGCCTACACAGTCACATGTACCATGTACATGTACCACACCGGAGCCTCAAAAAGCTCCATTTAGACCCTACGTCGCTAACTTTGTACCCCTCAATCTCATCTGTGGAGTCTTCATCCCGGCCACTCCAACTGCTACTTACCATGGTATTACATACTCCATATATTAATTAACAAGTGAAGCAAAAACCCTTTTAACAATATTACGCGCATGGAGGAATGAAAGGTTGCTGCGGATAATAGGTGCATAAAACTAAATTTTTTATACAATAAGCGTTACAATTACGACTACATAGATTAAAATGAAACATTCTTTGCACACTTTGTTACTAGTATCTTGTCAAACAGTTTGCGCTAAACACTTTTAAATTGTGAGATTGGCTTACTCAGCCTGAAGAAAATATTAAATACTTAATTAATTTTAAAATCTTAACGAATTGCGGCCAATGGGCAACTACTAATCTTTATTTATAAATGTAAAATTGTATACGATGTTTTAACAAGGTACTCCCGTTACATCTTATCCTAATTGTTCATCAACTGAGCACAACATCCAGAATTGCATTAATTCAGATCTACTTTACCTTTTGGTATTAATATCTATATGTACTCTTAGCGAAAGCTATACACGTAGTAAAGAGACTTTAAATAAACGTTTACAAGTAAGTAAATATGTTCATAAATGTGAAACTCCAATCGACCCATTTAGTCTCTAATACAGTTTATGATACGACCCAAGCGAATGTTACAAAGTCCAGCTACAATTAATTGCTCGACTGTATGGAGCATGTAAAATGTGTTATTCAAGACAACAATCCCGCTCAGCTCTCGGCCCCGCGTTTCATAGCACAATTTCCACTCATTAGTCTGTCGCCGCGGCTAAAAAACGACTCGTATCAGTTATAATCGAGCAGTGAGTCCATATGGGGGCAGGCAGTTAATAAATAGTTTCACCGAACCTGCGTCCGCCGCGACAAAAACTCCCGTATCGGTCATTAGTCGAATTCAGGCCTATGACAGCTCGCTGGAGGCGTTTAGGAATCGCGGCCCGAGAAGGGTGTGATGTAACGCCGGTCATTCGGTGAAAAGGGAGAAACGGTTTGACGTACTCTTTTACTTACACCCGCCGCTTATAGACTTTCTTAAGGAGAAAGTTGGCAAGCGAATAGACGATTCACCTTATGTCACCGTATTGTCGGTGCCCACGGACGTTTACAACATCCGAGAGGTTGCATATGCTTTGCAAATGTATAAAATTATGTATGTACCTGAGATACACTTGAATGTGTGGCCTGTGATTTGAAATCTAACCCAATACACACTTGAGAGGATACAAGATTAGAGCAATCATTACAAGAATTGTTCTTACTTTAGAAAATATATATGTGACAAAACATAAGGATCTAGTATCGTCAGCTATCGACCCGCATAGCGCCTGCGATCGCACACATTCATTCCATTAACTGGATAATTTAATAGCGTCTAATGAACGAGCCACCCATCTGAGGCGCAAACGTCTCATGTCAACTAATCACATGTGTACCAGATATCTTCGCTCTAAATTGTTGATTTTGCTATAACCAATAATGAATGAGACTGGTATCATAAATCAGCTGGAAATGATTAGAACACATGTGTTGTATTAAAAGAATCTTAGTTAATTAAACTAAAATTCAACATTTTAATAAACTTGGGCGAACTAAGCAGTCGCGACCACTAACAATCAGAATTGTATAATTACTAACAGTCACAAATAATTGAGACAATCGAACAACAGCTATGTACGTGGTAAATAAATATAAAATAATATTCATAAATAAAAAAAAATATTCACGAGCGCTAACGATAGTATGTAGAAAATGAAGGCTCGTCGGAACCAATTTAAAAATTGAGTATAGTATATAAGTTAGAGAAAATGCTGATTTATTATAACTGTATAACCTAAAGTAGGTACTTTTATGAAACTCATTAAATGAAAGTATTTTACGGATTTTATCACGTTTTATTTTGATTTAAAAGTTTCGAACCTTTGCCAGCGTTCATGGTCACGAGACAGGCTGAGATTTGTTTTATTCAGATTCTATGCAAAAAGCGACTATGGATTTTTTTTTATTTAAGTGAAAAGTTGCCAAGCGAGCAGACGGTTCACCTGATGTTAAGTGAATACCGCCGCTCGTTGACAACCTTTTGAAAATTTTTGAAAATATGGTATCTTGATCATCAGTGTTGGAGTGCTAGGATTAAATTTTATAAATTATGAGATCCCAAGATGCATAAACCCCAACCATCTTCTCAATTGAAATTACGATGGTGTTGGTGCTTCTCGTGGAATAAGTCTGTAGTTTGTGTACATATTTTAGACTGTCTTAGCAATTAGATTCGGCATACCTGCGCGAGGCTATTGAAATAAAGAAACATCTGTTATACATAATACTTATAATATGTTTATTACATAATATTTTGTAATATATGAATTTGTCAATTTTTAGAAATTTTAATATTTTTGAAATAAATAGAGTAAATTGGTGCCGGCACCGGGGATTGAACTCTGTTTGCTCGAGTGTATTGAATTAAAGGCTATCAAGCTATTTTAACAAATAAACTTTATTCTATTCTACTCGCAAATTTTTCATTTTTCTTTTTATAACCGTTAGTCCCATTTTTTGTACAGGATTATGCCTATACATTATGGGTGTGGAAAGCGTTAATAGTTAAATAAATTATTTTTTTAACTTCATAGACAATGTTAGCCAGTAGCCAACTATTGATGATAATTTTATTTAATTGCCTATTGTGCAAAATCAAATAAAATTACCGGACCACATAAATCAAGGCAATTTAGATTTTTGACGGGATATAATGATAGCTAAAATTATGTTGCAGAATTTACCTAAAACAATTTTGAAATGTAATATTAAAATTCGTCTTAAAAATCGAATAAAAATAATATTAATATAGGTTCAATGGCGTCGCGCGATCGCTTATGTCCCGGGCCGTTTTGCGGGCGCACAAAAATGCCCATTGGCGGCCGAATGTCCTCGACCAGTTCCGTGGGAGCTTTGGGCGCTCGCAAAAAGCGCGGTGCGTGAGCGCGTCGCGGCGGTGAATCGCAGCGCGCTGCTCAATGGGGTGCTCCTAAAAGGAGAGACCCCGGAACGGGTCCGTACCGCTGGCCGAGGCTCGCGAGGAATCCCGCCACCGCGCCGGCCCGCCCGCCGTGCCGCGACCTTTGTTTACGTATTCTGCGAGGAATTGGACCGCCCAAATACTAATGGACCTCTTTGGCGGCAGACTACTACTTAGAATGCAAGGGATCGGCCAATTTATACACTCTTGCTTATGTATATGTCAACGTGTGTGATGTTTATTTAACCATGCCCGCGTAGATAGACCTTCATTCTCTGTAATTCAATGTATGTGTGTATACTTGCAGTCCTGACTAGAACACGTACAATATTTAACAATGTTTTTGAAAACTAAACCAATCACATCTTAACTGCTTCTTTTAATCTGAAATTGCTTTAGAACGCGACGCCTCCGCCGCTATGAATAAAAATGTTACAAAATACATCATAAACGCCCCTCGACCACTGTATCCGCCGTACTTGGAAACGTCCATTGGCCGCAAAACAACCGGCCCTAGTGATAAAATTAACACACAAAGTGAAATTAAGCATTCTAAGCCGATCCCTCGCCAGACTTCGAATAATGCATCGTGCGGTGCGCGATATTATAGCAATCATCTCAAAGCCACCAGAAGTACAATGTTAAACAGTTTTTAGCACGTTGGGGGCCCGCGGCTAAAATAAAATGGTGTTAAGGCACCACGAGCAAATACCTTCTTCTCAGATGACCAGCCGCTGGCTTTTATGTATAATCGATGACGTTTCTTTGGCTTCATGAGCGATTTGTGATTTTGCCTGAAGCCACAAATCGTTGACGGAAATCTTCAATGACTGAACACTGGATGTCTGTACGCATTGCCGAATCAATTCTTTAAAAGCGGCTCCTTCTAGGCGACACATGGGACACCCCTGAAACCTAAACATCATTTGCAGCTTCCTCGGGATACCTAGGGAGCTATTTACCAAGTTTTACTTCCTCCCGATGAGCCCAGCGGTAATGCGTGCTTCAGTACGGACCCCTGAAACATTAGTGACATCTCATCGCGATTGTATGGACGAGCGAATTGAATGGACGCTACCGCCGGGGCGGCACCTGCGGTGGTCGCCGCCGTCGCGCAAAAAGCCGCCGCGGCAAAGCAACGTGGCCGCCGCGTTCCCGAATTAATTGCGAATGCCGCGGAAGAGGTAAGGCCCCGCCACCCCACCACCGCATCACACAATTGCTCAATTCCTCGCCCGAACGAAAAATCACCCGCGCCACCCTGCTATCATTCTTCACGGGAATCGCGTCTCGCATATGGCAAAGACTTCAAAGGAAGGCAGTAATTACCTTAATTAGTTAACTAATGAAATATTTTTTACGCCTACCTCGGTACGGTAGCTGACATTTAATTCAGTACACATGACTACTGCAACTTTGAGTATTCATCTACTCGTACCACGTGTTTGACACAGAAGGAACCGTTCTTTCAAGAGATAAATTTTCACCAGGCCGCAACGAGGTACTATGACCTTCAATGTCCTTACATTCTTTTTAGAGAGTAGCCCCCAATTGTGTAGGCTTTTACTACCTGGAGTATCATTTTTGTTTTTTTTTTAAATCTGCTTGTAACACTGCAGTCCGAAGACCAAAATCCTTCTTTGCATACATGCTGGTTTATAATATTTTCATTTGTCATCTGTCAAGTCAAATACATGAATTTATTAAGATAGTGATAAAGGTATGAATTTAAAGTTTATTAATATTTATTGCAACAACCGTGACTAATATTTCGATCTTTATGATATTTTCTTGTATTAAGACGATTACACCATACTAAAATTAATAGGATTTTTACTAATTGATTGCGTTTATTTTAAATTTTCATGCTAAACACATTTTTTCTTGTTAATCAGCTTGGAAACCTATCAACAATAAAATGATATCTATGCCTAAACCAACCAATACTATAAGACAAAATACAATTAGCACCTTCCGCGTAGATCGAACACGAAATTTATCTGTCTCGTGAACATGAACCCGGGAAAGTAAAAATATAAAATAAAATGAAACTTCATTTAGTTATGACCTTTAGTTACACATGTTATTATTGGCTGACAAATCTTGACCTGTTAACTATAGTATTTCACTTTCAATAATTTATAAGCTTTTTATAAAACCTACACCTGAGGGTTGCAGATGCTTGGACAACCTTTTGAAAATTGGGCTCCGGCTACCTCACTCACCAGATGAAACGCGAAAATATTATACTTCCACTTTACGCCGGTCTTCTGTGAGGTCGTGGTACTTACCCGGACAGGCCTGCCCATTCGTGCAACAGCCGAGGCTGCTGCGTGGCCATTATTATTATACAGAATGAGGGAACTTTTACCGTTATTTATATTTTTACCGTCTCTCCTTTGAACATGAATGCTGCAAATTATTACGTCAACAGAAAACAGAGATTTAATACCGCAATACCCCCCGACAGAATCAGTAATGTAAATTTATTGTTCTAGATGTAACGAAAAATAAGATCGTTCTTCAGAAGTAGGTACTGAAGCTATGTAAAAATATAATAAATACATTTATTGAAATCTCTATACCGTTAAACAGCATACATTACAATTATTTGAATAATAGTCTATTTTTCGCTAGAAAAATCAAACTTTAGCTAAATTGAATTAACTGATTCAAACAAGAATTCTTTAATTTGATACCGCTTGCCACGGTTTTTTTTTTTAAGTTATACTTCTTTTGGCGCCTTAGGGAAAAATAATGACAGTAATTTTTTACGATGCGCGCGCACACCGTTACGAAAAACCGACACCCTGAAGTTAGCTAGACATCTACGTATGCTTGCGTGAGACCTGACAACTGTTTCACGATATTTATTTTGTGATATTTAAATAAACTTTATTTAAGTAGATAATGCGTTATAATAAAACTTTCAATATATTAAATACCTTTTTTCTATTGTTAGTGTCGTTTTTTCTACAAACATAGAATAAGGCGAAAGATAACATTTTTGAAAAGATTTTTATCTTGTTACGCCAAAGAAGTATAACATCTAACGCGTGTAAAAAAAAAGTGTGTGTGTGTGTGTATGTAATTATACACACACACACTTTTTTTATGTTTAGGAAAATTTAAGAGTTTCCATAGGTACATTTTCAATATTTTTTTCTGTTTATGTGGATATTAGTGATTACCGCCGCCCATGGACATCAATTACTCCTTTACAGTTGCAGTTACAATTGCTCCAAAAACAGTTGACTTTGGCTACTTCACTCGCCAAAATACAAAAGTACAATTAATGTCCTTTGAGGCTTTGGTGTTTCCCAAGACGCTCCTCAGTCAGATTTCTCTATTATATTAAATCTTGCTAAAATGCTCCAAATAATAGTTTAAATATTTTATATAAACGTGTTGTTCACCACAAAAAGTAGAATTAAAAATGTAGAGTAGAATTAAATTACTAAGGGCTATAATGGGCGGACTTAATGCCTAATGGCATTCTCTACAAGTCCCACCCTCGTCATGGTGAAAAGTAGATTTTAGTCATAAATGAAACTAATTTTTACGGATTTATCGCAGACTGGTCTGTCCCGTGACCATGAACGCTGTAAAGGGTTCGAAACGTCGGGAATTAAAATTAAAAATAAACGCGATAAATCCGTAAAATTAGTTTCATTTATAATGTGTAATCGCGTAAATACAAGAAATTATCAGCATTTTAGTCCATAGATTTCTGTAGTTTTTTCTTATTTTATTTTCGCACCACAATTTGCATCATACATGAGCATAATCTGCAAATTATTGTCCGAAATGTAGGTACTTTGTTCGCGTAGAAATTTTACATTAAATTTGCATTCAAAAAAACCTTTCAATTCTTAATCGGTATGTGTTTCTTACTCATTACGAGATTATCAGATCGAGGCCCTAGTCATTAATTTCTTCTCAGTTTCTCTAATTTGTTATCATAATAATTACTCTTACTGATGCGGGAGGGATAGCCAGTTAAATCGATTGAATAGTATAATTAGCCACCAGTCGTGGCCTCTATACCCATTGACGTGTAACGTACCAGCAAAGTGAGTAATGTTAAACGCCAAGCCACCAATTAGATGATTGCCACAGCACCGAGGGTCCACATGAGGAGGCCACTTAATGGAGTTAAATGGGCGCGATGCCGAGGCGATGTCACCAGGTGCTGGCGTGGACATAAATATCCGACCGGGCATAGGGGGCGTTCAATCAATTGTGGATCATCGATACCATCGAGCTTTTATTGAGATCCGAATTTATGTTTTAAATTGTTAATTGGAATTGTATGTTCTGACTCACTTTGATCCAAGATGAAGGTAAACATCGTTATTAGTTACATATTTTGCAGGTATTTAACAAATATTATATTACTAAATATGTGAAGTCGCCCCAATGTTTACAAAGATCCGTAAAGAATATACCTTTGCCCAGCAGTAGGATAACTTATGTACGGGCTTTTAATTTATCTGTCTAATTAATTCTAATACTGAATTTGTTTTAAACAGCTATCTGTTTAGCTATTTATCGCTAAACAGACAGCTGTTTAAATACAAATACAGGTAATAAGTTGGTAAAAACTCGTATTATTTAGCATAGTTTTCTTTGGTTCAAAATTTCAGTGATACGTGTAAGCTAGCCCGCACGAATTTTGCTATATCGACCATTTTAAACCGTGCTCAGGAAACGTGGGAATGTACATATATGGGCATATGCATTGCTCCAATGTTATTAAAAATTTATTAAATAAGTAGTTAACTATTATCGTAAACATTTCAAAGTTTCTTGCAATGTTCATCGCAGTAAGTTTTAATCGTATAGAATAAAATAAAATTCAATAGAACGTTAGTACTTAACGTTCAACGTTAAAAATATCTACAAACTGACTAACTAAAGTGTTGAAAACTAAAACGTAGATTGAAGTTCGCAAACGTATGAAACAACGAACGATTTAAATGGAACAATTCGGATTTTGTCTCAGAAAGCCAATGTTATTATTATCACATTCGGCTTTGAGTCGAGCGCGGATTGCAACTTGGCGTCCGTCGTCGGTCACCGCTTTACGGCCACAAACATTCGCACGGGGTCACTGACCTCGCACGCGGGAACTTTTTTGCAGCAATATCGACGACGTCCTTTCAATCGCAAACGGGTACCGGTGTGAACGTTGTTACATAAATCGTTAACATTTCTTACAAAAAAAGTTTCTGACGTTACTACACTTTTGGTTGTCCACAGACGTTTGAATATCCAAACATATGTATTATTATTAACTTTACCAGTGAATACTTGAATAATTAATAATAAGATATGACTTATATACTAAATGACTTACTGAAAGTACTTATCACATGTTTTCATAGTTACGCAAGCAACTTGGATTTACGTGTATTTATTTAAATATTAAATTTGACGATTCATAAGAAGCGTCTATTTGAATAAAGATAAATTTGATTTGATTTGAATAACATATTCGGATTTCATCCTAGTCGTAGTTTTGTGCACACCGTGTGATTTCTCGACGATCATCACGTTTTGAATAATTCATGTCTTCAGTCGCCTGTGAGTGCATTAGAACTAATTAGTCTATTAAAGCTGTTTTGCGAGGTCGAACAATGGAGCCGTTAACGACGTGGCCTGAGCGCGGCCGGAGGCTGGCTGGTTCCAACGTGCGCGTTGGGCCTGCCGGAGAGGGGCTCCCGCGCTGCGGCGTCGGCGCATCGCTCGTTAGCCGACCACCGGCTCATTTACATTCAATAATCGGTGCAATGGAAATCTCGGCGGCCCAGCTCCGCGAGGAATGTGGGCCGCGGCCAATGGCGGACCGCCTGAGCGTGCGCCGCCTTCGTCGGCCACGCCCAGGCCTCCTGCAGCCCCCACTCGCCGCTCTAAGCAGCTCGCCTAGTCGGCTGCTGCCCGCAAGAACCCACCAGAGCCGGTCGCGCAACTTCCACCTCCGAGCGCCGCCGCAGTCTGCATCTAATCAAGTTTATGGGCATAATAATGAGACGCCCGTTTCTTGTCAGCGTCATCCAAAGCGACATACATGTAGTATCGGGTTATTGTAAAGTGTAAATCCGTGCAATGGAACTGTGAGCGACTGAGCGATTGAAATGTGAACCACAGTATGAGAGGCTCGCACACACCGACGCAAATACGCCGGCACAAACGATCAAAATTCAGCAAACAATCGGTAGCAGCCATCGACACGTATGTGCGTGGCGGGCCAAATATCTAAAATATTCGCAGCGGAATCTCTGAATTAAACGGGGCAAAAAGGGTTAAAAGAGCGGACAATTAAGATCGCATATCGTTAAACGATTCCAACGAGGGCATATCGGTTCGGTGCATGCCGCATTTGAGGTGTGCAAATTGCACAGCGCCTCGTTTCCCGATTCCGCGATAACCGCGCCCGCATCTGGACTCGCCGATTGGCGCACAATGGCTAATTGTTCATTTGATATACGATTAGGAGGCCGCTAATTGCTCCTGCTACCGCTTTCAATTTGTATCGCCGCTCACCTGCCGGCCCCATTCAAATTCTAATGTATGCAAATGCGGTCCGCGCCGACACGTGCTCTGCCCTTCCGCTTCCCTCACCTCTCCGACACTCGCGCCCTCAGAATAATTCAATAGAGGCACGTTCACACGTCAAAATGACGCACAACACCTTATTAAGTACAACTTTCTTTATTAGAATTTCTTTCGTTAATCTATTTTGATTTAGCGCATTCATGATAGAATCTGAGATACTTTGGATGCAGCGTTAGAGACACAATACAAACTTTAGAGAATAAAAGTTTAGAGAATATATTCAAATAGGAAAAAGCTTTAGTAAGAAAGATTTGCATTGCATCGCATATTCAATGATCCTAAAATAAACAGTACCGATGATATATAGGTATTATGTATCATATCCAAAGTGATAGAGAACCAAGCAGAAAAAGAAACAAGACGCTAAAAACAATACCAAGGTTATATTTCTGTTTAATTCCATCTTACAAACCTCTTACAAATCAAGTTTAATATATACTTAGAAAGCTCTCTGTAACAATTTTACTCTAAGCGAACCTTTCGTTTAATACAGTCACTATCCTCATTTTTACGAAATGGAATATTCTCTACTGCCTCGATCTATTTACGACAAACAAATATCATCGTAACGAAACCTACACACAGTTTACAACTATTTGTGTTAATCAATTATTCCAAAAAGGCTTAAAGAATAATTATTGCCATAAATATTTCTTATCAAATAAATAACTCGCATCGGCTATCGCATAAGACAATATTTCACAATTGCATAGTCAACAGACGCACTATCGATATGCACATCATGTTGTTGTCCTTGCGGCATATCTGTATTGTCAAAATAAACAACTCCTCGTGACAATTAATGGCCGCTGAATATTCTTCAGTTTTCTATCTATGCTAGAAATGGGCGCTCTGTTGGTACTAGTCGGAGCAGCTATTTAATGATGAAAGAATATTCGTTGCATTACAAGTTGTAAATCATTACAAGCCGGTTCAAAATCTTAGTTATTAATAAAATTAGCTCAAATGATATTATAAACACAAGCATCGAACATCAAAATAATCGCCAGTGTAACCGAATTAGTCCTGTTAAACATTGACCATTTTTAACGTCTGCCATTAATAAATTTTTTTACGCGTCACTAACCATTATTAAACGCAACTCTTTTACGGATTTGATCGCCTTTTTACCTACGTAACCTTTAATACGCTCTTTTTCTTTTTAAGTGTTAGTCTCCCAATGTTTCTATAAACACGGGCTACTCTCAGTTTATCATATCATTAACTTTGCATCCGATCTACGCAGAAAATGCGGATTGAATCTTTAAGTCTTGTAGTGGTAGTGTACTTGGCCCTAAATTTAATTTTATTAATTAATAAGATCCCAAACATGGGTCGTAAATAACCATTTTTTAAGCACCAGCTTTCACAACCTTGGCTATGTTTTTCACCGACTTCAAAAGGAGCATTTTGAAACAGATTGGTTGATTTCAGGCTTGTTCAGCTTTTTGTGTGTTCTATATGAAATATTTCTTTCTTCACGCGGTTTTTATTGCTCTTTCGCTTTCACCTTAATAATGCTGATAAATATTCCAACGACAAGAATTAAAGTTTAAAACAGTTTCATTAAATAATTCAATGAGACCTTTAGTAAAAGTTTAGCGTTAAGACTTTTAAGACCGCGAAATATTTCTATGAAAGATGTTTTTAAATAAATATACAAACCAAATCATTGTACGTATAGAATTAAGTCATACTAATTAAAAAAAAGCTATATTGTTTACTTATTAATTCGCTTGACGATTTTCGTTAGGCCCGTTTCTACATTGGAAATAACTCATTCCATCATACATTTCGCTTAAAGCAGAATCGCAATATATTCCAATTAAACTAAGATAGACCTACAATAGGCTTCGTAACAGCTTTGAACTGGACTATACGCAAGAATAGTCCAGTTCAAAGGGGTACATACCACGGCTTGCAAAAGACTAGTGTGATTAAAGAATTATATTTTTGCGTTTCGTCCAGCGAGTGAGGTAACTACAGGCGCACAATCCGTGGTTCGCAACACACGTACAACATCTCTGTTGACGGGAATTTCCATGTGCAGCTGAGGACAAAATTTGTAACCGTAAATTTTATAGCTTGTTTTTGTTGATTTATTCACTACTCCGTAAAACATAAAAACCACTAACTGCTACTTACTAATAGCCTCATTTAACATTTATCGTCAAAATTTTTAGATGATTAGAAGTTTTCTACTAGTATCTTTTTGTACACAAATAAGAGAAAGAGTGCGAGATGGTGTCCATAGCAAGGTACTTTACTGGGTTGTTTGCGGCCACCGCTATCGGCACACCTATGTCTTATCACTGTCACTCAGTAAAAATTTGTTTAAACAAGTTCGCTCCGACTATCTCGCCGATAATCGATTACAATAACAGGTATCCATTAATCCGATGCACAAATTTCGAATTAAACGACTGATGGCTTTTTATCAACAAAAATGATTCAGTGGGTTCTAAATCAATATTCGCTAGTACACATTTTTACATTCCTTAAAAGGCACGAAAGGTCAACCACCCAAACAAGAATGGCCGCTTTGAATCGTCATTTGCGTCGCAAAACGTCAAATTATCAGTATTATTTCTCATTTTATTCCGTTTTACTTGGATAACCCCAACAGGGTTAATCATTATTAGATATTTTTTTACAAAATAAAAGAGTCGCATAACGTAATTAACTTTGTTACGCTTAATTAAAACTTTATTAGTAAATTACGAATTATTTATTAAGGAGGAGAACAACGTTGCTATTTAATCATTGGATTCTTGGTTTTCTCACAGAATATATTTTATCGAATACTTCTTTGATAAGAGAAGGTTGCCAAAATCTTGCTAAGAATAATCAATAATAACCAGTAGTGTCAACAGATTGTACGGAATAGGTGCTTTAAGCACCAACTTTCGACTGCAAAATAATACGCGACATGTAACGTAAAACGCAAACGCCGTATCGGATTGCGAAACCAAACTGGGTGACCCATATCGGCGCGGCGGGGTACCTTATCGCCCCGCGAATAATTCGCCTCGTATGCGGTTGATATGTACGTGACGGAAATTCAATGGAAATCAACATGCACGCCGCTAATGTAGTTATCTGTGTAAACATGATCGATAGCGTCAGGTGTCCGTTTGAGGAGCGGAAAAAATATGTGGGTCGCGGCCGCACCTGCCGCCCGCCGATGCCGGCGCGAGCTCGCTCATTGTGCCCAATGCGCTCAATGGGCTCAATGGGCTCAATGGGCCAATGGGCCCGTGGGTCCCTTGGGCCCGTCGCCACGCGCCCAGCGGCCGCGCTCGAACAGATGGCGCCAATTAGGACACATCCAGTTTCGTTTAATTAATTCAACGGTGTAGCAATGGATCAATCGACGAGCCAAATTGTGTGAAAGATAGAATTCATGTCAGAGAGCTTTTATGATGTTGTATTTTATTGTGATCTGTCAAAAGTTTCAATTAAGTTTGGAATTCGAACGCCGCTTTTTTATTATAATTACTAGTATTATTGTTTGACAGGTCGCTTGTACATAGTTCGCCAAGTCAAGACAATTTTTTTTTAATTTCTCATTCCATCACTAACCAAAAAATAGTAAACCTATCAACGTTTGCAATTTTGAAAGTAATATCGGGATGTTCAAATATCAAGACATATTCAGCGCTGTCAATTTAATTCTCTCCAACATATTAGATATGTATCGAGCAGTTCATAATGATGTTAGGCAAGGCTTGTCAATACACTTATCGAACGATATATTCAATACGAGGTCTTTAATTACCGGTTCAGTCGGAACACTGATTGGCCAATGCAGGGCAACGCTGAATGCTTGACCAGAACTTGCTTATTAATTATTTTATAGCCAAACGCTTTTTTCTTAACAATGGTAATAAATCTGAAAACTACTTTACACTCCCTATTTTAGTAATGAGCATATTACAGCATATTACATATTTTTATGTGTTAGTTTAACATGTTAGAAACCGATATACTTTTTTTAATGAATCAGGAGTAAATATTACGTTATCGTCGTCGTAGATCGGTGACACGATTCCCGTCAAGTATTTACATATAATTAAATGTCCACACATTTCCCTGGAATGTGACGCAACGCCTCGTAAGCCAAACTCGTGTGACTCAGAGATACGACCGATATCGGACTATCGCATGATTTGAATATTTGGATCGTATCGCGTTAGTTCCGTTTAGGCATATCATCAGTCTCCATTCATTTAGAGAACAGCAAATCTTCCAAAAACTAATGTTTTTATTTCAAATTTGGTTACGCATCTGCACCCCAAAAAAAAGTGTAAATGGCCACGGACACGGTAATTACTTAATATCAAGGGAAACCTTGACTCGCTTACCGAATTCAAATAAACAAAGGAGAAAAAAAGAATAACAACGATCAATCCAGCTACTAAAGAAAATAATGTGACGTACTCAATATTTGCCTTTCTAAACACAGCAGTATCATGTGTAGTAGTAGGGCGGCATGTTACAAAATGTTGTTTTTAAGTCCTGGATATGTCCTTAAACTTAATGAAATTCCTATAAAAGTCCGTTATCCGCCCGTTGTTTTATTATTGTATTCTGAGAAACGTAATCGGCATTAGAAAGTGATTAATATAGCTTAGCTTTCTTAAATAATAACCAAACCTAATTTAAGGCTATAACTGCATTGCATTATTACTATAGTCCCTGCTTTCGCCACTCATTGTACACATTAATAAATATTAAACGCAATAGATATTGCCAATAAATAATTAAATCGAAATCGAGCAGTTTGCTAGAAAAAGTGATCGCATGGATTATACGTGGAGCGTAGCGGGGGCTGCGCGGGCGCGGGAGGCATGTTGTGGTATTCTCGGCTGAAAGAAAAAAATGGCGACGCAACGAGAGGCTGCTTAAGCGCCGCAATAATTGAATGCCCATAAATATGTAACGGGCGCTCAAGATTTCGATAAAGATCTCATTGCTGAAACTATAAGCACTCCCCCTACAATGTCTGTGCGCAATTAATTCACCGTTCTTTATGTACCGACAGACGGATATACCAGGATATATGTCCCGAGTGTGCAGGCGTTGTTTATGGTAATGTATGCACCATAAATATTATCCGCTCATAAAAAGAAAACGGGAGCAATACTCATTGGAATGATGTGTATTTCACTAGAGCTTTTTGCGCGCGTGGCTTTTTAGAAATAAACTATGCCTACCTGACTCAAATCCATCACGCCCACTGCGACGGCCGCACAGAACAGTCTCCGACCCAGAGTCCACTCACGGAAGCACAGAGTAAGCCGACACTGCAGCGTCCGGCCTGGCACCAGGTAACGCTCACTGCCGCCGCGCGCCACGAACAGCCGCACGCGAGTAGCGGCGCATCCCGCAACATTTACGGCTATATCTGCGCGCCCAACTTGTACCTAAGCCAGCGGACGGTGCGTTGATAACGACACTATTCCCACAAGAATAATCGCCAACCGCTAAGTGTTGTAGCGGAGGACGCCCCACGTTAAACTTAGCACTGAAGATTCTGAATGGGTACTCAATTAACGCTCGACGTGTATTGGACTACTCCAAGAGAATTTTAACGAGCTTTAAAGATCCAAATTTCACACAAAACATTTTTAGGTCACATTAAAGAAAACCTTGGAAATTATCACCTTAGCTAATAAGATTTAGAGATTTAAAAAAATACGATCGTTTATTTAACCATCGGATTAATATAAGATGGTTAAATACACGTCGAACATAATTTATTATAACAATACTGTTTTAATTATTCTGTAGCAACCTAAGTAACCTATTGGTTAACTTTTCAACAAAATGCTACTAAACACGGTACACATATGATTAACAGTTGAAATATTTCAAGCGCACTTTAGGGAACGACACGATTGCTGAAAGGAATAATAGGCTAAAATGTATTTATAAACACCGTAATAAAATAATAAAAACTTGCGTACGGCGCACGAGGTAAAGAACTTAGACGCGCTATATAGAGAAGGGGGGGAGGTCGATGACCGATAGCAACCCATGTTTGCTCAAATAATTGCACCAGCCTACTAATTGATTGCTTTGATATTGTAAGTATGATGGTAATCGCCCTTCCTTGCGACGCACGTTCATTTTCGTCTAAGTACTGGGCCACGGCCGTGTAAAAATAGAAAGAGTCCAAACTTATTGTCATAATTTATCAATACTCTATCCGATCTGGTAGTACGTGGTGAGGTATTCGCATCGCTCATTGGATCAATAAAACAGTGAACAGCTTATAGAGGATTGCCAGGAACCATAAAGTATACCCCTTAATTAGAATGTCGGCATTAAAGAGACCAGTGCCTGCCGATAGCCTAAGCTGGCAAAAGGACGGTAACTGATAGCTGATATAGACCCACAACACCTGTACGTCATTGCGTTCCAACCTTTGGACGAGATTAATTCATACTTCCACATTACGCTGGCTATGAGTCTCTGGTACTGCTTCTCTATCATTGCGTGCACGCGGGAAACTCCTTCCTTTTGTTGTGAGAAGATTCCAAAGAAATTTAATAAACTGGCCCTGGTTACCTCACAGTCCAGACGATACGAGAAAGTATAATCCATCCACTTCACGGTGATATTCCATGAGGCGTTGGGTCCAGCTTCCCCGACGAGCCTGCCCACTACAGCCCCCCACAGCAGTAACTGCTGTGTCCACCCCCCAACCCAAACTAGAATACCACAATTAAGCGCCATACGCGTTTGATTCTCAGAAGACAGCGACCGTACTGTTTTTATAAGTTTCTTAATTTAAACGTATTCTTTTCGGGTCTCAAACCTCAACAGGTTACTTTATGACCTTTGCTATATAAATAATAATACCTCATGTTGCTATATAAATAATAATATTAAAATCACCTTATATTTTAATTTCATTTTTATTGCAGGAAATTAAGCACTTTCTTTTCTTTTAGTTCAAATTTAAAAGTAAATAAAAATATTGGGAATAATAGAATTTACTAAATTCTTAACTACAAAGCATTGAAATCTATTATAAAGGCAATAAACACCTACTAATCACATACGTGTACTCAGTTTTATTTACATAAATGCAAACTAAATAAATTTCAATGTTTTCACGTTAAAAGATATCTCGCCTTCATTTCATTTATTTGCATTGATTTACAGCCGTATCTATCCACTCGCTAACTCAGACAAACACTTCATAATAAATATTTATTAAGTAATTTATATTGCTAATAACATGAAAATGTAAGCGTTCTTCGATCTACATTGTCGCAGTCGAAATTAATAATTTGCCAGGAAAAAAAATACAATTCAATAAAATAATATTACAGGCTACCTTGTAATTATCGATAGACTTCCAACACCAAAGAACAAAACGGCCTCCCCGATTCACGAAATTCGGGAAATTTTTTGCGCGAATTGTCGCCGACTAACGCGAAACGCTTTGAGCAATATATTGCTTGAAAAGGGTGCCATTTTAATTGGCACAATTTACTTGTTTAAAAATAAAGTAGCTAATGTCAGAACAGATAATAATAGGCATCCGCCGGTTATTACACAGTGCGAATTTTTAAGTAAGGCGGTAATACATAATTGTTATATTGCAAAATGTAATATAATTGTATGAATATTAGCCGATAGTAATTTTCTTGTTTTATATCCAATCGAATGATTAAAACAAAAATTAACGGTAATGCTGCTTCAATAATTTTCAACATGCCATGATCTCCTCTCAGATTAATGGTTTTCAACTACCCGTAAAGTACAATTATATTGTTTTTGAAACGACGGTCTGATCGCGCACTGAACTATTGCAAAGAGATGCTTTTGATTTCATTCCATGTTGATAATCTCTTCTATTTAGGCGATTACACGTTAGAACTTACTTTTTACGGATTTATCGCGTTTATTTTCAGTTTAAATTTGCGACGTGTCGAACCCTTTACAGCGTTCATGGTCACTCACGGGACAGACTGACACTTTGGACGTCTGAATGTCATAGTTAACCTGGGCTACCTTCAGTTTTTGAATTATTAATTTTGTGTCCGATCTACGCAGAACTAGCTAATTGTATGTTGTCTTAAATCTAGGCCCAAACGAATCACTACTGCAAGATAGTAGTTAGTTTCTTTTAAATCGGTTCATAAATAAAAAAGTTATATCAACTTAAAGAACCACATTGAAGATTTGTGCTATAAAATGCTATATGATAGCTACAGTTGAAAGGATGAAACTAGTTAACTATATATTATGGTCTGTAAAATGATGATGATGGTAGGTTTATATAAAGTTAAAAAACCGGCCAAGTGCGAGTTCGGAATATTATAAAACTAAAGAGTTTATTTGTTTGAACACAGTAATCGTAGGGATTACCTACCTACTGGTCCGATTTGAAAAATTCTTGCTCTGCTAGATAGCTCATTTATTGAGGCCAGATGAGGGTGAAAAGCTCGTTAAAAATAAATATGTTCCTCTTTGAAAAAAATTATCAGCTTAAACTTTAGCAAATAAGTTCACAATAGGGTAGTGTGCAGATTAGCTACACAAAAATATTTAAATCGCTGGACCTTAATGTGTAATTTTAAAATATCAACCTTGCGTACGTATCTGTGAATTTATTATAAAAATCTTAAGGTTTTGTGTTTTCCAGATTGATAACAGATTGATGTGTAGCGACTAGCGTGGGATGGGGGATCGTGCTAATTGTCGTACGAGTGGTGGTCCTGAGTGAAGAGCTCGAGCGGGCGACGTCCCGGGCGCAGAGTGTAGTGAAGGTGCAGCGGGCCCAGGCAGCGGCGACCGGTCCGGGGACCAGCTGCTGCCAGCCATTGTCCGCAATCGCAAAAAACTTGTTAGCTGCGAGGAGGCGCGCAAGAAACCGCCGCGATTTGCCTCCGATGCGCCCCGACTGCTTAACGACCTGTCTTCCTGTCGTCGCAAACTAATGCAGCATTACGGATAAAGCTTACAATTGTGTAACAACGCTAATCCATACCACGAGGATGGAAAACATCTTAAGCCCTCAATATTGTTAACATTTTTTCCAACACTCTGGGAGACGGAAAGGAAAACTTGATCTCTTGAATCTTATCAAATTTACATAATATGCTATCTGGGATGCTGAGAAATTAAAATATGTTCATGTTGAGCGTAATCACATTATCACCACGCATTCCTGAGCAAAGATTCGAATAAATGTGACATTGTGTCATTATAATTATAATAAAATTTGATTAAGAATTTTTTGGCGTTTTGGGTATTTCTTGATTTGTTTCCACCCATTATAAATGTGATTGACCTTTCACAGCCACCTGTACTAACTCAGTACTATAAGTCTGCTACAAGTCACAACAAGACTCATAAACAACGCAGGGCCATTAAACAGAATGTCTTAAACACGGGACAAAAAATACAATTCGCATAATGGATTTAGCTAAGCGAAAGGTATATATAAAAGAACTGCGTTCCGCAGCATGATGAGAAACTATTTTATATCTCGGCTAAGCACAAGAAGCGGTTTCCTGCGGGAAATCGTTTATTAAAAATCCTGTCGCAAATTAATTATGTCACGTAATTGCGTCTCGCGAATAAATATCTCCCTATCATACAAGAAGCACATGTGTTTTGTTCATTTCATCAAACTGTGGTTTTGTGTAAATGACATATACATATACAGTTTATCTGGGGGGGTTTTATCAAAAGATCTTTCTTCGATACAATTTCTTTGTAGGTCAAATTTCCTTTCGGTCATCAATAAAACACCACATATACGCGACGGTATATCATTCCAGCAGCGAGTAGCAACATGTACAAATGTGTATGAAGAAAAACAAAAAAATGTGTATGAAGGTTAGCACTGAAAATCAGCGCTGTGTTGGGGTGTTGACTTCCGGCACAGCATAACGCTGAGTGCTGACCTAATTTACCGATAATAGGGCGTACAATTCTTTTCCTTTAAATTCATTTATTTTTCTTTTGTTTTATATCGCCATAGTTTTTTGTATGTACAGATTTTGTTTTCTTTTCTTTGCTCTGTGTGTTATTATTTTAATTTTTTTTCTCAAAATTTCTTTTATTTTTTGTTAAATTTTTGTTGTGTGCGTCCTTTTTTGGTAAATAAATTTATTTTCTTTCTTTCTTTGAACGTGCTAGAAGATTCCCCTAAATGCTGATGTTCTAATCATTGCCTGTGGTAGGGCGACGCAACAGTCTCTGCTGTTGCACGGATGGGCAGGTCCGTCCGGGGAAGTACCACAACCTCACAGAAGACTGGCTGGAAGTGGAAGTGTTATAATTCTGAGTTTCGTTCGACGAGTGAGATAACTGGAGCCCACTTTATTTGCAAATGTCCATGGGCGGCGGTTATCGCTTAACATCAGGTGAACCGTCAGCTCATTTGTCACCTTCTGACATAAAAGAAAAAATTGCATGGAAAGAACCTTGCCAAAAGACGTGCTATGGGTTTTGCAATATAACATGTTTTTTGATATTCATTTTTGAATTGTTTTATTTACGTGAGCCGCTGTTCTCGTGACCATGAACGGGCCACTTAAAATAAAAATAAAATAAAAATTCATGAAATTTTTATTTCCGCTACTAATTTTCTAAGGCATTCAAGTTTAGGCACAACGTCAGATAAAATATTGGCTGGACGAAGTTGTTTCCTTTCTATCATTATCATAATGTTATTTTAATTCAAAATTTGGTTTTAAGCAGTATAGGAATTTTTAATATTTAATCGCAATCATCTTTAAGTGGACTATTTATGTAACACCTTAAGTTATGTTCTTTGAGTTTTGGATATGAATTGGAAAATAAAATATCAAAGCTTGTTACGTCACTTATTTAATTGCGCGTATCCAGTTGTTGCCGCAGGCCGTTGCTTCCGCTTGTGACTGACCTTCCAGGAGCTCGTGATGTCCTCACCACCCCGGTCGCGTCTGTAACATCACGAGGAAGTTGTGTGAATCGCCAAGTCACCCGAGCTGATGGCGCCACTTAGGCGACGGGCGCCGATCCCACGCCAGCGGCCTTCGCTTGTCATCCCAAGTGATTCGGACGAAATCAAATGGACCCCGTCTCGTGATTTTTGAGAAACAACCGCATGGGAAAAGCGACTATAGGCGCCCTGTGATCTATCGGTGCAATCAAAACAAGTTTAGAGAGCACTGCCACCTCATGAATTGTTTTAGTTAACGACATTGTTATGGACATAATAATCTAATGATAGATGCTTAATAGATGCTCGCGCTTAAGCTTTTGAAAATATATAAAATTCTCAATGTTTTTATTTACAAAAATCAATATAACAAACAAAATATATTTTGAACAATAAACAATTTGTGAAAAACAGAGAAATATTCCATGAATTACAATAAAACTTTTCTACTTTGTTCACTATAGTAATGTGTACTAGTTCTCATCGAGACACTCAATCATTTTCTTCTAGAAGTCATTTTATTCTTACCCAGACAGGTTAGCAAAGCTTTGGTAACTCTTCTGGTTTTAAAAGTATGCATGTAATAGCTCACCAACGAATGGGACGGAAAGCATTTTCGACTCTTACATATAAATAGTATTTAATTTTCGAAACGCTGCATTTGCTTGAATTAACAACTTTTGAGGAGAAACTTTTTCCATTAAATAACATAATAAAACGTTTGTTTGTGAACCGATCGAGAGATTGTATCATATTTAGCAGCTTAGTTGCATGATGTGGCATGCACAATGGCGGGTCGCGCGATGACAAATTTATCGCGGGCAGTAAAGAACCTCGTAAAATATTACACCAGCTCCACCGCCCTCCGTTTCCACCCCACCCCTTCTCCCCTTTACCCTCCCTCCGCCCTCCCGCGAGAAATAACACACTTTGTCTTACAGGGAACCGAGTTCAATCGCACCACTTGCATGAACGCATACCAACACACACATGGATACGGTTAACTTAAATCGCTTTAATTTCATCAGCTATTATGCTCTAACACTCCAGTTAAGAATAATAACTCTGAAACTTCTTTACTCACTTTAAGAGTAAAGGTACAAACTGTAATGCGGTTAGTGTTAGAAATTACCGCAGGTATTTTGTTTCAAATGTTGTCATTGGAAATCACGAAATTTACATGGGAGGTTTAAGTAACGTTACATAAACCTTATCCGTTGTAATTTAGTTGAAAACAAAATTTTTTAAAACACCAACTGCCACATCCACACTATAGCTAAAACTCCTGCAATTCACACCTCCTCGGCGCATAACACTTTCGCGTATTAGGATATAGTTGGCTTAAGCGCGCGCTGTCCTCTGCGGCGAGCGACGAATCTGCCTCCACTACACAAAGACCGTCGCCCGTTTAATCAGCGATAGGATCCCGCGTCAAATCTTTCCCGCATCGAATGCTCGTAGGACTGAACCCGCTTTATCTCCACGGCCGTTCTATAAACCGAGAAAAGAAAACTCAACTCTAAACGCTCTTCAGAAGTACGCGTTACAAAAATGTTCCATTTATCGTCACGGCCCAAGGTTTCCTAGCAAACACTTCTGAATGCTCACGATGAGTAACATAAGATGTACAAAATTGTTCATTGGTTGAATTTGCTTTGAAGCTTATTTAAATAAAGAAATACGAAAGAAATTACTGACGCCTTTAACCTTATTTGACAAATAGCGTATTTTTCGCCATTTCTAAATTGAATAAATAAGAAAGTAGATTCTTGCTTCTAAGACATTATAAACGGATGAAACAAAAGCTTTGATGCTTCAATGGTTGAAATATAAGGTAAAAAATATAAATATAACATAAAATGTAAGGTAAAAATTTAAAATACATTTTTAAATTATATGTTTAAAAACCTTTTTACCTCGATTTGTCTCGCATTATTTTTTATTTATATCTGTAGTTAGCGGATTTTAATTATATGCATGATGTAATTAAATCTATGACATTAGAATACTTTCCTCACAATTCGTCGAAAAGAATACGCGTGTTTTATAACCACTACCTATTTGATTTCATATTATTATTCCAAAGCAAATGAATGTAAAGTGAGATAACGTTTAAACGAAACGAGGTGGCAGATGTCAGGGAGATAAAGTCATTTGCACGATGTAAACGGGAAGCAAAAGAAAGGGCCGACATAAAAGAGGCCCCCATTGCCCCTCGCGACCCCACGGCCATAAACAATAAACATCGGCTAATTCGGGCTGATCATGCAAAACGCGGCGGGCGCTCGATCCGCGTCTGCGCTGCACAGCCCCTTGCTTGTAAAATGGGGTAGATAGCACATAGGCACTGATGACGTCACGTCAATTTGAATAGCTCTCTTCAAATGCGATTGCATGGGCGTTTTCTTTACAACGCACGCAAGCAAAATGGGCGTGAAAGCACTGTGACTTTGAAGAGCTTGTTTCCTGAGGTATTTTACTAATCATTATCTTTCAAATGCACTTTAAATTCTACTTTACACTACCTACACCATTGTACAAAAAAGCTACATCTATTTTGCTACAATCTCCCACTAATGAAAGAATTTCACCCGATATCGTTTGAATGCAAGTTAAAAATAGGTTACTACGGCACCGCGAGCCGTTAGTTTAATGCCCGCACGGAGAAAGTACCTCTTTACTCATATTTTTATTCCCGTTTGAACCGATATACCAAAGTAATTTTAGGAACCCTGGGAGTAAATATATACTATACATGGATACGATATGTAAAGCTAAAACTGAATTAAGATAAGAGTGTTAATTAACTACTATACTTTTTAAGGGGAGAGAGTACAGATGATGATAAAAATCAAAATGATTTGGTGACCACGAATATTGGTACATTCTCAATTTTATTAGCATATAAAGGCTACCTCTATATCCTAATAAAATAAAATTTATTTTAAAAATATTACCAATTGACATATATTTCGAGTACTTGTATTAGAAACTTATTCTCAACATTAGTATCTTGTATTAAACAACAACATTATTTATATCATTTCTGAGGGATAGGGTCTAGCTAGTGTTGTCCAATTCGATGTTTTATTGGGCTTGTTCATAAAAGAGCTGACTTATCAGATTCAGTGTGCAAAACTAGTGAAAGCGCGCGGCGGGCCTCGGCCGCCGTGGGGCGGCTTTACGAGCCATATTTACGGCTCAGTCGGACACTCCGCCGTTTTTTACGATATACATAAAAGCCGCTGCAAAAGATTTACGCCAAATATATTCCGCCTAATGCTGATTGCCCATTCCCTGCCTCGCCGTTACGTTGTTGACGTGGCGCGGCTAGCAACGGTCGCACTTGCCATTAAAGTTGTTTATCCAAATAACCTCCAGCTTAAAATGGCATAATATCATTTCACTCTTGACATTTCTTTGGATAATTGACCTAACTGGGTACGACCCAATCTAACGCTTAATTCGTCTTATGACAGTTACTTACTACAGATAATTTTAGAGCAGCTCGACGGAATAAGACGGCTAGGTCCCGAACGTGAAGGAAGGAAGCCACATCGGGCTGCCTGTGACGCATACGAGTAACGGACAACGGATCAATTTTTGATAACGTCAGGCGGCGACAAGTGATCTCTTGCGACAACATCCAATTCGGCCCAAGCAAATTCAATTTGTAGCACAATGTGACCAGACCCGGCCGGGGCCCAGAATGGAGAGCAAACGCGAACCCAAATAAATATTCGCTTTAGCAACAATCGAGCTCGCAACTCACACAATTACGACGAAATGGAAAACCTTAGATAAATAAAATCGGAAGCGCCCGGGGCCCGGCGGACGGTGGAACGGGGCGCGGGGGCGGGCGGGATGGCGTATATCGGGAAAGGGGCGATTTTTTACGGGGAAAAAAGCGAAACCGGCCAACGCAAACACCGGTCGAATGTAGCGAATTCCCAAAGTCCATTCCGTTTATTGACACAGGCGGCAGGCGCGGAGGGCGGCCCCGGATTCAAAACCCTGACCGCCCGCCGCGGCTCACAATAAATTTCAAGTGTTGAATATGTTCGCAATGTGTCGCGCGGAGGCGGGCGCCCTCGGACCCTCCGGGGCCCCGCGGCGCCCTTAAGGGCTCAATTTTAAACACTCTCCCTGGAATGTACGCACTTGTTTACAACGTAATCAGGCTTATTGCTACGACGGCCCCCTGCCTCCTTTACGCCGCGGCCCTTTCAACGAATTTCAAACTGCATTAGCCTTTCTACTAAACTACGAAATGAATTTCAATCACTTGTATGATATAAAAAAGTATCGTACTAATTTCGAGCGTCATATTTAACACTTTAATTTATACTGTCTTATGCCAATCAGATTATGCAATTAATTATACCGGTTTATATACTCCACTAGAACGATTTATGTTACCATTATTCAAATCCGTTTCAATAACAGTCATCTACTATTTTATCACACATGAACATTTAAATATCTTAAGGCTTAATATATCTTCTTGATGTTGTACGCGTATCTGTATTAAGTAATAAATTAACTAGCAAAATAAACAACTGTTCAGAAATAAACTGAAGACCTATGAGTATGCAGTGTTTTATAATATTAGCTCCGACTAAACTGTATACAAGATGACTCTATAAAGTTTGGATCGACGCGTTATAATGACATTTTATGGGTGTGGCTTTCCACCCGCAGCACAGTAAACGGGTGACGCGAGTTGTTTCAAGATGCCTGCACTTTGTAATATTACGATTATTGTTATGACAGTCTGCGATCTCCAGTTATTGTTAATAATAATAATCTATTTTTACGGACATAATCTCTTTCAATTATGCAGCGCTTTGAACTGTTTCAATGACTAAGGTTCTTGAACTTCATTAATGGAAATAGCCAGAACTATTTTAATGGATTCTTACATAATCGCTTGCAAAAGAAAACGCGATTACTTCTGCTGAAAATCCTTTGTCACATTATACGTCCTTAACCGTGGCGTAAACACCGGCAGTTAAGACATTTCAATAATAATGAGGCAGGACGGACTTTGCTTGCTCCGATGTCACCGCACCGCAAATGGAGGGGGCCGAGTGATATTGCGGCCTCATTACGCCGGCGGGACTTCGCTCTTATTTATGAAATAAAAATGAAAACATCTCCTGACGAATGGCGGCCGCGGCTGACCACCCTCTGCCACCCCCGACTCGGCCCCGCGGGGCAGCCGCCGGACTCCAACGTGTAATATAATTCCGCCACCTACCGTCCTAATACGATGTATGAAATTGCCGAGATGATGGCTTCTTTAAATATGTGTGCATTGTTTATAGACACAAATGCTTTTGTTAAAGCTTTCGAGTTGATTGGATCGGCCAAATATAGCAAAGGCCTTCAAAACATTTTTATTGTAAACAGTAATTTGAAAGATGGTACAGGCTGAAAAGCATGCAAAATAGATGCGCCAAGCGTTGCGTAAATACATATATAAATTCAATAAAGAAAGTAGACAGATGTCGAAGTCTTCGGCAGCTTATCTAACTAAATCTATCTATAATTTCGAACTGAATAACCCCTATCTAAAATTTCGAACTGAATAACCCCTAAATGGAAGTAGTGTTCATATTAGTAGTATTGGTTGCCCATTTTGTGTTAAGTTACTCAAGTTAAACTACTCGCTATTTCGTATGCAAATTGGATATAGACTCTGGTTTGGATATTTTTTAAATAAGTGGCAAATGAGCAAGCAGTATTATACATTATATTGCATTCTCATAAATTAGGTTGATAATAATATTTGTTTTTAATGTTAATAAGTGCAAGCGAGCTGGCGCTTCACCTCATGCTAAGTGATAATCGCCGCCCAAGGACACTTGGAACACCCTTAGGGTTGCAAATGCGTTGCCACCTTTAAATAAAGTGGAACTCACTCACCAGACGAAATGCTAAACGGGTATTAATGCTAATCGGAATGCTAAACGAGTATTGAGTGACAGCCCAAGCCGAGGTCCCCTCTCGGGGGCCCTTGAGCCTGGTCACTCCATGGAGCGTCCACCAAAGCGCCCTAAGAGCTTGGTGGCCTCCCAAACCGGTAATGATAATAATAGCGTGACGGCCCGAGCCGAGGCGCCCTCGGGAGCCCTCGAGCTTAGTCACCATAACGCTTAATAATAATAAGCCGAGGTTCAGGCTAGGCGCCCCGAGCGCCAGGCTACCTCAAGCCCGTCGGAACTGTAAAGGCCCCTAAGGCCAACAGTGGCTCATCAAGTCCAAAAAAAAAATCACCTGACGAAGCGCAGTATAACACTTCTACTTTACACCGGTCTTTTGTGAGGTCGTGGTACCGCTCCGGACGGATCTGCCCATTCGTGCAACAATGAACACCATTGCGTGATCCTACCACAGTAAAAATAATATATGGGGAGCATAAATATGAACTTTCTAGAGGGTGTGCCTCGGTTGCATCACTTACCAAATGAAATGCGAAAATATTAATGTGTCTATCTTACGTTGTCCTTCTAGTAGGCCATGTCTCTATCTACCCCTGTTGAGCTACGCCATTCATGAAACAGCAGGAACTGCTGTGCATGAATATTGCTGCACTATAGTAGGCACATATATAGAATTTCAAGATCAGATCAATAGTTATTTTCTATGACACAAGATCATTTAACTTTTACGAGTATGGAATGAATGGCAATTTACATTTTAGATCATTGATTTAGACTTGAAAATTAAATCGTGTATTAACAAATCAATAGGAGTTTTTATTGCACATTCTTAACCGAAGTTCAGAAAAATAGTGTGATTACATTTAGGTGTGAGCTTAAGTAAAATTAATGAAAAATATCAAGTATTCGCTGTTAACCGCGGTTTCGCGGTTCCTCGCGGCCAAAGGAAATTAACAATTATTAAAAGTTTTTTATTCTACACCAGAATGTATATATTTCTTTTTCACCAGCGTAACGTGGAAGCATGACAAATACTTTCGCGTTTCATCTGGTGAGTGAGGTGGCTGGAGCCCAATTTTCCACAGATTGTCAACGCATCTGTAACCCTCGGGTGTAGCAGATGTCCATGGGCGGCGGAATTCACTTAATATCAGCTGAACCGTCTGCTCGTTTGGCAACTTTTCACATAAAAAAAGAAATATATATACCTGTATTTCATTACCTATATTTTGGACAATTCACACAATATATTTATAAATTACAGGCTATGTGTCATTCTGATGTATAAGCTATATTATTGTAAAGTATCATTAAAATCCATTCAGTAGTATTTACGTGAAAGAGTAACAAACATCCATCCATACATACAAACTTTCGCGTTTATAATATTAGTAAGGATTAATTAATTAATTATTATTAATTAATAATGGAGTTAATAATTAATTAATAAGGAAGGAGGAATGGAGGAAATGGTTATCTTAAATTCCAAGCTACCATACTCTTAAACGTAGTCTTATTCCAGTGTCTGGGAGTTTCATATCTATAATATGTATTTATTTACAAAAGAAAAGTACGTTTAAGTGTGTTTATCCGTTACCTAGTATTCTTAGTACAAACCTTGATTAGTTTGGGACTATATAACGCTGTGTAAAAATGTGTTCTGAAATATATATTTATTATTTAATTAAAGATGACGTCTCGGTCGTAACTTGCCAGAGAACATGGTCCTTGGTTATTGTTGTCGGCGCCGTGATGTGCAGTTTGAATGCAATGTGTGTTGATTGTAGCGAAATTTAATTCCTTGGTGCAAGCGACATAAGGAATGTGTCCGCTACGGGAGGCAGTGAGGGGTTGGGGGGGTCGCGTGGACCCTAGACCGGAGAGATTTTTCAATTACCAACTTTGTGCCATTCGCTCCAATCTGGACACGTAGAGTACCTCTCCGCTCAGAGACTTAACAATGTTACCAACTTTTCGTACGGTATCTGGTCAGCTTCTACCAATTACAGCCGAAAAGTCTCACTGGCGCTTGGTTTTGGACTAATAGTGTTATGGATTTATTTAAAAATGCTATAGTGTCGTACGAAGTGCTCTCTATACTATTCGGATTTTGGCAAAATCGTGAGTAACAATTATCGTTTTCGAAACTTCCCACTGGATTTATTTTGAAATACAATATGGATGCAAGGAAAAGTACATAACGAGCGCTTGCTCTGTGCAGTGTGGAATTCTTAATATCAGTGCGCGCTAACTACGGCGTATAATATTGGGCGGGAGGAATTTCCGCCCGCCCCCCGCCACCCGCGCCCTCCGACGTCACCCACCAGTACATTCTATTGCATTCTCGGAGGCTCGCGAAAACCTAAACAGCGCAATTTTGAGAGGAAACTAAAAAAATCCGTTAATGTTCTTTTTAGTAACAACGTTTTAAAATGTAAAAATAAATAAAATTTTAGTTTTATACAAGCTTAGTTCGTCAGAAATCTCAATTTGCTTAGTCTCAGAACAGTCACCAAAGCGAGAGGTTTCCATAAATTTAAACTAATACTTGTATTATAGGAAATCTTTAAAGTTACCAACTCATCTTATTGAAATATAATATCATAATATTAATTAAAGAACATAACATTTGCTAAAACCTTTTTACAATGTAACTTCACTACATAGTATAAAACAAAGTCGTCCCGCTTTCTGTCTGTCCCTATGTATGCTTAGATCTTTAAAACTACGCAACGGATCTTGATGCGGTTTTTTTGCTAGATAGAGTGATTCAAGAGGAAGGTTTACATGTATAATACAATGCACCCGTGCGAAGCCGGGGCGAGTCGCTAGTAAAAAGTAAATTTCAAAATAATACAAACCGTATTAATGTGAAAGTTTATACGTTTGAGTGAGTGTTCTTTCTTTACACCGGAACAACTCAATATAATTATTTGTATAAAATTTGGAGAGGAGTTTAGCCGAAACGAAACCGAAACGTTAGCCATTTTAATACAAAAAGAACAATGTTTCGCAGTTTAACGCTGGTTAATACGAGTAAGGTAAATAAAATTAGTTATTCACTGTGGTAAGGCCACTTGGTAAGGCCACGCAAATACACACATTTTGACAGACATTTGCGTCTTGTTTTGTTATTATCCATTGATATTCACTTTATTGATTTTCATCAGTTGAACCGTGACGTAATAATAATGTGCAAGCTAATTGCCTAAACGGTACCTTCAACTCTATTGTAGGGTAGTCACTAGCAATTCTTGCTACATTCCCGCCTTAATTGGACATTTTTGGCAATAATACTCGCTTTACTTTTGGCGGAGGAATGGAGGGCGCCCTCCGAGGGCCAATCTTGCCTCCGCCAACGGATCGCTTCACAATTCGGCCTTTGATCGATCCTATTAAATTATCGCGGATGAATGGGGACCAACGCGGCGTGTCTTACAGCCGCTATCTACCTTTTCATTAGTCAGAATTGATTTTAAGAACCAGAAGCGAAAACCCATCTACCTTCGACTAGGTGCGAATGCCTCGTATATTGTATTGAAAACCGGCCAAGGGCGAGACGGACTCATGCGCGTAGGGTTCCGTACCATTATTTATTATAAACTAATTAGCGTCCGCTTAGCGTTTGTTGTATGGGAGCCCCCTTAAATATTTTTTTTTTGTTTTTAATATTTGTTGTTATAGTGGCAACAGAAATCAAAAAGAATAAAAATTTCAACCTGTGAAAACGTCAACTGTCTTACTATCACGGTACTATGACATACAGCCTGGTGACAGATGAACAGACAGACAGCAGAGTCTTAGTAATAATGTCCCGTTTTACCCTGGGTACGGAACCCTAAATATCTAATCTACTCGTTCTAAACTCATATTGTTAATAACTAATTCTGCCAACTTTTAACCGAGCGTATTACGTCAGATCCGAGTTTAATAATTACATCAAACTCGCACCAACGAGTAACGACTGTGTCGAACGCTGTAAATAGCGTTAAAGTCGCGTCGCCGGCAGAGTCTCGGGCCGTCGTAAAACCGCCGCGGGGCCGTATCGACGATCGACAGTTAATAAGCGCGGTTATTGAAGCGACCACGGCGCACTTAAACTTCTCATTCGCTTATGAACCTTTAATACGCACGTAATTCCGCCATCTCGGGCGAACGATGTGACGTCTGTTAATTAACTTGTAATCACGAATTGGAAAACCCCTTGTATGTAGACATCACTTAAGGTTGTAGCGTTCTTTTTCTTATATATTACTCTTACCTAGAAGATGGGTCATATTCTGCAGTCGTGTAACCCTACTAAGATAGTTTTGGGTTATAGAAGCGCTGACAATTATAATGTAGAACTCTCATCTGATGGGAAAATATTCAGCCATAGTCCACAAATCACATTTAACAAAGGACCAATTAATAATTCTATAAAGTGAAGTTTTTTCAAACACAGTGGATATACTGTCGCGTAACCACGGAGGGCGTAAGAATAATGAATATTTAAAACAAAACTAAACGAGAATAATCCGCCCGAATCTGTACATATCTTGTTAAACAATATCTCGTTAACCAAATAAATCTTTATAGGTATAGAATTTTCTAAATTTTAACAACATTGTGGTATACCTTACGTTGATTATGCTATGTATATCACGTTGCTAGTGATCCAAAACAAACATAAAATAGAAGATGTGGCATAACTATTTCCTAAAATAAATCTGCCCCAACACGTCCCTGCATAACGATGGCATCTCATCAGCTTATGCAAATATGCGCATTAACATGTGTGCAGGCGGGTGCGTGTGCAGCAGCCCTATTCGCGATGGGGTGCAGTATCGATCGCGCGTCGTCTTGCATAATGAATGCCGGCCCCATTTACCCTCGCCTCGCAACGGATGCTGGGGAGTACCTACGCTTGCTTATTTGTTTTGTTTAGTGTGCGCTGGCACATCCACAATCATCTCGAAAGGGTGTTTATTACACGGGGCGACTTTGAACGTCGTATCCATAGGAAGATTTAAAAGCATTCTCCTGTTTCTTTTTACATGGCCTTAAATTGTAACATTTACTCCAACTCCAGTTGAGACGTTTAGTTTGGTATCTCATGGTATGTCTTATGATAGCTTTCGGTCCTTGAATTCTTCGCAACTAAAGCCTAGATCCCCAGATACCGATCTCGATGTGTTTGATCAGAAATTTATCCTAGTCGCAATCTAAGTTGGAATGGATAAGTCGCTGTCGATGCTCCCATGTGCAATAGAGCTTTACAAGATTAAATGAGAAACATAGTTCGCCGTTACCGAGGCGGAAGACGTTAAAGTTGTGCCTCATAGACATTTCATTGTAGCAGTTACAAACAACGGATTGTCCGGTGAAGCATCAGAGGACGAGTGCAAGGGACGCCCTCCAGTTCGACTTAACGAGCATAAAGCGAACTTGCAGTCGCGGGCTCAACTCGAGCGTCCATCGTGGAGCACGTACGAGCGCCGTATGCCACCCTTGCCAGACACCTTATATTCCCGCTCCTTCCCCAACCTCCCCTAGCTCCTCCGATATCCCCCTATTCCCCCTCCCGTTAGTAATTAAGCCTCTTGCGACACTTCGCTCCTCGTTACGGTAGGTCCGGTCGCTCCGAACCGTTACATATGACGTACATACATACATACGCACACAAATGCTTATAGAAATCTCAACAACGTATAAGACAACATATTAAAAACTTAAAGTAGATATGACAGCAATAGAAAATTATTAAATATTTCAACCACTTAATGTTGAAATACACCTGACACACACGAAGGAATAATCATTGTATTTATTTCCTTGTATTGCAGATTTGCCTTTAATTTTATTGTATTCACTTCATTCTTAAATGTTTGAATTATGAGCTACAGTAAAGTAAAAAAGAAGGAAGCCAATCGATAGATCCAGCCATGGCTCAGTTACAATATGAAAAAGAATAAAGAAGTAAACTAGTCGAAGGTGTCTAACAACGAGACGTGCAAAACGACGGCGTCATCGACACAACTGGCCGTTCTCCAAGAATTTTTATCCCATAAAACTTTTCACGACAATAAACTACTAAATGTTATTAATTTTTTACATCTTGATAGTCTATCAGTAGGTACGACGTTTTAACTTCGATTCAGGTACAATTTTCAAAGGAATCGAAACTTGTTTAGGCATCTATATCGAAGCAAATTTATCTCTACGTACTCAATAATTGGAACGCGTAATTTAAGGTAAATTTTATTAGAAACACATAAATACTTAGAATAACACATAAGTAAATTTTCAGTGGACTTCCAATAACCGACTTGATTTAATATCAAACATTAGAAGAGAATTCAACAGCCAATTTATAAAGAGTAATGACATATCCGACTGGTTACAGGGAATCAATTTACGGCGGGACGGTTGGCGAGGCGGGGTGGGCCCTTGGTTGTTCAGGGTGGCGGCGATAATTAGGCACGCGGATTAGCTTCCAGCGAGGAAATTAACTTGAAACTCGACGGCGGAACGGGAGGTGGGGAACATCGCCCATTTCGGCAGACAATCGGCGGCGCAATTGAACCGGCGGCCAATTAAAGGCGGCAGGTATTTGCGAATTGCGAGCGGAGTTGCGGCGATAACGGCCCCGTCGCTGTTTATTGCATTCCGCTAACCGTGGAGCGACGCTTTCATTTGTAACGTCGCGCCGTGAACACTATCGCTGGCAATTTACAGCGCCAGGCTTGCCTCCTGTTCGGTCCCGAGACCGAGCGCTCTTTGTGGTTACCTTTTGGCAACAGAGAAATTCGCTGGAAGTACTAATACGTAGACAGAGGTAGCTAGTTCTATCATGTCATAGAACTTATAAAAGTCTTAAAAGGTAAAGGAGCAACATGGAAATTGAAAATTTTTATTAGCAAATATAATGCAATAGTTAAAATGCCGTTACTGCCTTTGAAATAAACGTTTTAAATGAATTTAGAAGTTGTTAAAGGTCACATACGTAGGTGACCTGCGGAATACATTATCACCTAAGGCACCATTTGGAACAATAATACAATAGAATATAATATAATGTGTATTACTTTAGAAAAACTATGATAAAAGTGAAGACCTGGACAACTGTATATAAATAAAATAACAATCATGTAAAATTGATTTTCATTACGAGTCCGAATTTCATTATTCACAGGGTAAAAATGCGGCTGGGGAAAGACCTCTCTTGTACCAAAGATAGTATAGTCGACCACGCGACCTCTACGCGGATTTGAAAACACTTCTTCGACATATTTTTTTCAACAATAGAAAACATTGCGAGGAAATCTGCATTTTTCGAAATATGTAGATTTCCTCACAATGTTTTCTGTCACCACTGAGCACCAAAAATTGCAGTTAAAAATTTCATTGGTGCTGTCACCGGGATATGAACTAAGGTTTTGCGAGAATATTGAATTATAAACGATCGCCTAAACACTGAGCTTCCAAGAGTCCTGTTCTATGTCCTGTAGTAGTAGTATTTATATATAGATCATAATACCAATTGTTTATATGAACATTCATGTACTATTAATTGCTTGTGAAACAACTGTACGATTACACAATGGGAGTTTCTTTAGTTAAAAACAAATGATGTTCATTTTCATTACGCTATGTCGCTTTCAAAGCGTAATAGATTAAAGTGTGACGTTTCAATTAAACTTGTTAATATTAACAATAAAATGTTGCGGTCATATGGAATTGTCTATGTATTATAAACACAATAGCTCAACGAGCGGTGCCTAGCTCGCGGAACGGTACAATCACTTGTGTCGTGGCGAGACTCCGGGGGCTGGGGGGAGGGGGAGGACGGGGGAGGCGGCGGGAGGGGGAGCACGGTGCAGCCCGTCGCCATGGCAACCGCCCTCGCCTAATCAATTGCAGAAATATGTACGATCCATTACCAGTGCAACTTGAAATCATCCCCCGCCCGCCGGCACGCCGAATCAGTACGCCGGCGGGGCGACAGAATACGTTTCAGGGGGCCCATTACGCTGGCCGCCCACGCGGGCGAACGTTCGGCGACATTACACACACTCGGGAAGCGAGGAAAAGACGTATAGCCGCGTAAGTATCGTGCAGTCGGTGCAATTTATTACGCTCTATCATTTTTAAAAGCTTGTTCGGCTTCGGCCACGTTCCGTCGACGGATGCCTGCAAAAAAGGCGGTCCCTCGGCGGGGCACGCGATCTTTGCCGGCGGCTAATCAAATGCGGTGCGGATGCAAACGGCCGTTAATTGGCAACTGTGAAAAACGAACTCGCATGTTAGCAATGAAATGGTGATATGCTTAGTATAAATCAATTATACACTCACATTTTTTATTCGTGACAGCACAGTAAAATGGCAGAACTCATTTCAACAATCATATGCCGAGAATGAAAAATCTCTGCCGTTGAAAATGCAATATAATCAGCATGACGAACAGAAAGTAATCATTATAACAATGTCGTTAAAAAAATTTATCGTTCGCATTTTTCAGTCCGTAGTTTAACAGAAATTAAGTCATTCACATAAAAGGAATAATAAAAAATAACAGTCATTTAATAAATTAAAAATATTCAAGTATAGTACAAATTTATGACAGTACCTAAGATTCCGTCGACGCACGTAGAGCGTAGCAATGGCCGCCTTCCGCGCCGCTACGACCTCAACGCGGCCGGGTCTACGCCACAGGCTGTACCTGAAACTTACCGAAAACACACTTGACACATTTTTAATATTTTCAATGCTAAACTTTTATTATGTTTGTAACAAAATTAAGATAACCGATTTTACGATATACTAAACTTTCATTATCTATTTTCGATAACATCTAAAATGGATAATGAATAGGTTTCAGCTAAGATATAAGTGTCTAAGAAATTCATGCAAACTTTGTAAATTAAGAGTAAAGTAAGGACTAAATACAATAGCTTATTACATATATATATATTAGTTTTTCGGCTTTGTTAACAGTTAAAAAAACTTACCAAAATTTTGAAGTTCTGTATAAATGTAACAATAGTTATAAGTGTATAGAACTAGTAGATTTTTACCCTCTCCCAGCACGTGTGGTTATTTCTGTTTTTGGTAATAAAATAGTTTTAATGTCCTCTGTATTAATCCAACGACTAACCTAAGTACTTTCAATCGATATTTCATTTATTATAGTAGACAAAATTATGAAGTAAAGCGCTTGTTGGTGAACCGTTTAAGCACAAGTCATCTTTTACAATGATCGTGACCTTAAGAATGAGGCTGACCTTAAGATTTCACTCAAAAAGGATTTATATAGAGTATATTAACATTAACTAACTTGTTACCCCCGAGGTCACTTCGGCCACGGCGCAACAAATTGCTTCATCCTTTTGAGCACTTCGCCATCCATCATCTTCTGTATCGGATGTCTGCGGACTCGTCTACGTTGTGCTGGACGCTGTGAACGGAAGCAAAACGACTAATTATATAAATTAAACTTATATATAGACAGCATTATTAACCTCTATATATTTTACCTCTATATTTCACTAATTTTCTTTAAAGGTTCGCGGAACGCCATAACTTACGTAATTCTCGAAAAGACAAGTAGAATAAAGTTAATGATTTTTTTACAAAAATTGATCGCTCCAGGCTCTTCCAAACGGGCTTTAATACATTGTAACCTTTTTTTTTCGTTGTAAATGTTTTTACATAAATTAACAGCTGGCGCTGCGGGATTCGAACCTGCGGAGTTTTCTGTGGTTTTCTTTCCGAACCGGTAGTAGTATTTTGACAATCAATAAGTAACTATGTGTACTGTTTCTATATTGAATAAAGGAATTTGAATTTGAGTATAATTTTAAAGGGATATAAGAAACGTTCTTTCCGTATTATAAAAAAACCAGTTCGCAATGTGTCTCACTAGATACACTCAACAATTGAGAAGAGAACACTATTGGTGTAGAACTCGATAAAAGTCGCTCAATAATAATGTTTTCCCTTTTTTATCGATTTTTTTAAATTAATTTGATCAGGAACAAAGTCCTGAGGAGCTCAAGTCCTGACCATTCCATTTACCAGTGCCAATAAATTACCTATGCTTACGAAAGTTATAAAACGCCTCGTTTGAAATGTATCGAGCTACCAAAACATTTAAATCTAATATATAAAATTCTCGTGTCACGGGGTTCGAACTTGAACTCCTCCGAAACAGCTCGACCGATTTTTACCAAATTTTATATGCGTATTCAGTAGGTCTGAGAATCGGCCAACATCTATTTTTCATCCCCCTAAATGTTAAGGATAGTCCACCCCTAAATTTTTTTTTTTTAATTTTTGGACAAAATTTTTTATTTTTATTTTTTTATGACACAGCATACAAAAATACATACAAACCTAAATTTTCACCCCTCTACGCAGACGTAGTCGCGGGCAGCAGCTAGTCTAATATATAAAATAAAACGGGGAACAATCCGATTTGTAAAAAGTATCCAAACAATGTTTAATAAATATGCTATTATTTACAGTTCTATTATTGTATTTTATTAAAGAAAATCAATAGTTATCATCAATCAATTAATCAAATATATTTATTCAAAAAGACGCTTGCGCGTTCTTATGAGTTATTGTCAAATTTTACCTAAAAAATATAATAGGTATATATATATATAAAGGTTCGTAAGGTACCACCGGTTCGGAAAGCAGTTTCTGTTGAGAAGAGACCGGCAAGAAACTCAAAAGTTGCTCTTTTCCAAAAATATCGGTTTACAGGTATAATAGTCTTATTTTAGCCTCCGTGAGTATCGACAGTATTGGCGATTATTAACGACACACATTGGCGTCGTAGAAATATTCCGCAGTGGTATAATATGCTTTAACCATGAGTTGGCTTTTAATTTTACGTTTGAATTGATCAAGCGGCAGACTTAATATCGAATTAGATTAATTGTCATTGACATCGATAAGCAGCACACAGTTATGGGAAATTAGTAACGTGGAAACAGCAAAGGCACCGTCATCTCCAATCGCAACTGACGAGATACACAACAGTTAGCCGTCGCTAATTGCTCCAGCACCCGCCGCCGAAGGTCGATATCACCATTGTTTATTGCGCTGCCATTAATACGGCGCCTTAACCCCTACCGAAGGGAGCGACCAGTCACGCGGTGCGAGATCGCGTCTTCAAATATTCATAGTCCACCCTCTAAAACGCGAACGAGCCGCCCCTTGAAATAACTGTTAAAAAGGCGCACACACTCCATTATGTGATTTAAAAATCATATTCAAAATCGCTGCCGGGGCCAAACGAGCGTGGCCGCTATTCTATTACCGACCCTTGTCGGAATAAATTCCATCGAAGCGCAATAATAATAAAAAAAATGTCGAGAGCTTGTCGCGTGCAAAAGACGTGCGGTCACGCGGCCCCTCCCCCTCGCCGCGCGCCCCTCACCCGAGCGCACCTCACCCCTGACCCTCGCCGCACCCCCTCACCCTGAGGGCCTCCCTCGCACGAATATAATATGCATTATGCGAAATCCGTAACTCTTATGCTGGGTCTGGAGAATACCTTAAACTTATTCACCGAATCCGCCAAACTCAACCGTCCTAGTAAGTAGTTAAGGTTCCTTCTTCTGTGGCTTCGAGGGGTTCTTAGTACGTTTGTGCGGCGCAGCGGGCGCGCGCTTTCCTCGGGGCGGGCGAGGCCTGCACTCTCAAGATAACGCCGGGTATTAATCATAGTATTATCGGCCGGTGGCGGCGTCTTTGTTATGACACCGCGTTATTGCAGTTTTTTCTCTATCTACCCTCGAGGACGCGATAAACGACTCGAGAGTGAATTTTCCGGGACAGATGTTTTAGTAATACGGGAGAGATATCACCTTATACGGCCCAATAAAACATTGAATATTATTATTATGACGCCCAATCCCGCGCTGCGAGTGCGGCTTCCGATATTGAGACATTAAATAAATAACTGAGATGGAACCAATGCAAAAAAGTAATTTGCGACACGGTACGTCGTGTGTACATACGAGTATATACGTTTGTATACAAACTATGAACATAATATAGCATAAAAACATGAAACATATATAGGCGGAGGCCGCTATCAGTCGAGGCAGAAGCATTTAGTCGCGCGTCTGAAAGCGGTGCCGGTGAATGGAGCGTTATCAAGGGACGCTGCAAAGGGCTGGGCGATGACTGGCTCAATCGAGGCTTACACGTCGGGAGACAGCGCGTCCCGGCGGGCGCAACAATTTGTGTATGATTAATGGCGTCGCAGGCGGCGCGGGAGGAGCGGCCGGAAATCTCGGCGCCTCGCGGGACCGCTTCCATGGCGGAGTTGGCAACGCGCCACCGGCCGACGCTTAGCGACGCTTTCTTCAACAATGGAGCCGGTTGAGAACGAACTTTATGTTCAGCCTATATGTGACGTAGGTCAACACATGTGTATCTACTCGGCATTCAAATGGATGTGTAAAGGGTTGGACCTAAACAGATTTTAAACAAGTCACCTTTTACCGTCCACGATCATTTGTCTCGTTGCTATCCATTGTAATAATTATAATCAAAGTTCAAACCACCTTTACCGAAAAAGTCAATTGGTCAACAAACTCCTGTTACCTGGCGGAACTGGCACCTTAAATGCCACACACACACAGGTCTTGTTGCCTATACTCGTATGTGTGCGCTACGGAATCATTTTTCACGTTTCATGAAGCGGCCGAGCGCGGGGCAGTGGATTAAAATACATTTCGCTCGTCGCCGGTGATGGATGGCCCCTGGCCCCTCGGAGGAAAGGGTTGCTCCCCTGCCCGCAGCCCCGCTCTCCCCCACCTCACGCTATTAAGAGGATTCCTCTACACCACGGGACGTAATAAACGAGCATACAAAAGGAGCGAAGTAACTTTATACGTATCTTATTTAAATGTAATGTTTATTTCTTCAAATATACTCACAAAGCGTATAGCCAATAAATTGAACCAGCTAAAGTACTCAAGCAGCACTATTTGTAAATAGATAGTTTAGAAATTGTGTGTGATAGTTCTGCGACTATTTTTTTTAGTAAACGCAGTTGAGATCCTTTTATCGTAATCTACCACAACGAACCAAAAGATGGTATATCACACTTATGGTTATAACTTTGTTGATTAATCTATATACGCAAAGGAAGCTTCCTTCAGGTGTTTTGAAACTATATAAATAAGCTATAACGAATCCTCTTACTTTCTTTTTATAGATAATATGGGGCACAATATTTATCAGGCTTTCAGACAAAACATACCAGATTGTAATTATTCCGTAATGACCAACTAAAATGTTGCAAAAACAAAACTGTAGTCATCGCTCGTGTAACACTTAGGTCATCCATAAAGCTTTGGGATTTAGATATATTCGTAAAAAAATCACTGAGCGAAACTTTTTAACATTAATTTATTACAACAGCAACAAATAAAAACAATTTGGAGACAAGAAAAAATCTATTTCAAATATGACGACCGATTGCCTTAGTTGATAGTGGTAGAGCCACGCAGCAGCCACGGCCGTTGCACGTATGGGCAGGTCCGTCTGGGTAAGTACCACAACCTCACAGAAGACCGGCGTCTTCTGTGAGGACCGGAATTTTTAAAAACAGAGATTGGAAAAAAATTAGTTAATTAACAATGGTGTAACTTTTTGAAAAATCGACATAAAAATTTTTTTCCACCGAGATTTTTTTCGTTTAAGTGTCTAGATTACACCATAATTTATTCAAATTTTTAAATTGTTATTTAATACTATAAAAAAAATATTTTAGGTGATATACCGGCTTTTTAGACGGCGCGCCTATGCCGTAACGACCTCGCGGAGCCCTATTTTCAGCGTTAAAAAAAATTATAAATAATAGAGATAGAATTCCGGGAGTTGGGACTTTTTTATTGGAAATTTCCTCATTTTTCAAAATTCATTAAATATCATTATTTTAGAAATTATTAACAAAAAACTAAATACCCTATTTTTGTAATCTTATTTTGTTAATAACAATCGCAATTTTTTATGTGCTAATAAACCCTTAAAAAACATTTTTCTAGGCGTCATTCCGAATCGAATGAGCTATCGCACATATTTTTAGGAGCTTTATATCTATTTAACACGTTTTTTAACTTGTTGACTAGACTACTAGTACCCATAGTACAAGCATTGCTTAGTTTGAGACAATTAATAGAGAACGTTGTGCATAAATATGTCCTAAATGTTTACTTATATCTCACTCACTTTACATTCATATTCATTTCTATTTGATTTTCCTATTCTCCGGAATTCAAATTTCAATACCAATTACTAACAAATAAGGGACAAGAAGCTAAACTCCTCTCGCTAGAGAAGGGAGCTAAACCGAACCCAATGCATTGAAGAATTTTTAAAACTGGTTGACAAATAATTGAGTACTGATGTAACAAATATAAAAATAAAACCGTTTAAGAACTTTAAAGTTAAACGGTTTTATTTTATGTGCACTGAAAACTACAATATTGTATTGTCATCTAAATTAAATGTGTGTACCAAATTTCAGATCAATCTGACAACGGGAAGGTGCTTAAATTTCAATTTATAATTTTGACCCAAATAAACAAACAAATTCCGTACGGGTCGAGCTAAATAAAACCGTTTAAAAAATAGCAACTTGAGGATTCCCTCCTTTTTTTGAAATCAGTTGCAAAACTAATATAACTCAGAAATGAAAATGTAACATATAAGTATATATCTGTATGTATTCGCATTCGGTTATTTTTATTTTTTAGTGTAAGTGGACACTTCTAGAAGCTTCCAATATGCCCCACGCCACAGCGATGATTTAATTTGAACGTACAGAATAGAGTTTCTACCTAAAGTGACATGTATTTATTCTTCAGGGAATGGCATTTGCTGTAACCAAAACCTTTGCTGAGTTGTTTCAGGCAAACATGCCATAAGTAAAGTCAACACGACAAAAAACATTTCTCTCGTATTTGACTAGTATCGTGTTCTCGAAAATAGCTCTCTTTTAGAGATAACTTCAATATCATTCTGTCATTAATGATCCCGTATCATAAAAATAGCGATAACGACAGATTCTTCATATGTAAAGACTGTAAGCTGCTCTCTATTTCTACTGGAACAAAAAATCCTTTTGAACGATGTTCTCAGATAATAATGGCTGTGTATATAAGATTGCAACGGCATGTTTAATACTAGGATTATTCTATAATCAAACGTATATGTGTGCGGCGTCATATATTTATATGACATATAAACTTACGACGTAAAAATTGCTGTTTTTCGTTATTTAGTTAATAAAATGTAAGACATGGACGATGGCTAAGGTGCCTGAAATACAGATATTCAATATGCGCTTAATTTATGATTTACGTGGCCAATGTACTAAATTCAAATTTATTAAACTTCATCAATATCTAAAGGTTTACTGTGTTTAACCGCAAATTAAATAAGTAAAGCTAATATTAACTATAAACTTCAATATTTTTTATAAATTGATTTATAATTATAAGATGCTAGCCTCCATTCACCTTCTATATCTATAATTCAAAAATAACTGGTTGGAAAATTGAGTTTTTTTAATGGGACCTATTGCCAAGCAGTGAGTGAAACTGTCTCGGCAAGGTTCATCATCCACGGTTCAAATCCAATTTCTAGCAGCACAAAATTTAAACTTAGCCATAAATCCTTGAAAGAAGTTTTCTTAAATCTTATTTTAAAGTTATTCCAATTTTCAATCAACTTCAAAAAAGGAGAAGGTTCTCAAATTCGATTTTAGTTTTTTTTTATGTTTGTAACCTCAGAACTTTCCACTGTGTTGATTTTGATGTAGTCCCATATTAATTTAATTGGTATTAGATCTTGGGCTCCGGAGATACTTAGGGTACTGCAATCGTTTGTATGCTGGAAAGGATATAACAATAGATGCGCCAAGCATTGCTTCAAATGCTTAATAACAATGTAGATAAAAGACGATATTAAGATTTTTGTCGGTGTGGCAATCAGCCGTTTAGCTTAGGGGCTAAATCGTCAGGCCGTGAATGCCGAAGACGTGGGTTCGATTCCCACAGCGGCGACAATCTTTTCGTACTTTTTCTACAAGTTTTAATCCTGAAAATCAATTATAAAATTAATAGAGAGCGAGATATTTGAAGTCAGTTTTATTTTTCGTTAATAAAAATTGGACTTGTTAAGTCGATAACTGATTATATCATCTCATAGTCTCGCGCATTGGACGCAGAAAATATATCAGTTTTACGAGCCTAGTACACTTCCTGTTGTAGACTGCGGCACAGACTAGTAACAGACGGATAAGTAAACATTGCCACAGTGTGCGATATTTGCCAGCTGATGCCATTTTGGGAATAGCGTCTGTGACGGGTGTACAGACGACCGGATATTTCATTTCCTACCGCGCTGCTTGCCCGCTTTTATCGCTAAAAACGCCCAAATACTGGTACCCGTCCTACTCGACAGTGAGCTAATATTATTGCACGCTCCTTTGTCCGCTCCACCTTCCGATCGTCAACATAGAGTTCCCGCCGCTAGTCTTCGACTGGGGCCAAAGCGGCGGTTTCATTAAGCGAACTTTCTCAAATATTGGCCGAATGCACCTTAGGCACACATTAACTTTAATCTCGCTTCCACCGGAGAGGATGATCGAACAATGTCGTTTTCAATTGAAAAAGTTTTTAGGAAGAATCTAGTGTTTAATATTTGCAATATAACACGGATGAGAGTCACATTACTTTCATCATATACATACGAGCATTTTCAAGCTACGTATGGACACCGAAGGACTCGTATCTTACACCCACTTACATAAACATAATTATGGCATAGTGTCCTTTTAGCTTGGCTCTCCTCGCGTAACCCGAGCCAGCTGGCACACACATTAGCCGATTGCTGCCGACACCTAGCTGTTTATAGACGCGCCCGCGACGCCGCGCCTTCTCATATATTCCGCGGGTGCTTCTATTTGTCCTGTCATGACACGTCCTCATATCATTTCATTTTATGGAGCTTGATACACCATCACTTCATCTAATTGAATGAATTGACATTAAGATGACAAATATTGCAGAAATGTTATTTGCTGTCTCACTTGGTACTAAACCAAGTAAAAAAACGACGAATAGCATGTATTGTTACAGCCATGCTCTTATTTCGATGACACACGCGATTCACACAATTGGCTCCCTCGGAACAACAACAAACTCCAAAGAATAATTATCACTTTTCAAAAGCGCGCGGTCACAATGCCCCAGGTGTGAAGTCACTAAATGCGAGCACAAATTGTCGTCTCTCGACAAAGCGGTGACAAAAAACGCGTCGCGGCCTCACGTCGCGTGCCCTTAACTAAATCGCAGAGTAAAAAACAGCTGCACGTACGAAAAGGGTTGATGAAGGGTTGGCCCCGCGTGCAACCCTCGGCCGGGGACCTCGCGAGGCGCCCTTCTTACACGAGCGCCAATAAAAAGCGCTGTCGCGTGCATGCGCGTTTTGATTTTAAAGCGATTTGAATACGACGGATTTACATACGAAGGAAGCGGGCCGCGATTGGCCGCTCATTTGGGTGCGGCTGCGCGGTTGGCGCGCCCTGCCTACCACTGACACACGGGCCCGCTTTGTCCGCCTTTGCCAATCGCTTCCGTCGCAACTCGCACATTTGCATACCGCACGTTGCGCGCCTAAACGGGTGGACGCGCGTGACACCTATGTCGCGCGCACCTTCCTTGCTCCGTGTGTTCGTAATGGATCCTTTAGACTTGCTCTATTTATTCTTGTGTCTAAATACATTCGTATGCAAATGAATAAGCAAATAGATCAGGTGAAACAACAACAGCAATTTAACTACTTTATTACAGGATAAAATACAGAGGATCTAATTCCAATTTTAAAGGGAAATTCAGAACTATTTGATTTTGAAAATTTAAATGGGAGTCCTAGCCATTATTGGATCGCCTTAACTGCAAAGTTTATATATTATAATATTGCTTAATGTAATACCGTAAGTGTTAAAACTTCCTTTTTGGCTACAAATCCAGTTTCGATCGGATACAATTATAACTACTTATGTATACTCAGTATTTCTTTTTCAACAATACTCAGTATTGTTTTAGTAATATTTGCCTAAACAGCTTTAATTCAACCGCACGTAAAGATTACATGCACACACCATCTTTACCATACACACTGGACCAGTGCCCAGGCCCCACATGGCCTATGTATTCGCTGAAACTTTACAATTTTTTTTCTACTTTTGGTAGAGATATTCCGACAGAAGTTAATAGCAGATATAAGTTTATATTAGATATTAGCAGAAAAATGTTTTTGTTATTCGCTTTTTTTACTTTGCATCAGGGCTCCGAATTTTTGTGAGCCCTAAGGCCCCTATATGGCCTAAGACGGCATTACACTCTCGCGTTTTTGTTTCTATTTAATTGGATGCTTCACTTCTATATTCTTAGTAGCTTTCGAACGTCACTCGCAAAAAGAGGATTATTCAAAATTCTCGGAGCTCATCATTTTTTCAAACAACTATTTCGAGATTCAAACAAGCGTAAAGAACGTAAATGAGGCATAAAGACATCACGTCGTTAGCTCTTTACACGCTCGATACTCGATAAAAAACTCAAGGCGCACTTTAAGCTGCTACTGAGCAGTTCGTTCACCTTATCTCTGCATCGCGAGATATATTCCTGCGTAACAAAGCAGTAAGCACGGGGATGATAATATGACGATCATGTAGCAAACACTTTCATCCTGTTGACACTGTAACCGAATCGAATATAACATTACAAATCATTATTCATGTTGAATAATAGTATTGAATAATAGTACTGTAGCTCAGGTGCACGTTACGAAAATACATTAACATTTCTGTTATTAAAGAAAAGTCATGAAAAAATCGACAAGAAATGGTGAAAACCGTCCAAAAATTTTCAGTTGACTCGTGCATTATTTCTGCTCAAATATAGATACCTAGTAATCTTGAACGTAAAATCGTATCCTCGGGAGTGAGGAGTGGCGGCCCACCAGAGTCCGCCCGGAGCAAACATCGCCTCAAAACTTGTTTCACTGTAGCCGGGATTTGCTAGCGACCTCATTAGGGGAGGGTCGCCCTTTGTACGGCAATCAGAGCGCCGGAGGGGGCTCATTATCGAATTGTTTAAAATAACGACAGAGACACGCGCCTCCCCCAAACGGACCATCAATAGACCTTTTTACGATGTCTGGAGACTTCACAATGCCATTAGGTAAGCCAATCCACGATATGTCTTTTAACTATTTCACGTTACTGTTAGTTATTTTACTTTGAAAACTTGGGTGCCATTTCTACTTCGTCTATTTTATTTTTGAAATAAAACCTAATCTCTTGATATCCCGATAATCGTATTCTTTGAACGACGCAGTTTACATACACTGCGTGTTCAAACTGCGACAAACTAAGATTAAATAAACATTTCTGAATTCGAATCATATACTCCATACAATTGCCAAAACCGCCTTGAAATCAAAGCCGCTGAAATAAAATCCAAACTAGTATTGAATAGTAGCAAGGCAATCGGGTGCAGTGGCCATTTGGCCACCGCCGCGGACAAGCGGCCCATTTAGTAATTAAATCGCGACCCCTCGTAGTCACGTCTCCGCAAACTCAACAAGCAAACATCGACTGCCGTCCTCGGATCAAACTTTTTAGAATTACTTTGACAAATTGGACGCCAAATAAGCGAAATTGAATCTGACGAAGGTAACGAATACTACACGGCTGTGCGTCCTCACAAACAACAAACACTTTTGTACTACCATTACATTTACGCGAATACAACAAACTATAATAACTCCATATTTAAGATTGAATAAAATTACATCCATTAAAGTAGTATTAGACTGTTATCACAGGTAGGCTGCGTCAAACGAGGCTCTAACGAACGAACCTTCTATATGTATAGGATTATTTCTTTTTAGTGTTTATCTGTACTCAAGTTAAACTGGACAATATATAAGTTTAGCTTTTTCAATACCTTGAAGGTTATAGAATTTCATACTCTATTTTTACATTTTATTTGTATCTTGTTTTATTATTTATAGTTATGACCTTTCACTAAAGTGGGTACCGGCCACCGCACTCACCAGACGAAACGCAAAAGTTTATCAATTCCACTTCACGGTGGTATTGGACTCTCCCGGGCGGGCAACAGCGAAGACTGCTACGTAGCCCTGCTACTCTTAAAAAAAATTGTTTCTCACAAATAAACACTGAATTACCAATTTCGTAGTTATAAACATAGATAAACTTGATAACGTGGCGATTAAACTGTGACCTTTCCTGGAACAATCTGACAACTAGTGTAGTATTAACATAAGAAAATCGATAGCGATTCATTAGGCAGCCGGGGCGATGGGGTCCGCGGACAATGCATCAGCCCCTCGCCCCCTCAGCATCCCACACATCTAGTGCCATCTAACGACGCCGCCTAATTCTTACAGACTCTCGCCTCGCACTGTTTCAAGCAACTTACGATTCCGAAAGGATGTCACGTCTAGCGCAATATTCTCGTACACGTACTCATTATTTCAAACGGGGTCAAAGTAGGAGTTTATAATTAACTGGAACCTATCAATGCAACAAAAGATGCAAATAAAATGTGTAACTCTAATTTTTTAGAACACTCTAGCTCTGTAATAATTGATATATTCAATTTATATCTCCATTTCATACATTAAACTGATTATCTTAGCCTACGCTTATAAACTAATTTATTCGATAATCTAATATACAGACAGTACTTAACGATCGAATTCTAAAAGAAGTTTCTCCGATTGTTTCTAACTTACTATCCCAATGTGAAATGTTTCTGTCAACATTTACATTGAACAAGATCTTTCATCGGTCTTAATCGCTATCTCATAATGTGAGAAAAATTCCCGATTGTATTATGTTCCTCAGAGATTTTATTCATTTGAAAACGTTTTGCAATACAAACTGTATACTTCACATGAAATATTTGTCATTTTTTGTACTGACGAATGGGGAGATTCATATCCCTCGTTATTATTAGAATTTCACATTCAGGTTTTCTTTAACATAACGATTGTGCGCGTTTTCTATTAAGACTTCCTTAGCGGAATCTACAAAGCGATCATTATCAAGGATGTATATCGCTTTCAATTTTTGAAACCTGCAATGAGTGCCGTGGCCGACCGGAGACGACAGTAGATGACGAGGAATCGAAAATCAGCAGTAGCCTTCAGTGTAAGTGATTCATTTTGGAATTATACTGATTCATTGATGTCCAGTGGCAAAAGAAAGAACGGGCGGAAAGTGGGAGCACGTGTAACGCAATAGACAAACGAAAATAAACCGACCGAATTCTAGATCGACCTAATATTACAAAAGTAAATTATTAAAAGATGCGTTTGTATTTCTAAAATATGGATGGATAAAACAAATACAAAGTTGCATGTGAATGCATAGTGGACATGTGCCTGCGTTGTTCATTGCAGCTTCAAAAGACTGGAACAATACACGTCATTACTACATAGTTGTACCGTCAACATTTATACTGTAAATGATAACGGGCAAGCTTTCAGTCAAACAAATGAGTCCCGCAACCATTCGAATCCCGAACTTAAGGATCGCAGTTACTGTACTAAATTGTATCATGACGTAAAATCCTTTTGTAATGATGGCCTTAGAACTTATTAACGTAGGTAAAAAATGATTACCAATTACTATATTATGACTGACATGCAAAAAAGGGTAAGGTACAACTACAGGACTACAGGTGGAAGTAGGTGCATGAATGTAGAATCCCCTACTGTAAATCCTATATAGTTAAGAGATATGAGTGTATATTTATATTTTGATACATATATATATCAGCGTAGAATTGAATTTCCAACACACTGTAACACTCATGCTACTCATGCTCTTCTCGCGCGACCTTAAATGACGTAAGACAGCGTAACAAAGTGGCTCGGTAGTCAGAATTTGTAAAAACAGGTGCCGATGGTGGCACCTTTCCACATTCCACGATCTGACACGCTATATAGATAAGACACTCGTTTTTACTGTTGCTCAGACCTTTAAGCCGTTAACAATGTGTTTTCGTTGCATCGTAAATAATAAAATTGATCGCCGTTGAGGTATTAACATTAATTAGGTGAAAGTGAAATGCAATCAACTGTTTAGCGCTACAAAAACAAAAACAGGTTAAAAAACACTGTTACAGTAGCACGTGCAAAAGGAGCAACGCAACGTAAAGGGCAGGAATGCAAAGCGGCGGCTAAATTAGCGCATTGAACATTTTAAAAGTGCGCGTAACGTGTCGCTCTCCGCGGACCCAATGAACGGGGATACAACAGCAGCTCGGTGAAAAAGCTGTATGCACGTTGAATGGGGAGCAAAAACATATTATCCGTTTCGTGAATGTTAAATAGCACGCGTTTATGGTGCCGACTGTACCGCTCGCCGTTAGGCGCGAGTGGACAAAGGGGCCGGCGGAAGGGCGCGCTGATTCCTTCCGCACCGCAACGTACCGCAACCCCGTTAAAGGAACTAGTGGTTGAGTGGTTCGCCACCCGGACACCGTTGGGGCAGCAGGATCGAATCCAAAGTGTAAGCCAGAGGTCAAATTTTAAAAATACGCGTAAGCCATTGCGTGAAGCATGCTCAACGTTTAGATTTGACCTGGCCTCCCGGAAAAAGGTTTTTTTATAGCCCCTGCAGTCGTCGAAGCTTTTCATATTCAGAAGGATTGAGAGCAAAATACCATCAGATATGAACCTGCGCACCTAGCTTAGGACCAGGTTGGGCAAACTTAATACAAATATTTTCACAACCAGTTCCAATCAGAACCATTGTAAAGGTGAAATGTTGAATGTGAGGTGTTGAATCTATAAGGTGAAATGAAACGTGTGTGCCATAAACTATAAACTTATTCAAGAAAGAGCCTATGCACCTCTTGTCTGGCCGCACATATTTTACTGATATTATTAAAAACAATTTTAATTGCTTGTTCACAGCATACACGTTTATGGGACAATCGATCTTGGGTAAATGCTGAGCAAAAAAAAACTCCCTCCACATTGCGATATACCCTAACGAAACTAAAATTAGAAACGTTGAAAAACAAAATTAAAGGTCATATTAATTATCTCTTAATAGTGTTAAAGCGGAGTAACAACCCGCAAATTACCAGTAAACACTTAATTTTATTTGTTCCATTGAATTCCGTATTTCAATTTAAAGATCGAGGAGAAAGTAACGGTACGAAGAAAGCTAGTTGATAAACACAGAAATGCACGAATACCGCGTAACATTTGTAGCGGGCGCTAACGAACAAGCAAAAACAAGTGAAAGGGTAACGGGGGTGTGCTAAAGGTCGAATAATTAGCAATAATCATTTCAGCCGCCGAAACGTTCGCACGCAACTGCTAGTGCGTGGGGTAGATTAAGCACTACTGCACTAGTAATTAAACCACGGAATCGAACACACCACGTCGCTCATAAAGGGTCACACTTGACATTCGAACGTGATTTTTTTTTTAAATTAATTAGGCATTTACGCGACTATTTATTTTTTCCCTTAATCAAAAAAAACATAAAATACATTTTTATTTAATGTGAAATGTTGCCAAACGAGCAGACGGTTCACCCGATGGTAAGTGAATACCGCCGCACATGGACATCTGCTACACCCGAGGGTTAGAGTTGCGTTGGCAACCTTTTGAAAATTGGGCACCGGCTACCTCACTCACCAGACGAAACGCGAAAGTATTTGTCATACTTCCACTTTACGCTGGTCTTCTGTGAGGTCGTGGTGCTTACCTGGACGGGCCTGCCCATTCGTTTTCCCCCCCAGAAAAACCTTTACCGCATAAATGCGTTCCAGAAGATTTTCCATTCAATTTATAGAAGTATAACTAATACAACGATAGTTTTGATAATTGTAACAGATTTATATCTCTCTTCTAACATATTAGTTACTTACAAATAAAAGTTCCATTATTGATGTCTTGTTCTTTCTTTCTTTTCTGTCAATCAATTTGTACAGAAACGCATGCATACTTGAGTATAATGTTTAAATATACCAGTTTAGAGTTAGTTATAAACGAAAAAAAAAATGGATAATATTAATTGATAAATACATCTACTACGCACGTGTGACTAGCATTAAAATGTTACTGTAATAATTTTAATAACAGATAAAATGAATTATGTCGTCAAAACAGTAAATACATAATTTTACGTATACCTAGGTTATAATTTTACATTACCTGGTTAAACATAGGTTCAAAATACTTCTTAATTAAAGTGCAGTTGCGGAACAAACAACAACATTAACAAGTGGACACTTATACAACACACGACTTTACATTTTCACCTTGCAATGCTGCCTTTGAATAAGTGGTTCATATACACATTGGATTCGCTAAAATTTTAAAAAAAACAACACAACACAACACACTCTTATATCAATAAACTATTAAAACTTGAGCCAATAAATTATTTATGACAAGGATAATCTTGGATGGTAAATTTTTTAAAGATTTTTTTTTTAATTTTATAGAGAAAGAGGTTAAAGTAAACAGATGAAAATTATATAATTAGGAATTTAGATTTAAGTCAAATTAATACTAATTTGGATGTTTTCTGAGAATATGGCAAGCAAGCTACCGATTCACCTGATGTTAAGTGATAACCGCCGCCCATGGACAGTTGCCACACCCTTAGGGCTGTAGATGCCACCGTATATCTATTAAAATGTGCCCGGTAATCTCACTCAACAGACGAAAACATAAGTATAACACTTCTACGCTGGCATCGGTCTTCTGTGAGGTCGTGGTACTTTTCCGATCTGCCCATTCATGTCACAGCGAATACTGTTAAATGGCCCTACCACATTTCCATTGTGTTTTATCAATGAATATAATATAGTTGCAATATTATAATCATAAAAGTTATACCGTTACAATTTACATTACAATCATGTTAACCTCACTGGCATTGCGTACGCGCTCAATGAAGCTGTAACATTAATATGGACCCATATGAAACGCGTAATAATGTAGTTCCCACAGGAGGACGTAAGGCTGTTCCCGGAGCGGCTTGTTCAGTATAATGAGTTGAAAAATTTGCCTTCGCGATCAATTTGCGCCCATTACGCGCGGGTCACAGTTCGCAACTCGACAATTTAAATGTCTACACCATTATTCCGCCGCACTGTGACAAAATACGACTTGGCGCGAACTGTCAAGGTTTATTTTGCCACGTTCAGCAGCCACTTCTCAGTCGACGAGGCAACGCTGAGCCGCGGGGACTTTGAACTTTAAGCGGAGCGGTTTGGGGCGATTATGGCTTGGTGTCGGCGCGCCCTTTGAGGCGTCGACACGAGGCGAATTCGGAGGCGCCGCGACATAAGTATGCTAATTCGGACAATTGGAGCGGCCGATGCCGGCCTGTGAGGACGCCGCCGCCGCCACGCCGAGCCATGCCGGTAGCGCCGCGTCACTTGACTAAATGACGCACGGTACGCGACGGCCTAACGCAACGTTATAACAAAATTAATGCTCCGAATTGGGTGCACACTTTGTCTACCTTACCCCAATTACGAATTATTGTTTCAAATTGTACCCAGAAAGGCTAAGCTTTACTTGGTCCAAACCGAAAGGAAAGTAAGAAAGAGGTTATATGAAACGGCAACGGTTCGTGCCAATTATTGACCTAAATTAACAAAAATGCAAAGAAAACTTTTGGATACCAAATAATAAAACTTAACGATTTTAAATATTATTTTATTGTTTTTAACCGTTACCTCCTGACGTATATCCGAACGTGATAGACAGAAAATAAAAAGCTATTGTGATCAACATGGTCAATGTATCCTAAGTAGCGTAAAGAAATCACAATTTCCTATGATTTTATGTGTTTGTAAATAGGACAAATAAATTCAACTTCGCCACACCACGAGCCTGACAAAATTTGTGTTAAGTTTACCAATCAACAATTCCGCAGCGTGGCGACTTATCTGAACTAGAGCAACGCATCGCTTCAGCCGACAACCGTCCCATTAGCATCCGCTGCACGCAATTATCATATACGGTACCGGCCCGTGCTATGCTAAGCAGCCCATCCCCTTTTTTGCGTCCGCTCGCCGCTCGGACTAGTCCCGTCCGAACCAAATCGGAATGCGCACCGTTTTGTTGCATTCCGCGCGTGTACCGTTAAATTTGAATTTGCCCGCAGTGTGCGTGCGCCCGTGTGTTCTTGTGTCCGTGTGTCCGTGTGTCCGTGTGCCCGGTATGCAAGCGCGTTGTCGCCGACTGATGGATGACAGGTGACGTCGGCGACGCAAAGGGCCAGGGCTGCGGCATTCCGGACTCTGGCGGCCGCAGCGAGGGAATCTTGCATTGCTCCTAATTAGATGTGATCGTCTCTTCGTTCATGCGCGGACGCCTTCCGATGTCGTGTTGCAATTGCTGCGGGACATTACTTCCGTTCGTTCAGAAAAGTACAGTACACTCCGAACGTAAATGTACGTGTAGCATCGCGGGCTGAACGTCTAATGAGCAGAAATTATTACGTTTCCCGCACTGGTTCTAGAGCTCGTATTTAACGAATGCCCTTATAATAATTAAGGATGTTGAGCAATTATAGCTAAATCGCCGTGGATTCGCAAGCCCTGGCAACGGGCTCGTTAGAGATGCACGGACAGGTTCAAAGCGCGCCGCCGCCGCGACCCATCCTCCTCCGCACCTTTCCTCTACACTCCAAAAGCCGGGGCTAGATCGAAGGCCATTGTATCAAGTGACTTATTTAACCTTCACTTATAACTAAGCATAATAGCAATCATACGATATATTTGAAATAATTGGTTTATATGTAGGTATTTTATCACAAAGTTATTCGTTATTACTTTTATGTTTATTTGCACTGCTAAACCTTTAACATTATTATCAAGGTTGAGGTATTAGTGCATTTTTGCTTTAAAAGCTTTGAAACTGATCTTAGTCAACAAAGTAGAGTAAAGTACCAGCCTACATATGTCCCACTCCTGGGCAGAGGCCTCGTCTGTACAAAGGATATTACGACACCAGGCGAGTCCACTGCTGGCTGACTCACATATCTTCGAAGTATTGTTTTCGGTTTCGAAAATAAGTCAGCACTTTAATCAACAATTTAATTGATGCTGGCCAAGGTATTCATACTCAGGTTGGTTGGTCAAATACAATGGATACAAAGCGCGCGCCCACAGCTGAACCATCACGGCTTTCATATTTCTCAAGGGAACTTTAAAAAGAATTTCCTATTCTATTGCACTCAAACACGAATGGAAGCACTAGAACACGAAAGCCCTTACAAGCTATAAACAGCTTTTAAATGTTCAACACAGCGCGTACCTACATATTGCTCGAATTTTCTAAAACAAAATGGGGTAGAATCCATAATTGAATAACTGCCCCCTATTACGATGGCCATAAGGTTTGAGAGGTTGGCAAAAGTAAATTTGCGAAGCGTGACGGAGCGAGCTCGTCGTAGGGTCACTTGTAAATAGAGAGCGAGTGAAACTCGATAATGAAATAAACTTACGAAGGATATTTTCGACATCTCCGCGCGTAATGAGAGGCTGCTATTTGAAAAGGACAAAAGCTGCCCGCCTGTTTTTTACGAAGTAATCGTAGCGTATCTCATCGTTCAATTCGGGGTTTGTAAATAAAATAAAATAAATAAAGTAGGTAATGTTTTTGCTTTCAGTCCGGAGACTATTATAGCAACTCGTTTGCCACTTTATCACATAAAAGAATACAACACCTGATGGCTTGCTGATGCGTTGACAACTTTAAAAAAAATCCTTTACAAAAGTGGTCCCTAGTTACCTCACTCACCAGACGAAGTGCGAAGGTTTAATACTTCCACTTCAGATCATGGTACTTCCCCAGATGCGCCTAATTCATTTTATCTATGCAGAATATCTTAGACACTTCCTGTAATCACTTGTCAAATATAATGTCATGTAAAAAAGATGTGAAATTATGTTTGAATAGATAAATTTAACCTAAAACTTATACGTGTAAGATAAGATTTCGCAACGCGGGAATTGTACTCCCTTCTCCCGGAATCGCGGTCAGATGCTTTAACCACAAGCCTTAAAATTTCGATCTATTTTATTTTCTTACTTCTCTTTTCCCATTTTAAGCGATACTTGGCGCCATCTAATATTATATCCTTACAGAACATGAACAATTTCAATGTTTCAACTAAAAAGCGGATATTAGCAATATAAGAACTTAATATAAAATTGTATCCAATTTAATATTACTACGGTATGTATGACGCACCTTTGCTCATCAGTTGTTAATGAACCATTACAAGGCTCGGCTTAAAGTGTGAAAAGTAACAGGCATGACTGCATTACCGGCACACGGCCACGCGGCCCACAGATAATACACCCGTCCTCGCAATATCTCAGGCAATAACGGATGGCACCTATAAGGTACCCGTATCCATTATTGCGTTATTAAATGGCGGCAACGGACTTGTTTTAGAGTTGCCTTACATGGGTGACAACGATTATAAAACTTGGTGGTTCAATACATCACTTTCAAACGTATAAAATGCTTTTTAAAATAATATCTTAATATAAAGAAAGCTTTACTATAGTCTATGTAACTATGAAACTTTACTATAGTTTATGAAATAGATGTTACGTGAAGCGCAGAAATATTTTTTCTATCCGACAATTCCGCTAAAACGATTTAAGTTATTTGATAATTGACAGTTTCGGATATTTGATCTGGATACCCATATTTAAATTGGATTGCAAAAGCTGTGATTATGATGCAATTACAAATTGGAAATAAATACATGCAATATTATAAAACTCATAGCAGTAGCTTGATTTAAATCCTGCAATTGAAGCAATTACGTCTCTACGGCTAGTTGTCGAATTAACCCGCCACGCTAAATCTAATGCCGAAGGGCGGATAGTTTTTGTCCGCCATCCCCGCGGGGCAAGAAGCGGTCGCGACGAGCTGGTCCACTCGGAGAGCAGCGGGGAACCGCGCGAGGGTCCAACTCCTAGGCGGAACTCCCGCTGGTCGCGGCGAGCTCCCCCCGTGCACTGCGCCAATTATTATGTCATCAAGACAACAACTAGCCGATAAGAACTCGGCGCTTCCACGGATTCACGCGTATTAAGTAATTGCCAGCGTTCGATTTACATTCGCCTTCTACCGTCATATTTATAATTGTGAGAAAATCGATTTCATAATTTTAAGAAATAAAAAACAATCTTTATCTCTACGCGTTCGATGAGGTAAAGTAGCCGCCTTCATAATAACATAATAATTTAGAGCCAGTGAAATCGCCTGGAACAGTCTGAAATCCCAAGATTTGTCTTCCTTGGCGCCAGAATCGATGATGGAATCAGTTACCTTTTGTACAAGGTTAAGTTTAAGTAAAAGATGCGATATCTTATATTGTGCACTGGAAGATAGTTGACGAAGATGATCGCGTCGTGCATACAACGCTCGCCCGTCGACTCGCCCGCTGGTGTGCGATACGTTTTGCGGCGTTTATTGGCGGCGGACCGGCACATAAAACTGCTGGCAGCACATAAAAGCGCCATTCATTATACGAGAGCGTCGGCCGCTAAGCCGTCCGCTTCCGCTGCACGGACAATATAGCTGGCCGAATAAAACTGCATCGCCGCCAAACAACGGGAACACCGAAACGCAGTAAACCATCCAAATATAACGATGACCACCAGATCTATGGTACCGTAGCATAGATCCATGAATTTGCATTTGATTAAATGTGATAATTGATGCAAACGCGAGAACACTTTTACAAATGATTACTTTCATCACTATCCTATGCGATAGAGTTATCTCAGAAATACTTTTATTATAAACGTAACTGCAAAATTAAACAAAATTATAACTGAGGAAAGAATTTTCCTATTTTAATTAACAACTTTAATCAATCGCCACTCTAATATAACAAGAGGAATTTTTTTTTAATGTGACAAAGTGGCAAACGGACAGGCGGTTCACCTGATGTGATAACCGCCGCCCATGGACATTTGCAACACCCGTAGGGTTGCAGAAGTGTAACACTTCTAATTTACGCCGGTCTTCTGTGAGGTCGTGGTACTTATCCGGACGGACCTGCCCATTCGTGCAACAGTGAACACCATTGTGTGACCCTACCACAGTTTAAATAAATTTGCTTTCATAGAGATTCGTTCATGACCCAGAGACTCCTTTAGTCACAATTTCGCCAGTTCAGTAGTTGATAAGTCATACAATTATATTCCATCCCTTCAAACCCATAAAAAGCAATCTACCTAATGTACATATTCAATAGAAGTATTTATAATTTTAAACGTATATACGAAGTGTTTTGTTTTTACAATTATCTATTATGCATATTGCAACCATATAAACGTGTTTTGCTATGTTAGGTGGATTATAAAATTAACATGATACGCTACATTAATACACAGATTGTACGGCCCACAAACGCACCTGACCACCGCTAACAGTTACAAGGAAAATTACATAAACGACTGTGGTATTAATAACGTCAACATCATTTACCCTATAAAGACGAAGTAATCGTGATAATATGTCGTGGAATTGAATTACATTCGTTCCATATTCGAATCGTTTAGCCGTTTCTCAATACGGACGGTGTTAGACTAAAGAAAAAAAATTCTCTCTAATCAATACTTTGTTTGGAATGATAATAGATTCTTATTATACACGTAACTTACACACACAATGAGGTACAGAATCCCGGTGCAACAGTGACCGGGGAGAGTACGGGATGATGATTGTCGCGAAACAATCGAACGGGAGTCTCCCCTGGCGGCGTTGCGGGGATTTCTCATTGAATGCGTAATAAGCGAGATATGCAGTGAATGTTAAGTTTCCCCTGTTTGAGGAATTGTTCCCGGAGACGGGAGGGTGGGGGCGAGGAGCGCGAAGGGCTAGCCGTAGCATTAGACGCGTTCACACGACACTACTCGTATCCAACGCTTGACGGTGTTATAACAACCTATAGGACCGCGCTGTATTTTTATGAGTACGCACTTTGTTTTTCAGGTACAACCGGACCGAACAGAGGGATTTTTTGTGTTACAGATTACGCTTACTTAGGGCAATCATAATAAGGCAATCATAATGATTCAGACAATATATGGGCAAGGGCGATGAAAGAACGGATACGATACAAAGTGACAGTTCGAGTAACGTTTTCACTGAGGGTGGGCAACTCTCCGCGTGCCAGTGAAAATTGCTAACATTCGTTTTTGTTTATGACAAGATTTATGAACATCATAAATTGATGATGTTCATTTATGAATATGACAAGTATTCTGGGATTTTTTTAATCAAAACATTCGGCAACCATATATAGCTAAAACTGTTGCTATAAATAAATATTAAAATAAATTTAAACTGTGGAATTTGCCTTTGCAGTCATCGACAATGTATCAAATGAACGACTGATTTATGCAGTTTTCGTATTTCGTAGTTTTTGAAACAAATCAACATCTAAACAATCCGACGGGATGAGTAAGTGTAGTCAGTATACGATTATTACTTCGTCATTCAACGACAAAATGCGCAGCGAATGAATAAACGATCAGTGAATATCGTTATGCGCGTATGCTTTGACCTTGTAAACACTGATAGTAAAATGACCGTAAAATTCGTAAAACTCCTTCGTATTAGCGCCGTTCTTTGATTTCTCGTCAGGGAGCGCGCCAGTGTCCCCACGAACAGCAACACACGAAAGGCGTGTCGGCGGAGCGTCCGGCAGCATCCATAAAACATCTCCGCTTAACGCGAGCCGGGAGCGGTCGGCGGCGAGATAAGTCGCATCAATTTTTTCAGCCGCCGCTCCAAATCCCCGGCGACGGGCGGCCGCGGCCCCGGAATATTGCCCGCTCCATGGGACGAATAATAAGCCACAGATAAAATAAATCGCCCGCCATTTGACTACATTCCGTATGATCTGCAACTGTTTCAAATCAACAAGAAAGCTTCGCAGACCCACTTCAGAATCTTAGTATCGCGAATGAGTTTTATTTTGATATACATTATTATGTGAATATAACAATAATCGATTGTAGATCACATAGACAATGAGTACTAATCTAGATTGAACGAATGTTGACATGGACTTTGGAATCGATAAAGAAACACAACTTTATAATCGAACATAATCTACTTTATGGCTCTTGCCTGTCGACAACCGATAGTGGGTTTTTTTTTCTTTTTTTTTTGAAGCACAATACAACTGTACATAATAAAAAATAGTTAATGTAGTTGATAATAGTTAATAATAATGTTAATGAAAGATATTAGATAACATCTTTATCCATTATAGTATACTAACGCAAATTTTAAATCCATACTAGTATTATAAATGCGAAAGTAACTCTGTCTTCTATCTCGCTTTCAGTCAAAAACTACTGAACCGATTTAAATGAAATTTGGTACACAGATAGTCTAGAGCCTGAGAAAGGACATAGGCTATTTTTTAATTGGAAAAAAATGTTGTAAAGGGTTGAAAGATATTTATTTAAGGGCTTCAACGAGAGCGAAGCCGCGGGCGAAAAGCTAGTATAAAATAAACGGAACAAATAGGTGTGCTGTGAATTTGAACAAACAAAATTGTGATGAAATACATACATTGTTCATGGTTCTTATATAAACACTGCTTTTCATAAAAGTAAACTAAACGTCAGTAAACATAACTCTAATAGAGTTGTGGTGCTTGATGAAATTAACGATTATAACAATGGAAATACTGATATCGACCTTTCGCTTCTAGTTATAATAATTGTGCTATAAACCTTGAAAAAGAAACTGTTGGCATTAATGTTGTGAATATTTCAATAATAACCGAAATAACCCTGTAAATCATAGGTACTGTTCCCAGTAAACACAATGCTTTATACAAGATTTATCTAAGAAAGTAGACAAAATCATGGGTAACTTCTTTGTTAAAAAAACTGCGACTGACCAAACAAACAAAATGTATATTGTATGAGTCGCTGAATTTCAAGTGTATTTTTTTCCAGCTTTAATGGATTGTGCTACGTCTGCCGTCCGCCCCTGACTTTAGACGAGATAAAATATTGTCACAACGCAAAAATTTATATAAGTACATACATCTCATTTCATTTCTTAATACTAAAAATAAGGTAAATGAATCTTAATCAAGTTTTATTTAATTGAAATGTTGTTCAAAATAGTTAGTAAATATTGTTTCAACAATTTCTTCTCCACACTATCAAAAATATGTATATTTTTTACCATAGAGTAGAGTACCATAGCAATTCAGATTTAGGTAAATTACACCCAAAAAGGATCTATGAAACATTAGTCAATAATTCTAACTGAAAAGATGCGATTAATAATGTGTATTTGGCGGAAAAACGGTGGCTATCTGGTCAGTTGCGTGGCGAGTCATCGCTGAAGTATTAATCATGGCGGAACTCGGAGAGTGGGAAATTTCATAAAACGACTTTATGTTATTGGAACTGATTGATTGCGCGTTTGTCGGCTCATCGCACGCCCGACAGCCACTGCCCTAGACGCGTCGACTTTTGGCCTTTATTGAAATGGTTTATAAAGTTCTTTACATTATTATTAGGAAAGAAACTATCAAAAACGCTTATGCCATTATAAGTATAGACTACATCGGATCGCTCTTAACAAGACAATTTTTCTAAACACTTTAGTTAATGCTCGATCACAACTAAAGATATTTTCTTTTCAAAACTCCTATTATCTGCATTGTAAACTATGCGCGTATATATGATCAATATTTACACAGAAAAATTCGTTTTCCTCTATTTAAGGAAGTCATTTCGCCTGTTTACATAGGGTTGATGAATTGACTTATGACAAAACATAAAAAACTTCTAAATCATCTTCGCACAAAAGACACGGTTCATCGCAGTCAACAGTTGATATTGTATGGCGTTTGCGTAAATATAAAAGTCTCATGTCAATACTAATGTTGATATTACAAAATTATCCTGAAAGCGAGCGACTTTCCCGGCAGCGTCGCCATAATTCATCAATGGCCGTAAACCCACGGCGACAATGTCTTCATCCATTACTTAGAGATAATGCGTCGGTGACACGCGACAACCCTTTCTTCTTAGCTTCGCAGTGATCCATCTTTGCATTAGCGACGTGCCACATCTCCGCCGAGCAAACTACTTAGAGCCACGCCACCTAACACTGCTGGACTAAACGACCCACTACTTAAACCCAGCGTTCGGGCGCACCGTAAACAAAACCTCCGAGAGACAATAATTGGGGCCAATCAGTCATTATGATCCACACGGTAGCTCAGTGGTTCACGGTCTTTAACGCCTCGAACCCCTCACAAAACAAACATTTGTATGTTCACATTTTTGTTCTTAAATTATCGTTCAGATTCAGAGTACACCTCTGTATAAGTGAGGAACCCCACGACCCTAATTTAGAGAAATTTTTGAAAGTCCTATCGTAGGATTACATAATGACTCGTGACAGATTTATTCAAAGGGCTTTTCTCAACACCCCAGTAGGGTAAACGGTTGTGGAAGTCAATTTCTTTTTTATACTTTCATAATTTTATGACTACCGGCTTGTCCTCACATTGTTATTCATTTGAAAATATGAAGGTATATATACATACATTGCAAGAACTTATAAATATATGTAATAAAATGGAATCATTAAATAAAAAAAATAAAAATCGACTAAAGTATAAAATCATTCAAAGCAAAAGGTTCTTGAAATTTGTTTAAAATTTAATTCTAAAAGAGGTCCCAAGTTTGAAATGAGCCCATCATTAAAATTTCCCCGTTTTAAGCATAAATAACTTTCTTCTTAACGTAATGTAATGATAACAAATACAAGTGATATTTGTGACATATCGAAGGTGGCGCGGCATATCGGAGTGAGCATAGATCACTGTTGCAATTAAATCCGCTCCTGTGGAAGACATAACGTGGGCAATTACTCCGCCAGCGCCTGTCAGCCGTTACCTCCCGAAAGTGTTGTCGGCTCGCGTTACGACCCCCCCATTCCGGGCGTCCGGGGCGAAATTATTACATGACGATGTAGATGCCGCCGTGAAAAAACAATAAAACATTTGAGTACGTCACGCCTCGCGAACATTCCGCCCATAATAACCGTGGACAATATCTCCCTTACGATTTATAATGTATCTGTTTTATTACCATAGGGCGGCGGCGGGAGACGGCGTCGTGCTCTTTACAGCCCGTGGAAGAAAGCATGCGGGAACTTTATTACCGGCGTTTCGTTTTTTTTTTTTATAATTTCACGCCAAATACCGGATTGCAAGCATGGAGTTTTTATTCGATTGGAAAAAGAAAAAAGTTGCGGCACCAACGTTTTCGTTCAACGGTTCAACTTATAGTGAGCGACAAGGTTTTGTAACGTAAACTCCTCACATTGGAGTATCCGCCCGAAATCTGACCGTATAGCTTAATCATGACGACAGCAGTTCCGTTTAGTTGTCATTTCCTACGAATCTAAAAAAAGTGGCTAAGTTAAAAACAAACCAACGATGAATTTAAAAAAAATACAACAGGCAGAAAGGCTCTGATAACTGTTTTGGTAATAACAGGTAAGCCACGGGTCATTATATCATTACGCGCTAGTTAGTGGGCAGTTTAAGACGGGGCCGTTAAGCCGTCGTGAGGTGTTTCCGCGGCGCATTCGGCGCACATTCGGCCGAGTGGGCCGAGCGCCGTTACGGCCACTTTATGTCCCTCGGAGCGTAACGGTCATAGTAATATGATCTTAATATCGCGTAAACCTTTTACACGCAGGTAGTATATGCGACAATAAGGAACGGGACGCCCGTCGTTATCGCTTAAATGCCTTTAAAGGCGGGAAAGGACGCGAGGATCAATAAACGACAATCCAACAATGGCCGGGGTAATCTGTGAAATTAAATGGCGATTTCC